CAGGTCAAATGACTACACTCAAGGAGAGAGTCAAGTGATCCTTCTTGAAATGATAAGAGCAATCCAGTTTTTGACATCCACAAAACTCATTGCCACGAGTACCCATGCACTAGAGACACGAAATAAGCTGCATGCACCAAGCAAAAAATACAAGTCGAAATAAGAGAAATATGATGCAGTCCAAAAAAACCAGCGAGGCACAGAGCATAATCCAACAACACACAAAAGGGTGTACCCTGCAGCCACACCACAAAAACTAATGAAACAAAAAGGGGAAAACAAGTTACCAGTAAAAAACCGTAGAAATAAAAAGAACGAGCTTAAATTGGGGAAAAAAAACAGAGCAACGTAGAGAACCATTTCGCACAAGTAAGGCCTAGCAACAGGTGAAGCATAACGCCAAATAAGAGCGGGAGAGAAGAAATAAATGAACGAAAATGAAAGAAGAGGAGTGGATGGATAAAAGAGAACGGGGAAAACGGTGGTGAGGGAAGGGTGCAGCGAAAGAGAGAGAGGTAGCGTGGAATTTGGGTCAGCTGCAGCAACAACTGCTGGATAGGGTGAGGGAGGTGGGGGAGACTATTTTTGAGGTGCCTCAGAAATTGATACGTACTGGAGGGGGTGAGAGAGGTGGGCATTGTCACTTCTCACCTCTCTCGACCTCTCTCCACCTCTCTCCACTGCCACCCTCCTCCAGGAGGTAGCACAAGAGAGAGAGAGAGAGAGAGAGAGAGAGAGAGAGAGAGAGAGAGAGAGAGAGAGAGAGAGAGAGAGAGAGAGAGAGAGAGAGGAGATAGAGGGAGGGAAGGAAGGCAAAGAGGGAGAAAAGGAGGAAACAAAGGGAAAGAAGGAGGGCAAGGAGGGAGAAAACGAGGAAACAGAGGGAGGGAAGGAAGGAAAGGAGGGAGAAAGGGAGGAAACAGTAGGGAAGAGTGGGAGTAAGAGGGGAGGAGAGGGAGAGGTGTGATAAAATACGAGTGATAGAGAGTGGAAGTGAGGGCAATGCAAGAAAGATTACAGTTACAGAGTGTTACGTTGTCAAATGGAGTGAGATAATGAAACAAATACATGGTCTGGAGAACAAAGAGACGATAAACGCAAGCAAAATGGGATGCTCACTCACCTTCAGTAACACTGGTACTCTTCATTCTGCATTCCCTCTCTTCCTCCTCACTGCTCTGCATGCACATTCAACATCTACGTCGCCCGAAGCCATCCACGAAGGCGCCATCGCGCATGGCGCCAACGATCACCGTGCCATGCGCACACGGGGCCAGCGCGCTAGGCGCCAGGCTGCAGGGCGCCAGCACGCTAGGCTCCAGTACGCATGGCACCAGGGCGCCTAGGAGCCAGCGCGCAAGGCACCAGCATGCTAGGCCCTAGCGCGCAAGGCGACAGCGCGCTAGGCTCCAGCGCGCTAGGCGTCAGCGTGCTAGGCGCAAGCGCAGTAGGAGCCAGCGCGCTAGGTGCCAGCGCGCTAGGCTCCAGCGCGCTAGGCGCCAGGCCGCCTAGCAGCCAGCACGCTAGGCTCCAGGGCGCTAGGCACCAGCGCGCTAGGAATCAGCGCCCTAGGCTCCAGCGCGCTAGGCGCCAGGGCGCCTAGCAGCCAGCATGCTAGGCACCAGTGCGCTAGGCATCAGCGCGCTAGGTGCCAGCGCCCTAGGCGCCAGCGCGCTAGGAGCCAGCGCGCTAGGCGCCAGCACGCTAGGAACCAGCGCTCTAGGCGCCAGCGCGCAAGGCATCAGCGCGCATGGCGCCAGCACGCTGAGCACCAGCGTGAATGTGGGCTTAGGGACGAGCAGATTAGGTGAGCAAAAAGAACTAGGAAACGATGACTAGGGAAGAGAAGCACCAAGGCAGAAGCGAGCAAGAACTAAGGGGCAGTTGCAAACCCTAGCATTCGTACTCCTCAGCCACAGAAAGCTAACGCATCACAGAAGAGCACCATTGGTGACGTGTCATGCAGCTTTCAGAGCATCGAACTGTAACATGTGCGAAACACTAGAAGGAGAAACGCTTCATATAATCTAAATTTGTCTCAAAATGCATTCAAGTTAGAATTCATCAAATTGGTTTCTTTAACATACGTACTAGCGATTTTGATATTACTGAGTACCTATATTTTTCCCCTTCAATCTACTAGGAATAATCTTCAACAAAATTAATGACATAAAATAAGAACAATGATTGGTAGTATTGTTTTGTAATTTGGCACAGATATAGTATGACCTCAGGTTGGTGGACAATAACACCATAATTTTACAAGCTTGGCAAAGGAAAGAAAAATATTAGGCGTACCCAAATAAGACGATTGAGATACATATAATATCAATACAATGAAGATGATTGAAAATCGCTGTAGTCACAAAGAATGCGTTGGAAACTTAAGTTATAACAATGGTACAATTGAAATGGTATTCTTATTTCAACACCATCATTACATTTGATATTTCCATTATATGACAGCTCCGCAACGCTAAGACGATTTAGTCGTCTCTTGTTTTTTTTTTTTAGAAGGGAGTGGAAGTACATTACGAATGCAAAAACACCACCCACGGTCATAACCGGTTCTAGAGGGCCTAGGTATAGTGTACCATACCCTTTCGGGAACTTTATGGAGTTTTAAATATCAAATGCCTAAAACTTTCATCCTGCCCATTAGGAGTTCTTCTTGCATAATTGTCTCCCCTCAGGTGCCAGTAAAACACAAAGGGCAATTCAAGCCGAAAAAGGTGTGAAGTGGTTGCATAAGCTGTTACTCCACTATGTGAGAGGTTAAGAGTGGTTTCAGCTGTACGTGTTATCTGATGCTGAAATGGTAGGTGTAATCGGATCTGTACTGTTGTTGAAGCTGCTCCGAGTCTTCTCTTACTACGGTAAGGAGGGGTTGCAGCGGCGGCTGCTACGGTTCGGGCCCTCTCTTCATGGACAGGTTCCCCCTGCAGGTCCCGCCGTTGTTCGTGCTTGCTGTGGGCCAATCTTCCTGACGGAGGTCCGATCCGTTACAGCTGGTCTTACGGTAGTTGCGATCATCAGCTATCCCGTTTTGCAAGCATGTCGACCGATGATATCGATCTCTTCCTCGTTCATATAACTCTCTTGTAACTTCGTGATGTCTCCAGCAACAGCATCCTTTGTCTTGTGATCCTTCGGGCTTGTGTTGAAATAGTACACATAATCTCCGCCTTCTTCAACGCTCATATTATAAGTAGGAATTTCCTCTTTGGGATCTAGTCCGGTCTTAGCCATCACTTGGCGAGGATCCAACCTGCTCTTCACCCCGGTAAATCAGTCTTCTTGAAGCTTGTGTTGTTGACTGACAGAAAACCGGGATAGCCTGAAAATGTTGCGTGGAGGAGCTGCCTTATACCGGTATTTCTATTCGTGATTTGGTACCTCCTGAACACAACTGAAATGGATTAGTAGAGAGGTAGAGAGCTTCCCAGAAGCTTCTTCGTTTATACTGCACCGTCGCCTCAACTTCCAGCTTCTGTTCGCGACACTTGTTTCCTTCGAGCATCTTGCTTCCTTGTAAAATGTCAGAGAGCAAAACGATGCCGACATTGAAGACTCTTTTTACGAAATCAGCTGACTCCATCTTGGGATGAATAGTCGTGGAATCAAAGTCCGCTGAGACATGACTGGATCCATGGTTTGAATGTGTTAAAACATTATGATAAAATGACGATAGATCGGCAAGTTTATGGTTGACACCAGATCGATGGGTAAGTTAGCCTTGGAATTTCTGAGACTTGTGCTTTGATGTCAAATCTTTCCTGAGAGCTTGATCCTCAGTATTTCTGGAGCTTGAATCAGTCGACCAAATGTTCTCTGTGTGAACATTAGACAAGGGTCTTCTTATAGAGCTCGATTAGTAGAATCCGTTGATACAAGCTGAGCTGTTATCAGGAAGGAAATTGTGTGAAAGTTTTTTTCACAGAAGCTGCTGATCGAATCCATGGCGGCCTTGCCATCTAGGGGTATCCGTTGATAGCCGGAGGCTTTGTGCCACTAGACCATGATACGTTTGCCTGTAATGAAACTGAGATTAATGTACTACTATTGAGAATTCATTTCCCAAACCCAGAAGTGATTCTTGGCGGAGCGTTGACGACTTTCACACACTAAAGCATCGGCGGCAATGTTGACATGAGTCGTACCACCCTTCATCTTGTGCCAGCGGTGCACAGTTGACGCGTTCGCGAGGACGGCACAGCAGCAACATCGAGGATGCTCCCCTGTGAGAGTTCTCTCTTGTTGTACAGTACCGTTCACTTTGTCGAGTCACCTTTGCGATCAAACTCAGCCAATAGAAACGAGATTTCGTTGACTACATCAACGTTTCTACGTCCTGCTACACACTCCGCACGCAAGTGGAATCCTGAATGAATAGGGCATGGTTAGGCCGCGTGTCAGGCGGTCGGTACAGGGTAGTTCCAAGCACGCGGCAACATTTCCGGCTTTAAGAAACCGGTGAACACCGCGTCTACACGTCAATTTCAGCATCGCATGTATTCACAGTCTAACTGCCGCGAAACAATCCAAGCCAGTAAGCATTCACAGTGGCAGTCGCTTGCGTCGCACGCGACCTCACTAGTGCAACCTGGCGACACTTTCAGTGCTCCTATTGTCAAGGGTCGCGCAGTGGCCGTTAGGTCGACCTGTACCCCGGGTCAGCTCGGCATACCTGTACCAACTGCCTGACACGCGGTCTAACTTTGCCCTAATCAGGCTCTCACACACACTCCACCCACCGTGTTCTTCACGCGGGCATTGACACTGTCAAAAGAAAGTCAACCTCGGAGCACGCGCTAGGGCTACACTACACGCGGTTTAGGCGCACTGTTCGCTTCATCGTAACGCGACTCGATGTTACGCGCATCGCGGCTCGCAACAGGAAATTGAGCCTCACCACCACATCAACATTTCTAGCACAGAATGGCCTTTCACTCTCCAAATCGAAGCTCCAGAACTGCTCACACAACAACTCTTGTCCTCTCAACTCCCTCGCACAAAAGCTAAGCCAAACAAGGCTCGTACATTGACTTGGAATGAATTCGTAATCTCAAAGCAAGCCTGTTAACTCGCACTTTACTAGACGCTACATCCTTCTAGCGTATCGGATACATAAAAGGAATCGGTGGAACAAAAACGGAAACGTCATCATCGCCACTACTACTGAGATACATTCAGAGAATTCAGATTTCTCACATGGACAACAATTTCCATCTAGTGAACGACAATTCTGGCGTCGAATCCTCCTCTCCCAGGCAGAGCGCACCTTCTGAATCCTGCGCACAGGCCGGCCCTGTTTCCGGGAATTTAGCTCTCAGCCAAACAGCAGCATTCCAATCGCTCCAGAGTCTTCTCGCGCAGCTTGTGACGGAGAGGGCTACTGAGACTGTCGGAAACCGTCAACTTGACGGCCAGCAGACTTCAATTCCACAACATGTTGCCAATACGCCTGCTGAATCTTCAAGCAGCAGTCTGGATGCAAGTTTCGTGTCTGCCCCAGCCCTTGGAGGAGGTTCCGGATTCGATTCCTGGAATGAGGATTTCACGAATACTCGCAAGAAAGTCAGGTCACATTCATTCCCAATGGTCGCTGGTTATGGGTGTGTCACAAGTACCGGCTTCAGCGGGCAGATTTCTGGGCAGAATTTTGAGCATCATGGGCAGAATCACGGGCAGGAAACAGAGGCAAATCGTGCCAACGTGGCAGGTATCTTCGCCTGGTCCCTGTCGCCAACCTTCATTCCACTTCGTCCCCAATTCGCAGTGGATTGGCCGCAAGAGAACATCACACGTGAACGGCGAAGGTCGGTCGATTCAAATGCACGGACTACTAACACTCCTAGGGGGAGAGTCCACAAGCAGGCACGGGCAGAGAAGAAAGCGCAGCCAGCTCTGCTACCGGAAGTGTCGTTGCCGCTTCCACAAAACCATCAGCCCCAGCAGAAGCAACAGCAGCCGCAGCAGCCGCAGCAGAAGAAGCAGATTCAAAAGTCCCATGCATCTCCTGCATCCCCTGCATCTCCTGCATCCCCAGCACCTTTCCCCAAGTACCGTGGGGTGAGGCAGCGGCAGTCAGGCCACTGGGTGGCAGAGATAGAGGATACAGCCAACAACATCCGCAAGTGGCTCGGAACCTTTGCCACTCCCGAGGCTGCTGCCCGCGCGTTTGACCAGGCTGCCCGGGAGCTCCGCGGCCCCCGGGCAAAGACGAATTTTCCGCTGTCCGAGGAGCCGGCGGGCAGTGTTGAGGAAAAAGACTATGACCGGGAGAGAGTAACGAGGAAAAGGTCACATGGGCTTCTGCAGAGGCGTGGTGCGAGGGAGAGGGGGGAGGAGCAGGGGGAGGCTGGTGTGGGGGAGGGAGGTTCACAACTGGAGGGATGTGCAGAGGGAAGGGAGCAGGATGCGCTGAAGGAGGAACGGGTTGGAGACGAGAGTGCGTCTATGAGCTTAATGGCAATTGATTCAAGCGAAACTGCATTTGCGGCTGCGGCTAACCCTGGGGGGGCTTCTTTTGGTGGTCACACACTCGAGATCTCCCCCGCCGCGCATGATTTCACTCGGGCGCTGGGGGCGGCAGGTGGAAGGGATTCGCTGCTGGAAACACCAACTTCCAAGAGGGTGGTGGTGAGCGGTTTGGAGGAGTTGATAGGGGATATATTTGACTTCTCAAGCGGTCGCCCCGAGCTGCTGCTCAGCTCACGAAACAACAGCCTTGGAGGGAGCAGGACAAGCAATGTCGGAGTGGAGCAGCAAGAACAAGGAGAGAACAGGGAGGAGGCGGAGGAAGAGGAGTGGCGAGCTGTGGTGAACCATATGCAGGAGATTGCTGCCGCTGCGTCTGCCGAGTCAGACGATGCTGGCCTGGACAATTGGATGCAATCGGATCTGGTGGCACTAGAGGGCGTGACCGTAGAGGGTGTGACCCTAGAGGGCGTGGCTGTAGAGGGTGTGACAGCAGCAGGCTGTGCAGACGATGAGTTGGTAGAGGAGTTTGAGAAGCACTGGCAGCAAGGCTGGCATTAGTGAGAGTTGCCAAGTAGGTACCTACCGTACTAGGTATCCATCCATGTACATTCACGCAACTGCCTTTGGATCTGAAACCTGTGACTCAGATTTGGAGTCAGCAGCGCTTTGACGAGATTTCAATAGCACAGGGCTCAGAAGAAACAATCTCCGGCAACAAATGTCGCTCGCTCGCACCCTTTCCGCTCACAAATCTCGCACCATTCACAGCCCCCCCCCATTTCTCCCACAACCACCCCCTCCAACTCTTCACTCCTGTTCACACCTGTTCCCTCTTCCCCCATCCCAACCAACCCTCCACTTCCCCACTCTCTCCCAACTCCTCCCCACTCCCCCCCCTTCCCCCCTCCTCCCCCTCGCCTTCCTCCTGCCCCCCCTCCGACTCGGGGTCCGACTCAAACCACTCGGGTTCAAAGCCTTAGTCCTCCCCCCGTTGGGGTCCGCCTTGCTCCAATCCACGCCTCTCCTCTCCACCTCCTCCACAAGACCCATCATCAAATCACCCATCACAAATCGCGCTCATTGTCCTCTGCCTCCCCTCTCCTATCAACCTTCCCACTCTCCTCCCCCTCCTCCCCACTCTCTCCCCCCTCCTCCCCCCATCCTCCTCCCCCCCATCTTCCTCCCCCAACTCCTCCCCCTCACCCTCCCCCTCCTCCTGCCCGTCCTGCGGTTCCTTCTCTGGGCCTGTCTCGAACCACTCAGGTTCGAACCCGTCGAACTCAAAGCCCTCCCCATTGGGCCCCACTTTGCTCCAATCCACGCCTCTCTTCTCCATCTCCTCCACGAACCCCTTCATCAAATCGCCCATCACCGCCCCCATATAGTCATCCCCGCCCTTTCCCCCCTCCTCCTCCGCCCCTCCCCCCCCAACCCCCACACTTGCAGGCGAGGAGCCTTCCTGACCAGCCACGGGCTGGGCAGATAGAGCCTGCTCGGATAAAGCCTCCCTGACCTCCTCGTCAGAAAACACCTCCCCCGACACAAACTCTATTTTCCTGGCAGCGGCGCGCTGTTTGGTGATCCACGTCTCAATCATGCGCTGGGTAAGAAGGGGGAGGCGGGGTGAGAGGGAAGGAGGAAGGGGAATGTGGGGGATGAAAGGAGGGAGAGGATAGGGCCAAGCACCTTTTACTGGCCGTAGCGCACTGCTCCATGTCACCTTAGTCTCCAAATCGTGCTTGTACGGTAGATCCATGTCCCTATCATGTAGTGTAGGATGGGCACGGGCAAAAAGAGAGGGAAGGAGCCTTTGAGCCGACTGGAAAAGCATGCGGGGAAAGGGGGCAAAGGACAAAGCAAACCAGAGACTCAAGGGTTGAGTGTTGGAATTTGCAGAGAGGAGGGAAGGGGACAAGATTCCGGATTTAAACGTTACAATTCCAGGTTTAAGGTTTAGGGTCGGGGTTTCAAGGTTTAGGACTTGCAGTTACCAGCTCACCCACGAATTTAATGGTTGATCAGCAGGCACCTCGTGCTGGGGCACAACGTGCGGCAGCATATCATGCTCCCGCCAACACCACCTGAGAGTTGAGTGGCTGATCAGCAGGCACCTGGTGCCCCGTGCCATGCAAGACAACGTGCGGCAACATGCCATGCTCCCTCCTGCCAATTATTCCCCGCCACCTACCGTCCCCGTCCTCTTATAAGCTGTTTCAAAACACCGATTAGCAGCTCACCTGCGAGTAGAGTGGCTGATCTGCAGGCACCTCGTGCCCCGCGCCATGCAGCACCACGTGCGTCAACATGTCATGCTCCCGCCAATACCCCGCCACCTCCCCCTCCACCTCCCACAACCGCCTCTCCACCGCCCAGAACCGCTCCATACCCTCCCACTCGATCTCCCGCATCCATTCTAACGAGCACGCCGCGCCGTCTTTAATGTCGTAGATCCCCTGGTATAGAAGGACCGGGACGCGGCTTAGGAGGTCTACTAGGAGGTGCTTGGTGGATTTCATAGTGTCGTTCGACATGTGCTTGCGCACGCGGGGGCTGCAGGAAACCCAGGTGATGGCCGGGTCGGCTTTAAGGACGTCTTTAATCTCCGGGCGGTTGAGGTAGAGAGCTAGGTACTCCTGCTTGTCCTTGTTGTGATGGTAGGCGCGGGTTCGCCGGATGTCCAAGGGCGTTGCTATGCCGCTCACGTTCTGCGAAGGAGGGGAGGGAGAGGAGTAGAGAGCGAGAGGGAGGAGGGAAGGGAGGGTGCGGAAGGAGGGAAGGAATGGAAGGGGCGTGAAAGAGATAGGCATGCCTTTTTAGCTGTTAAGGAAAAACAGCAAAATTGCAGAATCCACTTAAAAAAAACCACGGCTTTCATCCATTGCTGCTTGTACCAGTACTTAGCTAACGGGTTTCTGATTTTGCTGCTTGTAATTAATGAATCTTCTCCTTACCTGGATCCAGTTGACGAGGTTAGTCCGCTCCTGAAACGCCTCCTGCCATTCCTCCTTGTCAATATGCGCCACAACTTTTTCCGCCCACTCCTTGGCCTTCTGCCGCTGCTGCTGATCCAGCAATCCCGCGCTGTACGCGATATCAGCATGCGCCTGCACTTGCGTACGCGGATGCGTCAACCCGTTACCTATTATAAGCCCGTCCAGGCGGAACGGATGCCTGAACCCGCCTTCGCCGTCGCGCTTAAACCTCAGACGCTGCCGCAGCTGCTGCTCCGCTTTATTGAGTTTCCCCATAAGGAAGAAGCCTAAAGCGGGGACGTACTTCCCCGCATAGCTCTCCCCTGCGAGAAAAAACGGCCTCTGGCGAAATGGCGGGAAAAGATTGAAGAATGATCGGAGGGCGGTGTAAAGATCCTTTGCCACGTCATCCTGATTTAGCGGAATATCCGCATCTGAAGGCGCTACGCTGAAACCCGTGCCAACGGGGTTGTCTATAAATAGAACACCGTAGCGACGATTCCAGGGAGCAGGGTTTGGCTCGATATTGAGCGATTCGCTGATTCGATAAGGGCCGAGTTCGTAGAAGTTTCCGATCATGCTGGAACAGCCCGGGCCGCCTTGAAGCCAGAGGATGATTGGCGTATCCTTCTGATCCGAATCCGGCTCGGTTGCCTCGTAGTATGCGAAGAACATCTTCGCACCCGTGGTTTCGTTAACGATCAGGTAACCCGACGCAGTGGGCAAGGCTTCTTTCGGGAAAGCTGTCGCGTTAGCAGAACTGGCTTTGTCCTCGTTAGTGATTCCTTCGCTTTCAGTGTAAGACGCGAACTGTAAAGCTATCAACAGGAACCAAGCTAGCATTCCGAGGACGCGGAAGATCGAGAAAGGCCTATCCATGGCTGATCGCTGATCGGTCCGACCGAGAAGGTTAACCTCAGACTTGCTTAGAAGCACGGCCTGGCACGATTTTTGAGTCGACTAAAAAATCACCGACCGAGAAGGTTAACCTCTGACTTGCTTAGAAGCACGGCCTGGCACGGAGGAACTAAAGCGCAGCAGGTGACGAGAACGACGAGGAACGACGAGGTCCGAATGACACCGAAGAGCAGCTGTTCGGCGATCCAGCAAGCCTTCTAGTAGACACCTGCACGGACGAGAATCCGTGGCTCGTATTTGTAGATCGAGCATCAACAGCAGAGTTTTGCGGCTGGCGAACAGGCAAATCCACCATGGGACGCCGCCGCGAGATTCCCCCGAAGCATGGACCTCAGTGAGGGCTTGCTTGCAAGCTTCGAGAAGCAGGAATGCTGCTCACAGGGCTGTCAGTCAGTGCTGCGAGGCGCCCGTGACCTGACGGAAGATTGGGCCTACGTGACGTGGCACGCAGGAGCATACAGTATTCACGAGGCAGGTTTCAGCGGAGCTTTGTTTTGGCGGGAAAGCATTTCCCGAGGGGAATATTCGTTCAGCAGCAGGGAGAAGATGCCGCATTTGGGAGCTTGGAGAAGATGCCACGAACCACAAACCTGAAACAAAATGAATGGAGCTCCTTAGGAACCTCTCTAATTGAGCAATGCATGCTAATTAGGACCCTAATACATAAGCTTTGGCACATCCTTCAATGTGTATCACTCATTAATATAACTTGTCAGAATATCCTGCCTTCAAACCAGCGCGTCAGAAGCACTTGCATGGGTAGCCATCCAACCAACTTTATAGGTGTCATGGCTCTGAGAGGCAAGAGCAGCTGCTCATAAGAGCAGTCCACCATGCCGGCTCACATCCAGGCCTGTCGTTATCAGGGTATTTTACCCTGATTCCCTGATTTCACAGGGTATTTTTTTGGCCAACCCTTAATTTTCAGGGTTGGGTTTTTTTGAACCCTAACCTCTTCAGGGTTGTATGTCTGTGAACACTTAAAATTTCAGGGTTTGTGTTATACCAACACTGAGTTTTCAGGGAGTAACGCGTACGAACCCTGAATGCGACATCCATGCGGACCCTGAATTTCCTCGAAATGGCCCCCTTACGCGTGACGGGGCCCAGTCCATTGAACACGCCCAGCATGCGTCACGTGGGGAATCTGCACTCGGCAAGATTCCCGCCGTATACACGCTGTATGCTGCCATTACAGCAACATTTGCAACCGTCAACTGGCATTCGTGACTCAGCACGCAGCAGACGAGGACAGAATATGATGAGCGCGGCAATGTCAGCCTCTGTATGACATCACCCCGCCAATCATCTCTGTGCAGACGATGCCAGCGCAGGTGCGTTTCGCCGTTGACGGTATCGCCATGGCGATACGGGAACCTGGATGGGTTATGCACCATCCATGAAAATCGAGAGATGGGGCTTCTTGGTCCTCTTCCCGTCTTCTTCACCAGCTCCTCCTCCAACCCAGTTTTTTTCATTTCTTCACGTCACAGCTGCGAGATGCTCCAGTCTTCAATCTCCTCTAGTTTCGTCGCGCCGATTTCTCATTTTCAGCATATCCGCCGCTTCTAGCCATGGCGGATGTAGGAGACTCTGGTGAGTCTCCCACTGCCGACGATAGTTCTGAACTAGGTAGGGACCGCCCCGTGGAGGTCCGTAGATCCGCGCTAGACATCTTGCGGTCTCCCACCGCAGTCCTGACACCATCACAACCCGTATCTACTCCCGCCGCTCCCTATGTACCTCCGCCCGCTGTCGCTTCATCTAGCCGGGGCCCTTTGGTTCCAGACTGCGAGACAGCCACGACCGTGCGTTACACGGTCGAGTGTGCGTCGACGATTTCATCTGGGAAGAAAGCACGCGTCGGGAAGTACACCCAGAGCACGATAGTCCTCGGCGGGAAGCTACATAGACCGTCGCCGCCTCGCTCGTCGCCTGAACCTCAGGCCCCTGGTATTCCAGAACCCGAGCCGCCGAAGCTCTCAAAGAAGGAACTCATCGAGCAGAAGTATCTCATGGCTGAGCACAAGTATAAGACCAGCTGGCTTCCTTTTTTCCCTTGGCTTCTGCTAACGAAAACGAAAGATGGTTACCCTGCTTTGAAGTGCAGTGTGTGCAAGGCTTTCGGCAAAGAGACAACACCGTACTCCAACAGCCGCGACGGGGCACGTGACCTGCAGACGCAAGCGATGCGGTTCCACGAACACACGACAGCCCACGAAGTAGCCGTCAAGCGTCAGATGGAGATCGCCGAAGAGATCGCCAGCACCCAGAGGCGCATGGAGAATTACGCGCGGATTGACATCGAAGGGAAGCGCGTCATGAGGCTCCTACGCTGCGTCGACTTCCTGTGCAAGTGTGATGCACCCATCAGCATGTACCCGAGGCTACTCCGCTTCATGGCCGAGCAGGAGACACCGGACATTCCGCTGCAGTCTTACGGAGTCTACCTGACAAGGTAATGCACTTATTCGAAGTACACCATGTCCTTTTTTTTTCAAAAAGGTCTAACCAACACCTTGTTGTCACTTCTGCTACTACAGGTATGGCTTCTGTCAGCTCGTCAGCAGCCTGGCAACCTACCTGCAGCGCCGACAAATGCAATACATTCTCGCCTCACCCTACCTCGGCATCAGCTGCGACGAGAGCACTGACCGTACTCGCGGTAAACATCTGATTGTTTATCTGACCTTCTTGCGGGCGCATCGTGTTGTGACTGAGTTTTTTGCACTCTTGACCGTCGAAAAGTGCGACGCCGCGTCACTCCTCGCCGTTCTTCTGGCTCACTTGCGAGCAACTGGCATCGATCTCTCCCGAATCACCGGCATGAGCACCGACGGCGCCTCTGTCATGGTCGGCCGAGACAACGGTCTCGTCGCACGACTTCGCGAGCACATCCCCCATCTCGTCTCTTCGCACTGCATCGCCCACAGGTTTAACCGCTTGTCATTTCAGTCGCTTAGGTTTCCTACAAGTGCTTGACTAAAATTCCCTTGTGTGCACCATGCAGGGAAGCCTTGGCGGTGAAGGACGCGGCCACTGCTTCTCCAGACTTCGACATGGTCGACCTTGTGATTCGGACTCTGGCCGATCTTCTGGGACGTTCATGTGTCTGGAGTCAACGCTTCAAGTACCTGCAGCGGGCAATACATAACACCAACCTTGAAGTGCAAGGAATTCACACCGTGCGCTGGCTTTCAAGGGGTGAGGCTGTGAGGCGCCTTTGTAAGGTCCTCGGCGCCGCTATCATTCTCTTCTATGAGTACGGGCATGAGCTGTATGAGGTCGTTATCTGTTACAAGTTCCAGTTTTGTCTTTTTTTCCTGGCGGACGTGCTCGGAGTGATGAATGAGCTCAACCTCAAATTCCAAAAGAGGGAGGTGAGCTTCTATCACCCTGCATGTAATTTTTGTCCCATGCATGCACGTTTGGAATCACCCTCTGACTCCACTCCGTCGTCTGTCACATCCACCAGGTCGATGTCACCGAAGTGACGAAGGACATCGACGAGGCGACAGGGGACCTCCGCCACCGCTACTTGGAGTGCGGAGAGGTGTTCGGCGGGGGTGTCGAAGGCACGTGGCTTTCGGCTTTCTTGGCGGTCTACGGGCGCGGAGGGGGCAAACGCGTAAAGGTGCGGGGCATCGACAAGGACGGCAACCCAGTCACGCACACCTACACCATGCACGAGAAGCAGATCGACGGGCATGCCTTCCGCAGCAAGTACCCCGATTGCGAGCGGCTCTGCGCGCAATTCGCGAAGGACACGATAAGCTTCCTGAAGACGAGGATGCTGGACCTGAACAATCTCGGCCCGACGAAGCTCTTCCGCGTGTCGAAGTGGCCCCGGATGAAGCAGCAGAGAGAGAAGAAGCTGAAGGAGTACCTACATGGCTGCAGTGCCTTGTTCGACAACAGGCTGACAGGCTTTTCCTTGCAAGCTGCGCAGAAGGAGCTGGTCACGTGGGCGCCACTGATGCTGAGCCACCATGCCGACGAAGGATTCCATCAAGGCCTGACGAACTACCTCGGCTCGACGGAGTCGACCTTGTGAGAGAGTGCTGCTCGAAGGACGATTATTGATTTTCCTTTTGGGCGGTTTCATTGTTTCCTTTATCAGTTGTTGTTTATCGATTGTTGACAAGCATTGCTAATGCACTGGTCTTGTTCCATGTACTCTATTCCCCCAACCCTTCTGGCAGGCGCTGGCCCAACCTCATGCGCTTGTGGCAGGCATGCGCTGTCCTGCCGCTTAGCACAGTGGAGTGTGAACGAGGCTTCTCGCGGCAGAACGTCATCAAGTCATGGGTGCGGGGCGCGTTGTGCAATGCGCGCCTCAGCGAGCTGATGGTCATTTCCCTGCTGCAGTACGAGACTGACTGGGACGAGGCCATTGGGTGCTGGCGCGAGAAGCTGAGGCGCCCTGCTAAGTCTGTTCTGTTTGCCGCAGCGGAGAGGAAGCGTAAGGCGAAGGCGATTGAGGGGGCAGAAGTGAGGGTGGAGGAGGAGGCAGTCCCCGACTACATGGGGGATTGGGCAGAGGATGAGGGAGAGGAGGAGGGGGAGTGGGGGCAGTGGGGGGAGAGGCTCCTGAAGAGGAAGACAACCCCTTTCTGTCCGATGACGACGCAGAAGACGAAGTGAACATGGATGGCCCAGAATTTTAGTCAAGTGTAGCTAGTGGCATGGAATATTGTGAAGTCTAGACTAGATAGAGGACTTGTAGACTGGCGTGGCGTAGTGGTGCTTTTACTTAACTAGTAGCTGTACATTCCTAGTTGATTTTTTCCCAAGTACAATGCAACCCTGATTGTTGCAAGCCAACCCTGGAGGTTTCAGGGTTGTAAGTTCCAGAACACTGAGAAATCAGGGAAGTCAAAATACCAACACTAGGCCCTCAGGGTAAAAAAATTTCCCCATTCGACAGCTCAGGGTGGTTTTTTTTGAAACGTCAGCCCTGCTCACATCACTAGATACCGGTAATGGTCTTCCCTAAGATAATTCTGTTGCCTCCAGAAGAGCTACAGTGACATGGTACACAAGCTCCACCCACCAAAGAGGCCCATGTTACTCCACTTCTTCTCAAAAGCGCACAATACTGTACAGCTTAAATTTGGCGCGAGCCAGTTCAATGCACTAGCACAGTGCGACAAGAGGCAGGCAGATCGGATAAGGGGTTGCAGGAACACGCCATAAATCCCCCGCCCATGGTACCTCCACAAGGTAGGTATGATGTATCCCTTCCTGAGCCGTTGGATGGAAATCACATGCTTCTCGTATAGAGAGCAGCAGCAGCAGCAGCAAGTCAGCACTAGATAAGGCGGCTGGCTACTACAAGTCTTCCACGCATCGCACCTCCACCAAATCCCCATCCCTGAGCCGCGTGTTGGGTTCCACCGGCTTCCCATTCACAAAAATCGCCTCCTCTGCAGGGCAGAGCAGCGCAGCTGCAGCATCGACCCCATCATCACCTCCAGTACTGGCACTACCACTGCTGCTGCTCCCTCGACCCCTCGCAGCCAGCACAGCATTAGAAAAGGTACCAGTAGCCGAGGCTCTAGAGGCAGAGGCCATGGCGGTGGTGGGGGAGAGCGAGAGGCGGAGCCCATCAGATGAGATGACTGCCGCTGCTGCTGCTGCGTCCCCCGTGGCTGCCTTGGCGCGCAGCCGAGCAAAGTCGCCTGCTAGGCTGCCTGCCGGCATGCGCACTATCTCGCCACCTGCAGTGGGGGAATGAAGGGGGCATCGAGGGCATAGTAGGACCATCGGATGAAATGACTTCCACCGCTGCTGTGGCTGCCGCATCAGCCATCGCCGCCTTGGCACACAGCCAAGCGAATTCCCCTACGATGCTGCCTGCCGGCACACTATCCAGCCAAAGCAGTGATGCAGTTAGCATGGGCCAGCCGGGATTGAAGAGCACAAGAGAACGACATGAGTTAGCCGGGACTGACATCGGTGCCATGGGCACTTGCGCAGACTTGCGGGTATGTGAGGGCACTGGAAAGGGATGGATCTGGCACTAGTGGTGACAGGCATTGCTCAGCATGGTACGCCCACTTTAGTAGCTTGAACACCAGATGGACTGATGACGAGTTCTTACCAGGCCAGCTTATAACGAGTACTTCGCTGAGAGCAACAGCGTCCACTAGGCCGTCTTGTCCCATCCCTTGCCCCTCCCCTCCCATCTCATCTCCCTCCCCTTCACTGCTGCTACTGCCACGATTGCCGAAGCCACTGCTGCCACTGCTGCTGCCACCACCGCTGCCAGTTGTGGGTCTGCTGCTTACACCAGCTAATGTGCTATCTGGTGCTGCCTCGTGTCGAACCTCCCGCTCCCATTGCAGCATGGACCGGAGAAGCCGAACCTGAGGGACAGGTCCGGGAAATAGGGGGCGCTAATAAGTGTGTCTGGGAATTGCATTGAAGCTTCCCCTATCATAACATGCAGCAGGCGAGAGGATCCCCAACAGGAAGGGCAAAGCGACATCAGACATAACACCTGCCTTGTGGCGCATTGCAGCTTCAGCCGCAGAACCCACCTTGTTGTTGATTCGCGCAGCAGAAGAGAGAGGTATTTCCTTCCCCTCATTCTCACTCGAAGCATCTGCACTGCTGGCATCACTGCTGCTAGCGCTACCACCGCTGTTACCACTTCCATCGCTCATATCACCGCTCTCCAACGCGCTGCTACTGCTTTGCTGATTCTCACCCCCCTGACCTGCACCTGCACTACTTACAACCCCCCAAAGCGGGGTATTCCCATCACTATCCTCCCTCTCGCCAGATCTTTCTCTTCTCCTCTCCCTTTCGCGCTCCCTCTCTGCCAACTCCCTCCCCTCAACCCCCCTCGTCCACCCCCATATCCTCCCAAGACCCCACTTCCACATCCCTCTCCCTCCAGCCGACCTCTCCTCCTCACTCCCCTCCTCTCCCCCCCACCTCTCCTCCTCCCCACTCTCCCCCTCCCCAACCCTTCCTATCCCTGCCGCCGCTAACCCCTCTATAAGCGCCACTGCTACAATCCTTTCGTAATCTACAGTCTCCTCCTCTGAAAGCTCTAAAAGCTGTATAAAAGTGGACTGCGCACGGCCGAATTGGTCCACTTTATGGTATATCCCATCACTGCATAACGAGTATTTTTCCAGCACAGTGCTCCAGTCCCCATGGCCCGGGGAATTCCACCATGTGTCCTTCACCCGCGCAAAAAGGCGCACATTCGCCGCCCAACGCTTCCCCTGCGGCACACTCCGGGCAGCGACAAGAGAATCTCGGGCAGGAATGGAAAAACCCGATGCGACAAGGAGGGTATTTCCAGAAGACTCAGAACTAACTACCACAGAGGTCAGTAGCCTTCCTTCCTCCACCCTCAACGCAGGATGCCCCTCTAAAATGACCTTCCCATTCGGTAACTGCATTCTAGCAAGCCTAGGGACTGTCTCTCCCTGTAACTCACCCCCCTCCCCCTGCTCGTCCTCCAAATCTCCCTCCACCAGATCCACCCCCCCCACATCGCTCTCCCCTGCATCTGGCCCCACGTAATCCCTTGGAACAGCTGCAACTGGCACCACACCTGCATCCACCACTGAGCCTTCTTGTCCCCCCTGACCCACCACAATAGCACCCTGACTAGCACCACTCGCCCCACTGTACAAAACCTCCCCTTCTCCCTTGCTCCTGCGTGCATCATCCACACTATCTTCCCTAACTTCCTGTGCCACAGCACCGGCCAGGCCTGTGTCAGGCTCGGGCCGAGCGTGGGCCTCCGAGCCTACCCCGCTTCGGAGGGTTTCCATGGCTGCTTGATCTGGTTTGGAAGATGAGGTAAGGTCAGTCTGTGGCAATTGGGATGGTATGACCGGTGCTGCTGCTGCTGTTGTGACCGTTGCTGTTGGTGCTGCTAGTGGTGCTGCTGCTGGTGCTGTTGGTGGTGATGGTGGTAGCGATGCTAGCATTTCTAATGGTGAAACTTGAGCAGTCGAGTCAGTATCCAGCATCCTACCTTCTCTCCCGGCAAGGACGGATGCAGCTGCTGCAGCATCTGTGCTCTTACTGCTGCTCGTTGTCCTGTTGCTGCCTGGCACCCTTCCTTGCAGGCTCTTGTTACTCAAAGTCCCTCCCCTAGAAGTGTTACGGGGCACCCCCAAGCTAGCACTGTTGCTCTTGTTGCTCTGCGTCCCCCCCCTAGAACTGCTACGAGGCACCTCTGTGGACCTGTTGGTCATGGTCCCCCCTCTGCGGTTGTCCCCAGTCATACCAGTCGTACTGCTACCAGCCATGCTTTCAGCTGGAGGGATTTCAAAATCAGCCGCCGAAAAGGGCTGGAACTTGCCCGTTGTGCGTCGTTTCTCCCCCCCACTGCCAGCAGCAGCAGCACTATCAGCAGCTGCAGTAGCAGAGGTAACCCCACCACTGGAGCTGGTTTGAGCGTCGGAGTGAGAGGAAAGGAAGGAGGAGACTTTGGAGGAGACAGAAGAGGTGAAAGAGGAGAGAAGAGAGGAAGAAGAACCTGGAAGCTGCTGCTGCTGCTGCTGATCGCTGTCTGATTGGACAGGTGGCGCATTCGCATTGGATGGCGCTTGAGGTGACGTGGAGGAGGGAGAGGGAGCAGCCTCGGGAGCGTCGCTCTCCTTGTAGAGCCAGTGAGCCGCGTGGCCGAACTCCGCATACTCGTGCATGGACTGATGGGGAGGGGGAGTGGGGGGGGGAGTCTAGTTTTGAGGCGCCTCAAAACTCGTGCATGGTATGATGGGGAGGGGGTATGGGGGGGGGGAGAGGACTGCATAAATGGACACGTGGACATCGAACGAGCATGGCTTGCCTCTCTCCTTGCAGAACCAGTCAAATTGACTCCTTATGCTGCATAGTCGAATTGTCTCCTTATGCTGAATATTCGAACTGTCTCCTTATGCTGCATAGTCGAATTGTCTCCTTATGCTGCATAGTCGAATTGTCTCCTGATGCTGCATAGTCGAATTGCCTCCTTATGCTGCATAGTCGAATTGTCTCCTTATGCTGCATAGTCGAATTGCCTCCTTATGCTGCATAGTCGAATTGTCTCCTTATGCTGCATAGTCGAATTGTCTCCTTATGCTGCATAGTCGAATTGCCTCCTTATGCTGCATAGTCGAATTGTCTCCTTATGCTGCATAGTCGAATTGTCTCCTTATGCTGCATAGTCGAATTGTCTCCTTATGCTGCATAGTCGAATTCCGCATACTCGTGCATGCATGGTCAGAATGAGGAGTGGGGAGAGGAGATGCATGGATGATCACATCGACACTAAACAGACAAGCTTTCCTTGTAGAGCCAGAGGGTTGCTTGCACAGCCAAACGAAGCATCCTCGCACACACGGGTTGGAGGAGAGACACACGGGTTGGAGCACAAAAGAGAGATGGAGAAGGGGAGGTACAGAATCAGAGAGTCAGGATCTGACCACGGGGGAGAGGATTAGTTGCCTCAGGAGGATCCCACCCATCGAAGACGCAACCACTGCTTTCGTTTCGAGGAGGATCCCACCCACATTGATCACTGAAACGTAACTGTCAGTGGAACATGAAACGCACCTGCCAGTGGAACATGAAACGCACCTGTCAGTGGAACATGAAACGCACCTGTCAGTGGAACATGAAACGCACCTGTCAGTGGAACATGAAACGCACCTGTCAGTGGAACATGAAACGCACCTGTCAGTGGAACATGAAACGCACCTGTCAGTGGAACATGAAACGCACCTGTCAGTGGAACATGAAACGCACCTGTCAGTGGAACATGAAACGCACCTGTCAGTGGAACATGAAACGCACCTGTCAGTGGAACATGAAACGCACCTGTCAGTGGAACATGAAACGCACCTGGGTGCGAATCTGCACCTCCAGAGGAGCTCCGTCCGGGCCTCTGACTGCCGTGTGCAGCGACTGGAGGATGGAGAGTGGGGGGGAGACAAATATGTTAAAAAATGGAAAGGGAGCGCCTGAGCGTGTGGGGGACAATATGGAAACAGAGGAGCTCCGTCCGGCCCTCTGACTGCCATGTGCAATGACTGGTGAGAGAGAACCAAGTGGCGGGGGGGTAAGGGAGAGCATTGGTCGGAGTGAAGTGGAAACGGGATGGGACAGGAGGAGCTCCACGGGCACTACCGTGGTGCACAGGCACTACCGTGGTGCACGGGCACTACTGCGGTGCATGGACACTACTGCGGTGCATGGACACTACTGTGATGCACGGACACTACTGTGGTGCACGGACACTACCGTGGTGCACGGGCACTACCGTGGTGCACCGGCACTACCGTGGTGCACAGGCCCTACTGTGGTGCACAGGCCCTACTGTGGTGCACGGGCTCTACCGTGGTGCACCAGCACTACTGTGGTGCAGCGACTGGCGAGAGAGAAAGAGGTGGGGGGGGGAGAAGGTGGGAGCGATTGGAGAGGGGGGCGTTGGTGGGAGTGAAGTGGAAACGAGACGGGAGAAGAGGAGCTGTGTCCGTCCATCCGTTTGTGAGCAGAGGATGGTGGAGGGTTATAAGAGGAGAGGGCAGAGGACAGACAGTGAGGCGGTGTGAAACAGGACCAGTGCCTCTAAATTGATAGCTCAGTGTTACCTGGTAACCACTTGGCTTGGGGTTGAGGATGTAATCGTCAAACTCTCCACCAATGGGAGTCCAGAGGCTGGTTCGGGAGTGGGAGGTTTTGGGGACAGGGGTGAGGGGAGGGCAGGAATGAGTGGAAGAGAGATTGCATGAGAGGAAAGGACGGCAAGAGACGGAAGAGGGATGTGCTGATTTCGCTCTCACGTGCAATGGTGCCTTGGTGCCTTGGTGCCTTGGTGCTACAACAACAGACCAATGGGACCGTTGGGAAAGTTGTTGTAGCACCAAGGCACTTAATCTGTGCACCACTGAGCTGGAGTAGCTCCGCTCTACGGCTGACCGTGCTGTTAGCTTTTTCCATGTAACGGCCGTAGCAGCAAGAAACCCACCTGTGCACCACACTGAGCAGGTTGTAGCACGCCTCTACAGCCGCCTCGTGCTGCGTCCCGTTGGCATCCCCCACAACCACGCGCAGCGCACGGGCGTCGTAGATCTTGTCCAGGGGCACGCTCTTGCGGCGCATCTTGGCGTGGCAGCTGTACATGCTCTTGAGGCGGCCTGAGAGGATGACCTCCATGCCGGGCACGTAGCTGCAGAGGGGCGGGAAGGGGTGACGGAGGGGAGGAAAGAAAGGCCTGGCATGGAGGCAGCTGCTCGTGCCTCAGAACGGATCTTGGCGTGGCAGCTGTAACTGCTCTTGAGACGGCCTGAGAGGATGACCTCCATACCGGGCAGATAGCTGAATGACGAGAGGAAGCAGTCACGTTGCATAACTGAGGAGGAGGAGAAGGGAACAATAGAGGAGGAAATATAGGGGAGGAGAGGAAGAGGAGGAAACATGATAAGCACACTCACGGGGTGGTGATCAGCAGCTCTCTCTGCAGCGCCTCCTCACAGCCGTGCAGGGCCGTGAGAGCCACCTCTGCATCACGCATCACACGGGTCCTGCTCCTCCTCATGTTTGAACTAGTACCCATACCACTCAATCTGCCACCGCCACTGCTGCTGCTGGTGCTGCTGGTGCTGTCACCACCGCTATCACCCATGGCATCCGCGGCAGCTCTAGCCACAGCGGGCCACGCACCAGCTCTGCTGCGCCTGTTCCTATCCGCCAGCAGATCAAAGGGCACCACGGCTTCGACTAGGTCCTGAACTGACAGCTCCTCCTCCCCCCCCCCCTCCTCCTCCCTCTCGCCCTGTAGCAGCCTGCCACCTGGCACGGCATCGAGGACCGCCCCCTCTGCTGCAGCCACCATCGTTAGGAACTCATTCGCTATGAGCACACCGGTGCCCTTCGCCCCCTTTGCAAGGCTGTCCCCCTTACTAACACTAGCCCCTTTCTTGGTGCCGTCTTTTCCCCCTGATCCTGAGTGTGTGATGAAACGGATCAACCCCTTCTCATCCCCATCCCCATCCATGGATTCGCGTTCCTGAGCTTGCTGCTGGACTGCAGCAGCACCATCCAGACTCCGGCTGCTGCTGCTATAGCTAGTATTGCTAGCACTGCTGTCACTGGCGCTGCCGCTGGTGCTTCTTCTTCTCCCCCCACCAGCCGAACCACCTCTGCCCACCCGCCGCCCGAACCCAAACAGCTCCAGATCCCTCTCACCCTCACTCTCACTCTCACTCTCACTCTCACTCTCACTATCCATGCTGCTACGGTGGTACGCGGACACACTGCTATCACCAGCAGGCCCAGCAGCAGCAGCGCGCGCTGGCCTTCGTCTAAGGCGGAGGCGCTCCCTCAGTGATCGCCAGTCCTCAGGCGAGCTCCACATGGTGGCCAGCTCGCTGCGCAGCTGTCGGAATATGCGCGGCTGGGGGAGGGGTGGGGTGGAGGCGGGGGGGGGGGGGGAAGGGGCGTTGGCGGAAGAAAGGGGGGTTAGTTGGAAGGGACATCTTCTGGGAAGCTCTGCATGGTGACCAGCTCGCTGCGTGACTGGCGGAATATGCGCGGCTGGTTGCGGGAGGGGAGCGTGGGGAGGGGATGCGGGGTAAGCGTCAAGTTTCTCCCTCAGCGACTGCCAGACCTCAGGCGAGCTCCACATGATGGCCAGCTCAGCTCACTGCGTAACTGCCGGAATATGCGTGGTTGGAGGGGGAAGTGGGATCTGGAGAGGGGGTGGGTAGGTGGGGCTTTATTCAGTTTGACGGGACGGCATCTGGGGAGCTTCACATGGTGGCCAACCGCACACCCACCCCGGCGGGTAGCGAGGGAGCACCAGTCAGGGCCCACTGTCCCAGCCTACACAGGTTGGGACAACAGGTTGACTCACCTCCAGCACTGCAAAGCAGAGGTCGTCCAGCTTTGCTTTAACCACCCACACGCCAAGGCGAGAGAGGCGATGGAGCACCAGTCAGGCCCTTAACACAGACACTGATTGCCAGAGTCACCCGTACACAGCAGGGTGCACTCACCTCCAGCACTGCAAAGCAGAGGTCCTCCAGCTCCGCCTTGACCGCCCAGACTCCCAGGCGAGAGGCGAGGGAGCACCAGACGGAGAGAGTTTCCTGCGCCACTGCCCGTGCCTTGGACTCCTTGAGGGCGTAGCTGGATGGAGGAAGGAAGGGGGGGTGGGGATGGGGGGGAGAAGGGGGGTGGAGGAGGAAGAGAGAACATGTGTTGAGGATGAGGCGAGAGGCGAGGGAACAGCAGACGGAGAGGCGCTTCTGTGCCACTGCCTGTGCTGTGGAGTCCTTGAGGTGAGGGCGTAGGTGGAAGGAGCAAGGAGGGGAGGTGGGGGGGGAAAGAGGGTTGGTGGAAAAGAGAACATGTGTTGGGGGTTTGCATGTTGAGCAGCCGGTCAACCAGCATCCTGCGAAACACCCTTCTCACGTGTAAACCCTTCCTGCCTCATGATCGCATGATTCTCACATCTCTACTCAAATGGTTCGCATGTTATGCAGCCTGTCAGCCACCTATTCACTCTGGAGTCGTTCACCATGCCCAGGTGCCTCTGCCACATGATCTGCATGCCGCCTTCACATGCGAACATCACATGCTCCTATCACATGTCATACTCACATGGTGCGCATGTTGTGCAGCCTGTCAGCCAGCTTAATGAGCACCACCCTAGGGTCGTTCACCATGCCAAGCAGCATCATTCTCAGGCTGTCCACCTGCAATCATCGAATTGAACAAAGCACAGCGTTACTCGCAAGCATCGATCAATAAGCTAAAAACAACACCTACGTCAGCCAGCTAGGTGGAGGAGAAATGCTTACATCAGCTGAGCTGAGTCCCGTGTTCTCCTGCTCTCTCTGCTCTGCTGTCGCCCTGCGGTGGCGGCGCAGCAGCTGCAGCAGAAGCAGGACAGGAGAGGACGGGGGGAAGGGGGGAAGAGGGGAGAGGATGGTATAGAGAAGCAACAGGAAGGTAGGGGGTAGGGGCGGAGGGGACCGAGAGGGGGGTGGGGGGAGAAGAGATTGGGGGGAGAGGGGAGTTGGGGGCAATAGGAGGAGCCGAAGAGGTTAAATGGGAGGAGAATGGCAGGGGAGAAGCTTGATGGGGACAACGTGAGCAGGTAGAGTACAGGGGCCCAGGTGCGGGCACAGGACAGAAGGGCGCGAGAGAGACGATTAGATTCCAAGGCATGAGGGAGCAAAGGCGAGCTCGAGTGGGGGCGCTGTGGGAGGAAGCAGCACGCAATGGGGGGGCGGGGGGGAGGGGGAGAGGAAAGAACGGAGGGGGAGGTGAGGCCGCGTGGGGGAAGCAGGGTGGGAGGTGGGGAGGTGACGGAGCGAGGGAGCGGGGAAGCAAGGGAGGGGGGCGTGAGGGAGGGGAGGAGCGAATTATGGGGGGGGGGGGGTGTCCTGTAAAGTAAGAGGCAACACCTGGTTGATGTGGCTGAGGCGCGACACGCCGTCCACCAGCTGTGCCACGTCAGCGCCAAAGAGCATCTCCACGTCAGCAATGTCGTAGGGCGTGTCATCGACAATGTCATGCAGCACTGCTGCCACGACAGCATCCACTGCCTGGAGAAGGGAGGTAGATGTGGAGAAGGGAGAGAGGGATATGGAGAAGGGAGAGAGTGATATGGAGAAGGGAGAGAGTGATATGGAGAAGGGAAAGAGGGTGAAGGGAATACAGGTGGCGTGGATGCTGTGAGTCACATGGGGGGTCTCGCATGTCATGCGGCGCTGCTTGCAGTGGGCCCCTTCACACACACACACACACACACACACACACACACACACACACACACACACACACACACACACACACACACCAGCCAACACACAACACCAAGAGAGCCATACACGCACCTACTTGCCCTGTGGCGGCAAGAGCCCAGCTAAGATGCGAGCGGTGTGGATGCATTGGGTCACATACGGCTTGCCTGTCCTGTGGCGCCACTGGTCCCAGTGGGCCGCCTCAGACACACACACCAGTCAACACATACACCAGTCAACACACGCACAGTCCACACACGCACAGTCCACACACGCACAGTCCACACACATCTACGCACCTTCTTGCCCTGTGGTGGGACGAGAGCAGCTAGGATACGCGCAGTGTGGATGCAGTGAGTCACATACGGCTCGCCTGTCCTGCGGCGCTGGTCCCAGTGCGCGTCCCTGGCGAACTCCACTGCTCGCAGGACCTGTTAGAGTGCCGGGAGGGAGGAAGGGGAAGCACGGGGATAAGGGGGAATCACACGAGTCTATGATGGCCTTGCACTACATACAGCTCGCCTGTCCTGCGCCGCTGGTCCCAGTGCGCGTCCCTGGCGAACTCCACAGGGGGGAGTAGGAAAGAGTAACCCCTGCCTGCCTCTGTGCGTGCTCTGCTCAGGTGACTTTTTAGTCGACTCAAAAGTCAACAGGGGGGAGTAGGAAAGAGTAACCCCTGCCTGCCGTTGTGCGTGCTCTGCTCAGGTGTACCAGGAGACGCACTTCTCTTTGTCCTCAACGACATACCTCAGGGTGCCTGAAGATGGGGTAATCTGTGACGTCCACTGACTCGATGATCAACGGCTCTGAGCACATGCAGGGGGGATACGTTAGAGGCCAAAAAAGAGGCATGAAGACGGGAGGAGGCGAAACGACGGGGGCTGAAAACAGGTGGGCGAGATTGGGGAAAAGGCAGCTTGGGGGCGGGTTGACCATCAATACGAGTAAGCGTCACCACTGCTGCCCTTACCTGTCTTGGGTGGCTGTTGCTGCCGCCCTAGCAGGCTGTCCGATAGGTAAGCTCCATAAATTGCCGCCAGAGCAGTCACCGCTACAGGCGTCACGGCTGTAGCAGGAATCGCCAGATGCCCCGAGTGAGCTGGCAGGCCGCTATTGGCCGCGGCTGTAGCGGCTGTACCTCCTGCTGTAGCTGCTGCTGCTACCAGCTCGCTCAAAACCGCTACGGGTAGGCTGCGTGCCACGTGGCGGGCCAGGGATGGCTGAGGTCGGTCAGGGGTCTGAGAACGGGCAGCAGATAAATTTGTGTCCGTTGAAGTGGAAGCAGCCCCCCCAGCGGAATTTCCCCCTCCCCCATTCTCCCCTCCCAGCGCGGAACCATCCCCCAATCCTAGAAAACTCCTTCGCCGCGGGGCGATAGCGGCCGGAGCTACCCCGAGCCTGCAGGTTCGGCCACCGAACCTGGGTTGGAGCGAGACAGGCAGCAGCGACGGCCGCTCCGACCCATGCTGGTTCGTGGAAGCCCGTGCTTGCGCGGTGACGTGGCGGCGAACACGCGTTCCTATTGGTCGGAAAGGCATAGAAATTGTGACGGTACCAGTCTGGGAGTTGGGACGTGGAAGACGCTGGGAGTCGGTTAACAGACGGTCGTAATTTCCGCTACCGCTGAGGAATGGCGAGCGGATCGACAGATTCTTCGTAGCTGTAGGTTGATTAGTTGCACGAGAGCTGCTGTAAGCAGAGCGATGTTCGGAACTCAATTGGAGCCGTCCTGTGTCGGGCGTGACGAATCTGAAACCCGATATAGAGTCGCGGGTTCCAGCTACAGCAGGAGCTGCTACACTTTGTCGGCGATACGGAGAATGCGAGCGATGTTGGATGGATTGGCGCGGCGAAGAATGACGAATCTCGGATAAGGCGCGCGGGGAAGATGGACGAGTTCCAACGGAGGCGGTAGTGCAAGGACTAGGGGAGGGACCCGGGGAGAAATTGGGGAAGGGACTAGTAACGGTACCAGCGAAGGAACTAGGGAAGGTCCTACTATAAGAATCCGTTACAGAAAGACAGGATGCCGCCGCAGCATGTTTGATTCGTTGAGACGTCACTGATGGAGTGAAAGCCTCCATAAAATCGAGGTACGGAGGCCTACAAGACAATAACCCAACCGTCCACTAGTGCTTTTCCTTAACGCGTTCCCCTAACGAAGGCTGTGAGTAGCGCAGGATAAATGGCATGGGAGTCAGTGTCGGGGCTCAAGGAATTCCCACAGTAATGTTTTCGCAATTAATATCCAACAGCAGGAAACATTCCGTTATGAAACGCTCTGCCAAGTTCCGTCGAGCGCGAACAGGCAAATGACTACAGTAGTGGGGCTCAAGGCTATGACTGCCAGGAGCAGGAGGAAAGCGCAGGGATAAGGGGATGGGAACAGGCAGGGGCACTGGATGCTGGAACGCTAGGGGATGAGACTGCTGGAACGGAGGGGGATTTGCTGTGCAGGAATGATTCCTTCCTATTTGACCACCTGGGGGAAGAGATGAACAGCATCAGTTTGGAAGTGAAGGGTCAAGGCCGCGTCTAGCGTCCGTCCACCTTCAGTAGACTTCCTACCTACAGTTACCGGTAGGAAATAATTGGCGAAGCCTGATTTCCACCAATCGTTATGGAACATTCGATCAATGCACCCCTGTCGGTATATGCCTTGAAACAATCGACTGAGCTTCCAACGGTGTGGCGAAGCATGCGAAACGTCCACGCCTGGTAATTCTGGTGCTTGATCCTGATTGGATTTAAAGATTCGTGAACGGGGATGGCAAGTACGATTGGTTGTTCGTTTTATTAAGGGAGCAGCCTGTTGATTGGTGCAATCGGCCTGTTGAGCTGTTGGCCCGAATCTGTGACCCACAGCGGAAATGATCGAAAAGGGCCCTCACTCCACCAGAGGCGTGAGCAAAAAAGGTCCGGCAGCTTTCTGCCCCGAGACCTTGTCTCCGAGCCTGTGCTACATAGCCTTTGCCTTACAACACGTACATATTTTAGGTTCGCAACGCAGGGCAGGTTTGCGTACCGTATCCATGTGACGTAGGGCATTTAAAAGAACAGTGTTTTAGAGCACTTAAAAAAAACCTAAAACCCGTAGGGCCCTTGCACGCGACTCGGGGTTGCATCAACCCTAAAATCGCAAAAGGGCCGCGCGTTTAGGCTTGATGTCATCCCGAACGGAATTCGGTCCCTTATGGGTTTTAGTTTTTCTCTCTTTTTGTTCCGAAACTATTACTGGTAAATTTTCAAAAGCAACTTCGTGGATTACAGGTTCGGAGATCCACAGACCTTTTTTGCTCACACCCCTGGCGGAGCTAGGACCCTTACTGATCATTTCCCGAACCACATGTCAGGTGTCCTCGTCAATGTCCACGCGGAGGCGGAAGAAAACACGGAAGATGCTGGAGAGCACTGTATAGAAACGGGTTCGGAAAGGATTTCCTAATTAACTAGCATGACGCATATGAAGCTGAAAAATACCCCATTCCCATGCTACCGTATGATGGTGCGAGGATGGTGGCCAGGTCACAGGAGAGCATACCATCAGTGGGCAAAAACTTTATGGAATTCGGCTATCTGCGAGACGGAATAGCCTGGTAAATATGAAGAAGTCACCATGGTAAGGTACAAGCCTGCTTTTTCGCCTTAAATCAAAATAATATTTATTCAGACCCCGGTCCAAATTATATTGCCCAACCATACAACATCCAACATCACCAAAGGTCCAGAAGCACCCAACAAAGCCCCATGTTTCTCTCTCTCTCTCTCAAGCCAATCTCTGAGTTATGGTACCTCTAGACTTTTACACATCTGCCAAAAGTCCATAGAGTTACAGATGCTGCTGAAGTGCCTCTAGAACAGCCTCTTCTTGCAAGCAGATGTCGTGCAGTTCAGGTTGGGCGGCAGGATGACGAACGTGACACCATGTGCAGCCAGGTTGGGCGTCAGCCCCGCATTCGGCAAGCTAAGCGGCGACGGAAACTTCATCGCCGGGACCGACTGGAAATACACCTCATTGGGCTTAAGCGTCTTGTTTAGCGGCAGGTTCTGGTTGAAAGTCGGGAAGAGGGTGAGGGGGGCCGCGGCAAGAAGCTCCTGAGTGGTGTAACGGCCCTTGATGATGTGGTAACGGAGGAGGCGGCGCTTCTGCTTGGGCGTGAGGGTGTTCCACTGCGTGAGGTAGCGCCAGTGGCCCACGTTGCCGGGGATCAGGAGGGTGGCGTTCTGATCGATGAACAGCTGGCCGGATTGGACTGCAGGGGAGAGCAGAGGCAGGGGAGAGCAGAGGCAGGGGAAGGGGGGCGTGAAGGAAAGATTGAGTGAGGTAGTGTCGGTGGCCCATGTTGGGAGGATGAGGAGGGTTGCATTCTGGTAGATGTACAGCTGACCGGGTTGGACTGCAGAGGAAGGGAGGAGGGATGACGGAGGCAACGGAAGGGGGAGAGGGAGGAAAAACAACAGAGGCAGGGGAAGGGGACGCATAAGGGAAAGGCGGGGGGGAACGAGGAATGGAAGCGGAGGGGGAGAAAGGAATATGGAGACGATTGCTATATGCAGCATCCTTACAGCAGCAAAGAAAGAAGTCGGTGAAGATGTCAAAGAACGAGGAGAGATCTGCAGGAGAATGGAGTCCCTCAAGAGAATGGGTGCAGTTCGGTTCAGAGCGGTTTGGTGCGGTTTGGCACTCACAGAAGTCGGTGAAGATCTCAGCGAACGAGGAGAGGAAGGTCTGCTGCGAGATCTGCTGCAGGATGGAGTCCGTCTGCGCCTCCCAGTCGACCTCCGCGGGGGGGGCCTGCGCCTTAGCGCCGCTGCCGCTCAGCAGACACGCGACGAGCAGCGCGGCGATGCCGCTGGCGAAAACCGCCCACGGGGTAACCGCATTGCGTGCACGGATGGCCATTTCTCCCCGAGGAAAGAGAAGACGCGAAATTAAAGACGGTCACCACTGAAGGGTGGTAAATTCAATCAGCAGTAACTAAGTCGAACGCTGAGAGTGCTCTGATTGATGGCATTTCCGTCCGGAGCTTTATACCGTCCAGCGGAACCGAGCCGCAAGCACAGCGGACCTGGAAAGGCCGCCCTAGCATCCCCATCGCTCTCACCCAGACACTCGCCCCAGACAACGCTACCAACCATCGCACCAGCCACGCAAACCCAGACGGCCTCCCAGCGAATCAACCCAGAAGCTACAAGGAGAGGATGCGTGTCTCGACGGGGGGGGAGGGGGAAACAGTTGATAGTTGAGAATCTGCCTGCGCGCGACGGCCGGTGGTGGTGGCTCTAGTTTACAGTCGACAGTTGCTGAGTTGACTCGAAACCACCAGTTGTTTACGCGTGATGAAAAGCGATGCAGCTGCGTGGCTCGCAGGCTCGCTCGTAACTCACGAGTTTAGACGGAGTACAGTGCTCAACACTCCGGGCGCCAAACGTCATGGAGGCGCGCTGCAGCGCGCAAGTTGGTTACCTGAAAGCCGTCGCGCACCGGACTCGAGTCGGGCGCATGTCAGCATAGCGCACGATGTATGCTACGCTCGGTGGTTTACTAACTGCACGATAAGCAAGATTCGCTGCTCGGGATGCAGAGGTGGTTGACTCGCTCGAGAGAGGAGCCATGAGGGTTTGAGATACAACAGCAGAGGGAACGGAAGGGGCAGATAGGGGCGAATAGGGGGGCAGAAGAGGGGCGCGAATTGAAATGGGGATTGGCGGGGGTTTGAGGGCGCCGGGCAGAAATTGCAGACGAAATGCCGATTGGAATTTGAAATGTCGCACGGAAGTGCCGATTGGTCTCCCACTACACTTTTCGCATCTAATAGTTGCTCTACACCTGTTAACAATATTTATATGTGGGGGTTCCAAGAAATCGTAGCATTACAAATGTGTGCAGGACTATTCTTCTTCAACACGGCATTATCCGCACAATTCGTTCAAATGCCTTCTAAGACCTCCCACTTCCACTTCACGTCTTGCTTCGTAGCTGAAGCAGTCCCAACGTCTTTTGATGCACCGGTTTTAGCATCCTTAGAACACAAACCCCCTTCAACTCCTACTGCCGCCTTCAGTCTATCCTCGTCAAGAGCTGCTTCAACCTCCGCAACAGCAGCCTTATGAGTCGCAATCAAAGCTCCCACCCGGGCCTGGAGCCTCCGAGCCAAAGGCTCGTGCCCCCAACCTGCCAGCAGCTCCAGCAACTGCTGAACCTCGTCCAAGGTCTGGGAGGAAGGCCCCAGCATGCGAATGTGCTCTGCTAGTGCCTGCTCCTCGTCAGGACTGGGAGGGAAGAGAGGATGGGAGAGGGGAAAAGGGGGGTGACTGGGGGGAGGAGGTACGGAAAGAAGGCACCAGCATACAAATGTGCTCTGCTAGTGCTTGCTCCTCGTCAGGACTGGGGGGAGATGGAAGAGGGGGAGGAGGGAAGCGGGAAATGGGGAGAAGGAAAGGGCGGGAGACGGGATGATGGAGCGGAGTTGAGTTGTCCAGTCTGAGGATTTATTCTGAGCTTCTCAAACTTGACGAGCTGTGGGGCGACCGACCCAGGGAAGATGCAGATAGTACTCGATGGGTGTTGCGCTTGGGTGAATTCCCATCACATGCAACACGGACATCCCATGTGCAGCACGGATATCCCATGTGCAACCTCCATCGCCTACCACTATTCATATCAATAGGAGCACATCCATCGATGGATGTTGCACATGGGAAAGCCCTCGGCACACGCGACATGGGAAAATGCCCTTTCTCTGCCTGCCCCTCCTTTCCGCTCTCCATTCACCCCCCAACTGCCCGGAATTTCTGACCTGCCAGCCCGGATTCCCCTCCCCTTGCCAGCCTTCTGTTGTTTTCTCCTGGCCGCAACGCAAGCATGCTCACCTGCCAGCGCGGATTCTCCTCCCTTTGTCGGCCTTCTGTTGTTTTCTCCTGGCTGCCCTCACATTCGTGCGCTTGCTGCCTGCCGTCCACCCACTGGCCGTGCTTACCCGCGACGATGAGCTGGGATGGGGATGAGAGGGCGAGGGGAAGGGGTGTTGGGGAGGGGGTGTTGGGGAACGACGGAAGGTGTAGGGGGGAGGGGAGGAGGTCAAAAGGGGGGCTGATTCCCATGCATGCATGCTGGTAGCCGTCCACCCACTGGCCGTGCTCACCCACTGGCCACATCACTGGATACCAGACATGCAGTCTCCGATGCCTCAACCATCCCCAACCCCGCCTAACCCCGCCTACACTGCAATGCAAGACCCGTGCACACCATACAAACACCCTCTTACCCTGCAGTATAGGCACTCAAGCCAGTAACGCCACTTGCCATACTGCCCACATCGCTGGATGCCATCGATGCAGTTTCCGATGCCTCATCCATCCCCCCTCCCCCATACTCCTCCCCATACTCCTCCCTCCTCCTCCTCTCCACCTCCTCCCTCTCCTCCCTCTCAACCCTCAGCTTCTCCTCCATCTGCACCCTTTTGCACCGCACTGCACCAAACCTGTGTACGTAGGCTGTGATTTTCCCCTGAGTCTCATCCATATCCGTTAGCATCCCCCTTGCTGCTTCGACCGCAGCTGGCACGATCAGCGAATCAATGAGCCACACCTGTCCCCCCCTACCAGCCTCCTCCACTGCCTGCTCCCAGCAGTGCGCCTCCACTAGAAGACGAATCCCACCGTCCGAATCCCCCTCGTATTCGATAGCCAGCCGCCCGGCTTCAGCCCTCCTCCCAACCTCCACCAGCTCTTCCCGAAGCTCCTGAGCCAGCTTCTGAACCTCGGGCTTGGGGAATCCAAGCCTTGCTGCCGTGGTTAGGGCCTTCCGCCACTGCCCAGCCTGCCGGTAGGCTTGGAGTGCCCGAGGCAAGTTGCCAGCTGCGGTAAAGAGCAAAGAAGCTTCGGGAAGCGAGGCCTCAGAGGCTCGGGAGAAGAGGTGCTCCGCCCATTGGTTGAGAATGAAGGTTCGGACCGAGGCAAGGGTAGGTACAGAAGAAGCAGCTATAGAAGCAGGAGCACAGGGCAATGAGGAGGCGGCGGAGGACGAAGAGGGGGATGAGACGGAGGGATGAGAGAGGATGGCTGTTGCAGTGGCAGCAGCAGCCACGGGGAACAATCTATCTGGATGGGTCTGCACCAGCGCCATAACCTCTTCCACTAGCTGCTTTCCCTCTCGCCCTGCCTTCTCCTCCCCTCCCTTCTCCTCCTCTCCCTTCCCCACCGGGCCCCTACCACCCTCTCCTCCCTCTCCCTCCTCCACTCCGTTCCCCTCTTCCCTCCCTCCTCCCCTCCCTCCTCCTCTCCCTCCTCCCCTCCCACCTCCCCTCCCACCTCCCCTCCCCACCACCATCAGCGGCGAATCAGGAGCCACCAGCTGGCGAACCGCCTGCTCCAGTCTCCCGAGCCTGACGTCAACCCTGAGCCGTCGGATCGGCGGAGGTTCGGCAGCCAAGGCTCGAAGGACCGGGAGGAACTCCTTTGGGTCTTTCTGGGACTGGGCGTGGGAGGCTACTAAAGCGGCGAGGTTTAGATCGTAGAGACCTAATGCGGAGTTAAAGACATGGTCCGGGGTGGTGAGCCACATGAGGTGCTTCAGGGAGGCTTCCACTGATAAAGAGAGGAGTGAAGTGGGGTGAGCAGGTTTGCTGGTGACCAAAGAAGCATCTCTCACCGCTTTGATCCGCAAGAGAGCTGCTTCCAACATGGGCGGCTGGCTGCACGCGTAGGTGCTCAGGACGCAAGTGTCCCGGACGACGCTGGGCGGCATCTCGGCCTCTAGCGCCACCCGGAGAGCGGTGCACACAGCTGTCACCTTGCCTGCAACACTTGGAGGGGCGGCGGAGGCAGAAGAGGAGGAGGCGGAAGTGGGTGCAGTGGAGGAGGAAGCAGGAGGAACTCCTCCTGCTCCTCCCCCTCCTCCCCCTCCTTCCACTCCTCTCACTTCCCCTAGTTCGTCCCCTCCTCCCCTTCCCCCCATCCCAGCAAGCACCTCCCCATACATCCCCCCTCTCTCTGCCACATCTTCCTCTCTCAGCCCGTAGATCAGCTCGCTCACATACCGCAGACCCCCCTCCCCCACCTGCCGCACAAACTCCCGCGCTCCGCTCCCCCTGGCTGCCTCCCCTGCTGCCACTTCAGCAGCCGGTGCCACGTCAGCAGGGGCTGCCATGTCAGCAGTACCTGCCACGTCAGCAGGAGATACCACCTTGGACACTCCGGCGAATGAATGCCAGCCGCCGAAATCGACAAGCACGTTTGGGTCCAGCCTGTGGCGTCGCGCCAGTTCAGCAGCCGCCAGAAAGCGGTGCTGACTCAGCAACAGCCCCACCGCCCGGAGCACGAGCGCCCTGTGGTAGACCAATTCCAGACTGCCACGTGTCGCCTGGAGAACCACTGCCGGCTCCCCCTCCACCTCCTCTTCCTCCTCTTCCTCAAATCCCTCCACCTCCTCCCCCCCTGCCTCCAACTTCCTTCCATCTCCCTCCCCCCTCTCCTCTATCTCATCCCCTCCCACTCTCAGCCGCCCAAGCCCCGCTACAAGCACCGCCCTTCCTTCCCACAGAGGACAAGACAGCAATGATGACGGCACCTTCCCCTTTTGTCCTTTTCTGCTGCCCGCCGGCCCACCCACTCCTGCCCTCGTCCCCTCCTCCGACACCCTGCCTGGGACTGCACCTGGGAGCGCAACAGAAGCACCTGAAAAAACACCTGAAGAAGCACCAGGTCCTCCTTCTGCTCCCTGGGGGCCAGTACCCGCCCCGAGAGCCAGAGTAAACAGGTCTCGAGTGACTATAGCGCCCGACACTGAAGTGAACACGAGGGTGATGACGTGGCATGGGGATAATGCTTGAGACACCGTGCTTAACTGAACCTTGGGAGCATTGAGAGCCTTGGGAGCCCTGGGAGCCTTGGGAACTGCCATAAAGTGGAGCACAAAGGAAGAGCAGTCGTCACACACCAGTGTAGCCTCAGGCGCCTTTGCAAGGTTGGTTACAGGCCCCATGATACGGTTACGCAGAGCGCTAGAGGAACCTGAGGGAGTGCCACCAGCTCCCATGCTAGGGTTGTGCAGAGCGCCAGAGCTGACATACAGCCGCCCACGGCGCGACCTCCCAACACACATGACCGTCACAGGAGCTGCTGCTGCTGGTGCTGCTGCAGCTGTTGTTGTTAATGCTGGTCCCAATGATGGTGACGTATCTACAGCTGCCGCTGTTGGTGACTGAACCCGTGCCTCCACAACGTCAATCCAGGGGCATGGCTCGGGGAACCGAAGCAGCAGCTCCGTGGAGGGGGAGGGAGGAGTGGAGGTGGGTGCGGATGGGGAAGATGCATGGATGGCAGTGCGTGTAGAGGAGGAGGGAATGTAGCGAAGCACCGAGCCGTCGGACAGAGAGAAGAAGACCGACGGCCCCACCTTGCTGATCCCCTTCCCAGGCCGCACACACGAACTACCAGCAGCAGCAACAACAACAGAGACAGCAGCAGAGACGGCAGCAGGAGTGGCACGGGCCAGAGCCACCACTGGATGCGGCAACGCCACCACCCCGACCACACTCATCACTGCTCTTCCCACCTCCCTCTCCCCAAGCCTGTGCAACCCAGACGCCCCTCCAATCCCGCTCTCGCTGCTACCACTAGCCCTATCCCCCCTCTCTCGCCGCAGCTCCAGTTCTACAACCAAGTCAAGAGAACCAGCCTGCTCGGATGCAGCCTGCTCAAGAGTTCCGTCCTGGTCGGATGCCCCATGCTGTGAGGCTGCAATGACTCCCACGAGGCGGCTGGGCGAGACCCATGCTGCGTGCCGCATGCGACCAATGTCGTGCCTGGTTATGCTGTATCCGCTGCTGGTGCTGGTGCTGGTGCTGGTGCTGGTGCTGGTGCTGGTGCTGGGGGTGGTGCTGGTGCTGTTGTCTAGAGTGGCTATGAAACTTGTGATTTCCAGCAAACCATCCTCCTCCTCCTCTGCCTCTTCCTCCTCCATTCCCCCTTCCTCCTTTTCCTCCACTTCCTCTCCCTCCTCCTCTTCCTCGTCATCCATCCACTCACACCCTTCTGGTCTCACCAGCACGCCCACATCCCCATTGGAAAGCACCGCTCCCACAATCTCTGCTCCACGCTTCCCACCGCTCTGCACCGCACTGCCGGGCTCCACCCACCAATCACAGCCCCCCACGTCAACAGCTGCCAGCTTAGCACCGGCCACCGCCACCACAGCAGCCGGAAAGCCCTCCACCCGATGGCAGTACGGCGGGGGGAGCAGCCCCCCACTCCCCCCTCCCCCTGCGCCCCCCCCAACCCCGTGCAGCAGCAGTGACGAGATCCTCAAATCCTGGCCGTCGATCACAGCTACAGTGGGATTGCCGGGTGCTACAGTGCCAGGAGCCCAGATGAAATCTAGGGAGGAGATGACCCCGAGGGGGGAGAAGGAGAGGGCGGAGGAGGGGGACTCTGGGTGCCAGAGGACGGGGAGAGAGGGGGGGAGTGGCGTGGCTGCTGCTGGTTGTGGGTGCTTGTTGGAGCGCGTTTCATGCTTCAAATACCACTTGTAGTTGCACCGATAGTATACCTGCGTTGAGGGGGTTGGGGGGAAGAGGGGAGGAGAGGAGAGGAGTGGGAGCAGATGGGTTAGCAGGGTCAAGGGGAGTGGGGTTGCTGGGTGCTGCAGTGCCGGGGGCCAGCCCAGATGAAATCCAGGGAGGAGATGACCCCGAGGGGGGAGAAGGTGAGAGCGGAGGACAGGGACTCTGGGTGCCAGAGGAAGAGGAGGGAGCGAGGGTAGCGTAGGTGGGGGTGGGGTGATTGTTTGAGTGCTGCTGCTTGCAGTTGCTTGTTGGAACGCGCCTCGTGCTTCAAGTGCCACTTGTGGTTGCAGCGATAGTACACCGGCAAAAGGGGGGGAAGGGGGGGAAGAGGGGGGAGGGGGGGAAGAGGGGAAGGGGGGGCACAAGGAAGAGCAGGAGGAAGAGGGGAAGGGGGGGCACAAGGAAGAGCAGGAGCAAGCAAATGGAGGGGGATTGCCGAGTGCTGCTGCACGTGGGTGCTATTTGGAGCGCGTTCCGTGCTTCAAGTGCCACTTGTAGTTGCAGCATAGAACACCTGCGAGGGGGGAGCGGGCGGCGCACAGGAGGAGAGAGGAAAGCAACCGTCAGGTCTCAAGTCCCATCCAAATCCCGGTCGGGTCCCCTCCCCTCCCCTCCCCTCCCCTCCCCTCCCCTCCCCTCCATTCCCCTCCCCTCAACCCCCCTCCCCTTCCCCTCCTTCCCCCCCCCCCCCCTCTTTTACCTGAATCGCCAGCCAATCGCAGGTCTCCAAAGCCACACCCAGCATCCATTCCATTTGCAGGTTTCCTACCCGCCAGGGTGGCTAAGTATTTTGAATCCTTTTCCTCCCCTTCATTCCCTTCCCCCTCTCCCCTCCCCGCCCTTCCCATCCCCCCCATTCCCTTCCCCTCCCCTCCTCTCTCACCTGCATCGCCAGCCAATCGCGGGTCTCCAAGGCCACACTCAGCAGCTGAGAGTCGCTGCTCCAATCAACAGCTGCCACGTGGCAGCCACAGCACGGGCAGCTGGCTGCTGGTGCTGCTGCTGATAAGTCCAGAGACCACAAATTGGAAGGAGGAGAAGCGGAAGGTTGCAAGTCTGATGGAGAAGAGGACTGTGGCAAGTCCTCTTGTAGTGGCTTGTCTCCTGGCAAGCCTGCAAGCTGCATGTGGTTTCTCTCGAGCCCGTTGCGCTCGAAGAACACAATCTCATGGGCACACTTGACCCTCCTGCTCACTCCGCCCCCTCCCTGCTCTCCCCCTCGTCCGACTTCCCCTCTCCCCGGCACCTCTCGCTTCGCCGCCCATGCCCTATGCTCTGCCCCTCTCCCCCCCAGCGGCCCTGCCCCCGCCACCTGTCGCACCGACCCTGCTTCGGGAAACGAGGCGTCCTTAACCGGCAAAGCAGACGTTACGCCCCTCGCACCCGCAACACCTGTCTGGGTTCTTGCCCCCCCCTCTCTCCCTACCCTCTCCTTTCCCTCCCCTCCTCTCTCCCCCACGACTCCTCTCCTCTCCTCTCCCCCTCCCTCCTCCCATCTGCAAGCAGCTGCAGCGATCAGCGCGCCAGCTGGCTGCCACGCAACAGGCCCCGTCAGGTGGTTCCCACATGCCACGTCAGCAACGGAATGCAAAGAGCAGTTCTCTCTCTCCCACACTCGCACCACCCACCTACCCTCGCCCTCCACACTCCTCTCATCATTCCTAATCCCTTTTTCCCCACCCCCTCCCTCCCCTCCTCCTCCTCTCCCTTCCTCACTCTCTCCTCCTTCCCCCTCTGCTGACCCCTCTTTTCTTCCGCTGCTGCTAATTGGTGCTCTTCTGCTGGAAGTTACAAAGAACTTTCCGTCTCCACGCCAGCTGAGCACCACGTCACCGGGGCTGTACGTGCCAGGTGGCAGCTGCTGGTTGGCTGAGAGTCCCTGGTGACAGAAAGAAATGAAAGAGGCAGAATGAGATGGAAACCAACTAAAGTTGCGGAAGGAGGGGGAGGATGGGGCGGGGAGAGCGAGAGTTGGTGGCGGAAGGTATTGGGGGAGAGGGGGGGGGGAGGGGGGGGCGGGGGGGGAGTTGAGGTGGGAGGGGGGGAGCGGGAGGGAGCAGGAACAAGGGCGAGAGAGGGAGAGGGATAAGAGGGGAGCAGCGAAAGCACACCAACAGCGGCAACGGAAATGACAAAAGAAGCAGCAAAACGAGCAACGGAATGAGCAAGAAATGCTGACCTCAGCAACTGTAACGTGTGGCTCGTGCTGCTCCAGAGGCACTTCCATCAACACCTGCACGCATGCCACGTGGCAACACACACGGATGTAAATGGACATATATGAAACACCCTTCTGCAATATGCAACACCATAAGACACATGTAACTGCATGCAACTCCAGCGTGTAACAAAAAATAAAAAAGGAAAAAGAAAAAACTACTCAAAGAGCACAAATCAACAGGACCCCCTTCCCTGGATATAGCCTGCACAAAGAAAGAGATAATCAGTCAATTACTGCATAAACCCTGGATAGCCTCTAAACCGCCTTCCAACGCCCCGCAATCCCGTCCACCCCTCTTTCCACTCCATATAGTTTGCTCTGCACCCTTACCTGCCAATTGCCTGTCATGGTCAGCAATCGCCCTGCCCCAGTCACCACCGCCACCTCCTCCTCGTCTAGCGCCCATATACTCCCGGCCGGGTATGCATTGCTACAAGGTATACATTTCGCTATAACTTAAAAGCAACACTACATGTTACAAATGCTACTGTATGCGCCCTCACCTGCCAGTCGCTTGTCATGGTGAGCAATCGCCCTGCACCAGTTACCACCGCCACCTCCTCCTCGTCTGGCGCCCACACCACTGCCGCCAGCCCCCCTGTCAGCTCTCCCACTATCTCAAACCTTCCGCCCTCTCCCCCTTCCGCTCCCCCCATCGCTCCGCCGATCCCCTCCCCGCCAACCCCTCCCCGTTCCCCAAACCCTCCCCCAAGTCCGCCAGTGCCCTGATTGGTTGGGGGGGAAAAGAGCCCCATTTCCCCGCGGGAAAACGCCAAGAAGAGGGCGGCATGGGATGGCAGGTAGCGTGCGGATACTATTCTGTCGGGGAGGGGCAGATCGCCGGATAGCACTAAGGAATGCTCGAATAAGAGCCGACCCGTAGTTAAATCTAGACCGTAGATAGTGCACTCGTCCGTCACGCCATACAGTAACGACCCCTCCGTATCCCACGCTACCGCAACCAACCGCTCCAAACCAGAACCTTCCACGGAATTCCCACTACCAACCAGGCTGCCACCGCTGACGTCATCAGATCGCACATCGGCTCGTACGATTGAATCGGACGGCCGTGGTGCGAGGGGGATGCGATAGCGGGTTTCGGCGGAAACCACTAGATTCTGCATGACGTCCTTAGTTGATTCGGATGCTCTAGTCGTCAATCGCACGCTGAATCGCACGCAGCTGAATCGCACGCAGCTGAGCGATTCAGGTGCTCTTCGAAGGGCCTGGCTGCTCTTTTCGTACGGAAACACTCAAGAGTGGACCAAGAAGAACGCCAAACCGCAACCTACGGGATTGCGGTGGCACGCGGGTTTGGTTTGGACTGCAATGCAGTAGCCATAGAAGCAAGGAAATGCCGGGGCGCGACAATCAAGACAGTCGGATTCTGATCTTTGTGTGTCCCGAGGGTTTCTGGGAGGTGGCATGGCAAAGCAAGAGAATGCGGTACCCGTTGTGAACTTGCATTCGATGTGGTAGGTTTTGTCGAATCACATCGCACGTAGTACATTCGGGTACATTGGAGCACAAGGATACCTCATATACAAAACGGGTATTGCGTATCAAGGTGTACAACTCATATTATAATATGTAACGGCATGGCATCATCCCAAAATTAAGTAGTTGTAGATCTGATTCCTCTCATACCTGTCGTTGCCCCTGAGAGAGAGATCGCGAACCTGTATCTCCTTCTGGAGCTTCAGATTCAGTGCTATGAAAAAAAGTAACGGAACCTTGATGCTATTGACGCTCCTCGTATAGCGGTTGCTCTTGTATATGTTCATGTGATTGATGATCCTGGTATTAAGCATGGCGCTCATGTAGTACATGCAATACTTGCTATTGCTGTTGCTACAACTGTTCTTGTAGTTGTTGCTGCTGCTGCTATAGCTGTTTTTGTTGTTGTTGTTGTTGTTGCTGCTGTATCTGTTGTTGCTGTAGCCGTTGCTGCTCCAGCAGCTCCCTAAGTTCCAGAGGCACCGAGCTCAAAGTGTGTTGTCCATGCGACATGGAACTTGACGAGGGGGGTTGCGACGCGGGAGGTGGTGTTGACCGAGGGTTACCACGTCGAGATGACACTTGTAACCTTGATTTTGTCCTGCAGACACAACCCTGGCCACGACGTATTGTTAGCTCCTCCTCTACTTGCATACCTAACATATCCTTTAATGTGCTAGCTTGCGGCGTTTCTGAGGATAGAACGCGTTTGTGGCTGTGCCATTTCTCACCTTTCCTTCTTCTCCTTATATCGAGCAAGAGAAGCTTGTCTCCCCGACGCCGGAGGGAGTTCTTTATAAGAGACATGCAAATAACGCACAATAGAAATAGTATTAGAGTGAATAAGCTCAATGAACCATTATCCTTAGAAAAACAAGTTTAAACAAAACCTACCTTTTTTTATTGTCGCATATGTGTGGCTGCCACTACCCCCACTCCCACCACTACCGCTCCTGCTACCGCTCCCACTTCCACTCCCACTCCCACTGCCACTCCCCCCAGCAGCAGCAGCGCCTCTTCTCTCCCTCTCAACCACTTGTCGCGCAATCGCTCCAGCAGCAGCTATCCCCCCTCCTCCTCCCTCTCCCTCTCTTCCTCTCCCTCCTCCTCCTCCTCCTCCTCCCATCCCTTCTGGCAACTTGCTTTGCTGGCGGGAAGGGGGAGACTGGGAGGGTGTATACTGCCAGCCCGCCCCTTCTGTTGGCACAGCTGCTGCTGCTGCTGCTATTGCTGTAGTGGGTGGTAGTGGTGGTGGTGCTGCTGCTGCTATTGCTGTAATGGGTGGTAGTGGTAGTGGTGGTGGTGGTGCTGCTGCTGTTGTTGCTGCTGGTGCTGTTGTTGAGATTTGCACAGAAGGCCAGGACGAGGGGGGGAGATGGGTGCCTGGGTACTGAACATACACGTGCACCGTGGGTGCTAGGGAAGGGCCTAGGGAGGTAGAAGGCCCCAGGGAAGGTCCCAGGGAAGGTGAAGGAGAGTGAGAGGAGTGGGAGTGGGGGGAAGGAGGAGAGGGGGAGAGGGAGAGTGAGTGTGTGCGGATTTGGGCTGATAGATGTCGGGGGGGACTGTGCTGTTGCCGCTGTTGCTGTTGCTGTGGCTGTGGCTGTTGGTGTTGCTGTGGCTGTGGCTGTGGCTGTAGCTGTGGCTGTGGCTGTTGCTGCGGCTGTGGCTGTTGCTGTGGCTGTTGCTGCTGCTGCTGTCGTTGATGTTGCTGCTGCCAATGGTAATGTTGATCGTGTAGTTGTAGTGGGAAAGAAGCTTTCTCCCTCCCCAGGTGGTCATCATCCTCACCACCACCACCACTACCATCACCACCAGCACCAGCACCAGCACCTCTCACATCTGTTAGATGACCAACACCAGCATCACCACCACCACCGCCACCCCTGCCACCAGTGCTTCCCTCCCGCAGGGCTTCCCTAACTCTCTCCCATCCCGCACCTGACGCCGCATGGTGAGGCAGAAAGGCAGCAAGGAGAGCAGCAGAGGGAGAGGAGATGGGAGGAGCGGAAGGGTATGGGGCGGAAGACAAGGACGGAGCAGAGGGGTGAGCTGAAAGGTACTGCGCGGAGGAGGAGGAAGGGCCGGAGGCGAGTGAGTGAGGGTGGTGGGGGGAAGGTAGGGAGGGGGGGTGGGGGGGTCCGCGGGTGGATGGAGAGGAGAGAGGGGCGCGGTGAGAAGAGATGGAGGACTGCTGAGTGGTGTGGAGGCCGGGGGGGAGAGGGAAGGAGGAGGAGGAGGTGCCCGATCCAGCTAGGAGCATGATCGCCTGGGCCTGAAAAGGTGGCAAACAGTGGGACGGTCAGGAAAACGTGTTGTATGTGTTACGGTCGGGAAGCAAGAGTAGCAAGGATGAGGTGCGGAGGAGGACTGAGAGGCATGCGAGGGAAGATTTGAATGCATGGGCAGATCTCTTGGTTATGCAGGGTGTTTTTGAATGCATGGGCAGATCTCTTGGTTATGCAGGGTGTTTTTGAATGCATGGGCAGAACTCTTGGTTATGCAGGGTGTTTTTGAATGCATGGGCAGATCTCTTGGTTATGCAAGGGTGTTTTTGAATGCATGGGCAGATCTCTTGGTTATGCAGGGTGTTTTTGAATGCATGGGCAGATCTCTTGGTTATGCAGGGTGTTTTTGAATGCATGGGCCGATCTCTTGGTTATGCAAGGTGTTTTTGAATGCATGGGCAGATCTCTTGGTTATGCAAGGTGTTTTTGAATGCATGGGCAGATCTCTTGGTTATGCAGGGTGTTTTTGAATGCATGGGCAGATCTCTTGGTTATGCAGGGTGTTTTTGAATGCATGGGCAGATCTCTTGGTTATGCAAGGGTGTTTTTGAATGCATGGGCAGATCTCTTGGTTATGCAGGGTGTTTTTGAATGCATGGGCAGATCTCTTGGTTATGCAGGGTGTTTTTGAATGCATGGGCCGATCTCTTGGTTATGCAAGGTGTTTTTGAATGCATGGGCAGATCTCTTGGTTATGCAAGGTGTTTTTGAATGCATGGGCAGATCTCTTGGTTATGCAGGGTGTTTTTGAATGCATGGGCAGATCTCTTGGTTATGCAGGGTGTTTTTGAATGCATGGGCAGATCTCTTGGTTATGCAAGGGTGTTTTTGAATGCATGGGCAGATCTCTTGGTTATGCAGGGTGTTTTTGAATGCATGGGCAGATCTCTTGGTTATGCAGGGTGTTTTTGAATGCATGGGCAGATCTCTTGGTTATGCAGGGTGTTTTTGAATGCATGGGCAGATCTCTTGGTTATGCAGGGTGCTTTTGAATGCATGGGCAGATCTCTTGGTTATGCAGGGTGTTTTTGAATGCATGGGCAGATCTCTTGGTTATGCAGGGTGTTTATGAATGTATGGGCAGATCTCTTGGTTCTCAAAAACACCGGGGAAGATATGAGTGCATGGGCAGATCTCTTGGTTACCTCGTAACATCGCAATGTAGGCCTCAAGTAGGGAGAAGGCTGGGTATTAAATACCATGTACATACGCCACGTTCTGGAAGGAGGTCTGCGACGGTGACCTCGTGTGCGTATCAGGCGGTGTCGGTGCCTTGGATCTCACGGTCCTGCTGGCTAGTAACGACATCTGGTTCCCGCATCCAGGACAACGGCAGACGTGGATGACAAGGCGCACGTTCGTGGTCTTGCTGGACAAGCCCGCGTTGGACCTGCCAAGGCCTGAGATCGCATTCAGTGACCAGGACGTGTTCGAGTTCACTTGCGCATGCCTGGCCACACGTCTCAAATGGGAGCACCCGCCTGTGACAGCTGAGTGCGTACTGCTGACGATCTTTGGCAAAAGAACAGGCGTCGTGACCAGGTGCGTGACGTTGGCCGAGCCCAAGTCGTTTGCTGAGGCCCTGTCAGCGTCGTATGCGATTGCTTTCTCAGGACACGTTGCACTGGCTGAGCTGATCACGTTGGCTGAGTCGATATCGCCTACTGCCGTGGCAACGTGGCGTGGTCTCAAGGCACTCAGAGGCATGACCCTTGCCAGGTCGCCTAGCCTGTCCGTGTTCCTGCCCCAGATCATGATGCCTGTCACCTGAGGCCGTGTCGTGTGCTGAAAACTGATCCAACAAGTTGCTCTCGTGCCTTGTTTCCCAGCATGGGACCCGGGGATGCATTTGACCAGTTGGGCCATGGGCCTCCATTGCAGCAGTATCAGAACCCGCCTCTTGCACCACTTCCAAGGACAAGCTCCGGTGGCTTGTACACAGCAGCCGTTCACGTACTAGGATGCTTGCAGACACAATTCGGCACCGTAGCATCAGCACCCCGGACGCCGGCCCATGACAATGCGCCACGTGACCATGAGCAGCAGGCCGTGCAGACGAAGCCCGTGCAGCAGGAGTCGTCATCTGTGGACAAGCTCCAGCCATCAGTGCAGCATTCCCTGTCCATCGTCGAACCGGGACCCTCGCGCGTAACACAGCCTCAGCGCCGCGTCTTTGACCAGACGCCTGTTGCGATTGCATCAATGAACCGTGCCATTGCAATTGCTACGAAGTACATCTGCAACATTGCCCAAGGTGCAAACCACCAGCATGATTTGAGCTGTGTCTACGACGTCGGGCACGCTAATCTGAAGCCATGCAACGCGCACCCACTGTGCGCGCAGGCGAAGCTCAAAGGCCACGTGACGGGTGGCGGGGCCTACGTGCAGATAGAGGAGGATGGGACGCCGACCTTGACCTCAGAATCAGTCCTAGGACCAGCGGTGCAGCCAAACGACCCTGCCATAGCCCTGATCTTGGCAGATGAGCGCGATGTGTCCAAGTCAACCTCAGCATCGGGACCGTTAGAATTCACAGACGTCTACGTCTTATGGCTTGACAATGGCATAAGCCCGTCCATAGTGCTTCAGTCCATCGTAGTCGAGTACCATACGAACATAGGACAAGCTAAGCAGTACCGCACCGACAGGGGAGACAGGACTTGGAGCGGGACCTACATGGAGTCATACGCGTCAGTTGGCATCCCGGCACCACGTTACCAGTGGCTGTTAAACTGCATCCGTGCCTGTTGCCCAATGCCGGTGGATAAGCCTAATGCAACCAGGAATGACGGCTACGCATGGATCAACGCCAAATTGCCCGATAAGACTGGACTGCGGCTGACAATTGTAACACACCAGAGCACCAAGCTGCTGCCAAATGCTGTCGTAACGTTCAACAGCATCCGTGCCAACGTGCTAGGGATCGGTACACTGACTGTGAAGCTCAGACGGATGCCAACAGAGAACCGCACACGAGGCAAGCACTACGCCCTGACGTTCATGCTGCACGCCCTACAGATTGTGTCCACGACCGAGATCAAGTCACCGCCACTGAACCCCGTGATGCCTGTCTACGCATTCAACATGGAAACCAACAGCGAACTCGTGATGTTGATCAATGACCTCGGCATGTGAACCCCACCTGCTGCCGGTCCAATGTACGCTGCCCTGTGCGCAGCTTCCTGCTTTCGTGTGCTTGCATGCATGAGCCTGTGATCGAGTGCCCCATCGTGTGCCTGATTGTGCATGTTCAAAATCCGTACGCTTGCACCTGGATCCGAATGCTGAAAATTGTCATGCAGCAGACACAGCCACCGATCCAGGTCACGCGTCATCGATACAGGCGGCCAGATCGTGTATCACGTGACCCAAGGCACTGCGGACATGTTGGCAGTTGCAAGCACCCTGGTCGGTGACGTTGGCAACGCCTTCGTGTCCATGCAAGGGCCTACGCAACTAGTGCCCAGAATCCAGCAACCTAAGACCGTGAACAGGGCCAGTGTACCTGTACAGATGCCATTGGCACAGGCACCGATTACAGTCACACGTCCACCGATCATTGAGCAGGCACCAAGGCACGCGTTCATTGTCCGTGCAATGCCCCAGGACGCACTCAAGACATTTGCACTAGTGAACGATGGCCTAAGTGCCAAGACCCAGGCCGTGTTGGGTGGCAAGGGATGCTCGAGGCCTGTGTCTTCATCAGTTCACCGGGCACGTATCCCTTGCCACCCAGCACGGCTTGGGTCTTGGCACGTAGGCCATCGTTCACTAGTGCAACTGTCTTGAGTGCGTCCTGGGGCATTGCACGGACAATGAACGCGTGCCTTGGTGCCTGCTCAATGATCGGTGGACGTGTGACTGTAATCGGTGCCTGTGCCAATGGCATCTGTACAGGTACACTGGCCCTGTTCACGGTCTTAGGTTGCTGGATTCTGGGCACTAGTTGCGTAGGCCCTTGCATGGACACGAAGGCGTTGCCAACGTCACCGACCAGGGTGCTTGCAACTGCCAACATGTCCGCAGTGCCTTGGGTCACGTGATACACGATCTGGCTGCCTGTATCGATGACGCGTGACCTGGATCGGTGGCTGTGTCTGCTGCATGACAATTTTCAGCATTCGGATCCAGGTGCAAGCGTACGGATTTTGAACATGCACAATCAGGCACACGATGGGGCACTCGATCACAGGCACATGCATGCAAGCACACGTAAGCAGGAAGCTGCGCACAGGGCAGCGTACATTGGACCGGCAGCAGGTGGGGTTCACATGCTGAGGTCATTGATCAACATCACGAGTTCGCTGTCGGTTTCCATGTTGAATGCGTAGACAGGCATCACGGGGTTCAGTGGCGGTGACTTGATCTCGGTCGTGGACACAATCTGTAGGGCGTGCAGCATGAACGTCAGGGCGTAGTGCTTGCCTCGTGTGCGGTTCTCTGTTGGCATCCGTCTGAGCTTCACAGTCAGTGTACCGATCCCTAGCACGTTGGCACGGATGCTGTTGAACGTTACGACAGCATTTGGCAGCAGCTTGGTGCTCTGGTGTGTTACAATTGTCAGCCGCAGTCCAGTCTTATCGGGCAATTTGGCGTTGATCCATGCGTAGCCGTCATTCCTTGTTGCATTAGGCTTATCCACCGGCATTGGGCAACAGGCACGGATGCAGTTTAACAGCCACTGGTAACGTGGTGCTGGGATGCCAACTGACGCGTATGACTCCATGTAGGTCCCGCTCCAAGTCTTGTCTCCCCTGTCGGTGCGGTACTGCTTAACTTGTCCTATGTTCGTACGGTACTCGACTACGATGGACGGAAGCACTATGGACGGGCTTATGCCATTGTCAGGCCATAAGACGTAGACGTCTGTGAATTCTAACGGTCCCGATGCTGAGGTTGACTTGGACACATCGCGCTCATCTGCCAAGATCAGGGCTATGGCAGGGTCGTTTGGCTGCACCGCTGGTCCTAGGACTGATTCTGAGGTCAAGGTCGGCGTCCCATCCTCCTCTATCTGCACGTAGGCCCCGCCACCCGTCACGTGGCCTTTGAGCTTCGCCTGCGCGCACAGTGGGTGCGCGTTGCATGGCTTAAGACTAGCGTGCCCGACGTCGTAGACACAGCTCAGGTCATACTGGTGGTTTGCACCTTGGGCAATGTTGCAAATGTACTTCGTAGCAGTTGCAATGGCACGGTTCATTGATGCAATCGCAACAGGCGTCTGGTCAAAGAGGCGGCGCTGAGGCTGTGTCACGCATTAATGCATTGTACACGGGTGATGCATTTCAAACCGCAAGCTCTAGTGGCGATAAGATAGTTTGCGTGCAAAGCAAAAACATTTAAGGGCATGTTCTTGGTGCGTGTCGGGCTTCATGTCATGTCAAGCATCTTGACACGACGCGGGAGAGACTGTCACAGGGCAAATCTGATAGTTCTTATCAGGCCTCATGTCAAGCATCTCTGACACGCCAAGAACGTACTCTAAAGTGAACTTATGCAACATTGCTAGCAGTAAGCACCCTCGCTTTTATGCCACATGAAGAATCTAACCCTGGTGCTCTAATACCACTTGCGATAAGGAATGGATATTACCACTGTGAACTCTTTGTGTGTGTGTGTGTGTGTGTGTGTATGTGTGTGTGTGTGTGCACGCGCGTGCGTGTGCGCGTGTGTGTTCATATGTGTGCCCGCGTGTGTAGCCCTTTCCCCACTATCACATGAGCGACCCTGGGGCTCCTTCCCCAACGCCCTTCACTGGGGGCGCCTTAGAACATGATGCTCTCCTACACACATATGGGGACTTGAACCGGAGACCTTTGGGACTGAGACTGGTGCCGTTAAAGCCCAATCCGCAAACTGACACGGCTAGAAGGCACTTTTGGGGGTGAGTGTATCCATTCCCGCCTCCCACCACAAAAATTATTATGCCTTTCCAATTCGCTCCTTTGACCTTGGACCTTAAACCCTGGAAAACTGTACGCCATGATTGTGCAATCCCGCACCGCACCCCCACAACATGCACGCCCCCACAACATGCACTCACCCTGTCTGAAGGGACGTCATTATACACGTGCACCATCCCCCCATAGAAGATCGTCAGCTGCGAGGATCCAGGGGGAGGTACAACTGGGGGAGGTGCAGCTGGCACTCCCAATCCGGTCGCCTGCACTCGTTCTGCTGCACTTTTCCCCTCCTCCTCCTCCTGCTGCTGCTGCTGCTGCTGCTGCTGCGGTTGATGTCGACCCTCTTGTGACTGGCGGTGCAGTTGGTGTTGTTGCTGTTGCTGTTCTTCCTGGTAGTGCTGTTGCTGCAGTGCCTCCCACCCGCTCTGGGGCAGCCTCATGCCATGGGCGCGTGGAATGGTGGGGTGAGAAACCGTTGCTCGAGGGATGGATAGAGTGATCCCATGGCTCCCACTCACAACTGTCGCTCCGAGCGACTGCCCTGGTGCTGCGGCCACTACGTCTGCTTCTGATTCTCCTGCTTCTCCTTCTGGCGGTGCCCGTGGTGGTGGTGGAGGCAGTGGCGGTGGCTTCACATCCACTTCCCCTTGCGGTGGCTGTTGCTGATACTGGCTCTCCACTGCATCTGCTTCGTGCTCTCTCCCTCCGCCCATTGCCTCCTCTCCCCTCACTCTCTCCCCTCTCAATCCCTCGCTTCTTCCCCCTCTCCCCCGCCCCCTCCCTCTCTCTCCGCTCCTCTCCCTCTCCTTTCTCTTCCCTCTAGCCCCAGTCTTTGAAACACCCATCCCATGCCCTTCCTCTCTACTTGAGGCGTCTGAAGATAAAGCCTCCCCCGGATGCCCCCTCCTCTTCCGGGATGCTGACTGTTGGCCTTGCCCTGACCTGTGCTGGCTACTGGTGCGGGAAGGCGAGGCAGGGTGGGAGAAGGGGGAGAATAGGAGGGGGATGAGAAAGAACATTGGAAGGACAACAGGAGAGGATGGAGAAGCAATGTTCTGGGATCAATCCAGACTCACTCTGACATAAATTCCGACTGCTGGTTTAGTCCGTACCTAAGCTGGCCACTGTGCGGGAAGGAGAGGCAGGTTGGGAGAAGGGAGAGAGCAGAAGGGGATTGACAGAGAGCACTGGAAGAACAGGAGGAGAGAATGGTGCAGCGATGTTCTGGGAGCCACTTTTGAGTCGACCCAAAAGTCGGTTCGTTACGATGTTATTGGAGAGCAGTGGAAGAACAGGAGGAGAGAATGGTGCAGCGATGTTCTGGGAGCGAACCGGACCCGCCCTCTGACGGGATGCTGAGGAGGGTCCCGCCCTCGGGTCAGTGATGCAGCAATGGCTGGGGACGACAGGGAATGCAGCCATGGGTGGGGACGACAGGGAATGCAGCTCAGGAGAGGATGGAGCAGCAATGCTTGGGAGCAGCCCAGACTCACTCTGACGTGGATGCGGAGGAGGGCTCCATCGTTGTAAGAGCCATGGCGAGGAGGCAGCAAGGGCAAAAGAGAGCACTGATCGAAACGTGGGAGACAACCCAGGCTCAGACTCACTCTGACGTGGATGCGGAGGAGGGCTCCATTGTTGTAACAGCCATGGCGAGGAGGCAGCAAGGGCAAAAGAGAGCACTGATCGAAACGTGGGGGACAACCCAGGCTCAGACTCACTCGGACGTGGATGCGGAGGACGGCTCCACCTTTGGCACCGCAGGGGCTGGGGAGGCGGACGCAGCGAGGGCAGGAGAGCGGGGAGCTGCAGTGGCCGGGGAGGAGGAGACAGCCAGGGCAGGAGAGGACGGAGCAGCTCCACCAGAAGCAGATGCTGCGGCCAGGGCAGAAGAGGCAAGAGCCGAGGGATCAGCAGCAGCAGTGGCAGCAGCAGTGGAAGCAGCAGTGGCAGCAGCAGAAGGAGCTCTGGATTTATCACCACTAGCAGCAGCTGCAGTAGCACTAGGCGCCGGCGCCGCTGCTGCTGCTGATGGTGCTTGTGCTGCTGGTGCGGCTGCTGCTGGTGCTGCTGCTGGTGGTGCGGCTGCTTCTGTAACCCCTCCTGCACCGCCTACCCCCTCTCCTCTCCTTCCTGCGCCTCCTCCTTCTGCCCCTCCTGGCCCCGCCCCCACGTGTGACTGTACCGAGGGGAAATCAAATCCGAATCTCCGGGCATAGCTTGATGCTGCAAATCTCCTGGAGAGGGCTTCGGGAATGGGAATAGCAGCCAGGCGCTCTGCCACCCTGATAGATTCTGCTGGCATTCTAAACGCCTGTGCTACAGATGTGGAGTTCTGTGCTACAGACGCGGATATGGGTGCTACAGATGCTGATGTGTGGGATACAGTTGCTGACGTCTGTGCTACAGATGCTGACGTGTGTGCTACAGACTGGGTCTGCGACCCAGATTGAGAGGCAGTGTTTTTAGCTTCCTCTGCTACAGTTGATACAGAGGCTACAGCTGCTACGGGCGCTGCAGCTGCTACAACGGCTTCCGCGGCTACATCTGCTACAGAAGCCACACGCACCACAGCAGCAGCAGCAGCCACAGCAGGTACAGGGGCTAAATCTCCTGCAGCTGCTAAGTCCGCTACATTAGCTACAGGTGCTAAAGCCGTGGCAGGAGACGTGGCAGGTGGTGTTGGCGCCGCCGGCGCTTGAGGGGAGGCTGGTAGAGGTTCTGGTGCTCGTCTCGTTCTTGCTGGTTCTGCTCCTGCTCGTTCTGCTCCTGCTCCCGCTCCTGCTCCTGCTCCCGCTCCCGCTCCTGCTCCTGCTCCTGCTCCCGCTCCTGCTTGTGGGGAGGTTGGTAGAGGTTCTGGTGCTGTGCTAGCGTTTGCTGGACTTTCCGTTCTTGCTCCTGCCCCTGCTCCTGCCCCTGCTCCTCCCCCTGCTCCTGCCCCTGCTCCTGCTCCTGCTCCTGCTCCTGCCCCTGCCCCTGCCCCTGCTGTTGCTCCTGCCGCTCCTGCTGCTGCTGCTGCTGCTGCTGCTTCGGCGGCTGCTGCTGCTTTTCTTGCTCTTGCTAGTGCTGGTGCTCCTCTTGCTCCTGCTGTTGCTGTTGCTGTTGCTGGTGCTGGAGCTCCTCTTGCTCCTGCTGTTGCTGTGCCTCGTGCTAGTGCTAGTGCTGACCCTTCACCACCACGTGCTAGTACAGCTGCTACGGGTGCTACAGGTGCTACAGATGCTACAGGTGCTACAGGTGCTACAGGTGCTACAGCTGCCACAGCAGCTGCAGGCCGTTCGCCACCACGCGGAGCTGAGATGGAGCACACTAAGAAAGCCTGTGTGGTCGAAACTACTGCTGCTGCTGCTGCCGCTGGTGTTGGTGCAGCTGGTGTTGGTGCAGCTGCTTCAGGGACGGAGACTGCTGCTCCTGCCGCTATTTTGTAAGTTGTGGAAGCAGCAAGAGCAGGTGCAGTAACACGAGTAGCAGCATCAGCAAAAGCAGTGGCAGCAGGTGCAGCACCAGAAGAAGCAGCAACAGCAACGGGAGACGCAACAGCAGCAGCAGCAGGAGGAGGAGGAGCAGACACAGCAGTAGAAGTGGCTGGCCTTACTTCCGCCCCTGCTGCTGCTGCGACTGAGACAGAGGGAGACACAGACGTTGAGGCAGACATACCAGCTGACTGGTCTTCCCCTTCCTCTGCCCTTTCTTTCCCCTCCTTTCCTCGTCCTCCCCTCGCCTTCCCAGCGCCGCCTTCCCCTTTCGTTTTCAGCACCAGTGACCCTTCAACAAGAGAAGAGCCAAACAAACGAACCCCTGTGGCTCCTGTGCCTGTGCCCCTGGTGGCCCCTGTGGCTCCTGTGCCCCCTGTGGCCTGTCTTGGAGACACAGGCACTGGCGACCCTTCCACTACAGCTGAGGTGTCCGGCCAACGTCTTCGGGCAGGTTCGGCCTGGCCGGGCAGCTCCTGGCTCCGTGGAGAAATGTTCGCGACTGACTGCCAGGGAGAGTCCTGGGAGCTGCTGCTACCACCCTCGCATTTTTCACTCTCGTCTTTGTCACCCTCGCTTTGAACACCCTCCTCTTTCTCACCCTCCCCTTTCTCACCCTCGCCTTTCTCACTCTCGTGACTGGCAGCTCTTGCTTCAGTCTGCTTGCCTTCGCCCCCTTGTGCATGGGTGCTGGTTCGGCCCCTCCCTCTCCCTCTCCCTCCCCCTCCCCCTCCCCCACTCCTTTGCACCACCTCTTTATCCTTCTTTTTGGGGGCCCCGGGCCCAGAAGGCGCAGGAAAAGGAGAGGGGGAGGGAGATCTGTGGGAGGAGGCAGAACGAGGGGAGGTGTTATCTGGTGCAGGTGCACTGGTGCCAGAGACAGCAGGAACAGCAACAGGAACAGGCTGGGGAGAAAAAGCAGCAGCCGTAGCAGCGGCACCAGCACCAGCAGCAGCAGCCACAGCAGCGGCAACGGCAGAGGCGAGTTCAGGGGGGTTGTTGAAGCGGGGGAGAGGCGGGATAAGCACATCCAGCTCTGCTGAGACGTCAGGCCGAGGGTGACTGAGACGCACATCCGTCCCCATCTGCTGCTGTGGCTGCACCCGCTGCAACCACAGTTGTGACTGAGCCTGCTGCGGCTGCAGCTGAGATTGCTGCTGCTGAACCAGGGGGGAGCGCGGCCGCAGCAGCGCTGATGCTTGCTGTGCTGATGCTTGGACGCGCGCCTCTCTCAAAGGCGCTGTTGGCGCTGGAACTGGCTCTTCCCCTGTTTGCTGGGGCAGGGTGGGCGCCCCTCCCTGCACTTGCGCACACCTCTGAGGCGCCTCAAGAGTGCACTCGCTCAAAGCTACTGTTGCCTCTGGTACTGGCTCTTTCCTTGTTTCCTGTTGATGCGTGGTCACCCCTCCCTGCACCTGCCCAGCCTTCTTTCTTTCCTTAAATCCTTCGTCCTCCCCTCCGGCTTCGTGTGAGGCTGTTTCATCTGTTTCTGTGGCTGCTTCTGTGGCTACTCCTGCAGTTGTTGCTGCTGCTTCTGTGGCTGATTGTGCTGCTGCTTCCGTTGCTGCTGCTGGGGCTTCTGTTCCTGCTGCTGTATGCTTCGTCTGACCTGCCCAGCCTGCCACGGTGGGTGTACCGAGCCGAGCTACCAAGCCTGCCACCGGACCTGCATGTGAAGCCAAACTTCCATCCTTACGAGCACCACCAGCAGCACCACCACCACCAGCACCACCAACACCAGCACCAGCACCAGCACCAGCACCACCAGCACCACCACCGCCGCCGCCGCCGCTGCCGCTGCCGCCACCGCCACCACCGCCACCACTCCCACTGCCACTGCAGCTGCCGCTGCCACCGCTCCTGCCACTGCCATCACCACCATCGTCTCTCCTCCCGCCACTCCCTCTCCCCCCCGCTACCCCTCCTCCCCCTCCCCCATCCCCATCCTCATCCTCCTCCTCATCTCGCTGCCGCCCCTTCACTTCACTCTCTCCTCTCTCTTCACTCTCTCCTCCTTCCTCCCCTTCCTCGACCCTCTCCCTCGTTCCTCTCTCCTGCTCCTCCCCCTCAGGGCGACCCCCATCCTCTGGGCTGGTTTCCAAGTCAATCCTTCCCCGCACCTGCTTCCCCCTCTCATCCGCCAACCCCTTCCCCCACTCCCCCTCTGGACTATCCCCATCAACTGGGGTGTTTTCCAAGTCGATCCCCCCCCGCCCCTGCCCGCTCCGCTTCCCCCTCACTTCCGCCAAACCAGTCCTCCGTTCCCCCGTTCCTCCCCCATCGCGCTCAGCGCTTTCGCCTCTTCCCTCTTCCCCGAGTCCTCTCGCCGTCTCCGCCCCGTCCCAGCATGCTTCCGCGCGCCCAGAGGTTTCCGCATGCCCAGAGGTTTCTGCGCGCCTGGGTGCTTCCGCGTCCGCGGATGCTTGCGCACGCTGCGCGCGCTCTTGAAGGACATGCTAGGGTGGAGAGGGGAGAGGGGGACGCGGGGGGGAGGGAGAAATAGCGAAGAACGTTACAGATCATTAACATGGACTCTGAAAAAAAAAAAAAAAAAAAAATTACATTGCGCATAAAGAAAGGAGCAGTTGGGTCTAGCGGATCGGTTGCGTCAAAGCGAGCGGGGGAGGGAAGAGGAGTGGGTGGGGGGACGGGGAGGGGGTTGGTGTAGAGCAGGGGAAGATAAGGGGTTGACTTGAGCAGTTCAAGTTAGCTTCATGGCGCGGAAGTACCTGCAGAAACGCTTCCGCAAACGCTAGTCGTGCCTCCGCGGATACTTGCGCCTCCGCGGATACTAGCGCCTCCGCTTCCCTCTCTTGCTGCCCCGCGCCACCACCGCGCTCACTAATGCCCCCTGCTGCTTCCCCCTCCCTCTCCTGCCCCCTCCGTCCTGCTTCTTCCATCTCCCTCTCTTGCTCGATTCCCCCTGCTTCTCGCTCCCTCTGTTGCCCGCTGGATGCTGTAGGGGCTGGCCTCGCGTCCTGCCTCGCAGCAGCAGATGACTCTCCCTGACGTGGCCGGGCGAGCTGACGTGGCTGGGCGTCGAGCTGACGTGGCTGGACGGTGAGCGGGAACGGCAGTAACGAGAGCTCGCGAAGAGCTGCGAGCTGCTGCACGGCGAAGGATTTCGTCCACGACGGTCGTCGCATGCCTGGAGGGGGGACAGGGAAGAGGCGCGATTTAGCCAGAGAAGAACATTCTCGAGTTTGCGGCGCCTCGTGAGCATGCTCCTGCAACGGGGCAAACCGCGACACACCAGCTCACCTTGGTACCGGCAGCTCACATTGGTGCTACGACACACAGCACCGACCTTGTTCCTGCAGCAGCCGTCGGCATTCTTCCCGCGTCAGCTGCTGCAAATCGTCGTCGCTCAGATCCGCCAATCGCCGCTCTCCGCTTCCGCCGCCCCGCTCAGCCCCTCCGCTCTGCTCAGCCCCTCCGCTCCGCGCATCCCCACCGCTCCGCTCATCCCCCCCGCTCCTCTCGACCCCATCGCCCTCTGTCTCTTCGCGTTGCCGTTTCCTAGTTCCGTGCTTCGGCGCGCTTCTACTTGCAACCTCTGCTATGTCCGAATCATATCCAAAAGCGGAGGAACCAGCAACAGCAGAACCAGGAGCAAACGCGAAATCTCGAGCAACAGCGACCGCAGAACCAACAGCTGTGGCAGCAGCAGCAGGGGACCGAGGCCCTTGAACTCTGAGTCTTAAACTCTCTCTACGCCCTTGCTTCTCTCTCTGTCCTTCCACTGTGTCATCGCCGTGCCTCCGGAACTCTAGCTTCGACTCAGGCTCGGCCGTGTCGCCGTGTCCTTGTTTCCCACGATCCGATTTTCCGTGCCTATCTAGCATAGACTCATGATCCACTTCTCTGGCGTTCTCGCCGCGATCGGAGGTAGCCTTGGGTTCTCCATCTTTCGGGGGAGAGCTCATTCTTAGGAAAACATTCTAGGACAATAATGGGGGTAACATGGTATCCCGAGGATCACGATCACAGAAGGTCGCACCTTTACACTATTAAGGCTACCGAGGTAAGCTACACCGCGGAGATTCTCGAAAAAACTTATCTACATCGCGGCTCGAAAAAAGTTGTACACACCGCGGAGATACTCGAAAGAGCTATAGGATCATCGTGGATAGCAGCACAGCCCTTTCTCGATCATGAGGATCGTCTACGCAGCATTTACCGAGGTGATGAATCGACTCACAAGTATACTCGAAAGGGCAATTGGACTATCACAACCTGAGTGCAGCACAGCCCTTTCTCGAGCATCTTCTGAGCATCTTCGGACAAGATCTGGACGCTCAGGATCTCGCGGCTGACGCGCGTCAGATTATGCATCTAACGGTTCCAGATAATTAGGGGGACGCGCGGCTGACTGAACGCTGATTTGGAGGCTTCAGCTGGCGGCGCTCTATCGGTCTGTTGGGAATCGTGCTTGGTCCTTCTGCATAGTAACGGGCGTTGAGATCTAGCGTGCCTACACTGGTACCCATTGAAACACCAGTTCTTACGCCGTCCTGATTACTGTTAAGAACCTATGAGGCTGGACGTCTTAGTCGTGCCACCTCCAACAGCAGTCTGAACAATATCTTCCTCACTGGGAGAATGGTCTCGCCTCACTCCACTGGTTTTCGCCTCCTGGGTTCACGAACGTTCCAAAAGTTTCGCGTATGGGCGACTCGCACTTATTTGAGGGACCGAACCATTTGTCATCGATCGAACATCTCGCGACCACTTCACTTCTTTTCTCCTGGCATGCGCATTACCGGTCAGCCGAAGATTTTGGTGACCATCTGAATCATTCAACAGTCGAGATTTGTTTCTCCTTCGATCCCAACCTCGGATTCCCCAGATTTTGGTTCTCGGGTCAGCCTCGATGTCAACGCGTTTCCAACTTTCCAACCTTGCTGTGCCAACCAGGCTGCAACGAAGCTGTACACGTAGCCCGAGCCACTGCGCCCATGGATGTGACTCAGACGCGCTCCGTGTTCCTCGAGGCGCAAATAATTCCGCTTCAACCAATCCGATACACCAGAGCAGCGGGAGCTGCGGAGAAGCGAGCTTCAACAATAATTCAATTATGTAAGTTTCATACTTAAAGCGAGCGTACAGACCAAACTCAAGAGTCAAAGGTTTTGAGTCCCCCGACGCACGAAAACTAACGCGAAGCAAACACGGTAACCAAATACCAGCAGTAGGGGTGCGATTTTTATTTGGGAAGATTCTGATTGGTTATGCGACTCACCACCAACCCAGCGACAGAACAAGGAAAGCCTCTCCCCCCGCCACATCAAGACCCAAAGCTTTTCCTTTTTACTCTGTACTCAGTAGCCATGGCTCCTTCCCCGCCATTCTCGCTCCCTAACACAGCGCTTACCTCCTATTTCGTCATTCACGGGAAAGGTGCGGCTTATTAGTAACGTTTACATGTACCCGTAACCCTGTGGGCGACAGCTACCTGCCGCATCTCCGTTAGTTTATGCGACCAGTGATTTCGTACCTAATCGCCCACTTCGCTGCATGCCACGCTATCATTTTAGGGCGTGCCACGCGAAGACCTTATTAGCAAGCTCTAAGGCATTTCCTCGCCGGTGCGCCCAAGTACCTCGCCCGTTGCCTCGCTTCCCACTCCCCGCTCCTCGCAGCAGCTGCGAGAGCGCTGCCCCGCTTTCCCACTCTTCCGCATTCCCTGTTTTCCGCCCCGCCCACTGCATCTGCCTGCATTCGCCTCCCGGATTTCCCGCACTCAAGCTGCCACTGCTTTCCCGCTTCCCGTATCCCACTTCCTGCTCTCTCGATTCCCACTTTCCCATTATCCTGCTTCCCCGATTTTCCGCTTTCCGCCCAATCCGCTAGCCCGCGTTCCCGCAGTCCCGCTTTCCGCTTTCCCGCGTCCCCGCTTCCCCCCAGCACCCATTTTCCCATCCCTTTCCCATCCTCGTCGGCCATCCCATGTCTTCCCGTCGCCAATTCCCTCCCTTCCTATCCCCACGCCCTGCAGGGCTATGGGAGGGGGGGAAGCAGGGCTATGGGAGGGGGGGAAGCAGGGCTATGGGAGGTGGGGAAGCAGGGCTATGGGAGGGGGGAAGCATGGCTATGGGAGGGGGGAAAGCATGGCTATGGGAGGGGGGGAAGCAGGGCTATGGGGGGGGGGAAGCAGGGCTATGGGAGGGGGGGAAGCAGGGCTATGGGAGGAGGGGAAGCAGGGCTATGGGAGGGGGGGAAGCAGGGCTATGGGAGGAGGGGAAGCAGGGCTATGGGAGGTGGGGAAGCAGGGCTTTGGGAGGTGGGAAATCAGGGCTATGGGAGGGGGGGAAGCAGGGCTATGGGAGGGGGGAAATCAGGGCTATGGGAGGGGGGGAAGGAGGGCTATGGGAGGGGGGGAAGGAGGGCTATAGGAGGGGGGGAAGGAGGGCTATGGGAGGGGGGGAAGTAGGGCTATGGGAGGGGGGGAAGCAGGGCTATGGGAGGGGGGGAAGGAGGGGCATGGCAGCGGGGGAAAGGAGGTTCTTGGGAGGGGGGGAGAAGTAGGGGTCTGGATGGGAGGGAGGCGGGTTTTCTCTCTCGCGCCCCCCCCCCCTATCTCTCTCTATCGATCTCTCTCTCTCTCTCTCTCTCTCTCTCTCTCTCTCTCTCTCTCTCTCTCTCTCTCTCTCTCTCTCTCTCTCTCTCTCTTTCTCTCTTTCTTTTTCTCTCCGCCTCTCTCTCTCTGGCCCCCTCCACTCACTCCTCCAAATGCCCTTCTCACTCTGGTTTCTTATTTGCGACCGTCCAACTGTCCCCCTCCCCCCCCCCCCCCCCCTCTCTCCCCCCTCTTATTGTCGTACCCACCGCTTCCAACGCCACCCCTCATGATCCCCGCGCCTATCCCTTCCTAAAACCATTCCGTCGTACCTCCTGCTCCCACTCTGTCTTACCCCCTGCTCCCACTCCGTCTTACCCCCTGCACCCACTCAGTGCTGTGAGGGGGGAAGCACAGTGCTGTGAGGGGGGAAGCACAGTGCTGTGAGGGGGGAAGCACAGTGCTGTGAGGGGGGAAGCACAGTGCTGTGAGGGGGGAAGCACAGTGCTGTGACGTGGGAAGCATATTGCTGAGAGGGGGGAAGCATAGCTCTGTGAGGGGGGAAGCATAGCACTGTGCTCCTCTCCCCGTGTTTTTCGGGAGGGGTAGGCGGGCTCTGGTGGGGGGGAGAGGTGACATCTGGTGGGGGTTTCCTTGGTCGTGCTGCATTGTGTGTCTTGCTTCTTGCCTAATAAAAATGACGATCGCGCCCTTCTCGTTTCTGTACGTTTTAAAACCCTGACTTTGCACTCAGTGGGAACTAGATCCCTGATATTTTCAAGTCGTGTGATTCATTGTTTAAATATTGTCCTGTATTTGTGTAAACGTAGATGCGTTGTGGTGGTTTCTACGTTTCTACGTTTTCACGAGCTTTAGCAACACTGTAGGTGCTTTTCTCCGTAAATGAGTTTTACTGTTTCAATTTGTCTGAACAGTGCTTTCGCGTGTTCGACGGGCAGCGTCGCCCGCTGTACCCTTGCGACCTCGCCAGTTTTGGCGAGATCATTAACAGCCGTCGCGAGACCCTAGCCTTTCGCGTGGGGCCCGCCCCGTTTTTGCGACACTTGTGCCCCTCGCGATTTTCGCTACCCCCAACTCAAGATTCAAAGCCTTTGACTCTTGAGTTTGGTCTGTACGCTCGCTTTAACTCCACATCATCTCCATTTTTTACATTTGTACTTCATTGTTCATTAAATTTAATCTCTCTGATTAGTATGAATGATAGTGGGTGTTCCAGGCTATAATGTACCGATGAATATTTCATTGTGATGTGGTATGAACGTATGGAAAAGAAATGGATGGCTTGGTGCAGTGCCATCTTTTGGAAAGGAATGAGACATGCTAAATCAAGCTAATCTACAACAGCATGTGTACATGGAAAGATATAAACAAACCACAAATCACTAACCCATGATGTGTTCTTGTGTAAAATAATTTATTCAAAGACAATTGCAAAAATAATTGTATCAGGCCCAATTGAATTGGGTACCCAAGTGTTCAAAGTTTAATATCATGCTAATAACTTGTAATCTCTTGCTTGCTTACTGTAAGGAATTTCCATTCCTTACTGAGTTGCCCGCTACCGCGTACACCCGAACACTTCGACTCATCACGTTCGGCCTACATTTTCGGCCCAACCCTTTCTCGAGTCGCGTCCGACAGCGTCGCCACATTGCCGAACCTACCCACGCCCCGAGGTTATCGCCCTATTACGTCTACTCCTATATAACCTCGTGCTTTCATTGCAATAGTGACCTTGTATTCTCACGATATAGTTCATTGACATTTTCTAAATCATAACAGCTGGTATCAGAGCCCGACCTTTCTCGGAACCTTCCGTTTTCCCCGTTAGTTAGTTAAGGGTGGTCAGAGGGGATTAAAGCCCGTGGCTATAATAGCAATCAAGAGGGCTGTTTAATTTGCTCTTGAACTTGGCACATGACTTGATCTTTAGAGTAAACTAAACAGAATAAAAACATTTCGTTTTGCAAAGCGGAATCTGACCGTGGCGGTTTGGCGACAGTTTTTGCACGAAACCATTTGATAAACTGTGCAATACGTGTCGTGCGACCGAATTCGTGGTTCCGTGAACAGTGAAAATGCGAGAAGAACAGTGTTTTTTTGGCGAACAGTAGCTGATTCTGGAATTGCAGACCTGGAAATCACTTGAATTCCCCAGTCAAAAAGCGCCTGTATTTCCTCGTCGCAAGCTGCTCGCCCAAACCCGTCGTAGAAACTCCGTGCGATGCACACAGTGTTTTTACGCAATTCGCATCCAAATGATCGTGTCGCAACAAACAGCAAAACGAGTTCTTTCGCCATTCCTCCAATCAGCAAGCTCGACCAGAATTTGTTTCGACGCACTTTTCTTGTTCATGCTTGAACTCGAAGCTGCCTTCCATTCTATACTTAGGATTTCAAAGCACCAAATTCAAGTGGTTTCCAGGTCTGCTATTTTAGCCGTGGGCTTTAACACGGCTGCACAGCAGTTGCCTTTGATCGTAAATATTTTTACGTCAACAACTACAGCGTGTGCGCTAGTTTCTGCCCCGTCCTGACCGCCATGGCCCCGGTAGACTCGACGGTTGAGGAACAGACAACCTCGACTGCTGCGAACTCTGCCCGGGAAACAGTAGACCTGCAAGCATTAATGGAGCAGTTGAACAATTTGACAAGCGTCGTCAACAACCTCCGTGACGAAAACCAACGACTTCGTCAGGCGCAGGAAAGGCGTTCAGAGGAGCCGGGCGACGATGCACGAAGCGAGGCGGGTGAGCAGCAACCTACACCAGTGGAGCTGGCACGGCTAGCGGCGACAGCCCCGCGCTCGACAAGTGGCAGCGTGAGATATCAGCAACCCGCTCCTTTCGACCCAGCTAATAAAGGCGTGACGGTGCGGCAGTGGATATTCGCCATGAATATCTACTTTAACGCGGTGGGCATCCGAGACGACCAGAAGCGGATTAGCCACGCGTTGACATTGCTGCAAGGGGCCGCCCTACAGTGGTGGAAGGTCATCGTCGACTCAGCGGCAACTCGCACAGAAGGACAGCATGAGTGGTCCGAAGAATTCGGCGACGAAGACGAGGCAGATTTGCTGTTTGGTGCAACTCACATTCGCATGTGGGCAACGTGGTGCGCAGAGCTTCGCAAGCGGTTTGAGCATGCTCCTGACTCAGACAAAGCGCGCGAGACTCTACGCATGTGGAAGTAGCTGGGATCTGTGTCCGACTACACCGCGTCATTCTTGACGTTGGTGGATCGATGTGGCTACATGCACGAGTTGGAGAAGGTCGACAGGTACATGGGCGGGCTGAAGCTTGAAATAAAGTACCAGATAAAATTACAACGACCTGCGAAGCAGTTACAAGACTTCATCCAACTCGCTGAAGCCGCTGATTCGCTCACGAAGCCGAGGACGAACTTCTACGACGGAGGTCGCCCTCGAGAACAGTACCAGCGCACCACGATCAAAGGGATGGACGCAGTGGACATTTACGCAGTTGCTCCGCGAAATACGGGGCTATGCTACCACTGTGGCCGACCGGGTCACATCAGACGCAACTGCCAAGAGTTCATAGCCATCCAGAATTCTATGGGGAAGAAGCCGGAGGAGCGACCGGGAAATGGGTCGCGTCAGTAAGTACCGGGCCCCTTATTGACGGGCAGGCTTCTTCGCCGAACCATACAGTCCCCACCGGGTCGTGATCCCGATTGCTGCAATCGACCGGACCCGGACGAATAAGGGGGACGAAACTGCTGATCACCCTGTATTGGTGGAGGGTAAAGTCAACGGGGTGTTGCTGAAAATATTCGTGGATGGAGGCGCGAGTCATAGTCTCATACAGCTAGACAGGGCTAAGAAAATGGGTATCCCCTTATTAAAGTGCCTACCCGAAATTGACGCAAGACTGGTGGATGGAACACCGCTGGCTATACGGGAGCGGGTGGAGCACGTCAGTTTCCACTGCGGCGAGCACGTAAAATTTCGGATGGGGCTGCTGGCGACTACACTCGACGGGTGCGACGTGCTGCTGGGACGGGATTGGCTGCGACAGTACAACCCGAGAATCGACTGGACGACGGGCACCTGCAGCATCAAGATCGATGGGCACTATTACGAGTTACCGAAATGGACGGGACCCCGCATGCGAAGTACCCAAGTCCACGCGATCACCTTCAAGCGTGCGATAAAAGCGGGAGCAGCAGCATACGCCGTCAATCTTCGTGAAGTGACGTCGCCGATAACAGCGGAAGATATCACGAGGCTGTGTGAAGCCGTTCCTCCGGATTTAGCGAAACTCATTCGAAAATACCCCGAGATTTTCCCGGACGACCTACCCGCCGGACTTCCGCCAAGCCGACCCGAAGACCATCGCATCGAGCTGGAACCAGGCGCACAACCAACAGTACAGCGACAATTTCGGCTCAGCCAACCGGAACTCGAGGAATTGCAGCAGCAGTTGGATTACCTCATGACGAAAGGTTTTATCCGCCCAAGCACATCCCCATACGCCGCCCCCATACTGTTCACACCGAAAAAAGATGGCGGATTCCGTATGTGCATCGACTACCGCGCACTCAACCGCATCACCATCAAGTCCCGTTACCCGATCCCGCGAGCCGACGACCTACTCGACCAACTTCGCGGAGCCAAGTTCTTCTCGAAAATCGATCTGCGAGGAGTTTACCACCAAATTCGCGTCGCCGCCGAGGATTGCCACAAAACCGCTTTCCGAACCCGCTACGGCAGTTACGAATACTTGGTGATGCCTTCTGGACTCACGAACGCGCCCTCGACTTTTCAGATGACCATGAACGGTGTTTTCCGCGAACTCCAGGATAAATGCGTAATTATCTACCTCGACGACATCCTAATCTTCAGCCGTAGCAGGGAGCAGCACTTAAAGGATCTTGATGCAGTCTTCACCCTGCTGCACAAAAATCGCCTCATCACGAAAGGGTCTAAGTGCGATTTTCTTAAGCAAGAGTTGGAGTTTTTGGGAGACGTCGTCTCTACCGAAGGAGTGAAAATCGACCCCAAGAAAATCAAGACTATACAGGACTGAAAGCCGCCGACCAACCTCAAGGAACTGCAAAGCTTTCTAGGTTTCGTCAAGTACGTCCGCCGCTTCATCCCCAATATGGCGGGGTTATCTGCTCCTCTAACTGACCGACTGAAGGATCACGATTGTTTTTGGTGGGGAGAAAAGCAGCAAGCTGCATTCGACCAACTCAAAAATCGCCCTCACGTCGCCGCCTGTACTTCGCATCTCCGATCCCGACCGTCCATACAAAGTCATCACCGACGCCAGCGACATCGCCATCGGTGCAGTTCTCCTCCAGGACTTCGGCGACGGGTTACAAGCAGTCGCCTACGAATCACGGAAGCTGCAGGGCGCGGAAAAAAACTATACAGTCCACGACAAGGAAATGCTGGCGATCGTCCACGCGTTCAAGACCTGGCAGTGCTACCTGACCGCAGCTGATATCACGGTGCGGATGGACCACAAATCCTTACAGTACCTGCGCGCCCAACCGAATCTCAACCCACGACAGATCCGATGGCTCGATTTCCTCGAGTCCAACTTCCACTACACCATCACCTACAAACGGGGTGCCAATAATATCGCCGATGCCTTGACCCGCCCTACTGTCCATACCGCCGCGATACTAATCTCCCAGACCAACCCATTACTTACGGGACTATTCACCCACGGCTACAAGATCGATCCCTTTTTCCGCGCAGCCATCCATCGACAGCATACCACAGCCACCGGGCCATATTTTTATAAGCGTGGTACTTCTCGCATTTGGGTGCCAGGCTACGATTTACTTCGTACCCTCCTAATCCAGGAATCCCACGACAACCCTACCTCAGGACATTTCGGCATCGATAAAACCACGAAGATGTTGCAGCGGAATTACTACTGGCGGAACATGGCCGATGACGTGCGCAAGTACGTGTCCTCCTGCACTGCCTGCCAGATCATGAAATCGTCGCATCAGCGAGCAGCCGGACTACTACAGCCGTTGGATCCGCCCGAGCGACCCTGGCAACAAGTCACGATGGACTACGTAACAGGACTACCGGCCGGTCCCTGGGGAAACGACGCCATCCTCGTGGTCGTTGGACGACTCACGAAAATGGCGCACTTCATCGCCTGCCAACAGACAATCACAGCCGAACAGACCGCGCAACTGTTCCTCACGAATGACATTCGTGAGGAACAACTGCCCTCCGCCATCATTTCCGACCGAGACCCGAAATTCACATCGAATTTTTGGCGCCACCTGTGGGACCAATTCGGCACCAAACTCCAATTTCCATCCGCCTACCACCCACAGACCGACAGGCAGACCGAACGCGTCAACCAGACCATGGAGCAACTGATTCGTACTACCTGTACTGACCCATCGACATGGGAGAAATCCCTTATGCTGTTAGAATTCGCGTATAATAACGCGACCTCCGCCACAACCAACCAATCTCCATGCTTCCTCAACTACGGACAGGACCCAGTCGTAGCCTCTACACCGACAATAGAGTCACCCGTGCCCCGGTCCCGGAAATTTGCTGAAGACATTCTCGCCGCTCGAGAAAAAACAGCTGAAGCCATCCGAAAAGCCAACCTGGTTGCAAGCCGACAAGCCGATCGTCATCGCCGTGACGTCACTTACAAAGTGGGAGATCTAGTCCTCCTCGACACCCGCAATCTACGGCTGCCGATCCCGAGCAAACTCCGACCCAAATTCTGCGGACCTTTTCACGTGATCAACCTAGTGACACCTGTCACTGTTCACCTTCGACTACCAGCTGATTGGCGCCACCACCCGGCTTTCCACGTCAGTCTTCTCCGACCCTATGTCCCGAGTTCGTCGAACCTGGCACGCAACCGCGATGTAGCGCACCTAACGCCTTTGCAGGAACCGACGACCGAGCCCCTGAAAATCCTCGGCCATCGCGTTACAACGCAGCTGAACCGTCGGATGGTAGATTTCCTCGTCCGCTGGCGCGATCGCATGTCCGAAGACGACAGCTGGGTGCGTCTCATTGACCTAGAATCACATCCGATTCTAACGGCGTATTATCGGCGTTGTAACGTCTCCGATGCCCACGGACTCGTTTAGGAGGGGGGGGGGGGGGTAATGTAAGGAATTTCCATTCCTTACTGAGTTGCCCGCTACCGCGTACACCCGAACACTTCGACTCGTCACGTTCGGCCTACATTTTCGGCCCAACCCTTTCTCGAGTCGCGTCCGACAGCGTCGCCACATTGCCGAACCTACCCACGCCCCGAGGTTATCGCCCTATTACGTCTACTCCTATATAACCTCGTGCTTTCATTGCAATAGTGACCTTGTATTCTCACGATATAGTTCATTGACAATTTCTAAATCATAACACTTACTGATTGATCTTATCCTTTGTAGCTGTCATCTTATTGGCCCCCGACGCTGTCATCAAGACTGGCGAAGTGGTTTCGTCTTGACTTTGCGTGAATGGGCTTGGCTCCACTGGTATGGATTTTCTCCTGAGCCGACACGCTTGTTGTCATGAGTATGCGAAGGTCCTGTCTAGTTCGCCCCAACCGTTGCCTGAGCGAACTCAGTTTCTTTCGTCATCGCTTCGCGCATTCTTCCTGACGGGCAATTTCCTCCGTACACAGTAAAGCGCGCGAAATCATTGCGTGTGGAAGCCGCAATTGACCGACACGACTCTAGTCGCGAGAGAGCCAGGCGAAAACAGGCGGGCTTCAAGAAACACTTTGCCTCGGGTCGCCAGGTTTTTAAACCTCGAGGTTGGTGTCAGAAAAAAACTGTACTGGAGTAGAAGTACCTAGGGATTGCCCTTCAGCTGGAAAGCTCTTTCGGGTGGACATCATATTGCCCTGCGGTTCCTAGACGATACCAGATTATTTCCGTCGCTAGCTGCAGGACTTTGAGGGGCAGGCACATCCATGGCGCGTTTTCTTCTGCTTCCTTCTCTGCTGGTCGTCTCATTGATTTTCGCTTATAAACAGATATCCCTTAGCGCGATTCAGGGCCTGGTACGTGCGGTTGCGGTTGCTTTATGCGGTTGCACCTCTTCCTTCAAGCAAAATGCAAGTTGGCCCATCTCAATAACTTTCTGGTGTCGTTTCTACGTCTTAATTTTCGCAATCCTTCAGAACTGTGGATACGTCAGCTTTACACAGCTAGACGTCATCCGTCAGTCGCAGCGGCATGTTAAAATATAGTCTCGTTGCCTTTCTTGTACGGATGTTGTACAAGCGTCCTTTTGACATGCTGCTGCTACATACGGATGGACGTACATCCGTATGTTCACTTCTCTCGTCGTAGCTATCACCATGCAATCACGTTGCCTTCTCTGGCTGCTTCTACGCGTCTCATCTCAACCTTGCTTCTCCGGTCTGCTCAACGTTACTACCGTATTCTGTCTTGTCAAATGCACATGCAAAACATCGTTGTCGGTCAAGTCTCATTCCTCTCTTCCCCCTCCTTCTGCGTGCCTGCTTCGTTTCCCTTATCTTCGCCCCGAATGTATCCCCCTTGTTCCGCCATGGCAGCCTCGCAAGGTGCGTTTGAGGCGCCTCAAAAGCAATCCGCCATGGCAGCCTCGCAAGGTCAGCGCCTTCCATCTCCGCGAAAACCGTCTCTCAATTCTCCCTTTCTCCTCTCCTTCTCCGTGTGTTTTCTCCCCTTTCCCCTCTCCTTCTCCGTGTATTTTCTCCTTTTTTCCCCGAATTGCCCCCCCTTTTTTCAGCCATGGCAGCCTCGAAAGCTCGGCAGATTCCATCCCCACGCGGATCGTGTCACGTTCGTCATCGCGAACCGATCGCCATTCGTCACTCACATGATTGCAAACGAGGAGGATGTTTTTGCGTCGAGCCCTTTTTCCGCCTCTTGGGGACAAACCAGTGGTGATGATGCTGGTTTTGAAGGTGGTGGTGATGTTGGCGATGGCGACGATACCGCCGTAACGACAGAGGACGAGGATCATGCTGACAAGGAAGACGACAGCGACGCTGCCGTCACTGCCGATCCCGCCTCCAACGAGCGTTTCGCGACGGGAACCACGGAGGATGCCACTCCTACCCCTACCATCGCTGGTCCGTGGGACAAACTCATATCCGCGTTCGATAGTTTCGTGCGCTCTCGCGATGCGAATAAGGATTCCCAGCTCCACGCGCTGTTTACTTCGGTTCAGACTGAGTTGCTCTCTCAGGCGGAGTTAGAGGAGTTGGACGCGGTGAAGAAGGCCTTCCAGGCCGTAATGGGCGTGGAGTCCGCTCAGGACGCGGATGCGAGCACGGGGGAGGGGAGCTCAGAGCAGAGGAGCATGGGGAATAGGAGCAAGGAGGATTGGAGCTCAGAGGGAGATAAGATCATCGAGGATTCCGTCACGGAAAACGTCAGAGTCTCGACGGAAGGCGACAGCGACCTCCTGGTGCACGCACTCGACGTTCTCCCACGCTCTCACGATCCGAATAAAGGTTTCCATATTTACCGCCTCTTCTCCTGGCTGCAGTTTGAGTCGCTCTCTCCGGCGGAGCTGCACGCTGTGAACGAGGTGAAACGGGCCCTCGTCACGCTCCCACGCTCTCACGATCTGAATAGAGATTTCAACTCTGCCGACCTGTTTTCTCAGATCCGATTTGAGTCGCTCTCTCCGGAGGAACTACACGCCGTCAGCAAGTTGCAGAAGGCGTTCGAGAACGTCTCTGGCATCATGAGGAGCACGGAGGGGATCACGGAGGAGGGGAGCATGGGGGACGGGAGCACGGAGGAGGGCACGGGCATTGAGCAGGTGGATTATGCCCTTGAGGAGGACAGTAGCCACGTGGAGGCCGCTCAGGAGGACGATGCGAGCTCGGAGGAGGAGGATGCGAGCTCGGAGGAGGGGGATACGAGCTCGGAGGATTCTGACACGGAAAACGTCAGAGACTCGACGGAAGACGACAGCGACGCTGCAGCCACTGCCGACCCCGCCTCCAACGAGCTCCTCGTGACGGGAACGGAGGACGCCGCTGCTGCTGCCCCCGCGGAAGACGCGGAAGACGCGGATGGCGCGGGGCGTCAGGCGGACCCCCAAATCTCCGCGCTCCTCACTTTCCTACTCCCTCTGAGTCACGATAAAGATTTCAACTTTGACGAATTATCTTCTCAAATTCAGTCCGAGTCGCCCTCTCCGGAGGAACTACGCTTTTTCAACGACGTGAAGAAGGCCTTGGAGGAAGCCTCTAGCACCATGAAGGCTGCGGAGGAGGGGGATGCGAGCACGGAGGAGGGGAGCACGGAGGAGGGGAGCATGGAGGCTGTTCCAATCGAGGATGGGGTTTATGACTCCGCAGGTGATTGCTTTTGTTGTGAGAAGGTGGAAGGGGAGAGGTGGGGATGAGGGGGAGGGGGGAGGGAGAGTGTGTGAGATACAATGTGTAGTGTTGGAAAGGCACACCTCTACTGCTTTTCTGCTGGTACTTCGTTCATCTTCTCGTTATTAACCGCCATCCTTCCTCCCCAATGTGCTTGTATGCCCGTCTTCTCCCTTGTCTGCTTGCCCGTGCCGCCGCCTGCCTGCCTGTGTGCCTGTCGCTGTCGACCTTCCCTTCCCCTGTGCTCCTTGTCTCTGCCTGCCTTCCCTCCCACTTTGCTCCTTGTCTCTTTCAAGTAGGCAATTACGCTGTGGTGGCAGTCACACAAGACTACCCCTCCCCCATCACCATCCTTCCCAAGTGGACCCTCCCCCCCTACCCCCTGTGTGCCCGTCTCTACCTACCTTCCCTCCCACTGTGTTCCTCGTCTCTTTCCAGCTTCAGGCAACGGCGCTGTGGGGGCAGTCAAGAGCGATTACGTGTCCCCCACAATCTTGCCCGAGTGGAACATCCTCACTATCACTGCTGTGGCTCTCCTAGTGACGGTTGTTGTGCTCATGATGGTTCTTGGCCTCGCATGCATGGTCTACGGCCGTGCTGGCCCCGGGGATAAGGACCCGGTCAAGACCCCGCTTCTCAAGGTGAGATGGGTGGTGCTATGGGGATAGGCGAGTGCCCCTTTCCATGCCGACTCCTACCCTCACCGCATCATCTGCGGCTGTGCTGACCCCGGGGATAAGGACCCGGTCAAGACCCCGCTGCTGAAGGTGGGATGGGTGAATGCTATGGCGTGAGGCGAGTACCCCTCCCTCATGGGATGGGTGAATGCTATGGCGTGAGGCGAGTACCCCTCCCTCATGGGATGGGTGAATGCTATGGTGTGAGGCGAGTACCCCTCCCTCATGGGATGGGTGAATGCTATGGCGTGAGGCGAGTACCCCTCCCTCATGGGATGGGTGAATGCTATGGTGTGAGGCGAGTACCCCTCCCTCATGGGATGGGTGAATGCTACGGTGTGAGGCGAGTACCCCTCCCTCATGGGATGGGTGAATGCTATGGTGTGAGGCGAGTACCCCTCCCTCATGGGATGGGTGAATGCTATGGTGTGAGGCGAGTACCCCTCCCTCATGGGATGGGTGAATGCTATGGCGTGAGGCGAGTACCCCTCCCTCATGGGATGGGTGAATGCTATGGCGTGAGGCGAGTACCCTTCCCTCATGGGATGGGTGAATGCTATGGCGTGAGGCGAGTACCCCTCCCTCATGGGATGGGTGAATGCTATGGCGTGAGGCGAGTACCCCTCCCTCATGGGATGGGTGAATGCTATGGCGTGAGGCGAGTACCCCTCCCTCATGGGATGGGTGAAAGCTATGGTGTGAGGCGAGTACCCCTCCCTCATGGGATGGGTGAATGCTATGGCGTGAGGGAACCCCCTCTCTCTCTTCTTTTTGCGTCTTTCTTTGGTGGGTTGAGTGTGAGGACATGGGGAGTGTGAACGGTCAGGCTTTTTGGTCATTGTGAGGGAACCCCCTCTCTCTCTTCTTTGGCTTTTTGGTCGTTGTGAGGGAACCCCCTCCCTCTCTTCTTTGGCTTTTTGGTCGTTGTTTTCATGCATGCTTGTTTGTGTTTGTGGTTGTGTTTGTGTTTGTGGTTGTGGTTGTGGTTGTGGTTGTGGTGTGGCAGTCCTACCGGTCTTTTGAGAAGTACCCACGCAACCCAGTGCCCATGTATGTGCCTCCAACCCTAACGGCCACGTAGAGAGGGATGGGTTTGGCGCCTCAAGAGAGTACCCACGCAACCCAGTGCCCATGTATGTGCCTCCAACCCTAACGGCCACGTAGAGAGGGATGGGCTTGGCGCCTCAAGAGAGTACCCACGCAACCCAGTGCCCATGTATGTGCCTCCAACCCTAACGGCCACGTAGAGAGGGATGGGCTTGGCGCCTCAAGAGAGTACCCACGCAACCCAGTGCCCATGTATGTGCCTCCAACCCTAACGGCCACGTAGAGAGGGATGGGCTTGGCGCCTCAAGAGAGTACCCACGCAACCCAGTGCCCATGTATGTGTCTCCAATAACCACATAAATAGGGATTTGCAGAGTTTCTGTAGGAGCTTCGTCAATAATTCTGTTCTTGATCAAAGTCAATTACAGCACCCATTCTGCTGTGGACGCGCATGCCAGGGGGAGGGAATGGCAGGGGGAGGGCATGCCTGGGGGAGGGCATGCCTGGGAGGGAGGGGACGGGAAGGATGCGGGAGTGAGTGCGACGGAGTAGGAGACATGGGTGGCCAAAACGGGGGCCTGCAACGGGGCTAAACTGCAACGGGGCTAAACTGCAACGGGGCTAAACTGCAACGGGGCTAAACTGCAACGGGGCTAAACTGCAACGGGGGATGGAAGCATGGACGATGGGAGCACGAAGGAGGGGAGCACGGAGGAGGGGAGCACGGAGGAGGGGAGCACGGAGGCTGTCCAATCGAGGATGAGGATAATGGCTCCGCAGGTGATTGCGTTGTCTTTGTTGCGTGCAAGGAGCGAGCTTGGAGGTTGTCTGTCCCCATGGAGGATGAAGATGATGATTCCACAGTTGATTGCCTTGTCTTCGTTGCGCGAAGGGAAAATGGTGTCTAAGAGAAGTAGGGGCGGGGAGAGAGAGGGAGAGGGGAGAGAGAGAGGGGGGAGAGGGGGAGGAGGGAAAGAGTGTGTGAGATACAACGGACAGGGTCCATCTGCTCGTTACTAACACCCTATCTTTCTTCTCCAGTGTGTGTCTTTCTGCTCGTCTGTCCGTCTTCCCACTTTCCTGCTTGCCCGTGCCACCGCTTGTCGTCTGCCTGTGTGCTTGTCTCTGCCCACTTTTCCCCGTGCTCCTATTCTCACCAAGGTCATTGGCAGGGCGTGTGTAATGGGTCTATTTTTTAGTCGGCTCAAGAATATACTCATTGCACACTGTGCACCTTGTCTCACCAAGGTCATTGGCAGGGCCCTTTTGGATTTGAAGACGCCTCAGAAGTCAGTGTGCCTGTCTCTGCCCACCTTGCACTCCACTCTGTTCCTTGTCTCTTATCTGTTGTGACACTAACGGGCGACTACCCTTCCCTCACCATCCTGCCTTACTGGACCTTACAGAATACCCTCCACTCTGTTCCTTGTCTCTTTTCTGCTGTGACAGTAACGGGCGGCTACCACTTTCTCACCATCCTCCTTTACTGGCCTATCAGCCTACCTTCCCCTCTGTTGATCAATCACAGGGGACGATGCTTGGGTAGATATTCACGGCAAACTACTCACCACTGTCTTCCCCGAGTGGAAAACTGGCCCCCCGAATGCGTGTCCTTTTGACTTTTAAGGCGCCTCAAAGTCTGTGCGCCTCTCTTTGCCTGCCTTCCCGTCCACTCTGTTGTGACAGTCACACGCGGCTACCCCTCCCTCACCACTATCTTCCCCGAGTGGGAAACTGGCCCCCCGAATGCGTGTCCTTTTGACTTTTAAGGCGCCTCAAAGTCTGTGCGCCTCTCTTTGCCTGCCTTCCCGTCCACTCTGTTGTGACAGTCACACGCGGCTACCCCTCCCTCATTACTATCTTCCCCGAGTGGGAAACCGGCCCCCCCGAATGCGTGGTCCTTCTTGGGATGGTCTTTGGGGTCATGATGCTCCTTACCGTCACTTGCATCGCCTACTGCTGTGCTGACCCTGGGGATAACGACCCGGTCAAGACCCCGCTTGTGGTTTTGAGGCGCCCCAAAACGATGACCTGGTCAAGACCCCGCTTCTCGAGGGGAGGTGGTGAATGCTATGGCGAATGTGAGGGAAGGGAGCCGCCTCTGTTCATTTTGCTTCTTTCTTTGGTGGGTTGAGTGTGAGGACACGGGGAATGTGAACTGTAAAATTTATTTGTTGTTGTTTTCATGTGCGTTTGGTCGGTTCAAAGGCCGTTTTTGTTGGTTCCATGAACGGTTTGGTTTTGGTTGTGGTTGTGGTTGTGGTTGTGGTTGTGGTTGTGGTTGTGGTGTGGCAGTCCTTCCAGTATTTTGTGAAGCCGCCCAAGGGCCTATTTTTGAGTCGACTCAAAAGCCACCTCGTTAAAAGGGTCTGCACATGAGCCCAGCGGCCGTGTATGTGCCCCCAACCCCAACGGCCAAGTAGGGAGTAGGCTGTGGTGGTATAAATGAGGCGGCTCATGTCTGGGGTGGATGGGAGGGATGCGGGAGACGCAGGAGCCATGGGAGGGGAGTAGGCTGTGGTGGCGGCGATGACCCATGCGCATCAAGACTTGAAGGGCTGCAGGCTGCTGCAAGGCCAAGGCAAGTCGGAGAAGAAGGGCTCGTGTATGCCTGGGGGGGAACGCGAGGGAAGCAGGAGACGCAGGAGCCATGGGAGGGGATTAGGCTATGGTGGTATCGATGAGACGCCTCGAGGCTTGAAGCGCTGCGACCTGCTCTACTGTGAAGGCTTTCGCCCATGACGGCCGTCGACTGCCAGGGGTGTGGGGACAGAGGGACAGGGTCAGCATGACCGGGTCGGAGGAAGGGTGGAGGAGGGTCAGAGGAGGGGCAGAGGAGGGTCAGAGGAGGGTCAGAGGAGGGGCAAAGGAGGGGCAGAAGAGGGTCAGAGGAGGGTCAGAGGAGGGGCAGAGGAGGGGCAGAGGAGGGTCAGAGGAGGGGCAGAGGAGGGGCAGAGGAGGGTCAGAGGAGGGGCAGAGGAGGGGCAGAGGAGGGTCAGAGGAGGGTCAGAGGAGGTTCAGAGGAGGGTGAGAGTAGGGTCAGAGGAGAAATCCCCCAAAACAGGGATGCCAGAGGCGGCATAAGACGAAGCCGGACAGCGTGCTGCACGTTCATGATGGATGTCGCAAGACGGGGGAAGGGGCTGAATTTTAGGCGCCTCAAAACCAGAAGAAGCAGGAAAGCGTGCTGCACGTTCACGACGGATTATCGAATGACGGGCGAGGAGGCGGGGGAAGGGGGCAGAGAGGGGGGGAGATGGGAAGGTTACTGCCAAATGCGTGCCTCCAACTGGGCCGAGCCGCAACACACCATGTTGCGGCAGCTCACCTTGGTACTGGCAGCTCACCTTGGTACCGGTAGCTCACCTTGGTACCGGCAGCTCACCTTGGTACCGGCAGCTCACCTTGGTACCGGCAGCTCACCTTGGTACCGGCAGCTCCCCTTGGTACCGGCAGCTCACCTTGGTGCCGGCAGCTCACCTTGGTGCCGGCAGCTCACCTTGGTACCGGCTGCTCACCTTGGAACCGACAGCTCACCTTGGTACCGGCTGCTCACCTTGGAACCGACAGCTCACCTTGGTACCGGCAGCTCACCTTGGAACCGGCAGCTCACCTTGGTACCGGCAGCTCACCTTGGTACCGGCAGCTCACCTTGGTACCGGCTGCTCACCTTGGTACCGGAAGCACCGTCCTTGTTCCTGCAGCAGCTGTCGGCATTCTAGTGTTGAGGCACCTCAAAACAGAACAGCTCACCGTGTTGGTGGCACCAGCTCACCTTGGGACCAGCAGTGCCAACCTACCTTGCTCCTTCTGCAGCCGTCGGCATTCTACTCTTGAGGCGCCTCAAAACAGAAACAGCACACGGTGTTGGTGGCACCAGCTCACCTTGTACCAGCAGTGCCAACCTACGTTGCTCCTGCTGCAGCCGTCGGCATTCTTCCCCCATGAGCTGCTACTGTCAAACATGCACTACCTGCAACGTGGCTAAGCCGCAACACCACCAACCTTGATCCTGCAGCAGCCGTCAGCGTTCCTCTAGGGTCAGCTGCTGCGGATGCAGATCCTCGTCGCTCAGATCCTCGTCGCAAAACACCTGATCCACGCTGCCTGCTACTCTTGCTTTGATTCGTACTGGTAATTTGCTTGCTTATCCTAGCTGGGCTCGCATGGAGGAGACCTGTGGAAATGTGTAGTTCACAGATCTCTATGGTTTGTTTCAATTATTCATATTTCTCTACTTCACGCTGGTTTCAAAATCGATGATGGATCATGCACAATAAGAGCGTGTCCCTACGAGCCTCTTCCCAGGCAACCACTTCCGAGACTCACGTGCGACCTTGAGAGCATGTTCCCATGACCACTTTTCGGAATACTCCCGTTTCATATTTGCGTTCCATCGCTCTCAACCACATAAAACCACATGGGCACTCCCTGGACGTGCATGTTGATGGCTTGCTTCCCCGCCCTCCCGCGCCTGATCCCCTCCCTGCTGACCCCACCACTGCTCAGCGTGAGGCCTTTTCTGCTGCTGTGCTTGCTCGCAATGTCTGGGATTCCCGTGATGCAGTAGCGCAGCTAGCCATTGGTCATGCTCTTCCCCTGTCTGAGCGTCCGCGCTTCACTGCTGTCGCGAATGCCCAGGATTTGTTAGATGCAGTCGTTGTGCACTACTCCACGCCCGCCTCCGCCTCTGCTGGCCGCCTGATCCTCCATATGTTGTTCCCTGGTCTTGCCGCTTTCTCCACAGTCGCTGACCTAGCCACTCACCTCCGTAGGCTAGCTACCGCGCCACTAGCACTGACGCCCAGCTCACTGCCTTTCCCCCGCTGTTCTCTGCTACCTTGTACCTCATTGCCATGCGCCTTCCGGATCGCTTAGCCACATCCCGCAACCACTTCCTTAGTCAGCACCCAGGTGACCTCACCCTTACCACCTTTGTCACTGCCCTGCCTGAGATAGAGACTCGCCAGCGCACTATCGCTCAGTCGAGCTGTGCTGCGGCAGTCCCTATCATTAAGGGCTGTGCGCCCTCCCACTGCACGAACGCTGACATTTCAGCCACGGTCGTTGCGACTGCCCCTCCCGATGAGACCGCAGCTGTGGCGTCCCCACAGTTGCGCCCGCGTTGGGGCCATCGTGGCCCCAAGGGGGAGCATGGTGTCGGTGGTGGTGGTGGTGGTGGTGGTGGTGGCGGGGATAGTGGGTCTGACGAGGGGATCAGGACTGGTGCCCAGGAGCAGCAGCAGCCACAGCCGCCGCAGCAGCAACAGTCGTGGGCCCGCCTCCCGCCGAGATGGCCAGGAGCCTCTGGCGGTGGCGGCCCTCGCAGCTCGGCATCGGCCGGCAGCTTCGGTGCTGTGAGGTGCCAGTACGAGCTCCAAACTGGCCCCCTTAGCCGCACTGTGTGTCGTCGCACGCACCCGACCGCCCGCTGCTTTTGCCGCCTCGACGACCTCTTTCGTCGCCGCTTCGGCCCGGCCCCGGACCTCCCTGACTGGCCCAGTCTGCTGTGCCACGATTTGTCATTGATCAGATTTGTTATGCCCTACATTCTCTGTATGCAAATGCTTCTAGTGTGCCCAGATCTTATTATCCTGTGTTATTTAATTTAGGTGTAGTACCTGTTTGTAGTACGGACTTCCCTGTTGCGTCAGGCGTAGGACCTTCTGTCTTGTCTAGACTAGGCTCTACGCTCGCTCCTCCTCCGGCCGTAGCTTCTGCTTCGCTGTCCTTTACAATTGAATGTGGTGCGTCTGCCTGATGATTTCGTGACCACGCCACACTCACGCCGCTTGCAGCACCTGCCGCTGTCGGCCTTGCTGACCCCTCCTCGGGTCCTGTCGTTGCCCGTAGCTACACTACCCTTCCCTGTCTAGCGGTTCCCTCGGGTTCGCTTACAGGCCTGCACATCCCTTCGTTCTCCAGGAACCTAGTTGGTGTCAGTTGTCTTCCGGAGCCTCCAATCGAGGGCAGAGCGAATCACATCCGGCTGCGGTACTTCCTCCTGTGCGAGCTACTGCAGCGCCACGAGGCCCGCGTAGTACACTTGGCCTCAAGTGCCAACACATCTGATATCTTTACTAAGGCGCTTGCGCCTAGAGATCATCAGCGACACTATTTACAGCTTGGGCTAGTTCCTGTAGCTCCTCACTTGCTAGGACCTTGAGTGTGTACTCCTCTTTATATATATATATATGTATATATATATATATATATATTCTTGACTGGCCTTGAGGCTTGTCTTCCAGTGGCCGGACTAATAGTGCCGCCCTGGTTTGCTCTTGTTGAGTTTGTACTCTTGCTGAGTGGTCTTCAGACCCTTACCTCAAAGGTTGGACTAGTAGTGCCACCCTGAGTTGTGTGTTTCTTGCTCAGCCTTATCTAGCCTAGGGGGTGTGTCAACTGTTAAATTATACAGTGACGGAAACAATTGTCCGGATGTTTTGCATTGTTTAGGGTTTTTTGGCTTTCCGACCACTGTACATAAAGTCTTAATGTTTAATGGTGGTGTGCTTTGGGAGGGGCACATAGTGGATGTGTTCACAGCACTAAAACCAATGATAGTACACTATATTCAACTTAGTGCCAAAAGATATGTACATCCGGACAATTGTTTCCCATGACAAATTGCAAACTTCTGAGCAGCGTTTCTAGTACCTAGTCAACGGACACTTGGCCTTGATCACCACCCGCACCCTCCTATGCATGTTATCTACGAGGTTAGTGCAAACCTTTTACATCGATCTTCTCGCACTCTTCCTGGACCCACACCTTTGCATAAGGGGGTGAGCACTAAGAAAATTGCGAAGGATTTGAGCGTATGCAAGAGTACTGTGCACGATCTTATATTGAATGTTATCTCTAAGACTAGCCACGCTGAGGTGTGGCCAAAGATGCCATAAGTCGATTGGTCCCGTCTTATCATGGATCGTCTTCTTCGTACCGTTGTAGGGTAAAAATTACGAGCAGAGTGGAGAAAACTAGCGTATCTTCCGTGAAACTTAGGGTAACATAGCACGGTCGACTGTGCATCCTTGCACTATTAGAATCGCGCTAGGATCCGTAGGTCTCGTCACGGTGCAGCAGTCGAAGAAGTCGCGACTATTCAGAAAGAATATCCAGGTTGAGATCTGGTGAGGAAAAGGGTCACTACAGCGTAACATGCTCATGCTCTCTAGGCCATTCTAAGCCATGTGTCATGCCTAGGCTTGGAATGGCTTGGAGAGCATGAGGTTGTAGTACTGGAGTGACCTTCTTCCTCACGAGACCTAGATCCGATATTCTTCCCCACCAGTCGGGGCTTATTTGACTGCTGTACCGTGACGAGACCCGTAGATTTTAAAGTGATTATATTAGTGAATGGGTGCACAGTTGACCGTGCTATGTTACCCTACGTTTCGCGGCGGATACTCTAGTTTTTGCCAATCTGCTCGTAATTTCACTCTACAACGGTACGACGAAGACGATTCATGATAAGATGGGACTAATCGACTTATGACATCTTTGGCCACACCTCAGCGTGGCTAGTCTTAGAGATAACATTCAATATGAAATCGTGCACAATAATCATGCATACGTTCAAATACTTCGCGATTTTCCTAGTGCTCACCTCCTTATGCAAAAGGGTGGGTCCAGGAAGAGTGCGAGAAGATCCCTGTAAAGGTTTGCACTAACCTCGTAGATAACATCCCTAGGACGGTGCAGGTGGTTATCAAGGCCAAGTGTTGGTGGACTAGGTACTAGAAACGATGCTCGGAAGTTTGCTCTTTGTCCTGGGAAATAATTGTCCAGATGCACTCTTTGTATATCTTTTGGCACTAAGTTTGATCAAGTGTACTACTATGGAATTTAACGCTATGAACACATCCATTATGTGCCCCTCCCAAAGCGTACCACCATTAAATATTAAGACTTAATGTACAATGGTCAGAAAGCTCAAAAACCCTAATTAATGCAAAACATCAGGACAATTGTTTCCGTCACTGTATATATATTATATATAATTGTAGGTTTGGTAGTTATGCTTCTTACTGAATCCTACTATAGAGGGGACAAACACCCTTCTTGTATCTCCTTCTCTTCTAGTCCTATCCTCTCTTCTCTCGACATTTTCTCTCCTTCCTAAACCTCTCGCCATTTCATGGCGCCTCTTCCTAGCTAGCTCATTTTGACATGGTGTCAGAGCAGGAGGTCCGCCCTGCTTGGCCGCCTCCTCACGCTTCCGCCGCGTACTCCTTCCCCTCATGCTACTTCCGCGCCGCTGTGACGGCCATGTCGTGCTGCCATGGTGGCTTTGTCGTGCTGCCGTGGCAGCCTTGACGTGCTGCCGTGGCTTCGACGCCACATCGTGGCGACTTCGTCATGCCGCCGTGCCGCCGTCGTCGCGTCAGCGCACCAGCGGCAGTGGGCTGCGCACTGGTTTAGGCGCCAGGCAGCCAACCCTCTCTCCAGCTCGCCGCGCCTCCCTTGCTCGTCGTGTCGGACCCAGCTCGCCGCGTCGGACCCAGCTTGTCGCGTCGGTCCCAATTCTCTGCTCAGGACCCAGCTCGTCGTGTCGGTCCTTGCTCGCCACGCCAGCTGGCTTCGCCCCGCCGCAACTCAAGGATGCCTAGCGCCTTCCTTCCCTGCAGTCACCTCTGCTGCAGGGTATGGGAGTGCTAGGCTTCGAGGTGCTGTGGGTAGGATGGGCTTGCCACCAGGGTTCTTGCTAAGTTTTAAGCCCGTCTGAAAATCAGACGGGGTTTCAAAATTTCGTCTGACCATCATATGAGCACATTTCTCAGGTCTGAGGTTTCAGACAAAACGTACACCGATGTCTGAACCTTCAAACGAAACTCACACGCACACTCAGGGTTAGCTGATTGAGGGACTGATATTTGAGCAGACAGGGTGTTTGAGCGTCATCCGTTCTTCGCTAGCCCGATCTTGCCCATCGCAAAAAAAACCGGCTAATCCCGATCTTGCCCATCGCAAAAAAAAACCCAGGAATGCGATTGGGTGAGGGAGGAAATTCAGGCTTTTTTTGGGGGGTGTGGAAGGAGTGTACCTGGCAGTGGGGGACATCGGGAATTAGGTTGGGAGCGGCGTAAGGAGGAATATATCTGGTGTAGGGGACTAAGCTGGAATATCTAGTGTGCGGGACTTAGCCGAAAACAACAAGTTGCGAGGGGCATTGGGGGAGGATTGTATCTAGTGTGCGGGACTGAGCGGAAAACAACAAGTTGCGAGGGGCGTTGGGGGAGGAATGTCTCTGGTGTGAGTAACTTGGCCATTACCAACCTGGACCTGGGATTAATGGGTTTGGTGGGTGGAATTGTCGCTGTCAGACGAGAATATCCTCGCTATCTGAAATCTCAGATGAACCGCTAGACTGAAGTCTGCGAATTCAGACGAAATTTTATAACAAGTATGGACGTTCAGACGAAATATTAGACCCCGTCCAAAAATCAGATGAACAGCAAAAAACGGGTCTAATTTTCAGACCATCAGACGGATTTCGTCTGCTATCGGGAACCCTGCTCGCCACTTCCAAGCCTAGGGGGTGTGTTGAATAATATATTATATATATAATTGTAGGCTTGGTAGTTGTGCTACTTATTGAATCCTACTCTAGAGGGGACAAACCCCCCTCTTGTATCTCCTTCTCTTCTAGCCATATCCTCTCTTCTCTCGACATTGTCTCTCCTTCCGAAACCTCTCGCCATTTCATGGCGCCTCTTCCTAGCTAGCTCATTTTGACATCAATTTATACATATGTAAAAGTAAAAGTTATAGGCTATATAAGTTTGTGTTCATAGAGGGTACAACTCTAACCCTATATCCTCCCCTGTACTACCTTGTTCTAGATCATTCTACTATTCTAACAACAAGAACATTTAACCAATTAAAACTAAAGGCTAAAATAGCAGGGGGGGGCTTCAAGTGAGCCCCTCTTGAAGAGGGGGCACTCTTGAAAAAGTTGGGTTGCGAGAGCAAAATTGCCAGGGAAATTTTTGGGCAGCAGGGCAGATACGAACCCACCATAATCCGTACCTACGGGAGGTTGGGCGATTTCTGCACGCGTGCGACGAGGTCCCCAAACCCACGCACGACAGTTCCGACAGGGAATGTAAGTTGCAACTAGGGCGTGTTTGTTCTTGTGATCAGTATCCCTTCCCCACTCGAAATCACAAGAATGCAGGGCTGTGGCGCAACTTGGAGCGAAATGAGCTGCAAATGCAAGGCAATGCGCCAAGTGCGAACACGCTACAACGACTAGGTTCAGGGGCACAACAAAAATACGCGCCAAAATACTCTAAACCAGAACAGTGGAACAAACACTAGCGAATTTCGGATAAACACATAAGTATCACAATGGTTAGGAGATAACAACCATGCTGAGTATAAGCACATTACGAAGTGTTCCTAGTTGTAATACGTTGCACTGTTGGGTTGCGCTACTAAATAGATGCAAAACAAGAGAATTTACACTATTGAATAAGCAAGACTTGCACACCACCCTTGGCCTTTGCGAGAGGTAGGGAAAGGAAGCATTTGCCTCGACGACAAGGAGATGCAACAGAGGAGAGAGCGGGGGGACATCGAAGCGCGGCGGGACAGCAGAGTGCGGGAGGAAAGCATAGAGAGGTGGGGACAACAGAGAGCGGGGGGAAAGCAGAGAGTGGTGGGGACAGCAGAAAGTGGGGGGAAAGCAGAGAGAGGTGGGGGCAGCAGAAACTGGGGGGAAAGCAGAGAGAGGTGGAGACAGAAGAAAGTGGGGGGAAAGCAGAGAGATGGGGACAGCAGAAAGTGGGGGGACAGGAGGGAGGGGGGGGGAGCAGAGAGCAGGGGGACAGCAGAGAGAGGGGGGGACAACAAAGCAGGGGGGCAGCAGAGAGCGGGGGGACGGCAAAGAGCGGGAAGATTGAAGGCGCAGGAGAGAGTGGAGGGACAAGGGAGTGAGGCATAGGTGAGACTTCGGATAAAAGGGGTTACACGGATGGGGCTTGGGATGCGTGGGTAGGAAATGCAGGAATGTAGGAGGGTACCCAGCATAGCTATCCCCCAGCCCCCCCCTCTCCCGTACCGTCCCCCTATCCATGCCTTCCCTTTTTACTCCCTTCCCTTCAAGCAGCCTGCCTTTCTCCCACCTTTCCTATCCTCTCTCGCCCCCTATATCCATGGTTTCCCCTTCCCCCCCCCCACCTCACATCCTACCTCTCTCCAGCCCTTCCTATTCCACTCCCAAATTTGATGCCATCCTAGACCCTCATTCCATGCATGGTTTTACCCTCAGTTCGCTCTTACCCCCCCATATAACCCCTTCTAGTTCCCTAAACCCACTCGTTCCGCTCACCTCCCCCCCTCATCTCCCTCACCTCCCCCCCTTATGCCGCTCGCCTGTCCCCCTTATTCCTCTCGTCTCCTCCTATCTCCCCATCTTCCCATCTATCTCCCCATCTCCCCATCTATCTCCCCATCTCCCCATCTCCCCATCTCCCCATCTATCACCCCATCTCCCATCTCCCCATCTTCCCATCTCCCCATCTCTCTCCACATCTCTCTCCCCATCTCTCTCCCCATCTCTCTCCCCATCTCTCTCCCCATCTCTCTCCCCATCTCTCTCCCCATCTCTCTCCCCATCTCTCTCCCCATCTCTCCCCCTCCATCTCCCCCTCCATCTCCCCCTCCATCTCCCCCTCCCCAGCCGTCTCCCTGTCTCCCCGTCTCCCCTTCTCCGTCTCCCCGTCTCCCCATCTCCCCATCTCCCCCTCAATCCGATCTCCTCTCCCCCTTAATCCGCTCTCCTCTCCCACTCATTCCGATCTCCACTCCTCCTCAATCCACTCTCCTCTCCCCCTCATTCCGCTCCCCACTCCCCCTCAATCCGCTCCTCCTCTCCCCCTCAATCCGCTCTCCTCTTCCCCTCAATCCGCTCTCCTCTTCCCCCTCCTCGAGCTGGCGAGCTATGCTTCTCGCACACCAGTGAACTCCCACGAAATCTCGCCGACGTGTAGATGAACGTCTCGTAAACACCCATGGCACTCTGCCCAGCGATTTCGCCGAGTGGCGGTTGACAGTTAACTACGTTGAGCTTGCTTAGGTCATTTCCACCGCTTCCTGCCGCCGCTACTGTACGATACGTTGTTTTTTGCTGAAACTAAAGGGTCGTTCACAAGCGAGGGACCGTCAGCATGCCTTGGTGGATTTTTTAGACCTGGGAAATGGCTGGAGAGTTGCGCTACGCTAGCGTAAGTGCCGCGTACTCTACGTCTGAAAAGCAATAGCAAACCTGGGGCTCACTTGAAACTCTGCCCTGGTGACGGGTATTCGCATATACTTCATTTGGTTGAACCTTGCGACCATCGAGATTGTCGCCGCGTGTTTCCCTGGTGAGTTACGATCCGCGTTGTTCCGTTAGCCAATGGTTGCGTGCTGCAAAATGGCAGCATTTTTTTTTTTCATGCCGGGATGGATACACCACTGCAAAACGGGCGATTTTCTTTGACCCTTAAAGAAATCAATTTTCAAGTGAGCCTCCCCTTAGCTATTCTAGCCCGTGGTTTTAAGTCTTATCGGTACGTACAAATTCATGATCCCCACAGCGGGTGTTTCTGCCGGGTGTTTGGAAATGCTTGGTGAACCGAACCGATGTCTCCACGTGGAATTTGCGGTTCAACTCAAGTGACATGGCTAGCCGCTGAAGGTTTGCAATGCAAACTTGTTGCGAACCGGCGTGAGCACTACAAAACACCAGTTCCAATTGACCAGATAGCATATCCAGGAAGCAATATAAATCCAAGTGGTCGGTATAATGACGAATTTGGGATGGACGTGGATGCTACGCTGAAACGTTTCTTGTTTCAAAAGGAGTAGGTGCCTTGCTTGTCTAGTGCTTTTTCTTTTCCCCGCACTTGTCATGTATCTTAATATTGTTAACGCACACAGCACAACAGGTGTGTATATGACCTTGACGAGGGATGCTCTGCTTTCTTCTTCTTGATGAGGGATGGACAGACGTGGCACGGCTGGGCAGAGCAAGTTGGTTTTCTCAATCAGCCGACACGCTCCGCAGAAGTTTCTGAGTCGTCACGAGTAAGCGAGAGCCCTTCTCACCGTTACTGCAACCTGAGCGATGTCGAATCATTTCGCCACCGCTTTCGCGTGTTCCTCCTGACGGGCAATTTTTTCCCTCCACAGTGAAGTGTGCGAGGTCGTTCTGGTGTGGAGGTCGCAATTGACTGACGAGACTTTCGTCGCTCGCGGGAGCCAGGCGAAAACATGGGGGTTTTCAGGAAACTCAGTGGCTCTTCTTGGCAGGTTTTCTTTTGGAGGTAGGTCCCTGTGAAATACTGCAGGAGCTAGGGTTTGCTCATTGGCTGTAAAGCTTGTCTGGGAGTATTAGGCCTGCAGCTCGTAGCTCCTAGAAGGTACCATAATATTCACGTAGCACTCTGTTGTATTCTGAGCAGCACAACTATGGCGCGTTTTCTCCTGCTTTCTGCTCTGCTGGTCGTCTCTGTGGCTTTTGCCTATGGACAGTTTCAAATTAGCGAGACTCAGGGCATGGTACGTGCTGTTGCGGTAGCTTTATGCAGTTGCACCTCTTCCATGCCTTTTCGTCTCAAAAACTTTCTGTGGCGTTTCTATGTCTTATAATCGCTATCTTTCAGAACTGTGGTCACTACGTTGCCTTGACACAACTACAGGTACATCCTAAATTCGCAGCACCATGTTCAAATGGTTCACTGCTCTCTTCGTGCCTTCACCATCTAGTTCCGTTGCCTTTCTCTTGCATGTGCTTCTACCCGTCTCATCTCAACCTTGCTTCTCCTTTGTCTCATCTTCATTAACCGTAGTCTGTCTGTCTCGTCGATTGCACATGCAACACAGCTTTGTCGGTCATGTCTCATTTCTCCCTCTCCCCTCTCCTCCTCCGTGTATTTTCCCGCGGTGCTTCGTTGCTTTACTCTTTTTTTTTTTGGAATTTCCGTCTGTTGTTCTGCCATGGCAGTCTGGCAATGTTGGTGGCTTCCATCTCCGCGGAAATGTCATGTTCGTCGTCGCGAGTCGACTGCCATCCGTCACCCGCGTGATAGTCCATAGCTTCCCGTCTTCCATCTCTCACGTACTCAACGAGCTCCGCGCCAAGCCCGAAGACACGGAGGAGCCTTCGCAGATCTCCGAGTCTTCTAACGAGGATATTCCGACTCCGGTGCCTATTGCAAATGAGGAGGAGGATGTTTTTGCCTCGGGCGGTGAATCCAGCACAGTTTCCAACGCTGGCGATGACGACGCTACCGCCGAAACGATTTCTGACGAGGTCAAAGAGGATTCCGACACGGAAGACGTCAGAATCTTGACGGAAGACGACAGCGACGCTGCCGTCACTGCCGACCCCGCCTCCGACGAGCTTATCGCGACGGGAACGGAGGATGCCGCTGCTACCACTGCCGTCACTGGTCCGTGGAACCACCTCACATCTGCGTTCGACAGTTTCGTACGCTCTCGCGATTTGGATAAAGGTCTCGATCTCGACGAATTCTTTTCTGCGATTCCAGCTGAGTCGCTCTCTCAGGGGGAGCGAGACGAGCTCAACGAGGTGAAGAAGCTTTTCCAGGCCGTAAACGTCAGGACGCGCGCTCATTGGGGGGGTTCGAGCACGGAGGATGCGGTCACTTCGGATGATCCCTTTTTGGAAGCCATTAGCAACGGGGTGGCGACTTCGGAGGAGGGTGCGAGCTCGGAGGAGGGAAGCACGGAGGATGCGAGCTCGGAGGAGGGGAGCTCGGAGGATGCGAGCTCGGAGGAGGATGCGAGCATGGAGGCTGTCCCGATCGAGGATGATGACTCCGCCGGTAATAATTTTGTCTTCGTCGCGAGAAGGGCAGAGGGGGAGGGTCAGGGAGGGAGAGTGTGAGAGAGAGTGGGTAGGGTTGGGGAAGGACTCAGCTGTACCACTTGTCTGTTATCACGGCCCATGGATCGTTGTTAATCTGCTCGTTACTAATCCTTGTCTGGCTTTCTTCCAATGTGCCTGTCTCTCTGCCTGGCTGTCTTCGCATTTACCTGTTTGCCCGTGCCACCGCCTGCCTGTCTGTGTGCCTGTCGCTGCCTACCTTCCACTCTGTCCCTCTGTCTCTTTATCAGCCACAGGCGACGATGCTGAAGTGACAGTCATGGTCGATTACCCCTTGCCGACCATCCTCCCCTACTGGACCGTCACCAACATCATTGGCCTTGTCCTTCTCGGGATGGCCTTCGTGCTCCTGGTCACCATGATGATTCTCAGCCTCGCCTCCATTCTCTATGGCTGTGCGGATCCTGAGGATGATGACTCGACCGTTCTGCTCTATGAGGACAACACCAAGACCCCGCTTCTCAAGGTGAGATGGGTGAAGGCTTCGGTGTGAGGGAACTCCCTCAGTTCTTTGCTTCTTTCTTTTGTGGGGATGAGTGTGAGGACATGGGAAATGTGAACTGTCAATAATTTTTGTTGTTTCCACGTATGTTTGTGGTTGTTGTGTGGCAGTCATATGTCGTGGAGTACTCGCCCAAAGGCCAGCATGTGAACCCAGTGGCCGTGTATGTGCCCCCAGCGGCCAAGTAGAGGGGGATTGGTATGAATTTCATTAAGAAATTCATCAATAACTCGGCTGTCCTTCATAACAGCGCCCATTTTGCTCAAGACTGGCAGGGAGGATGTTTCATCGATAATGCTACTGTGAATAGCCGTTAATTTTATGTGTACAGTAATGTTGGTGTGGTGCATTGTAAGTCCCAGTTCAACTAAGGAGTGGAGGTTGTACATGGACTCGATTTGTGTTTCCCGGTATGGTGTAGTGTAGTCTACTAGCGTTCACCCACCCGGAGCTACAATTAGTCAGGGCTATGTGTACCACCAAACCATGGGCTCCCCCACCGATATTTCATGCCACCTCTTCAGCGGGTATGCTATTCTTTACCCTTCCTGACATGGCAGGTGCTTTTTGTACCCTGATTCCTACGGGTTGATAAAACCAATTTGGGTTCTGCCTGTGAACTGTGTGTGTACGCGCTGTCATGACTTCGATAAGCTCTGAAAGCGAACTCGTTCCGAGATTCTCTTGTACGGTATGCGGCGAACTTTGCTGAGAGCGACAGCAGCAGCACCGAATCCCACGAAGGACAGTGGCATAGGTCATGGCGACGTGAGTGAGTTCATCTCGCCATAGATCCTTGCTTCGTAAGTAGTGCGGGAACGATGTTGATTCACTTGTGAGACAGCAAAAGCCCACTCGACTTCTCTCTGCTTCTGACATCATGGAAGGATGTGGAAAACGCCTTGGTGCGCCAGTAAGAAGCAGGTTTCGTCAGGCGGTTCGCAACCCGTCCCTTTCTCGGGATTGTCGATTGCTGCTTGTCACCAGCAATGACTCGATTAACTAGCAATACTGGTTACTACCACCAGTGATGACTACGAGAATGTCACTAGCAGGCGACTGACGCCTGACGGTTTCAGTCGAGGTTGACTGACCGTCCAATTCTCCAGCATGACGGCGGTCAGTCAACCTCAACGATACGACACCATGGCGATTATGCCGACGTGGTTTTTTAGAAGTTCCAAGCAGCGGGGGTCTCGAATCTCTGTATCTCGAGACACGTGCGGTATGACATGCTGAGAGACATGCGTAGAGTCTCCATCAGCCATAGCAGGCTTCGTGCAGCGGGTGTATTTCATTCTAAATATGGCCTTAACCTCATGGCGTTGACTCGCACGTCACCATTGCCGGAGCTTCTGCCCGGCACCGAGATGTCACTGACATTGCCTGATCGAGTCAGGGTGCTTTGCGACTGAAAAAATCCGTTCCATAAAACTGGAAATGGCCAGATGTCAGCTTGAAACGTTGACGTGATACCAGTGACGTCCAGGAATTCTCCGTCAGCCGTCACACGATTCTTCGTCCAACGTCACATGATTCTCCGTCCGTTGAGACGGCTCACACGTCACTTACAGTACGGACGTCTCATTCCGGCGTGCGCTTACAACTGGTGGCACACTCGTCCCGGACAGGTCCTACTGTCCGCTCCTGCCGCGGAAACGTCGCTTACAAGGCCTGTCGCGCCACTAGTCAAACTCAACTTAAAGTGACTGGCGGTCATCTCGAGGGGAGGTACTCCAACCTATTTCAAATCTGCAAGCTGAGATTAATTTCAGGGAGCTAGCTTCCAGCCCGGAGTGACAGTGAATCCCGTCCGTGGTGCCATCGACCGAATCTCCTTATGAATGTGCAGTGTTTATCTGCTAAGGGTAAGGGCACATAGCTGTGTTGATTGGAGCATGCTTAGTGTCATCATGAGGAGCTATTTTCTCACGCCCATGTGGTTTTGTGTGTAGAGAGTGGGAGTACGCACCGGCCATTCTGCTGCGCGCGTCATCTTTAATTGAAGTGAAGACCCTTGCAGGCTCGACCGTCGTTTGCTACAGCTGAGAGTTCGGAGTCTCGTGATTGCAGCAACTTCCTCGTACGAGCAATATCAGCAGCAATCTCAAGAGCCGTATCAGCAACACCATCAGCGATACCGTCAGCCTGGCCGCATCAAAGAATCTCCGCAAGGCAGCATCAAAGCTACTCGCCATGGCAGAGCACACCCTCGATATCCCTCCTGAAACTCCTCCTCACCTGCAGGACAACCACATCATTACCAACCCCATGGGCTCAAACCAGCTGGATCTGAATCTGAACAGAGATATGCCGGAAGGCGCTCCTCCAACCTTCCAGGAAGCCAGTGGGTTACCAACTCGGGATTCCTCTCCTCCACCCGTTTCACCTCGTAGTCTCGCTTCCCCGCCACATTCACCTCCTAGCGCTGGCACGCTCTCTCCTCCCCTCTCCTCTCCTTCCCTCCTCTCCCCTCATCACTCCACCCCCTCCTCCCTCTGCTTCCACAACATCTCGTACTTGTCCCCATCGGGCGCCATCCACTGGCCTTCCTCCCTGCCATTCCCTCCCTCTGCTCCTCCACTGTACGTTCAAGCAGCACTGCGCAAGCCAGCACTAACGAGCCTCCAATTATTCCTCAACACAGTCTCACTGGATACCGTCACAAGGGAAACTCTGTGAAGCAGCAGCAGCAGCAGCGGAATCAGCAGCAGCAGTATCCCCAGCAGCAGCAGCGGGGCAGCATCCTGCAGAGGATATCTGGGTGCGCCAAGGCGGGGCAGGTGACAGCAATCATGGGCGCCAGTGGGTCTGGCAAAACCTCTCTCCTCGACATCCTCTCCCACCGCATCTCCCTCCCATCCACACCACATCACATGCCATCACCACCACACCCAACCGCACCACATGCCCTTCGTTCACCTTTAAGAGGAGTGCAAGGGAACCCGGAGGGATCTCAGGATGCAGAGGGAATGATGATGAAGGAGCCTCCCACGTCCATCTCTCTAAACGGAGCGCCTGTGAGCGCAAGCACCATGCGGCGGGTGTCGGCCTATGTGATGCAGGACGATCTGCTCTTCCCCGCGCTCACAGTGCGTGAGACCCTGATGTTTGCTGCCGAGCTGAGGTTGCCGGCAGGGGAAGTGACGAGACAAGACAAGGAGAAGAGAGTCAACGATCTGATGCGCCTGCTGGGGCTCACTCGAGTGGCAGACTCCCGGATTGGAGACGAGAACAGAAGGTGCGTAAGTTGAGAATGCTGTGTGGCATGTTTTGATGGAGAACAGATGGTATGCGGACAGGAGGTAGGTGAAAGAGAAGGTAGGTGGGACAGAGGGTGGGTGGGACAGAGGGTGGGTGCTGCAGGACGATATCCTCTTCCCCGCACTCACAGTGTGCGTGGAGATGGTGGGAGATCCCATGCTGCTGCTGATGCTACTCTCTCCTCTGTCTCTCTGCCCTCTCCCCTCATTCACTCATTCTCTCCTCTTCTCAGGGGTGTATCAGGTGGCGAGCGCAAGAGGGTGGCAATAGGAGTGGAGATGGTGGGAGACCCCATGCTGCTGTTTTTGGACGAACCCACCTCGGGCCTGGACTCCACATGTGCATTTCACGTAGTGAAGGCAGTCAGGGACGTGGCCAGGCTCAGACAGAGCATTGTGCTCATGGTGCTGCACCAGGTGAGACCTGCACCAGGTGATAGCCAGTGATAGTTTGGGGCACCTCAACTTGCCTCTCTTTGTCTTCGTTTACCTTACCCCCAATACCTTGTCTCTTCAAAACATCCAGCACAGCTCTCCTCGTTTGGCCCCTCTAAATTTCATCCCTCCCCATTTTCTGGCCTAACCCCCTACCTTCTCTTCCTCTCACCCCCCCCTCCTGTCGTTTTTCTCCCCTGCAACTCCAGCCCAGTTTCAGGGTCCTCAATCTTCTTGACAACCTCCTCCTGTGATATTTGGTCCATTCCTTATCTTCCCTCCTTATCCCCCCCCCCACACCCTCCCTTCTCCTGTCTCTTCACAACTCCAGCCCAGTTTCAGGGTTCTCAATCTCCTGGACAACCTCATCCTGCTTGGATCCGGGCATACAATGTTCTCAGGCTGCCCGTCCGAGCTGCCAGGCTACCTCACGGATTTTGGCTGCCCGCCGCCGCCCTATTCCAACCCTGTGGAATTCGCCCTTGACCTGATCCAGTCGCTGCAAAAGGAAGGGGAGCAGGATGGGCAGGAAGGGGGGCAAGAACTTCAGGAAGTGAGACTGAAGCGAAAGGGATTGCAGGATGGACAGGCAGAGGCGACAGGGGAGGTGAAGGAGCAGACGCAAGCGAATGGTGGTGCTGGGACACATGGCATCCAGCGGTTGGCCGAGTTTCACAGGGAATGGGTGGAAATTCGGTCCAGGGGAGCTGGAGTGAAGGCAGTGACAGGCAAACCGGGAGAAGCAGCTGAGCAAGACGATGGGCTGGGTGAACAAGAGGGAGGAGGAGAAACCCAACCATCTGCACCCCATCCGTCCCTCTCTTCTGTCTCCCTCTCCTCTGTCGGGGGGCTGGGTGAAGGCACGATTAGTAGCCTTGGCGGTTTAGGAGGGTTAGGTAGAGACGGAGGCAGGAGCCGACGCAACAGTGGGTCAGATACTGCGTCGCTGGAACTGGTTACCAGCTCCAGTAACAAAAGCAGCATGAGTACCAGCAGCAGCAGCACGAGTGTCGACAGTGCCAGCACCAGCAGCAGCAGCACTGAACAGAAGGAGCAAGAGAAGCAGGAGGATGAGCTGATGATTGAGAAGGGAGAGAAAGAGGAGCGGAGGGAGCAGGGGAGTGAGAGGAGGCAGGGCAAGTATGCGAACGGGTGGTGGCGGGAGCTGTGGGTGCTGACAGCGAGGTCAGCTATTGTCATCCGCCGTACCCCAGCGCTGTACCTGCTGCGCCTGCTGCTTATCATGATAACGGGGCTGCTTACAGCGTCGCTCTTCTGGCACCCTGAATACAAGTGAGTCAGTCAGTATATGACTTTATTGGAGGTGCCTCAAAAGCGCCACACCTCAGTGCTGCACCTGCGACTTGTTTGATAACGGGACTGCTTATAACAAGTGAGCAGTTGGCTCATCTATCTATTCTCTCCATGGTTGCATCCAACCTCATTCCCCATGTTTCTTACTTCCACCGAAGGTTATCTTCTCTGCCCTTCTTTTGCATCGAGTTTTGGGACTTGTGCCTCATTCTCCTTGCACCCTCGCTCCCTCCCTTCCTCCCTCCCTCCCGCCTCCCCCCAACAGCGTGCGCGGAGTGCACGAGTCCATGACCTTCATTGCCTTCCTCACATCCCACTCTAATTGCTTACTCTGTAATCCTCTGCACGTGCCCCCCTCCGTGTGCCGCAACTCCCTGTGCTGCTTGAGTGCAGCACACGAGGAGTGCACGAGCGCCTGGCGTTCATCGCCTTCCTCGCATGCACCCTCTTCTTCTCCTCCGGGGATGCCACCCCGCTCTTCATACAAGTGAGTCTTGACTTGATATGTTTTGCAAGCGGCTCAGGGCCCGGATTGAGTCAGCTGTCACAGCTCAACTGTCCTCCGTGCACTTAAATCTTCTCTTCGGAGAATTTTACTCGGCTCTTTGCACAGGTGAGGTGACTCTTGACTCAGTTGGCTCAGGTGACTCATCAACGTCCAATTTGAGTCGTTGTTGACTGATTCGATTCTTCCTTCTCGTCTTGCTGCTATGCATCATATTTGTGCGGGGGACCACGCACAACGCGTACCGCCCGTCCACCTACCTGCTCGCCTCCACCCTTGTGTACCTGCCGCTGCACCTCCTCATGTCGCTGGCCATCACCCCAGAAGCATGGTGGTGCCTCCGCCTCACAGGAGAGGGGGGGAGAGGCACCACCATGCTTCTGGGCTTCAGGGCTTCCCCTCGTGCTGCTCGTGGTGCCTCCGCCTCACAGGAGAGGGGGGGAGAGGGGCTTCAGGGCTTCCCCTCGTGCTGCTCATGGTGCCTCTCCTGTCAACTCTCGATCCCTTTCCTCTCCCCCCTCTCCCCCCCCAACACCCCCCTGCCAGGAGCGCAACATATTTGTGCGGGAGACCACGCACAACGCGTACCGCCCGTCCACCTATTTGGTCGCCTCCACCCTCGTGTACCTGCCGCTGCACCTCCTCATGGCCCTCGCCATCACTCTCGAGGCCTGGTGGTGCCTCAGCCTGACTGGGGGAACGGCTGGGCTGGCTTTCATGGTGCTTGTGTGCTTCTGCTGCCTCTTCACGGGGAATGCCATTGCCACCTTCGTCAGTGCCACGGTCAACAAGTACGTGGGAAGACACGTGTCCATGATTTCCCTCGCTCCCTCCCTCCTCCATTCGCCTCTCACCTGCTTTTCGCACTTCTGTTTCTTCCGTCTCCTCCTGTTTCTCCTGTTGCCATCGTTTGTCGTCTCCACAATTCTTCAGCTCGATGAGATTCATCCGTACAATTTTCATCTCTATCATAATCATTCCTACTGTTCTTCATGCCTATCGTAATCATCGCTACAATTATTTGTCTCTATCACCCCTTCAATTCTTCATATCTATCATATTCATCCCTACCATTCTTCATCTCTATCATCGTATTCTCTATCTCTCCCACCAACCATCACAGTGTGATTCTCGCCTATGCCGTTGTCATCACGGTTCTGGCCAACTTTGCCCTTGTTTGCGGGTTCTATATTGAGCGGGCCAGCATCCCCCCTTACTGGCTCTGGCTACACTACATCTCTCCTCTGAAATACGCTTATGAAGCGCTTGCTCTTAACGAGTTTGATCGGGAGACCGCGCTCTGCTACCTCACCGCACGCGATATTTACTCCTCTACACCGCTTTCAATCCTGCTCGATGAAGTGGATGTTCAGAGGTCACTTGTTGCACTGCGTCCTGCTTTGATCGGCTCTCCGTTTGCTGCATTGTCAACATCCACATGCCTTCAGATTGGTCCGGAGCTGGCAGCATATTCTCTGGGCCTGACACAGCTTGACAAATGGCAGTGCGTGGCTGTTCTCTTGGGCATTGGGTTCGTGATGAGACTTGCTCATTTCCTCCTATTGACAAGGCTTTGTTGCTCTACACGCCATTGATGTGATGGCCCAACAGGTCCAGGAATTGTCATTAATGGTCGTTTTGTTTGATGGCTATGTGATGTTATGCAGTGTGATGTTAATTAAAGGCATTTATGCAGTAATTCTCAAGAATGGTTGTGATGCAATTGTTTTTCTATGATATGTTGCTAAAGGTAGAATGACAATTGAGAGCCACGAAGTCACGTTGATTTAGTAAATGATCTGCCTTCGTCTTTGTCACCAACCTCGCGCCACGAACCTCGTTTGTCAGCGAAATTCGCCCAACAATCTTTTCGTGCCGTTGGAGGGACCATTTTCCCGCCAACCAGTCAATTTCCCGATACTAGCTTTCCTCCCACAGTTTAAAGCTCATTTCCGGCAATATCTTTGCTGCTTTATCAACATTCCGCTATCCTGCGTTAGTGTACAGGATTTTCTCAGAATCCCAAACCAAGCCTAGATAGAAAGTGTCATGTCTGTCCGCTGTTGCCATCCATCAGCATAGCAGCAGGTCTATTCATGGTCGAGGTCCTTTGTTCCTAGGTCTCACGTTAGGAAGTTAGAGTAGACAGGCGATCGTTATTCCCCGTCGCCCGTCGACTTTGTCCCAGCTCGACTTTTACTCTAAAATCGCCTCTGAATATCAGAACGTCTTGCAGGTTCGCTCGCTTTGACGGAATTTCTGAGTTTCACTCCGGTCAGCCTCACAGAGATTCGTGTGACTGATGGACCTACCATAGACCGTCGGGGAAGCGTACCGTCCATATTTTTGTCGAACTGCGTGCCTGTAATCGATTCAGCTAGTAACGAAGATCGATTCAGCCTGCAGCAGCACCAGCAGCAGCGGCAGCCATGGATTGGTTCTCGGCGCAGGTGACGTCGCTGGGTCTGGGCGAGCTTCCGGACATTGCGGGAGCGGTGAACAAGCTGAGCGAGACAATCTCAAACATCGACACGTCGGGATTCGACGCCGGACTCGGCCTCGACTTCCTTCCTCCCGTCACTGAAGGTTTGAACCCAGCATATAACCCACTGTTTTCGAGCGTACAATCCATTAATTGTTAGTTAACCCATCCCATTGCGAGAGCGGTGAACAAGCTGAGGGAGACGGTGACGAATATCGACACGTCGGGATTCGAGGCCGGACTCGGGCCTCGATTTCCTTTCTCCCGTCACCGAAGGTTTGCTCGACTGATTTTTTTAACATTCATTACAGTGATTTCGGTCATTTTCGAGTTAGATGACACGCAATGGCGGTTTTTCACTTCCAAGAACAGCTGTTCAGCCGTCTGTGAAGTTTGTTAGCGAGGACGCGTAAGTGGTTGCTGGAAGAGTCCCTCCCAAATTCAACCTTGAGAAAAGGAAAAAAATCCCGGATAGGGAAAAAACGATTGGGCTTATTCTCGTCCGTGTTTCCTTCGCGGCTCTTTCTGCTTCAATCTTCCGCGTAGCGGATCCCCGTCTGGCTCTGATACCTGCATTTTCTCTTCAAGTTTCCCTTGCTTTCCGTTTCCTCAATATAAAATTGGCATCTGCGTCGTTTCTCCGATGCCCACTCCGTTTCTTCCTCATTCCCGCACGCCTTTCAGACAAGCCGGCAGCTAGCTCGTCCTCTCAAGCCACCAAGGCCAGAGCAACCACAGACGCCCCCCGCACTGCTCCCACTCCTTACCCTTTCTGATGCTCTCTCTGTATATTCCATCTTCCCGTATGCCTTTCAGACAAGCCGGCAGCTAGCTCGTCCTCTCAAGCTACCAAGGCCAGAGCAACCACAGACGGCCCCAGCACTGCCCCCAGTCCTTCTACCGCCACAGCTCGCGCTTCTGCTCCTTCCGCCGCTGCCGCCGCTGTTGCAGCGAAAGACAAGGTCCAAGAAGCAGCAGTGGGCTCCAAAACACCAGAGAAGGCAGCTCCAAAGCCCGTCACGGCGACAGCTAAAGCGTCGCCAGCCAGAGCAGCTTCAACCGCCGAAACTGCACCAGCAGCAGGTGTATTGGCCAAGGAAAAAGGAGCGGAGCCGAAGGCAGCAGTGGGTGGAGCGGCGAAACCGGAGAGTAAGCTTGGAGCGAAGAAACTGGGAGCTAGTAAGCTGACTCGGCCACTGCGGAGTGCTGCTGCTAAGAGTGCTGCTGGTTCTGGTGCTGATGCTGGTGCTGATGCTGGTGCTGCTGGTGTTGCGGCTGGTACCAGATCAGAAGGGGCCAAAGCGTTGGCTGATGGGGATGGCAGTGCAGGGAAAGACGAAGTGGTGAAGGAGGAAAAGGAGGAGAAGGAGAAGAAGGTGGAGAAGAAACCTACCAAGATAGTGAAGCTAGTCAAGGGAAAGCTGAGCAAGCCACAGGCTGGGGGAGAAGCAGCAGCAGCAGCAGCAACAGAGGCTGCTTTTCCAGCGCCAGCGCCAGAAGCTGAAACTCCACTCCAAATAGCGCCATCAGCAACGGTAGAAAAGCAGGAGCCAAGTGCTGTGGTGGACGGAGCAGGTGAAACAGCAGGGGCAGAGGACAAGGAGGGAGGAGCGGGGTGGGCAATCGATGAGGTGTTACCTGGTAACGATTCCACTGTTCCTGCTAGTCCTTCACTTAAAGGTAAGCCAGATGCTGAGCCAGCAGCTGCTAGGGTTTCGGTTTCCACTGGCCCTGAACCTGCTGCTGCCGAAGCTGTTTCCAATCCAGAGAGTGAGGAAGATTCCAAACCTGCAGCAGCTTTGGCAGAAGAAGAAGCTGTTGTGGGGACCGGAGAGAGTGCGGAGGAGGAAGGGGAGGGGTGGGCTGCAGTGATTGAAGAGGAAGAGATTGTAACGAACGAGGGAGATGCAGGCTTCTCAAGTGCAGGCGCAGGAACAAAAGAGGACATTCAGAAATCAGAAGACAAAGCGGTTGCTGCTGGGGATGATGTTGCTGGTGCCGGTTCTGCCATTGATATAGCTTCTGACGGTGCTGATGCTGGTGCTGAAGGTTCAGCTGCTTTAGCCATTGCTTCATCCACCCCTCTGCCGTTCAGTGGGTTCGAAGCTGCGTCTGAGGGCGTTTTTAGCATTGACGATGGGGAGGGGGAGGGGGAGGAGGAGGATGGAGAGGGGGAGAATAGAGAGGGCATTCCTGCGCCATCCCCCATCAAACCCTCTCTGCCAGAAGTCAGGCCACCATTCGGTGATACTTCTCCTGCGTTCTCTGCATCGCCTGCAGCTGCCCCCACTGCTCCTCTCTCTCCTGTTGTTACTAGCCCTAAAGCCGTTGGATCCGCGGTGTCTGCAGGATTAGAGGCAGCAGCAACAGCTGAAAAAGCAGCTGCTGAAAGCGGCTCTGTTGCTCCCCCAGCAGCCATTCCTTTTGCGGAAGGCGAAAGCGGCCCTGCGGCTGTTCTCGAGACGAGTGAAGAGGAAACGAGGACTCAGAGCCAGGGATTAGAGCCAGAGGAGAATAAGGTAACTCGAAATGATGTAGCTATAGCTGGTGAGGCGGGCGGTGCAGGGGAGGAGGTGGACCCACCGTCAGAAGGAGAGAGCCAAGCATTGGGGCTGACAGAAGAAAGGCCAGCGCCTTCTCCTGAAGGTGCTCCTGCTGAAGGTGCTTCTGCTGAAGGTGCTTCTGCTGAAGGTGCTTCTGCTGAAGGTGCTCCTGCTGAAGGTGCTCCTGCTGAAGGTGCTTCTGCTGAAGGTGCTCCTGCTGAAGGTGCTCCTGCTGAATCTGCTGCTCAGGAGGGAGAGGAAGGAGCAAAGGGAGAAGGGTTGACAGAAGGGCTCACTGCTGCTGGGAATGGTCCTGTGAACGACGAGCTCCCAGTGAGCTCATCTGTCGAGGAAGAGCAGGTTGAGGAGGCGGGTGCAGCTGTTGAGGAGGTGGGTGCAGCTGTCACGGATGCGAATGGATGGGCTGTGGGCAGCGTTGGGGGTGAGGGAGAGGCGGTTGCTGTTGGTGAGGCTCGAGGAGAGAGGGAGGCAGGTGAGAGGGTTGATGGGGAGGTTGTGGAAGGCACAGCAGGCGAGGGAACAGGGGTAAAGACAGCGGGCACTTTTGACCTAGCTGAAGCTGCAGTAGCAGAGATGGCGGGAGGTGATGTAGCAGCAGGGGATGAGACTGGTGATGGTGATGGTGATGGTGATGGTGGTGGTGGTGGCGCTGCTGCTGCTGCTGCTGCGTCCGCGGCAGCAAACATATTAGAGGTTGGCCCAGCTGAGGCAAGGGGAGTTGAGGAGAGTGAAGGTGATGGTGGGGTGCCAGCTTCAGAAGAAGTAGCAGTTGATTCAGCGCCACCAGCAGCGGAAGCAGAGGCACTGTTTGCTGAAATAGCATTACCATCCGCTGCAGCAGCAGAGGCTTTGTCTGTTGAAAAGGCAGCATCTGCAGCAGCAGCGGTACAAGCTTTGTTGGCTCAAACAGCATCAACAGCAGCAGCAGAAGCACTGTCATCGGAGCTTCAAGCAGAACTTGTGAGGGTGAAGATGGAGCTGGCGAATATGGAGAGTGCTCTGCAGCACGCCGCCAGGCAGGCGCAGACCAAGGCTGATGATCTGGCCCGGGCCATGACAGTCAATGATGAGCTTCGCGCCGAGCTGGAGGATTTGAAGGTGAGACCTTGGGAGGGGTTTATGTGTGCTGGATGTTGAGGGGACGGGATCGAGCTAGGAGTAGTCAAAAGTGCACCAGGCAGGCGCAGACCAAGACCACAACAACTCCTAGCGCACACTTTTGCTGCTTGCCCTTGGCCTTCCCCATTTCCCCATTGGCCTTCTTGTTGGCCTTCCCCATGTGCATTGTGCTTCTTCAGGCTAACAAGAAAAATCATGACGCTGAGTCAAAGGTAACTGAAGAACAGCTGCCAACTGGGGGCTCTTGACTTGAGCCGGCTTAAAGTCAGCCTAATCTACCCTCCTCTGACGACCAAGGCGCAGACCAAGGCTGACCAAGGAGTGCCATCGCCACCTGGGGGCTCTGAGTTCAGCGGCTTCATTCATTCTCAACCTATCTTCCTCTCGCCTTTTCCCCCACTCCTCCTGCTGCGTTCACTTGCACAGGCGCAGAAGAACAATGATGCAGAGCTAGAGGCTCTGAGGGAGGAATACCAGCACCGACTGGGGGCAGCTGAAAGAAAGGTGGGTGCTGGGCCGGGCAGGTGAAAAGTGCTTGTTGCTGCAGGTATTTTGTGTAGGAATTATCTTTCAGTGTCATGAACCGTAAAACCCTTCAGTCGACTGCTCTGTATGTGCCTCAACAGGAACTATCTGCCAGCTTTAAAACCCTACAATCGTCTGCTTTTTAGGCGCCTCTGGAGAATTTTTTCATCACTGTTATGTTATGAACCCTTAAAACCCTACGACTGTATGTCTTCATGTTCGTTTCTCGAGTTGCTTCCAGGTTTATGCGCCGACCAAGGAAAGAGACACGCTGCGGCGGGAGCAGAGCGAGAAGGCAGCCTGATCCTGACCTGCCTCCAACTTTCCCCTCACACGCTAACTTCCGTCCTCTACGTCCACGGTCCACGTACTCATGGCCCACCCTTCGTCCTCCCAGGTGTATGCTCTGACCAAGGAACGAGACATGTTGCGGCGGGAGCAGAGCAGAAAGGCAGACACTTCGACACTGCTGAAGGAGAAGGATGAGATAATTCGGCAGGTCATGGCTGAAGGTGAGTCGACTGCAGCATAAGGTGCGTTGGTAGTGAGGAAAGTGGGTAAGGGGTGTAGGTTTGAAGGCCGACATTCGGCCCCTGAGAACTGGAGGTTGTTAAGAATGAGTATTAAGTGCGACATCAACATTTTCTTTGGCCGTTGGATTTCGTTGCCATCTTTACTGACACCACATCAATAAAGAGTTAAAAGTGTGTGTGATGTCCTCTTTTACTTGATGTGTGGTGCCGTTTTTTTTTTTTTTTTTTTCTGCGGAATCTGTCTGTGTGTTAATGTGCAGGCGAGGAACTTTCCAAGAAGCAGGCAGCCCAAGAGGCAGCTATGAAGAAGCTTCGCACTCAGGTAGGTGCAGAGAGGCTTCGTACTCAGGAAGGTTTAGAGAAGCTTCGCACTCACGGAGGTTCAGAGAAGCTTCGCACTCACAAAGGTACAGAGAAGCTTCGTACTCAGGAAGGTTCGGAGAAGCTTCGCACCCACGAAGGTACAGAGATGCTTCGCGCTCAGGTAGAGAAAAGCTTCCTCTCTCTTGACCTTTCCCTGTGCAATGCAGACTGTCTTTCATTTTGCAGGCATTGCTGTGGGTTACCAAGCCCCTTGTACTGGACTGGACTCTGTTTCCTTTCCCCTTATCCCTGACTGTCCCCCGCCCTCTGTTACCTGACCCTTTCGCAGCTCCGGGAGAGGGACGAGGAGAAGACCCGACTGCAGTCCCGGCTCCAAGTGGAGGAGGCGACCATGGGGAGCATAAAATTCGTCCAGGCTGCGGGAACACCACGAGGCACTTTTTTGCCTCATCCACTTCCCCCCCTCCCTCTCTTCCCTTGCCCTTTTCTCAGCTCCGGGAGATGGAGGAGGAGAAGAGCCGTCTGCAGTCCCGACTGCAAGTGGAGGAGGCCCGAGTGGAGAGCATTAAGAAAGACAAGGCGGCCACAGAGAAGGCACTTCAGGACGCAGTAGAGCGCGGGCAGGCGGACCTCGCCGCCCAAAAAGACTTCTACGTCTCTGCCCTTTCAGCTGCCCGGGAGGCGCAGGCAGCAGCGGAGGCGCGGGCGGATAGCGAGGCAAAGGCGGAGGCAGAGAGAAAGCTGAAGGAGGCGGGGGAGAGGGAGCGGGCGCTGGTGATGACTGTGGAGGAGCTCAGGCAGGCGCTGACCAGGAGCGAGCAGCAGGCGGGGTTCCGGGAGCAGATGCTGAGGCGGGACCTCGAGGACATGGAGAAGCGCTGCCAGGTGAGGTGGCCTATCCCTTCCTTTGCACGCGCTTGGAGTCTTGTTGGTTGAGGGGTCAGACAGGTGCTGACTGGGAGGAGCGAGCAGCAGGCAGGGTTCAGGGGGCAGATGCTGAGGCGGGACCTCGAAGACATGGAGAAGCGCTGCCAGGTGAGCTGTCATCTTCTTTCTGGCTTTGAGTCGACTCAAAAGCATCTCCTATTGGTTTCCTTCTGGATTGATTGATCACTTTGCTGTCACGTTTCCACTGCTCTGTCCTTTCCTTGCTTTCCCTATTGGTCCTCTCCTGTACTTTCTTTCCCACCTCTTCTGTCCCTTCATTTCTACCCACCGTTTCCTCTCACTCACCTCCCTGGCTTCGTCTAACCTGTTGCTCTTGCTCTGATTCACTCCCCCGACCAACCCACCATGCGGAGGCTCCGCAGACTCAAGTACCGGTCTCATCACTTCACCTATTAACTGATTCCTAACCTGCTCCTCTCCCTTTTTGCCCTTCTCCCGAGCCAGGCGGCGGAGGCTCGGCACGAGGAGCTGGTGGCTCGGATACCGGACTCGACCCGCCCGCTGCTGCGGCAGATCGAGGCGATGCAGGAGTCGGCTAATACGCGCATGGAGGCTCTCTCTGGGGTTGAGAGGGCACTGAATGCGAGGCTGCAGGTATGTAAGGGTGGTATTCACTGTGGTCCAATGGAGCCGTTGAGTCTGCTGCGGCAGATAGAGGCGATGCAGGATTCGGCTAACACTCGCATGGAGGCCCTGTCGGGGGTTGAGCGGGTGCTGAATGCCAAGCTGCAGGTAAGGGGTGTGCTTGCAGGGTGGGGTGTGTGCTTATGGCACATTTAAAGGTGACTTGTGAAGATATGCCACGGCAGATAGAGGCAATGCAGGAGTGTGCTAACACTCGCATGGAGGCTCTTTCTGGGGTGGAACGGGCCCTGAACGCCAGCCTGTTGCAGGTACGAATGGGTGTTACTGCATAGTGGAAGGTGAGATTTCAAAGTCATGTGGAAAATGAACCCTTTTCTAGGGTTGAACAGGCCCGCATGCCAGGTTGCAGTAGGGCCTGTTTTTGTGATATGGGGGTGCCCTTTCAGTGTTGGAAAGGTGGATCATGGCTCGACTGCAAGCACCTGCTGCGTCAGATAGAGGCGATGTGGGAGTCGGCCCACACGCGAGGAGTGAGAGGGGGTGACGAGCGAGCGGCTGAACCAAACACTCTCCCGGCTGGCAGTCTGAGCCACACGCTTTCCGCTTCCCCTCCCCCCCACTGCCCCCCCACCACCTGCAGGACGCAGAGGCGAAAGCAGCAGTGGCAGAGAAGGAGCAGGTGGCTGGCCGTGATGGAGGCACAGCTCTCCTGCTTGCGCACCGAGCAGTCCCAGCTCGCCCACTCCCTTGACAAAAAAGGGGCAGGAAACGGGGGAAACCACAAAATGACTGACTGAACCACACGCTCCGCCCCCCCCCCCCACACCTACAGGACGCAGAGGCGAAAGCGGCAGTGGCGGAGGAGAAGGAGCGGGTGACGAGCGAGCGGCTGAACCAGACGCTCTCCCGGTTGGCCGTGATGGAGGCGCAGCTCTCCTGCCTGCGCGCCGAGCACTCCCAGCTCGCTCGCTCCCTCGACAAGGAGCGGCAGCGCGCGGCGGAGAACCGGACGGAGTACCTGAGTGCGCAGGAGGCGAAGGCGGCGGCGGAGGGGCGGGTGAAGGCGGTGGAGGAGGAGATGAGGGAGGTGAAGGGGCGGTGGCGGAAGGAGGTGCAGGAGGAGAGGCAGCGGAGGGAGCTCGTGGAACAGGTGAGAGAGCAGCAGAGGTGAGAGATGTGGCTGGAAGTGTATCAATCAGGCGTTAAGACTGGTGGAAAAAGGTGAGAATTCCGGTTGAAAAGGAGCTGGTGGGACAGGTGAGAGATCAGAGCACATGGTGAGGGCATGAGGAGTTCAATTTGACGTATCAAAAACACCTGGTTGGATGGTGAACAGGTTGGGGATTGGTCAAGCGATTGAGGGAGAGGGAGGGAGGGATCACACCCCCTCGCCTCACCCTCCCTCGCTTTCTCCTTACTTTAACACTCACCCTCACTTCGTTGCCCGCTCTTGCGTTCCCACGCCAAGAGCTGGAGATTAAGCGGGCATCCATGGCTGAGGATGAGAGGAAGATTGGGGCTGAAGGGATAGCGGCAGCAGAGGATACTGAACTGGACCCCCCATATTGCTCACTCTCACTCCCTTGTCCCCACTCCCCAACCACTTCTCTCCTCATCCCCCCAGGAGCTGGAGAGTGAGCGAGCTTCCATGGCCGAGCATGAGAGGAAAATACGCGCTGAAGGAAGGGCAGCAGCAGAGAAGGCGCTAGCAGTGGCACATGCAGCAGCAGGCTCGTCCTACCCTGAGCTCTCAGGTCCGTTGTGGTGGCCAGTCCATTCCTATGTGCATCCCTGTATCTCTTGATGCTGTGTGGTGCGTTGACAAAGGGAGGGCGGCAGCTGCGAAGGCTCTAGCAGTGGCACATGCAGCAGCAGGCTCGTCCTACCCTGAGCTCTCAGGTCCGTTGTGGTGGTCAGTCCCCTCCTAGGTCCATCCTTGCAGCAAAAGATGCTGTGTGATGCGTTGACCAAGGGAGGGCAGCAGCAGAGAAGGGGTTGGCAGTGGCACATGCAGCAGCATGCTCACAGGCACCAACATTGGTAGCAGCAGCATCGATGGTTGAAATGTCTTGTCCTCTATTGAGGCGCCTCAAAAGTCCTCTATTCCCCAAAGTCTCCCGTCCTTTACCTCCACCCCTTTACCTCCTCCCCTTTACCTCCACCCCTTTACCTCCTCCCCCCTTCAGTGCGCCAGTCGCTGCGTCGAGTCCCCAGCACCAGCAGCGCGGGCAGCAGCGCCATTGAAGAGGCAACAGCCTCCGGCATCCTAGCCGCGTCCCTCCTTGGGGGTGTGGGCTCTGCCTCGCAGAACGACCTCCTCACCGGCTCCATCATCGGAGGCAGCAGCAGCGGTGGCATGTTTGGCGGTGCAGCCGGAGGGATGGGGGGAGGCATGGGCACGCCGCTGGGCTATGGTGCATCGTCTGGTGGGGGTCTGCTGCGGCCGAGCGCAGCAAATGCTGCTGCAGTGGAGCACTTGGAGTCGCTGCTGAGGCAGAAGGACGGCGAGATTGCCACGCACACTGCACGACTGGTGAGTCGGTGGTATAGTTATCATCATGTTGCTGCATGAGCACCTCAAGTTGTTGCCGAGTGCATCGAACGCTGCTGCAGGGGAGCACTTGGAGTCACTGCTGAGGCAGAAGGACGAAGAGATTGCCACACACACGGCACGGCAGGTGAGTGCTCTTTTGACTTGGTGTGGGTAAGCTGTCGTGTGCGTCTGGTGTGGCTTATTGAGGCGCGCTAAAAATGGCCGAGTGAAGTGAATGCTGTCGTGTGAGTTTGGTGCTGCCTGTCGAGGCGCCTGAAAAGCGGCCGAGTGCAGCGAATGCTGCTGCAGTGGAGCACTTGGAGTCGCTGCTGAGGCAGAAGGACGGCGAGATCGCCACGCACACCGCGCGACTGGTGAGTGCTCTTCCTTGTTTTACGTCTCCTAGTCGGTCTCATGTCTTGTTGAATGTGCATATCACAAGATTTACCTAGTGAAGAGGAACAAGTCATTGTACTTCACACACAGTCCCTTCCGTTGTGGAACTGTCCTCGTGCATACCCCTGTGCTTTCCCCCAGGCTGCACTGGAGAGCACGTGTGACGCTCTAGCGGAACAGTTGGTCAAAACGACAACCCAGTGCAAGAGCCTGCGCAGTGAGGTGTCGCAGCTGCCGCAGCTGAAGGCGGACCTGGAGGAGATCAGGCGGCGACACGCATAGCTCACTGAACCTTCTTGACCCCTGTGCGCCCCACCAGGCCGCACTGGAGAGCACGCGCGATTCACTGGCAGAGGAACTCGTAAAAACGACAACCCAGTGCGAGAGCCTGCGCGGCGAGGTGTCTCAGCTGCCGGGGCTGAAGGCCGAGCTGGAGGCGATCAGGCGGCGACACGCATCTGCCCTGGAGCTCATGGGGGAGAGAGACGAACAGGTGAGGGAGGGAGAGAGCGAGGGAGGGAGGGAGACAGGGGGGTGTGTAGAGGTGAATTGAGGGAACGAGAGGGGCTGAAGGCTGAGCTGGAGGGTATCAGGCGGCGACAGGTGTCCGCCCTGGAGCTCACTGGGGAGAGAGATGAACAGGTGCGTGTGTTGGGGGGAGGGGGGGAGCAGGTGTTTGTTGTGGTACATGTGCAAGGGTGTGGGAGAGAGAGAGAGGGGCAGGGAAGGAGGGCAGGTCTGATGCATAAGCTGCCATGGTTTGGGAAGCGGGACTGGTTGGCTGTATGTCAGTGTTTCTGTGGGAGCAATCTGTGTTTGTGTGCTTCTTTTGAGATGTCTAAAATTGAGGCATCTATTTTTTAGGCTCCTAAAAAAATGGCAGTGTTTCTGTGGGAGCAATGTGTGTGTGTGTGTGTGTGCGCGCGCGCGCGCGCTTGTGTTTCCACTGTCTGTGCATGGCAGGTGGAGGAGCTGAGAGCAGACCTCATGGATGTGAAGGAGATGTACCGCGAGCAAATCGACATGCTGGTAGACCAGGTGAGAGGGCAAGTGGTGGTGGCATGGTACGGCATGGCTTGGTACAGCATGGCTTGGTACGACATGGCTTGGATTAATGTGAAGGAGATGTACTGTGAGCAGATTGACATGCTGGTGGACCAGGTGAGGAGGAGGGCAGTCATGACATGGTATGGCATGGCATGGTAGGGTATGGTACAGTGTAGCGTAGCATGGCATGGATGGCACAAAATGGCATGCTTTGGCATCTTGACATGGTGTGGGGTGAGATGGCACGATGCTCTCTTTCCACCAGGAACATCATTTGCACTGTCCATTGGGCTCGAATTCTTCGTGGCAATGATGCCGACGATTTGTATGCTGTTTGGAATGCTATCGGAGTCGGTGATTGCAAGTTATTTTCGAAACTTGTAACCACTGTGCAGATCCAGAAGCTGGGGAAGGCATCTGCATCGGTAGCCGGACACTGAAGTTTACTTGTGGGAAACTTGTGCTCCAAAAAGTGTATTTTACTTGTTTCATGGCTGTGATTAATATGTGAAGCCCCGATTGTGGAGACAACTGTGCGTGTTAGTTCACGTTTGCTCTAACCATTGTAGGTCATTCTTAAGTATTCTGCACACAATCTTCATAGCGGGTCTAAGGTTGCTTCGTTTTCTCAAACCGGTACGTTCGAAACCAGGTGCGGGATGAGGGGCGTTCTCCCTCTAGGCTCGATACAGAATCCGGGCATATCCCAGGATTGCGGATCCAAGCCTATTTTTCGCCTGTCTGAACAACTAGGTGATGGAGGCTGGACCCCGGGATTGGTTCACACTGGGTTATGTGGATGGTTATCAAGTAACCCTCATATTTGGGACGAGTGGAAGCCGTACACAAACACTCCCGGCAGTATTTCTTGTCAACAGACCGCGATGACATAAAACCATGATGGCATAAATATCGACGTTCGAAGATCGACCAGGATAGTGACCGTTAATCGGCTGTGACGGCAGTCGAGTATCAATGCACAGCGCTTCCCTCTACCGTTCTGCACCGATGCGTTCTCCGGTGCTGAAGGCTCTTTCCCAGGTCTTGCATGCTTCGCCAAAATATAGCTCAACATTTCTTTGTGGTGCACAAAACTACGGCCAGATTGTGACTGAATCGAAGGGTCGACAGCTATGCGCGAGGAGATTCGTTTGCCGGGCTCGCGCTGTCGGTGCTGGAGAGAACAGCCACGGCCGGTCTGACCTTGAGATTCACGATCCTTCGTTTGAATCTCGACTCGAAACTCAGGACCCGCCGGGTCCGACGGGCCCGAGTCTGGTAACAGAGCCACCATTGGCCAGCGGTATTCTGATCACAAATGGCTCCGTCACAGGAGATTCGTTAGCTCGTACTGAGATGAGCTTTGAGTCGAGTCAAACCTGGCCAGCTAGCAGCACGAAAGTTAAGAAGCCGCAGCAGGCGAAGAAAGTCAAGCCGCCATTGGTGCGCGACGATGAGCCGATTGACGTGCTGTATGAAGACGATTGGCTGCTGGTGGGTGTCCCCTTTATTGCATGATCCAATACAGGTGCGCATTACTCGTTCTTACAGGGGTGATTGACGTGCTGTACGAAGATGATTGGCTGCTGGTAGGTGTTACTTATTTATAAGTGGCTGCTGGTGGGTTTCCCTTATTCTTGTTTGGCTGCTGCGTGTCAGTTACCTCCTCACTGACTTTATTGCTACTGAGAAAACCTTCCTGTACAAATAATGTGATGGAGGAATTATGTGTGCATTATTGAAGCGGGATGGAAGAAGACCCTCCCATTTAACCGTACTGTACTTATCCCCACTGTCGTAACAGGTGGTTAACAAGCCAGAAGCATCATTGTTTCCAACATCCCTGGTCCTCCCTGTTCATCTCACAACCCTCCAATCAGGTGGTGAGTTGGTTTTTTAGAATTCTTAAAAACCAACTTACATCCACGGTCCTCCCTGTTCATCCCACAACCCTTCATTCAGGTGGTGAATAAACCGGCAGGAGTGAAGCACCAGCCGCTGCTTTCAGGTCAGGTAGCTCGAGTGAGGAAAATCCTCCATCCACTATCCCTCTACTCATCTCACCACCATCCCATCAGGTGTGAATAAGCCGGGGCAAGAGTGACGCACCGTTGTTTCCTACGACCCTGTTCACCCCTGTTCATCCCTGTTCATCCCTGTTCATCCCTGTTCATCCCTGTTCATCCCTGTTCGTCCCTGTTCATCCCACAACCATCCCATCAGGTGGTCAATAAGCCGGCGGGAGTGAAGCACCAGCCGCTGCACCGATTCGTTGGGGGAGCACTGATTAACCGAGTGGTGAGTGAGTGGTCAACGCTGGTCAACGCTGGTCAATGTTGGTAAAATGAATGATGTGAGTGAGCAGTCAACGCTGGTCAACACAGGCGTATTTCCTGAACACGGACTCCTTCACCATGCAGCGCCATGGCATGGTGGACTTGTTTGCTAGATTCCCCCATCTCCCTCCCATCCCTACCTTCCCTTACACCACGTTTACCAGCGGAGTCATCTGCTTTTCCCCTTCACGTCCCCAAACTATCCTTTCCCCTTACACACACGACACACCCCAACAGGCGCATTATCTGGGCTCTGACCCAGCGCACCGCCTGGACAAGTTCCCCAGCTGAACCATCTGTGTTGTCTCCATCTTCCTCCTATCTCTCCCTCTTGTACATTCACTTGGCTTCCTTTCCCTGCCATTACACATCTCCCCAAACATACCAGGCGCACTCTCTGGGCTCTGACCCCTTCACAGTGCACCGCCTCGACATGTTCACCAGCGGAGTCATCTGCTTTGGTCCACCCCCCCATCCCTTCTCCTTGCACTCATCCAATCTCCTGAACCCCCAACCGCAGGTGCACTACTTGCAAGCTGACCCCTTCACAGTGCACCGCCTCGACATGTTCACCCGCGGAGTCATCTGCTTTGCCAAATCCTCACTCCAACCCTTTTCCCCACACACACAACTCCCAAACACCCGATTACCCAAACCCCCAACACCCAAACATACCAGGCGCACTACCTGCAAGCTGACCCCTTCACAGTGCACCGCCTCGACATGTTCACCAGCGGAGTCATCTGCTTTGCCAAGTCCCGCTCCGTCTCCCAGACTCTCCATCAGGCCTTTCGCACCAAGGACCAGGTGAGAGAGACACGAGAACCTATGGCACCTCCCGACCAGACGCGTTGAATCCAGAGCCTTGCGGGCCGACCACGAGGTGCGGCCTTCCATCTCTGCTGCTTGGGTGCCATTGGATGTAGTCACCCTTGAGTGATCTGCGTCGCCAAGACTCGCTCCATCTCCCAAGCTCTCCATTTGGTCTTCCGCACCAAGGACCAGGTGAGTGGGACCTGCAGCCTTCCGTAGCTACTGTCTGGGTGGGTGCCAGCTCGTGTTGTTTCTTCCCAGGGCTTAGGTCCCGTCTCGCCCTGTCTCCCAAGCTTTCCATCAGGCCTTTCGCACCAAAGATTAGGTGCGAAATGCGTGAGACTTTTGACCAGGTGAGGGAGATATAAAATTTATTAGTAGGTGTCAGCCGGTGTGGTTACTTACTTGTGGGGGATCTGCTGCGCCAAGTCCCGCTCCGTCTCCCAGTCTCTCCATCAGGCCTTCCGCACCAAGGACCAGGTGAGTGGCTTCCTTGTCTTTTCCCTTGTCTTCTAGGCGTATGCTGTTTCTGTTCTGGTAATGGCCGCGCAAACAGCTCAACTTTGGGGTAATACTCAGCATCTTTAACACAAATTACACTGTTTGGCCACTGCCAAGGCATGCCCGGCCTTTCCCAGGAACAAAAACAGCATACATGTAGAAGTAATAAGAAGAGAAAATGAAGCGACTTTTGAGTCGACTCAAAAGGCACCTCGTTACAGCTGTTACACGTAGAAGTAACGAGAAGAGAAAACGAAGTCAAAAAGGCTTTACCACTATGACCAGGATTGAAGAATTCTTCTTCCTATCTGCATCGTTGAACCCTTGAAGACAGACCCCTATTATGACTTCTGCCTTCTTACTATTTATCACCAATCCCTTCCAGGTCTCAATGCACTACCTGATGCTCGTGGTGGGAACTCCCTCTTCCAGACACGTTTGCTGTTAGCTCCCTCGGCCATCTGTGCGCGTTCTGCCTACTCACCCCTGCCCCTGCCAGGTCTCAAAGCAGTCCCTGGTGCTCGTGGCTGGGACTATCTCAGATGCTGCCGTCTTCTGCTTCTGCTTCCTGTGTGTTTGTTTCCTGTCCAGATCAGCAAGCAGTATCTGGTGCTCGTGGTGGGACTCCCCCCATCTGACTCTTTCTCCATCGATGCTCCCATCGCGCGAGACCCGGATCACGACTTCGCCCGAATGGTTGTGACCCACGGGCATGGCGAGGGGAGTGGGGAGGGAATGGGAGAGGAGCAAGGAGAGAGAGTCGATGCTCCCGCTGTACGAGACCCCAATCACGGCGTTACACGCATGCATGTGACCGAGGGGCATGGAACGGGGAGGGGAGAGAGGATGGGAGAGGAGCAGGGAGAGAGAGCCGATGCTCCCGTTGCACGAATGGTTGCGACCGAGGAGCAAGGCGAGGGGAGGGGAGAGAGGATGGGAGAGGAGCAAGGAGAAACAAGAGGAGAGGGAATGGGGGAGGGGGGGAGAGATGGAAGGGGAGAGGGAGTGGAAGAGGGGGGAACAAAAGGAAGGGGAGAGGGGGGTGCAGATGGAAGGGGTGAGCGAGTGGACGAGGAAGGGGCGGATGGAGCGGGCGAGATTGGGAGCCAGAAGAAGAAGAGCAAGACACAGGCTGCAAGGACAGAGTTTCGAGTGCTGGCAAGAAGTGAAGGCTCCGGGTATGACAATTGTTGCTGATCCTGCTGATGATAGTTTTGCTGAGTGTCAGCTCTGCGTGTCATCTCTGAGTGTCATCTCTGCGTGTCATCTCTGCGTGTCATCTCTGTGTGTCATCTCTGAGTGTCATCTCTGCGTGTCATCTCTGCATGTCATCTCTGCGTGTCATCTCTGAGTGTCATCTCTGCGTGTCATCTCTGAGTGTCATCTCTGAGTGTCATCTCTGCCTGTCTGCTCGCATGAAGTTAAGGCTCTGGTCAGGGCCTCCTTTGCTGATCGTGACCTTGCTCAACCGCACTAATGCTTTACATGCACACAATTCAAGCCTCCCCCTTTCCAAATCCATCAGGATATCCCTGTTACAAGCCGTTCCAATAACAGGCAGAACGCACCAGATAAGAGTGCATCTGCAGCATGCCAAGCTGCCTGTTCTGGCCGACCACATCTATGGCGCCCTGCCCCTTGTATGGGGCGAGCACTGCAGGGAGCACTATAGCCAACAACATGAGGAGTGTTCTAGGCCACCTGAGGGACACTACAGTCTCAGAGAGGAGCAGTATAGCGAGGATGGAGCGCGAGGGAGCCAGCATGGTTACTTGAAAGGAAGTGATAGTGAATGGGATGTGGGAAAGGTTTTGGAGACCTATGCGGTGTGGAGGGTTGGTTTGGGTTGGTCGGGGGAGATTGAGATGGTTGGAGTGTTACACAGGCAGGCATTACATGCCCACACATTATCTTTTGAACATCCTGTTACAGGGTTATCTGTTACGTTTAGGGCCCCATTACCTGATGATTTTGTTGCAGCCATGGATTTGTGTGGACTACAGTGGAGTGACGAGCCATAGATAGGTTCTTATCCTGCCAGGAAATTGCGGCTTCTGTTCGTGTGATGTCATACTCCAACATCCTTCGAACACCTCTTCTCATCTCATCACGAAGCAACTTCTATTTTAGTAATGCCACATTTTTTGTAATATTTTCATAAGCATTCTTACCATCATGCTACGGGCTTTGTTCGAACTACCTCCGTTGTTGTTCGAACAGCTTCTGTCTGTATACATTACGAGAAATGAGTTTTGTTCTCAAGAAGCATCTCTCGACGTCAGCGCCAACGCGGCTGGCGTCATGAATTGCCATGACGTCCGTCGAAAGGGACTCGTTTGCTGCCCAATTTGTCGTCGTCGCGTCTAGCTGTAAAGTGCACAGCATGCCTCCTCCCCCAGGGCTTACGCTAGAAGGGTAGCTACCCTAAATTTCGAAAAATTAAGAGTTAGTCAATCCCCGAGCCCGGGTTTTAACAGGTTGTGATTTGCCGAAAATCTGAATGTTTCTGATTGAATTCTCCTTAAAGTCCGTGTACGTTTTTCATGAATCCTGACGAACTAGTCTCGTAGCATGGAGCTCTGTGAGGAGAATTTCCATTCCACTGCGTGGTGGCAAAGATTCTCACATGACGAATCACCAAGGTGCTTGGACAATTTCAGGACTTCACCAATCAGCCTAGTCATGTTCTCTTTACACATCAGGAGAGATGACTGATACGACCTTTGGCAGGGTTGCTATGTCGAGAGCACGGAAGGATTCTTGGTGAAATTCTCGGGACTCTCCGAAACTCCCTAGGGCCTAGCGTAAGCCCCCCCACCCCCCGATGGTTGAGGGCTTATTTTAGGTTTTGGGACAGCCCGGATGGTTTGGGCAGCTCTTCAAATTCGCCCTGGATAGCCAGGGTCAAACGTAGCGTCTCCCTGATGTTTCGGGACTGTGGCGAAATCGTCCCGGGAACATCAGGACTGGTTAAAATTTCCCTCTGCTGGCTATGTAGCCTCGCCTTGACTGACACGCACCTCATGTGCTGGGAATCTACCTAAGCACAAAGTCCGTATTAGAGACTGGCGGTCAAGGCAACGAGGAGGAGAGTCTTAGAGAAAGGCAGCACTGGTCTAGGATGTTGACAAGTATACTTGTGGCTGCTAAGCATCATTCCGCTAAGTAGCAGCCTCAATCCCAGGTAAGCTAACCATTCACAGAACTCCATGTAAGCAGCCTACGATGTTGTAGATCGATGCGAAGTCCCCAGTCAGATTCGGTATAAGTGAGACAGGGCAGCAAGAGTGCAAAAGGTCTAAACCTAGGAAGGCGGAAATCTTTGTGAGAGGAAAATGGGACGGAGGGGGAAGGGCGGGAAATGGGAAAAGCGGGAATGGGGGTGTGGCGGGCTCCGGGTACCTATTGAAACTGCTGGGATGCATCATGGTTCAGCAGCAAGGCCGTCGTTAGTTTCAGGGTCCTGGAAAATTTCCCTCCTGAATTCCTCAGGGCTGGGAAGAAAATGAACCTAAAATTCTCAGGGTCGTCATCAAAACCACCCTATAATTTAAGTCAAGTCAGGGCAAATGCCCGGATCACCTAGCCCGCCACGTTGAGGTGGCTGGTCTTGTCCCCACAAACGCATGCGGGACGGATGGATGGATGGAGGGATGTTCATATAAGGCGCGTGTGACAGGGCCCTCGAAGCAGTCGAGGGATTGGTTGAAAATTCTAGGATGCAGCTCGGAGTCTCGTTTCCCACCAATCAGTCCAATTCTCATCCATCCTCCCAGCTTGTCCCTCTCCCACAGACAAAGGAAGACCCAACCCAACCCCACCCCACTAGCATCTCCTCATCGCTTGCATGATACAGGATGAACTTCGGCATTCGCAAGTCGTCAGTAAAGCAAGTGTCACCTTCAGTTCGTTTGGTAAGTACGAATCGCTGAAGTCGTCATCAGCTCGCAGCCGATAATAAGCAGCAATGAAAACACTTTTCTCCGTGTTACAACAATCACAAGCATTTGAGCCCTGCGCTTTTCCCAGAGACAAATCCTGCCGCACAAGGCCCACTTCTGGTAGTACCAAGTGTGACATCGTGGAAGAACCATCTGATGCCGCGTGGTGCGAAAAAAACAGTCGCCAGCTGTGCGCTTCTTGTTCTGTTAGATGTTTCACTTCCCGCCATCCTGTCTCTCCTGCAACACTTGCATGCGGCTGCTGTTGCTGCAATGCAATGTCTCTGACACGCTACTGATGCTGCTGCTGCTGCTGCTGCTGCTGCTGCTGCTACTGCTGCTGCCGCCCCTTACTTCCATTCCCATCTAGATCCTTCTTACAACTGCGCTCATCGGTCCACTCACATCACATGAAATGGGAGCACCGTACCGCGCTGTTGGCGTGGCATCTCGATTTTTTCCTCCAGAATCGTCCTTTCCGTCTTTCTCGACGATCCGCTAATCAGTCCCTCAGTTTGTCGCTGCTGAGCTGCGCTGCGGCAAGGCTCCCATAGTGTATTGCACAATCAACTCGCAATCCCACCGTCACCGTGACAGTCTTTTGTCGCCAGAAAACCGACACGCGAGAGACCCCTCAGTTACAGTTCAGCGCTGTACTGTACTGAACTGTACCCTCGCAGTAACTGAGGTGAGGAGGAGAGGAGGAGTCTCTGGCGTGACAAGCCGTCTAGGCTGGGACAACCGTGAGAGGGCCTCGTCGGGAGAGGAGCTGCTCGAATGCGACCTTCCTAAAGCCATAGTATTTTAGTCGCCTCGTCGTCGCTTCCTACAATGCATAGTTTCTCTCCTCAAGTTCTAGTTCGAGGCAGGAGAACCAGCTCATTCTCGATTGTGGAGAGCCCTGTTCGCACCAGTTGTCAAGCGACTGTAGTGCTGTTCGTTTCCGTGACGGGAACTCTGCTCTATTTCACACTCAGGCGTCCAGTCTTCCTCTAGACTCACTGCCCGACGATGCCTCAACCCAAGCCTTCGTCGCAGCTCTGGCAAGACTTCGCCTTCTGCGACATCATCGGCGAGGGCCAGTACGGCAAGGTATGGCGCTGCGTGGACCGCGCTTCGGGCCAGCCAATGGCGTGCAAGCAGATCCGCACCGCGGGCCTATCAGAGGCCGAGATGGCCGATCTTCAACGGGAAATTTTCTCTCTGTCACTTCTGGGGAACCACGAGAATATTCTGACGCTGGCGCACGTGTACACGGATGACAAGGCCGTGTATCTTGTAACGGAGCTGTGCAATGGCGGGGATCTGTTCGACCTCGTCGATCGCTCGAACAACGGTCTGGATGAGGCGTCTGCGTCGAAGATTTTCGTCCAAATCAGCCGCGCCGTGCGGTGGTGTCACGCGCACCGCGTCGTTCACCGCGACATCAAACCAGAGAACATCCTCCTCACCAAGTCCACCAATGAGACTGCTTCTAACGCAGATAATTTGTCCGTCCGTCTCGCGGATTTCGGGTTGGCGTTTCAGCTGAAGCCGGGGTGTGCGATGGTTGGAATCGGCGGGAGCGTACCGTACGAAGCACCTGAAATGCTGGCGGAGCAACCGTACAACACCAAGGCGGATGTGTGGTCTCTCGGCGTTCTTCTCTACTCCATGCTCACTGCCACGTGGCCCGCGTTTCCCCAAAACCGGCGTCAGCTGACCCCGAGCGATTTCCGGAGCGCGGGGTGGGCGAAATTGTCGATCGCGGCCCGGGATCTAATCTGCCGAATGATGATCGTCGATCCTGAGCAGAGAATTGACATCGACGGTATCATATCACACCCGTGGCTCGCACAGGCCCGGCGTTCTGTCCCGAGGCAGTCGTCGAGGGTGCTCCAACTGCAGCAGCAGCAGCAGTCGCAGCAGCAGGAGGTAGCTACTCTATCGCAGGTAATCCATGCTACCGAGTCTCAGACCCAGCTTCGGCAACCGAACCTGTCCGTGAAGCAGTCGCGCCTTTCTGCTGGCGCAGTAACCTCGGCTGCGCGCAGCGCAACTGCCGCTAGTAAGGCCAAGCGCGACGCAGCAGCTTCGCTCCTCGAGCTCGTCGTGCGGAGTCTGCAGTCGCCGCCCTCGTCGCCCTCTGCCTTGGCGACAGCGTCGCCCGCAGTGTCGCCTGACCGCACGCATCCCAAGAAGATCCCTCGCACTGGTGGCTCGAGCGACAATCTTTTCGCAGACGCTTCGTTCGGAACCAGCGCCAATTCATCAATCTCCAGCCAGACGATTTCATTCGAGAACCCGCCGCCGATGAAGATTGACCTCAACGAAGACGCTACTAACGCGTTCAAGTCGCGCCCTGCGAGCCTCCGCTCGTTTGAGGCTGATTCGTCACCCTCTATATCAGCGTCCTCGTCAGCCTCTTCCTCGGGAGTCTCCGAATTCTTCACCCCGATCTCGTCTCCCGAGCCTCGTCAGAAGCCGAGCTACCACCTCTTTTTCCGTCCCAGGCCGTCTCTCCTGGGCGTTCAGATCTGAGCCGCTTGTACAGAAGCCGTCTGGTTTGAACGTGACACCTGAGCCATTTCTTCTTTCATTTCAGCCGTCTGCCACTTGATTTAAGGGTCGACGGTCGACGGGTGTGAAGGGCTGAATCTGCTTCAGGGATACGACCCCGTTTTTTTTGCGCTGGCAGCAGCTGGTGTACACCACGGGTCTGTTTCTCCTGTGCCTCATGCCTGTAACACCCAGAACAGCGCTCTTCTCACTCTCCGAATATCCTTTTTGCAGCATCCGTCAGGCTGTTGCTGTATCTCCTCTCATCTCCTCGCCCTACTTGCAGTAGCAACCTGGCTGGTGCTGTGTCTCTTTATCTCTTTTTGCAGTATCAACCAGGTTGGTGCTGTGACTGTTATCTCTTTTTGCAGTACCATTGTGCTTGGTGCTGTATCATATGTTTGTTTTCCAGCTTGCTGACTGCTGGTCATGAGGCGCCCATTCCATGGCCTGTTAGCCGGCATGCTGTTTGTTGGTATTTTATCATTCTTTAGTTTCATGCTTCGGAGGCAAGAAAATATATCAAGCCTTGGTGAAATTTTAATTATTTTCGTCGACGTTCTTGCTGGCGGATTGGTGTACCCCTGTCCACATTCAACAAAATGAAGATATGGGTTGTGGAATGACACGTCAATTGTGGACCAACCATGTGACGTCAAATTCTCCACGCTAGCGTCATCCCGCCTGACACTGTCAAGGTGCAATCCCCGAGAATTCCAGTTGGCCTGTCCCGCAAACTTCACACTGCTGGGGAAGGTACGGAAAAGATGAAAGTGGTAACGATAGGGCTAGGTGCAAAACGGTGCTGAATATTTCAGAGCTATGCAGCAAAAAGGAACCAGTTCAAACTGGAATCAACTCGTCAGAAAATAAGTAGAGTCGTTGTGATCCTTCTGTGTCTCGGTTTCCCCCCCCCCAGCCTTAAGTAGCCAGGAGGGTTACAGCCACATAGCGGCAGCTATCCTGTACTCGGAATTCTTGCCTGGGTAACGCGAATGCTAGGCTATAGCCGGCGACGCGTGACTTGAGTCGATTCAGTCGTAGTAGTGTGTTATCCAAGGTTGTGAGCCTGAGGTAACGCGAATGCGAGGCTATAGCCAGCGTCGCGTGACTTAATAGATTCAATCGTAATCGTAGTTTTGAGCCTGAGGTAACGTGGATCAGGTAGTGAGCAGCAGGCTGCATTCTTGAACTGATTCGATAATAGCAGACTCATTTCGTCCTGACTCAATAGAGACAGTGAAAGAAGCAGTGAGGAGCAGGCACAATCTTTGAGCAGACTGAATAAGAGCGTATTCTGAGCGGGAATGGTAGCGAATAGCAGAGGGTATTCTGAGCGTTCTTAGCATCAAGACGGGCTCCAGGAGCGGTGAGTGCAAGTGAGCACAAGAGCAGCAGCAGCACATCGGCAGCACATCGGCAGCACATCAGCAGCATATCGGCAGCACATCAGCAGCACATCAGCAGCAGAAGCAGCAGCAGGTCGCTATCGTGGTTGTGACGGTGTTCGATGCGTACAAGGACTGGGTGCGACAGTGAGTAGCAGTCAACCTCCCTGAGCGGACTTGAATCCAGAAAACAGGAGTTGACGGTCGCGATCAAGCTTGGCTACAAATAGACGGTCGCGATCATGGCGGTCTTTGATGCGTACAAGGACTGGGTGCGACGCAACCGGCAATGGCTGTCGTCGGCAGAAAGCATGGCGAATGTGAGTGAAACGAAAGCAAGGCGGACGATAGGGTTTCCGCCTTCAAGCGAGGCCACCATGCGAATTCGAGTGGTTTCGCGTGTGTGCAAGTGCAAGTGGATGGGAGCATGTCGAATTTGTGCAAGATGACTTTTGAGTCGACTCAAAAGTCAGTCCGAATGTGAGTGGTTTCGCGTGTGAGCAAGTGCAAGTGGGAGCATGTCGAAATTGTGCGAGATTTTGAACGCGTGTAGCATCCACGCGCCTCTAATGATTAACAGCAACGGACGGCAATGATATGCTCTCTCAGTCAGCGCTCGCCAAGAAGCCCGATTCCAACCCCCCACCCCCTCCCCCTTCCTTCCCCCCCTAACCCCCCAATCCCCCCCACTCGACAATCCCCCACCCCTTCCCCCACCCCCTCTTCCTCCTTCCTCCCCTTCTCCTGCTCCGCTTCTCCATCCCTCCCTATCGTCACGGACGTTAGCATGGCTCCTCCCGGATCGCTTTGCCGAATCCGAGCTTTCACCAGGAGCCCAATCCCAATCCCCCCCCCTCCCCCTCTCTTGCTCCATCTCTCCCTCCCTCCCTCTCCCTCACTTTCCCTGTCGTCACAGACGCTAACATGGCTCCTCCCCGATCGCTTTGCCGAATCCGAGCTGGCACCAGAAGCTCGTAAGCCTTTTGCGAGAGCTTTCTGCCCTCTCGTCTCCTGCTCTCTCATTTCTGTCTCCTTTGAGATTTTGCGAAATAGACAAACGCTGCAAGCCGTGCGATTTTTGGATCCTCGGAAACAGCCGCAACGTGCTGTTTGATCTCCTCACCGCTTGTTTGCCCTTTGTTTTGTTCTCGTTTTTTGTGCTCCTTTTGTGGCAGTTTCTACTCTAATTGGAGTCATCTCCGTTATAAACGACCACATTATAGAGACAGCTCCCACAGCAGGTCCCCCCCAAGCCACTGGACCCCGAAGACTTACCAGCCAACCCTCTGCTGCTCCTCAGCAAAATCAGCAGCAAAATCAACTCCTCCTTCAAAACCACAATAACCATCTCCATCTCTTACAACCCAGCGGCTTTCCTCCAAACCAGGCTCCAAACCTCCACGCACCGAACCTAAACCTTCCTGGACCATACCCTTACAATCACGCTCTGTTGAGTCACAACGGAGCCCCGGATTTCATTCAATATCAACAGCACCATCATCATCCCCACCCCCACTCGCACCCAGCCTTCATCCCCCCCCCTGTCATTGGACTTCCTGCCTCCTTCCCCCACTCCCCTTCCCCCAACCCCGATTTCCCCCCGCATGCCCCCCACAATTTCCCCCCTCACCCTTCCCTCGATTTCCCCTCGCCCCATCCCTTCCCTGCCACGGGTTTCCCCCCTTCCCCCCATCCCTACCCGCCCCCCCATACCCTCCCCCCTGGCGGGCAATTTCAAGGGGAATGGGGAGGGGAAGGGGGACGGGGGACAAGAGAGGGTGACGGGGGGGAGCAGGGGGAAGAAGAACGGAAGGGGAGAAGGGAGATTCTGCCATGGGCGCTGGTGCTGGCGGTGGTGAAGGAGGTGGAGGTGCTGGGGGAGATGGCGGCGGATCAATGGCTGGGAGAGGACAACAAGTGGACGGCCGTTGCTGGAATCGAAGCAGTGAAGTAAGCCCTAGTGAGGGGATAGGTGGGTCTTGTGATGGTTCTTCAGGTGCTGGTGCTGGCGGTGGTGAAGGAGGTGGAGGTGCTGGGCGAGATGGCGGCGGATCAATGGCTGGGAGAGGAGAGGAGAGTAATGGACTGGAGTTGCCGGCATTGAAGCAGCCAAGTAAGGTTTTTGAGGAAACAAGGGCTCTTGAAGTTAAACAGCATGGTGCAGGAGATGAACGGACTGAAGGAAAAGATGGCTCTTGAAATGCCAGTGCGGAAAAGATGATTCGAATCTGTTGATTTGAAATCACTTTTTTCTCGCACCCTCTCTCCCCTCATCCGATCTTTCTCTCCCGTCCCTTCCGCATCCCTTCCCTCCCCTCCTCCCCCGCCTTGCTCCTGCTGACTGGCGTGCTGATGTGTCTTCCCTGCAGGGCCGCTATTCGCCTGCTCCTGTTGCAGCGCGACAGGTGGCGCTTGCTGATTGGAGGAGGCAGCACGGCCAATCCCGGACCCAGCAAACCCCCCCCTGCTCCATCTGCTTCATCCTCGTTACAAGCCCAACAGTTATTCCCCAACCAGCACCCTCATAGCAGAGGCGGTCCTATGGGTTACGGTGGTAACCCTTATGGTAACCAGCAGCAAGCACCGACGACGAGGGCTATGGGTGCCTTTCAACGGTTCCAACGACAAGTAGGCGGGCAGCAGCAGCAGTTGCTGCACTCTCGCCATTGCCACCAGCAGCTGCAGCAGCAGCAACGGTTTTATGATCAGCAACAGCAGCAGCACCAGCACCAGCAACAGCAGCATAACCAGCAGCAGCAACAGTATTGGGCACAGCAAAACGGTGCTGCTGGTGTGACTAGTGCTGCCGCCGCAGCTGAAAGAGCAGCAGAGGGTGAAGAATTCCCAGACAGGGTAGAGAGTGGCTCGAATGGATCTGTAACGAAAGGTCCAGGCTGTGCCACATCAGCTGCACACGTGGAAGACGGACCTGCCACGTTAGCTGGCTTATCATACTCGTTTGAGTCAACGCAACAAGCAACTGAGGAGAAGAAACCGATGGATTGGATTCAGTGAGTGCACTGGTCTGCGCTGTCCCCTCTCCTCCTTTCCTCCCCCTCTCCTCCTTTCCTCCCCCTCTCCTCTTTCCTCCCCCTCTCCTCCTTTCCTCCCCCTCTCCTCCTTTCCTCTCCCTCTCCTCCTTTCCTCCCCCTCTCCTCCTTTCCTCCCCTTCTCCTCATTTCCTTCCTCCCCCTCCCCTCCCTTCCTCCCTCACCTCCCTCCACTCTTCTTGCCCTTGCTCTTTCAAGTCAACCTACAAAGCATCTGCTTTCCTTTCCTTCCCCTCCCACTCTTCTCCCAGACTCCCCCCCCTGCTGTACATATCCTTCCATCGTCCTCCCCTCTCCCCAACTGTCTGCTCGTGTCAGCCGTGCCCTTTCACATTGTCCGTCCGCTCCTATCGGTCCTGCTCCCTTTCTGCTCCCCATCCTCAACCCCAGCTGCCTGCACATGTCAGCGGAGCTCATCCACATCCTCCGCCCGCTGCTCTACGTGCTCGCCATCCGAGCCGCTGCCAGATCTGCTCGTTCCACAGCAGGTGAGGCCACTGAACCACACACAAAAGATGCTCTCCCTCTCCCTAGACGCTGCTGCCCTGCTGCTGCACCACCTCACGTCTTCCTCTCTGTCGCTTCTCCCCTCTCTACCAGGAGGCACACGGACAACAGCTGTAATGAAGCCGCTGCCAGGGCAGCCTGGGAGGCGGTGGTGGTGGTGGTGGGTGCGGTGGAACCCGTGGCTGCTCTCCCTCTCCCTTGATGCTGCCTCCCTGCTGCTCCATCGCCTGGCATCTCGAGCAGCAATGGCTGCTGCAGCTGCTGCTTCTGCTTCTGCTGCTGCTGGTGCTGTGGATGGGTCTGGTGCTGCTGCTGTTAGCGGTTCTGCTGCTACAAGTTCTGCACCGGCTGCTGCTACAGCTGCTGCTACGTCTGCTGATATCAGCAGCACAGGGGCAGCAAAGAAGGTGTTCGAGCTGACCAATGAGGAGCGAGCTGATGTGAGTGGAATGACCAATGTTACTGCACGCACGGAGACATCAAACAATTTTTCTCCCTCAATTGTCTTTTGTTGCATGTCCTGTACAACGAACGATACATTCTAGTTTATTATCTGCTGTACACACTCGTAAAAATACCCATTATCTTCCTATTTGTGGGTTTCCAGCTTGCCCGTCGGCGCATGCTGCTTGTGATGTACCTACTGCGCTCGCCCTGCTTCGACTCGGTCACAAGGTAAACAATTCGAGCTGTCGGTTGAGCTTAGCCTCTCTATCGTCAGACCATATCATCAGACCATGTGTAGCTATGGTTTCAGTCTAGCCTCGTTCCTTTGCTTCAAGACGTGGCTCTCCATGGCCATTCTCTCTTGTAGCGAATCTCCTGGCCTGTGTTTCCCCACTTGCATGCATCTTCTCGAAGGTCTCCAGTAATTTCTTCGGCCGATTCCTCTGCTCGGCTTCGTTTTGGGCTGACTCAAATGCAGTGTCTGTTCCCATGCTTGTGCTTGCAGGCATCCCCTTGAAGGCATCCGGTCATTCGTCCGGCCGATTCCTCTACTCGGCTCCCTCGCAGGTCAGTTTGTCTGACAAAATTCAATTCAAGCACTTATGCACAGTAACTGGTTATAGGGATAATGCAGTAGAGTGACTTTCATGGGTATTTGCATTTTTTTGCCTCATGTGCCAAAGCTACTCATTTCCAACTCTCGAACTCTCGTTTTCCTAATGCAGAGCGAGGGTTTGACATGCTGCTTGGGATCCAGTCCGTCTATTTCTACACCGCAGCATCCTAGAGATGCCCCAATCAATGTCACACTTGTAGTGGCAAATTGGCAATACCCTACAAGCTGCATGCTCCTAGGAATGCTTCCTATTGTGTTGTAGATCTGCTTCCCATACTGGCTCCTTGCCACTGCGCTCCAACTACTAATAGATACTGCGCACTGTGTTATCCCTTGGACCATCAACAGAGTTCTTCTGCACACACATTGGGTCATGGGAAGGAGTGCATTTAAAAAAAAAAGATTGGAGGTATATGAATGTACAGAGCTGTATACGGAACTGAGCTATCGTAACACTCGGAAGTGTTTCGGCTCGTCAAATTTCGTCAACGTGTCGTCAGGTCAGTTCGTCTGGCCACTTCTGCAGAACCGCGAGCTGGAGCTTCTAATTCGCGCCCCGGCATAAATTAGGTCTCGACAGTGGCAATTTCAACGCATTAGTATAAGAAATTTCGTCCATGAACGTCGTAATTAGCTCCCTGCTTGCTGCCAATTGCCTCCCACTCGTCCTGCTTTCGGCTCGTCTTGCTCCCACGTCAGTTGCAGCGTCCAGTTTAGAATGCACCGGACGCGAAGCGACAGGAAGGCAACGGAAAGCACGGAGGAGGGTGTTACACAGGAGAGATTAGGTGAGAGGGAGTTCTGTCGCCAAAAAACGCTAATGGGCAAAAAAAGCATGCCCTCGCCGCTGTTTACTTCCGCCAACCCAAATCTCCAAGCGCTCCGCCGGAAACAAACTCCAAGCCCCTTCCTCCCTGAGACCCTCCACTCCCGCTTTCCCCCCCCCCCCCCCCCTTTTTCAGCCCACGCGCGGGTGGCGTCACTGGCAGCAGCGGAGCCACTAGCAGCACATTGCCCCCCTCTCCCCCCCCATCTCCCCCCCCCTCCTCTTCCTTTCACTCCCACCACTTTCCCCCTCCGCTTCCGTCCTTTCTCTTTCTTTCCTGAGACCCTGCACTCCTACTTTCCCCCCTCCCTCCTCCTTTCAGCGCAAGCGCGGGTAGCGTCACTGGCAGCAGCGGAGCCACTCGCAGCAGCGCTAAGAGAAACACTTAGCGAGGCGTCCGGTGTGAGGGAGGCGGTTAGGCAGGAGCAAGCGGTGCAGGCGGAGCTGGGGGAGGTGGTATGTGAGGTGGGGCGGTTCCAGGAGCAGCACCAGAAGTGGGCCTCGGCTTTCAATGATCTCCACACCGCAATCAAGGTCAGTGGAGTGGCTTAAGTACAGTCAAGGTCAATGCAGTGGCTTAGAGCGTGTTCCTACGAGCCTCTTCCCAGGCAACCTCTTCCCAGACTCACGTGTGACCTTGAGGGTGTGTTCCCAGGACCACTTTTCGGAATACTCCCGTTTCATATTTGCGCTCCACCGCTCTCAACCACATAAATACAGCTGACGCCGAAAATTTACTGTGCAGATTTGCGCTTGTCTGAAAATCTGCTCGTCTGAAAGAGGTTTTAAAACACGCCCCTGAATCTCGGGAAGGTGAATCTCACTTCGCACTTAGCGGAATCGCACTGAAACATTTCGCGTCAAAATTTGCGATCTGTAGCACGCGAGTCTGGGAAGAGGTTGCTTGGGAAGAGGCTGGTAGGAACACGCTCTTAAGTACAGTCAAGGTCAGCAGCACCAGAAATGGGCCTCGAGGTTGATTGAACGAGCTCCACATTGCAATCAAGGTCAGAGAAGAAAGGTGTCTGGAAACCGTTGCGCCATAGTACGCAATGCACTTGCATACAATTGCAGCAGTGCTGTCATGGGAAGAAAAGGCCTCCTGCCTTCCGTTGGTCCCGCTGAGGGTGTGCTTCTTGTGTTCCCTATGTGGCATTCCGTTATGAAACATAGGATTGCACGTCGTCTCCTTTCTTCCTCCCCCCCTTTCCCTCCACCCCTCATTGTCCTCCCCCTCCTCCCCCTCCTCCGCTCCCCCCCTCCCCCCCCTTCCCCTCATGATCTCGTCTCTACACAGGAGATTTGACAATTTTGAGGATTGGATGAAAGTGACGGAACGAGATGGTGCTTTCTGGTTGCAACACAAGGAAATGCAAGCTTGCATTTGTGCTTTTTCCCCTCCCCCTCCTCCCCTTCACTGGCTTGTCTCCGCGCAGGAGATTGGCGACTTTGAGAATTGGATGAAGGTGATGGAACGAGATGTTGCTCTCGTTACAACCACGATAGAATTAGTTACACAATCATCAAAACCTTCATAATGTGCTTTTATGAAATGCCTCTTTTTCCATTTGGCAGCTGGCATAGGACGGTGAAGAGCAGGAGTGGATAAAAACCGTTATGAATGTGTCAATTGTAATTGTCACGGGCAATTCTTCTTGCGCAAAGCAGAGTATACGCACATTCAACCCATTTGGCATCAGGCTGCTTAATAAGGGCATCATCATGTCTGCAAGCTTGCAAATAGCCATTCATATAATACAACATTTATAACCCTCAAACAGCAGACACGAGCGTGCATAATTACAGTAGTTTGTCGAGAGATCTCCATCCGGCTTTCAGGAGCCACAGCAGCAGTTCATTGAGACACATAGGTGAAAGTTCCACCCTTAGCGCCACCCTGCGTGCCACAAACACAGCTCCCCTCCCCCAGCGATCCTTGCATCAGCCCTGTGGTTCCTTCTCACGCCATCGTGGCCAGCAGAGGGTTGCCCTTCCATGTCGGAATGAAGGGGCTTCAAGTGCTCCCGTCAGGCAGGCATCTGGTTACCACCATGTGGCTATCCCTGCACTATCCCTGTGGTTCCCATGCCATCATGGCCAGCAGAGGGTTGCTCTTCCATGTGAGGTGATGGGGTGCGTCAAGTGTTGGCTACCATGCCACCATACACCTGGTTACCATGTGGTTCTTCCGGCACTATCCTTGTGGTTACCATGCCGCCATACACCTGGTTACAATGTGGCTATCCCTGCACTATCCCTGTGGTTCCCACGCCATCATGGCCAGCAGGGGGTTGCCCTTCCACGTCAGTTCTTGGGTACCCACCCAACCCATCTTATACCATCTTACATCTGGTTACCATGCGACCCTTCTTGCACTATCCCTGTGGTTCCCACGCCATCATTGCCAGCAGGGGGTTACCCTTCCACGTCAGCACCACACTCGCTTCGTCTGCTCTCCGCACGTCATGCCCCACCTTGTTGTACCTGCCATGTGTCACCATCATGCCACGTGTCACCATCATGCCACGTGTCACCATCATGCCACGTGACACCATCATGCCATGTGTCACCATCACCATGCCATGCATCATCATGCCACATTCAATCAACCATGCGATAGGTGAATTGTAGAACAAATGAGAAAAGCCCATGCCACATGGAGAGGCGGCAGGTGAGACCAACAGATAGGAGTCTATTTTTGAGGCGCCTCAAAAATACACATGGAGAGGCGGCAGGTGAGACCAACAGATATGATAAATTCTCACGTGAGCTGGCAAACTAACCATGGCAGCCAAAGCAAGGGGCATGCTAACAACCATACCAAAGGACAGGCCTAATGACTTGGGTGCTTCACTGCAGCCAGTCTTCGAGGCTACGCCACACAACCACGGATGCATGATAATATACCATACACACATTTGTAACAATGGCCATCCTCGCTAACTGATAACCACACCTTTGCTCAATCCCCGAGGCTGGAGCCCCGGCCTCAGCATTCGCTACTGCCACTGCTCCAAGGGCTCTTACCCTTTCCTGTATCTCTCACGCGAGGTGGTAACCAGACTTACGTTTGTAACAGAACACACGTGTTTGTAACAGCGCATGCAGAGTGGTAACCACACCTTGCTCAGTCCCCCAGGTTTGAACCCCGCTCTCGGCATTCGCTGCTGCCACTGCTCCAAGAGCTCTTACCTTTCCCTGTTTCTCACATGCAGACGGTAACCAGACTCACGTTTGTAACAGTGCATGGAGGGTGGTAACCACACCCTCACTAACGCCCCGCGGCTTGAACCCCGCCCTTAGCATCCGCTGCTGCCACTGCTCCAAGGGCTCCTGCCTCTCCACCCTCTCCTGCCCCTCACATGCCACCAGGTTCACTATTGCCCGGCCTAGCACCTGAAGAGGGGAGGAAAAGGGAAGATAGGAGCAAGTAAGGCCAGCAAAGGAGCGCTGCACTCCAACGGCTCCTGCCTCTCCATCCTCTCCTGCCCCTCGCATGCCACCAGATTCCCTATTGCCCGGCCTAGCACCTGACAGGTGGGACGATGTGCAAGGGAAGCAAAGGAGGGATATCGAGGAGAGGACGGAAAGATGGTCACAACAATGGGGAAAAGGAGTCAAAGGGCTCCTGCCTCTCCACCCTCTCCTGCCCCTCGCACGCCACCAGATTCACGATTGCTCGCCCTAGCACCTGAGGAGGGGAGCAAAGGGGGTGGCGAGTAAATGGAATGAACGTGCTACTAGCCACAGGATGCATGGTAGCAACCAACATCCGCATCTCCACCCTCTCCTGCCCCTCACATGCCAACAGGTTCACTATTGCAGAGAGGGAGAAAGAGGGAGATAATGAGAGGTAAGAGAGGCGGGGAGGAGTGGAATTAACCATGGCATGGAAAATCACCAACCTTGGCAAATGGAAAGCAAAAGACTAACAAATGGATTGAAGGGGACACTTTTCCCCCACCAACTCTCAAACACTCTTCCCTCCGTGGCAGCAAAGTATTTATAGATTCAAAAAGTGCCAGTTGACTCCAAAAATCACCTATAGATTCGGAAAGCGCCCCCGCATAGTAGCAGAGCGCCATATAGGAGCTCGTGAGGAAGAGAAAAATCAAGCCCACTCCTCAAATCTCAACAATAACCTGCTCATCAAACACCCTCCGCACAACCTCATTCCGTGGTGGTAGCGACGTGTCAACGGACTCAACGAGAGCAGCATAAGCTCCTCATAGAAGCGTGCGAGGAAGAAGGGCACGGAGTGGTTGCTGTACTGCTCCCCCACCGTCACCACCTTTTTGGGCGACAGCAGTTGAGTGCTTCATAACACCGTGCGAGGAAACACCTGCTCAGGAAAACCCACCCCAGGAAAATCAGACCAGACTCACCTGCTCCTCAAACACTCTTCTTGCGACCCCGCCCCGGGGAAGGGAGGCATCGATGGACTCGAAGAGCGCAGCGTAGTAGTAGAGTGCTTTGTAGAAGCGTGCGAGGAAGAAGAGCGAGGAGTGGTTGCTGTACTGCTCCACCACCGTCACCACCTTGGGCCGCAGCATGCGGATCGTGCGCAGATCTACTGCTTGAAAACACACTAGTAGCCCACTACTTAGAGAGAGAAACACCCACCTGCTCCTCAAACACTCTTCTTGCAACCTCGTCCCGGGGAAGAGAGGCATCGATCGACTCGAAGAGTGCAGCATAGTAGTAGAGCGCCTCATAAAACCGTGCGAGGAAGAAGGGCGAGGAGTGGTTGCTGTACTGCTCCACCACCGTCACCACCTTGGGTCGAAGCATGCGGATTGTGCGCAGCACCCGCATGCGTGGCGAGCTGTCAGAATCGGAACTGTCCAAATCTGCCGTGCCTAGATACGACCCGTCCAGATCTGCCTGGTCCGCGCCTGCCCTGTCTGCCTCGGGATCAGGCTCGGGAGCAGGCTTGGCGAAGACTGCACTAGCAGCGGTGGCAGGGTTGGCAGCGGCGTTGGGCTGCTCTGATTCGTCTAGGAGCTGTGAGAGGCGCAGGGCGCAGTTGGCTGCGACGGCCTCGCCTGGTCGCAGGTTGAGCATGGCTGGGGTGACGTCCTCCAGGCGAGACATCACCCAGTGGTACTGCAGAGGCACGCCCCACATGGCCGCTGCCATCTGAAGGGGGGAGAGCATGGGAGAGGGGAAGAGAGATGAGACATCACCCAGTGGCACTGTAAGGGAGCATGGCTGGGGTGACGTCCTCCAGGCGACACATCACCCAGTAATACTGCAGTGGCACGCCCCACATGGCCGCTGCCATCTGCGAAAAGAAACGGAGGAGAGGAGACGGGAAAGGGGCAGACACAGCAGGTAAGGGGGAACAACGTGAAGGTGCTGCAAGGGAGAGGCCGGGAGCGCAATTGATTCGCCATTGCGTTGCTTCTGAGACGTCTCAGGGCACCGCCAAGGGCCTGTAAGAGTGTTAGCCTCCGGTTGTGCTCACCTCCAGCCTCTTCCCTGCCTTCATAGCCCAGTAGGGAGACATTGCCCCACACTGGGGCACCTCGATCCCCGTCATTCGCACGTGGGGTGGACCCCCGGGCCGAGCACCCAGCGCCTGCAGGAGTGCTCGCCTCTAATCACTCTAATCGCAGCAGGGATCTCACCTCCAGCCTTTTGCCGGCTTTCATCGCGCAGTAGGGAGACATGGCCCCGCATTGGGGCACCTCGATCCCCGTCATTCGCACGTGGGGCGGACCCCCGGGCCGGGCACCCAGGGCTTGTAGTAACGCGGGCCACTGCAGGGCGTGGCCGATGCCAAAGTCGATGATGTGCACGCGGGGCTCGTCTGCCACTGCCTCGAGAATGGCGCTGTTGGCAGCCACTTGACCGAACGTGAGGAAGGGCGTGGCGTTTACCAGCACCTGGGGGAACGGGGAGAGCGGCAGACAGGGGTAGGGGGAGAGGGAAAGGGAAGAAATGGTGGATAAGGGGCCGATGCCAAAGTCGATGATGTGCACCCACCCAGGGCTTGTCTGCCACTGCTTCGAAAAAACCCCCCTGTTGGCAGCCACCAGACCGACCGTGAGGAAGAACCGTTTACTAGCACCTCGGGGGGAAGGGCTTAAAACACAAAACCCAGTAGCAAAACGGTGGGCAGAGGAGAAAGAACATTTACAAAACAGCCTAATCGAACAAAACGAGGGATTTGGCTTGGCCGCGCGAGGAGGCGGGTGGAGAAGGGGAGAAGGGTGGGCTGATAATGAGAAAAAACGAGACGCAGCAGGGCAGCCGCCTTGGAATCAAAGCAGCAGGTGATAGTGTTAGAATATCCTACTATATTCACTAAGTTCACCTTTTCTCACAGATAGTGCTAACCTGGAAGGACTCGAGCGAGCAGTGTGCGTGCGGTTGCAGTCGACATTCTGAGATGCAGCAGCAGGCACAGGCACAACCCAAGGAGGAAGGACTGGTCGCAGAAGCAGGTGGTTACCTGGGAGGACTTGAGCAGTGAGCGGAGCAACCACACCTGTGAGCTCCCCCAGCACCAGGGCAACCCGCCTTGGAATCAGAGCAGCAGGTGATGAGCTTACCTGGAACGATTCTTGAGGCGCCTTTCGAGGCGATTTTTAAAAAATGGTCTCATTTTTTACGCGCCTCAAAAAGCAGGTGACAGTGCTAACCTGGAAGGACTCGAGCAGTGAGCGGTTGCAGTCGACATTCTGAGGAGCAGCAGGCACAGCAGCGCCTCTGGAAGCGGGAGCAACCACACCGGTGAGCTCCCCAAGCTTTAAGGCACCCGGCTTTGGAATGAGGGCAGCTTCGCCTGGCGTCAACTCCCCCGCCTCTTGCCTCTGCTCAAACGGCTCCCCTCCCTCCGAGTACTGCCCCCCTTCCTCTAACAGCTGCTGTGAAAACGCCCCACACGCATCACCACCACTAGTCCTACCACCCACCATCTCCCCTGGACCCCCAAACCCATCCAATTCACCCCCCAATTCCCCCCCTGAGTCTGCAAACATACGGCCAAACCCCGCCCCATCCCCCGTTCCCCCCCTACACGCCTCCTCCTCTGCCCCTAGCCCTCCCCCCGCCCCTCCCTCCCCGCCTATCCCCGCCAGGACCCCCGAGCTCGAGTCGAACCTGTCAAACAAGCTCGTTGAGTGCTTCGGCGGAGCCCCGGCGACCCTAGCAATCAGCCCTTCGAGAAAATAAGCCGACAGCCTCTGAGTGACCGTCCCGTACACCGACGCCACCTCATTGAGGTTAGATAGCAGCTGGTGCACGCGGGTTTGATCCCCGGTGACTATGGCTTTGGCGACTGAGACTAGGAGGGCGATGGGGTCACCCTTCTTGGCACACTCTCCCCACGAGTCCGGACCAACGCAGCAAGCTCCCTTCCGTTCACTGGGACCCTTTTGCTGCTCTGCTGCTGCTGATGCCCCTGCTGCTGCTGCTATTGCTGCTCCTGAGATTGGAGCTGTCTGCTCTTCCACCACAGCTGGTCCGAATCCACCCACTGGGACTTCGCCTAAACTCACGCCGCGCGTTCGATCATCTTTGCCTGCTGCTGCTGAATCCTGGCCGTTGGTGTAGCCCGTGTTGTTCTGGCAGGTGCGGTTAGGATCTAAAGCGGCGCCACTGCCTGGGTCTGCTTCTACTGCTGCTCCTCCTCCTGATACAGGCACTTCGCCTAGACTCACACCACCCTGTGCTGCTCCTGCTGTTGCTCTTGATCCGTCCTGAACAACCAAGGCAGCAGCACCAGCAGCACCCACAGCACCACAACCACCACCAGCACCACCATCAGCGCCAGCTGTACTGGTAGCAGTGTCGCAACAAGCACACAGGCACACCCCTCCGTCCCCATCCCCATCCCCCCCTACGCAGCAGCAGCCCTTCTTCTTGCTTTCCCCCTGGCTGCTACTCACCCTCTTCCGCTCCTCCCACCGCTTAGTACACTCCCCATGAAGCTTCCTCAGAGCTTCCTCCGCTTGCCGAGCCTCTTCCGGAGTCACCTTCCCCGCCCAAGCCTGCCTCCCGCCCTCCCCTTCCTCCAGCAGCTTCGGGCTCCAAGGCGCGGTGGCCTCCGAACCTGCGGCCGAGGTTCGGCAGCTGCCGTCCGTGGCCGAACCTGCCCTGTTGCCCTGGCTGGCGCTATTAGTCCCTGTAGCAGTGGTGGTGGTGGCGTAACCTGTTGTGTCTGTGTAAGAATCTCCCTCCGTTGACCTTTCACCGTTAGCGTACCCCATCTCCTTCCCATGATCCATCAGCTCCTGCACGAACGCAACCATATCCGCATCTGCGGCGCCGACTCCTGCTGCTGCTGCTCCAGCTGCTCCTGCTGATCCTCCTGCTAATCCTCCTGCTCCTCCTGCACCTCCTGCTCCCCCTGACATCCCCTCCACCACATCCACCAGCATATCTTCAGACACGTTCCCGCCACCACCACCACCAGGATCACCATCACCACCAGCAGCAGCAGCAGGGGGAAGTGTGGGGATGGGCGCCATTGGGAACATGTCCTCGAGCTCCACAAACGCATTGTCCAGCCCATCCAGGCCTCGCAGAAACTCCTCCACACCCAGATCCGCCAATCCTGACCCTCCATTCAGCCCCAGATCGGCAATCCCAAGGCTGCTGCCACCGCTCCCAAAAGCACTTAAGCCAGCAGCAATACCACCAGCAGCATTACCAGCACTAGCACCAGCAGAAGCTGAAACGGAAACAGAAGCATCTAGGCTCGATTCCGGGCCAGAATCTGTTGAAAAGTCCATAGACGTGCCTCCCCCAGTCAACCCCTGCCCAGCACTGCTGGTATCCGCACTGTTCATCTCTGTACTGTTGACTTCTGCACTCGAATCAAGCTGCAGCTCTACAGGCTCATCTATAGCTTCTTCTAACAGGTCAGCCAATAACGGATCCATGGACCCGCTCCCAGGCACAGCCAGCTTGCTGTTCACATTCTGACCACCGTCACTGTAGCCATTTCCGTTACCGTTACCGTTACTGTTACTGTTAACTGTCTTTTCGTTGTCCTCGCCTCCCATCCCTCTCTGTGTTCTCCCTGCAGTCACTCTGCTCCCGCTTCGTTTCTCAGACCCCTCGAGATTGCCTCCTGCTGCTGCAGCTGCTCCCGCCCTGTTTCCACCGGCATTTCCCTTAGCCGCTGAGACAATCACATCCATAGCTGCTGAAACCCCTGCCTTTTTCCGTCTCCCTTCCCGGTCCCTCCGCAACTCTCCTACATCCGCCACACCTACGCCCGACCCTGTACCCGATATAGTTACGTTCGGATTACTACCCAGCAGTTCTTGGACCAGCGAGTCAAATGTTACTTCTTCCAGACCTGGCACCGAGCCTGGCGCCAAGCCTGAAGTCCCGGAACCCTGCCGAGCCTCATTCCGAGCCTCGACGCCAGACACGGCAGTGCTGCCGACTGACCCCGGCGGCGACGAATCACCATTCCTTCCACCCACCCCGAGCCTGTTCCCGAGCCTGTCAGCCCCATACCTAGCACGCGGATCCGAACCTGCCTGCCCCGTAGGCCTGGAACCCCCGCGCTGCTGTGACCCTCTAGAAGCTCCAAATCCAGCAGCACCTGCAACGCCTGCATGAGTTGCCTGACCCGCAAGACCTTGGGAACTCCGGGAGCCTTGGGAATTCCGCGGAGAGGGGGTGTGGGTTCGTTTCCACAGCTGCTGCAGCGACTGCGCCAGGTTTCCCCCCGAGCGGGAGGGCCTTTCGGGGGAGCGCGTTCGCTTCGGGCGGATGGTGGTGGACGGGGAAATTCCGTCCGCTGCGGAAGCGGGTCCTGATGGTTCACGGGGAGGAGTAAGTAAAAAGAAGACCGGAAAAGAGAGGAAATTTATCAAACATTCCAGGGCAGAGGGCCTTTCGGGAAATCGCGTTTGCTTCGTGGAAGTGGTGGACGAGATTCCTAAACGAATCTTACCAGCCGTTGAAATCATAAACGGTGAAAGGGGAAGGAATTGGAATATTCGGGAGAGAGAGAGAGAAAGAAAGAAAGAAAGAAAAACACACACACACACACACGAAAATCTCAAACTGAACCAAACGTATGGCTAGCATCTAGGCCGGAAGACATCCCCGATACAGCTAGGATTGGGCGTCACTCAGCAGGATTGGGAAAATATGGAGTAGGTAAACGTCGAAGGTAGGTATACCTAATGGCCGGAGTGAATAAGCGGAATCGCTTTGCAGCGGAACGGACGGAATCTGCGACTGGAGCCACGCCTTCTGAAGCCGCGACTCGAGATCCGTGGGTAGGTCAGCGCGGGACTTTGCGAGAGTGGGACCGACGACATGCGGGTGGCTGCTACCGTTGACCGTCGCTAAAACTACTTTTCTCTTGTGTTGAGCCTGCTGCGCTTGCTGCTGCTCCATTGGCCTCGACGCTCATACGCGTTGTTAAAACAATCCTTACTCTTACGATACCAGCAGAACAGAACTTTGCCGAGAAGAAGATAGGAGCTGGCAGAATAGCATATTGGAGTGGAGGCCTGCAGCTGCTGCGTGTTTCCAATTTGCCTCGAGTGGTGTTTTTGTTTCTGCTCCTGCTTGGTTGTTCTTGGGGTTGCCTTGCCTGGCGTTGGAGCTAAGGGAAGGGGAGGTTTGGGGGGGGGAAGGTTGCGGGAGTGGTGGAGGGGGTGTTGAAGGGTGGAGGGGCCAAGGTCCATCCCAAGGGGGGGATTTCCGCCTGCTTTTGCGGGAGTTGGGGTTGGCTTGCCTAGGAGGAATGCCCTGCCATCCCAAGTGGGGGGGTTTCCGCCTGCTTTTCCCCAAGATGCATTCGCGCTGCTTCCGCTCCTCAGCGCTCCACTTGAAACTGTGGGGATGACACGTGCGGGTCCCGTCAAAGATGCCTTTCATCTCATCCGTCCGATGCATCGGATACTTTCTCGAAGCTTCGACGGAAAGTGTCGAAGCTTCGTCAAACCAGCAGCGCCTGGTTGGAGTGTACTATATACCTTCGTGTTTACACGGCTCATACATTTTTTAAAACATCTCAGCATTCGCATTTCTTAATATAGGAGACATTAGTGTACATGCAAACATTGCGCCATCTATGTTTCCACGTGGTCCCCAGAGATCGCAGAATGGCGAACAAGCCCCATCGACGGCGGGGGCTCGGGGATGAAGCAACCAGTAACATTCTAGCACTCCGAGACTGAAAGCAAGAGAGGCCCTTTCGACCGTCCGATGCATTACACGCGGCGATGGACCCCCAAGTCCGCCCTACCCGAGCTCCGATGCACTGCAGAGCAGAAGGAGCACGCCTCCGCGGGCAGCGGAACGAGTGGCTGGGGGGGAAATTCCCCGCTATAGGCATGAACTCATTTCCTCACTTCACGCCTTCCGTGCCTATCTCACCTCCCCCTTGTCTCCGCCCAACCTCCACAGACCCCCTCCAGCGCAAGGATTCCCCCAAGGTCATGGGAATCCCCTGTCTCGCAATTTCTGAGATTAATCGAGCCTGGGAAACTCCACGGAAACACTGGACCTGTTTTGCAGCTGGGAACTGGGATTGTCCCAGCAGAGCGACTTGCTCGTCTGATGAATCCTGCTGCTCGTATCAGTGATCCGTCCGCGACATTCGTGACTTCCTGTGCCCGCTCGTCGCGGGAAGTGACGAGCCTGGACGGGCGCTAACGACTTCGGTGCCTTCAGCATTGAAAGCAACAGGATGAGCATTTTGCAGTCTCGGCTTCCGTTGAGCTGTTTCAACGGCACGCTTCGTATCATTTCAACGACAGGGAAATCCTTCTCACTCTAGTACCGTGTGTCGCCTGTGCTGGTAGGCTTTCCCTGCGGAAGGACAGCTGCCAGATTTAATAGGCCAACTGTAGCCAAAGGTCGTCATTCGTCCAGATTGTCTTGCTCGCATCGATCCGCACCCATCGCGCCGTTTTTACCGTTGATAAGAGCTCCTCGGCTCATATTATATGTTCGTGGAGTTTCCTCCGTAGTTGAGCCACTCTTAGTTAAGTTTCCAAGGCGATACTGCTTATCCGGTGCCAGTGGCTGGCATCACTGTTACAACTCGCAAGTTCAGTCGTTGTCACGGGAGCGTCTCGTGTGGTTCGTTCTGAATCCAGAGCCTCATCCTGATTACATAAAAGTCCCGGGTTACTTCCCCAGGCGCCGTCGCGAGGATAACTAGCCGTTATTGTTGGAAAGAACAGCCGTAAAGCGCAGACGTTATGATAAGGATGAATGGCGGGCAGCAGCGGGTGCAGGCGCCGCGGCGGATCGGCAAGTACGAGGTGGGCGGCACGCTGGGCGAGGGCACTTTCGCGAAGGTGAAGCACGCGGTGAACGCGGAGACGGGCGACGCCGTGGCGATGAAAGTGCTGGATAAGGAGAAGATCATCCGGCACAAGATGGTGGACCAGGTAGGCTGTCAGGAAGGGCTGGGCAAACGTAAGCAGGTCCTGGTGGCTGCAGAACGACCCGTGGCGATGAAAGAACTGGATAAGGAGAGGATCATCCGGCACAAGATGGTGGACCAGGTATGGTTTCACGGTGGAGGGGTGCAGTCTCATGGTAGAACCATCCACTCGTAGTGAGCGGGTACGGCGATGTAAGTGCTGGATAAGGAGAAGATCATCCGGCACAAGATGGTGGACCAGGTATGGTTTCACGGTGGAGGGGTGCAGTCTCATGGTAGAACCATCCACTCGTACTACGTGGGACTGGTGCCCTGCGACACGAGGGTAACCCTCATGAGGGATACCCCGAGGATACCTGTGCCCATCATGTGGGTAGAATTTTGCAGCGGTCATTTTTCGGATGTAGTGAGCGGGTACGGCGATGTAAGTGCTGGATAAGGAGAAGATCATCCGGCACAAGATGGTGGACCAGGTACTGTGGAATGAAGATCGACTTGGGAGACGTTAGTGGGTTCCGATGCACTCTTAAGAAAGCGCTGGTGACGAAGTGCTGGAGAAGGAGAAGATCATCCGGAGTCAGTAAAATGGTGCACTAGGTAAGGGCACGGGAGGCGGTCAGGGCTGTCAGGGGAGGGCGGGGCTAACGACAGCAGGTCCTGGTAGGTGCAGAACAACCTGTGTGCACCAGGTAAGGGCACGGGAAGCGGTCAGGGCTGTCAGGGGAGGGCGGGGCTAACGACAGCAGGTCCTGGTAGGTGCAGGACGACCCGTGGCGATGTAAGTGCTGGACAAGGCGAAGATCATCCGACACAAACTGGTGGACCAGGCAAGGAATGGGGAGGGACCAGGCCGGCGTAACGGGTTATGAGCAGGCTCTGCCATGGCGATGCAAGTGCTGGATTCCGCCGGATGCGGAGAAGATTCCGTGGATTAGTAATCTACTTTTGAGACGTCTCAAAACTTTTCAAAAGTCATGGAGATGAAAGTGCTGGATTCCGCCTCATAAGAAGAAGATTCCGACAGCATGAAAGGGCGGACCAGGTACGGCCGTGGGACAAGCTTCGGTCCATGCATGCATGCATGCACACCAGCGAGATTCAGGTTGGCTAGCGCCTTTTTTTGAGGCGCCTCAAAACAAGCTTCGGTCCATGCATGCATGCACGCACACCAGCGAGATTCAGGTTGGCTAGCGCCTTTTTTTGAGGCGCCTCAAAACAAGCTTCGGTCCATGCATGCCTGCACGCACACCAGCGAGATTCAGGTTGGCTAGCGCCTTTCCACGTATTCACGCGCATAATCGGGAGAATGCTGTTTTGCTGACTGACGGACGGCCCATACTCCTTTGATGTGGCTGGCTGTCTGTGCGCAGATCAAGAGGGAGATTTCCGTGATGAAGCTCGTCCGCCACCCTAACGTGGTGCGGCTGTATGAGGTGAGCGGCGCTGGGCTGGGCTGGGTGGCGATGGTAGTCTTGAGTGGGTGGCATGCTGCTAGGCTGCCACAAAGCTCGTCCGCCACCCTAACGTGGTGCGGCTGTATGAGGTGAGTGGCGCTGGGCTGGGCTGGGTGGCGATGGTAGTCTTGAGCGGGTGGCATGCTGCTAGGCTGCCACAAAGCTCGTCCGCCACCCGGATGCGGTGCGGCTATTTGAGGTGAGCGGCACACAATGTAAGGCACTTAAGAAAAGTCTCCGCTTTTATGAAGCTGCCATTCTTTTTTTGTTCTCCTTCTCGGAAAAATGAGCTGACATGCCCGCTCCCTTCCCCCAACCCTTTCTTTCTCCTCCCTTTAGGTTTTGGCCTCTCGCACCAAGATCTACATCATTTTGGAATTCGTTACAGGAGGCGAGCTCTTTGACAAGATAGTGAGTGCAGCCACTGCATTCTAGTTTGATGACTCTTGTCAAATTCCACATAATCCCAGTCCTCTCCTCGTGTGATGATTTTAATTGGTTTTTCAGAATTCTAAAAACCAATTCAATGCACATAATCCCAGTCGTCTCCTCATATGATGGTCTTTTAGGAGCCTTCGGAGCCTTTTTTTGGAGGCGATTATAGAACACTCTCAGTGCCTTGCATGGTCCTGGGAAAACAGGGGTTATCTAGCTTAGTCAACGCGATGTTTCTAGCGGTACTGTGAGCTGAGCTGCGTTGTGATGTATTTTGAGTCGACTCAAAATACACCTGTACTGTGAGCTGAGCTGCGGTGTGATGTATTTTGAGTCGACTCAAAATACAGCTGTACTGTGAGCTGAGCTGCGGTGTGATGTATTTTGAGTCGACTCAAAATACACCTGTTCTGTGAGCTGAGCTGCGGTGTGATGTGGAAGCACCTGCTGTGAACTGATTTAGAGTGTGAGAACAGTCCCTTCTGTGCATTGCTTGCAGTGCAGGTGAACAAGGGCAGGCAGGGTGCAGCAGGAGGATGCGGCACTGCGGTTCTTCCAGCCGTGTTTTGTGTGGTTAGGGTTGAAAAGCTCACAAGCACCTATGCTAGTTTTGAGTTAACCGCCGAGTGTTAGAACGTCCTCTTTGCCCCGATGAACCAGGGAAGGCTGGAGGAGATGGAGGCGGCGGGAGGGCACTTCCAGCAGCAGTTATAAATTGCTACAAAAATGCACCAGCAGCACCCAACCTTATATCGAGTGTCCGTATCGTGTACGAACGCCCTTGCCACCTCTTTTTCAGGTCAACAAGGGCCGGCTGGAGGAGGGCGAGGCGCGGCGGTACTTCCAGCAGCTGATTGATGCGATCGAGTACTGCCACAGCAAGGGAGTGGCACACAGAGATCTCAAGGTGGGTACAGATTCCTAGGACTTGAGCAACGGATCAGTACTCCCAGCAGCTGATTGATGCGATCGAGTACTGCCACAGCAAGGGAGTGGCACACAGAGATCTCAAGGTGGGTACAGATTCCTAGGACTTGAGCAACGGACCAGTACTCCCAGCAGCTGATTGATGCGATCGAGTACTGCCACAGCAAGGGAGTGGCACACAGAGATCTCAAGGTGGGTACTGATTCCTAGGACTTGAGCAACAAATCAGTACTTCCAGCAGCTGATTGATGCAATAGGATATTGCCACAGCTAGGGGATGGCGCATAGAGATCTCAAGGCGGGTTGAAATACTGCTGCTCTAAAGGATTCAACCACTTTTAAACAGATGATAGATGCAATCAAGTACGGCCACCACAAGAGCAGGCCTGAATACACACAGTCTGTCACTGAGTCCGACACAGCCACGCCAAATATGCCCTCTCTTGCCACTGTGTGTGTGTATTGGTTTTCCTCCATGACAGCCGGAGAATCTTCTTTTGGATTCTAAGGATAATATCAAGATCTCGGACTTTGGCCTCAGCGCCTTGCCACAGCAAGTCAGGGTAAATTCGGGGGGGGCTTGCATGAAACCTTTCTACTTATCATCGTTTATCATGCCATTTTGGTCTTGTTTAAGCTGCACCTTGCCACCTTCTCAGATGTCTCTTGTCACCTGCTCATCATCCCAGCCCAGCACTTTCAAGTGTTAAGGCAGCCAATGGTCGTCGTTGCACCTCCATGGCTGAAGTTCCACGCTTTCTCTACCTGCCGTGTCTATTTTCAGGCGGACGGTTTGCTCCACACAACGTGCGGCACCCCCAACTACGTTGCTCCCGAGGTAAGAGACTTAATCGCATGTAGTCTTTGACACTCATGTTTTGAGGCGCCTCAAATTTTGACACTCATACTGTGCTGGGTCATTGGCCTCGTTCTCCTAGCCAGCTTTCAACTCTTGACGCCCCTCACTAGTCCTTCCCTTCCCTCTCCATTCTCCTCACTTCCCACCAAAACCCCAAAACCCCCTCTCCCCCACCTTCTCCCTCTGAGGTGTTAAGCGACAGGGGCTACAATGGGGCCCTAACAGACATCTAGTCGTGCGGTGTCATTCGTTACGTGCTCCTCTCTGGCTTCCCACACTTGGCGCTCCTCATAAGTCCTCCTCTTTCCTTTCCTCCCCATGTCTCTCCCGCTTTCTCTTTCAGGTGTTGAGCGACAGGGGCTACAACGGAGCTCTAGCGGACATCTGGTCGTGCGGGGTCATTCTCTACGTGCTCCTAGCCGGTTTCCTCCCCTTTGACGAGCCGGACGTCCCTTCGCTTTATAGAAAGGTAGGCAGCATCAGTAGGCGTGTCTGTAGGCGTGTCTATAGGCGTGTCTGTAGGCATGTCTGTAGGTGCTTCTTCTATGCTCTCCTGTAGGTGTTTGGCTTCCTCCCCTTTGAAGAGCCAGATGACCCCCTCCTCCGCGCTACAGAAAGGTAGGCATCTCTTCTGCCTCTGTCGGGGTAATTCTCTAAAGCTGCTAGTAGGTAATGTGTGACATTGTAACGAGGTGACTTTTGAGTCGACTCAAAAGTGACTAAGCTGCTAGTAGGTAACCTTTGTGCTTTACTCTTCTTTCAGATTCAGAGATCTGACTTTGGGTTTTCCACAAGGTGTTGTCCTCCCCCCTCCCCGCACATGTTTCCGCTTGTTTTACTTTCCAATCAGATCCAAAGATCTGATTTCGGATTCCCCACGTGGTTCTCAGCTGGAGCGAAGAGACTGATCACTGGCATACTGCAACCAAACCCAAGGGTGGTGAGCTGTCTTGGTTGTACGGGATAGGAGGGATGGGAGGGTAGGGCGGGATGGGGAGATGGGGGGGATGGGGGGGATGGGGAGATGGGGGGGATGGGGGGATGGGGAGATGGGGGGGATGGGGGGGATGGGGAGATGGGGGGATGGGGGGGATGGGGAGATGGGGGGGTTGGGCTGATGGGGGGGGTGGGGGGGATAGGAGGGATATCTCCCTCCTGTGTAAATCGGAATCCCCATGGGGTTCCCAGCTGGAGCAAAAACACCGATCATGGAGTCCTGCAGTTTTGTGGCTTAAGGAACCCACCTGAACCGTTGCATATCCCACTCTTGCTTTCTCTCTTCCTTCCAACCCCACCCAATCCGCGCAGAGGTATCGGTATGAGGAGATAAGGAAGGATCCATGGTTCCGCACAAACTATGTCCCGGTGCCGGTTCCGAAAGACACTCCTGATGTTATGGATGACATTGATGCGGCCTTCGGTGGTAATAAGACTCACTTCCACTCTCCTCCCCTCCGAACCCACCCCATATACGCAGAGGTATCGGTATGAGGAGATAAGGAAGGATCCATGGTTTCGCACAAACTATGTCCCGGTGCCGATTCCGAAAGACATTCCTGAAGACATGGACGATGTTGATGCTGCCTTTGGTGGCAACGGTGCTGGTTCTGGTGCTGCCAATGCAGCTGTCAACAGTGCTGGCAACGGTGCTGGCAACGGTGCTAATAGCTGTAGTGCGGTTGGTGCTGGTGAGACTGCTACTGGGAGTAGCAGCAGCAGTGCTGTCAGTGGCGATGCCAATACTTGTGCCACGTGTGCAGAAAAGCAGCAGCAACAGCATCAGAATCAACAGCAGCAGCAGCAGGAGCAGACAGGGTTAGAGGGATCTGGAAACCCAAAGGAGGAACACAGAGGCGGGTTGTCCTGTCAGCTGGGAGGACCGTCTTTCAAGCTCAACAACAAGAGTGTCAGAGGGGTAGAGCACGCACCATCTAGTGCTAAGAAGAGTATTAACAGCAGCAGCGGAAACAGTGACAGCAGCAGCGGCAGCAACAGCACTAGTACCGCCAGCACCAGCATCAGCGGGAGCAAGTGCGGCAGCAATAGCAGTCCAACGATAATCCATGGGTTTTCACTCAGCAGTACCAATGACCTGTGCCAGAACCCCGGCTGTAGCCAGAATACTAGCAGCGCCTGCTACAACCCTCCCAGAAGCCAGAGCACCGCTTTGTGCTGCGATTCCGGCTGCGGCCCTAGCTGCTCTCACAGCACAAGTGTGTGCTACAGCCCGGGTTGTAGCGAGGAAGTTCCCTGTAGCAGCACGTGTGAAGAGGCTCATGTGGACAGGCACCTTCTGGCCGCGGGGGTGAGAGGTATGAGGGGGGCCAGAGGGAGCGGGGGAGGCATCAGAGGGGGGGTCGGGGGGACTATAGAGGAAGGGGAGGCGGAAGGGGAGGACAGTGGGGATGACAGTGGCGACAGTGGGGGGGAAGGGGGCGGGGGAGGGGGAAGGGGGGAATTGAGAGGGGAATGGGAAGGGGAGAGAGGAGGAGTAGGGGAGGATGGGGAGTGGGGGGATGAACCTAGGCCAACTACTCTGAACGCTTTTGACCTGCTGATTCTGGCCCAGGGGTTCGACCTTGGGGGATTATTCAACAGCCCAGCCTTGTTGGGAGGAAAAACGCACGAGGGGAAAGGGGAAGGAGGAGCGAGGGGAGAAGGAGGTGGAGGAGGAGTAATCGCAGGAGGGGTGGGGGGGAGTGGGCAAGAGCGGGAGAGGCTTCGCTACAACAACACTCGGTTTTTGTCACATGTGCCAGTGAGGCGCCTGGTTGGGAGAGTGGAAGCAGCAGCAGGGGAGCTGGGGTTGCACGTGGCGAGAGATGGATTTAAGGTGTGACGGATTCAAAGTTGGTGGTTAATAAGCTGAATTCACCCTTTTTTTGGGGTGGGGGGTGGGGTGGGGGGGGGGGGGGGAACTCGTTTTCTCGTCCTGTGTGCCCACGCTCTTGTTTGCATTCGACGCATAAAATCAACGCCTCTGCTTTGATTCTACGTCTGGTCCATGCTGGCCTTGAATCTCCACTTTCAACTGCAATCATTTAATTCTGACCCTTCTGACCCATGCTCACCTTTGTGGTCCTTCCTCATCCTTTCCTACCCTTCTCGTTCTTGTGTTCTCGCAACAGCTCCGGCTCGAGTTGCGACACACAGCAGCAGATACGCCAGCAACTGCAGCATCTGCAGCAGATACGCCAGCAGCATTCGCAGCAGCATCGCCAAAGGAAGAGCAACCGTGCGATCAGGCCAGAGCAAGTGCAGATTCCTCAGGGGACGGAGACGGGGGTAGAGGAGGAGGAGGAGGAGGAGGAGGAGGAGGAGGAGGAGGAGGAGGAGGAGGAGGAGGAGGAGGAGGAGGAGGAGGAGGAGGAGGAGGAGGAGGAGGAGGAGGAGGAGGAGGAGGAGGAGGAGGAGGAGGAGGAGGAGGAGGAGGAGGAGGAGGAGGAGGAGGAGGAGGAGGAGGAGGAGGAGGAGGAGGAGGAGGAGGAGGAGGAGGAGGAGGAGGAGGAGGAGGAGGAGGAGGAGGAGGAGGAGGAGGAGGAGGAGGAGGAGGAGGAGGAAGAGGAGGAGGAGGAAGAGATGATACAGCAGCAGCCGCAGTGACAGCAGCAGCAACAGAAGAGGAAGCAGCAAGGGGAGCAGCAGGAGAAGCAGAAGAAGCAGGAGGCATGGGCGCAGGAGCAGCAGCAGCAGCTGCAGGTCCTGCTTCGCCCGTTACTGCTTCTGACGCTGCAGCTCATGGTGATGGGCAGACCTCGGCTGCTGTGGCAGGGCACAACGCCATTGCAGCTGTAGTTGTGGAGGTAAGGATTGCACTTAGGTGTGCTGTGAGCCACTGTACGAGGTAGATAGGTACGCAGCTCGTTGTCTTACCAGTGGTGATGTGCAGACCTCGGCTGCTGTGGCAGGGCACACCGCCATTGCAGCTGTAGTGTGGAGGTAAGGATGGGAGCCGTCACTGCTGCAGTTAGGTTTGCTGGGAGCCGCTGGGCGAGGTAGATCGGTACGCAGCTAGTTGTCTTACCAGTGGGGGTTTGTAGAGCTCAGCTGCTGTGGCAGGGCACTTTCGTCACTTTCGTTTCTTTTGCTTATCCATATATGTGTGTGTGTATGAGTCGACTCACAATGTGTTTGTGCGACTCTGTGTGTATATGTTTGCATGTGCGTCTGTGGTTGAGCATGGTTTGTGCAAGCAGGTTTTCTCCATTCTTCCGGGCCTTCACATGGCGGAAATTCGGCACGAAGCGGGCAACTCACTAGAGTATATGCAGGTGTGTGTCCGTTGGTGTGTGTGTGCTTTCGTGCACGTGCATGTGTGCGCATGCGGAAGTGCATGTTCTCCATTCTCCAGGGCCTTCACATGGTGGAGATACTCCATGAGATGGGCAGCACACTAGAATGCATGGTGGAGTATATGCAGGTATGTGTTTTCAATTGTGTGGATCCATTCCATCCAACATACATATCTATTCTCAGCCCTATTCCCCTTTCCCGTCCAGTTCCAACTCAACCCTATTCCCCTCTCGCTTGCCATACCCATCCACTCCCCGCCCCTCCCATCCAGTTCAAACTCTTCCCCCATTCCCCTCACTTGCCATACCCATCCCCTCCCCGCCCCTCCCATTGCCCAGTTGCATCAGTTTCTCCACACCAAGCTTCAGCGCCTCATGATGGCCCCACGCCTGCCAACAGACAAGGACGCCGCCAAGGGCGGTATTAGCAGCAGCAGCATCGCCACCAGTGATGGCAACTCTTCCCCTCGCTTGCCATACCCATCCCCTCCCCGCCCCTCCCCATTTCCCAGCTGTGCCAGGCACTCCATGCCAAACTCCGGGACCTCATAATGGCCCCACACCTGCCGACAGACAAGGACGCCGCCAAGGGTGGTATCGGCAGCAGCAGTGGTGGCACGGGGACGGGGCTCAAGCCAACACGGCCACGGCAGATTGTGAGTGCTGTGGTTTCTCCACCTTTTGCGTAGTACCATGCCAGGGGTGGGGTAGTGTCAGCAGGAGCAGCATCGCCAGCAGTGCTGGCAAGGGCAAGGGGACGGGGTTCAAGCCACCACGGCCACGCCAGCTTGTGAGTGCTTGTGGTTTCTCAACCTCGCGTTGAAGTGCGATAATTCCTACACGTAGTGTCCTACACTACACCACGCTGTATGGTTACCAGCACTAAGTGGGGCATACAATCAAATATATGATTCAAACTGCACCAAAGGAGGAACCACCATTCCTCTTGGATTATAAAGACGATGTGGCTTTCCCTCTCCCCCTCCCTCCCGTTTCTTCCACCCCTTTGGGTCCCTCCAGGCTGCTTATCCTCGCATGGGGATCATTCCACGAGTGTGACCATTGTAGTGTTACGTGTGCTTCGCACCTGCTTGTACACTGCCGCTTCCCTACTACCCCACTAAGGGAAAGCTACAACAACACTAGATGAGCCATTTGTTTTGTATAGTAGTATTAGAATGCACATGCCAATTGAACTTGGTGAAACGTATAAATATGCCCTAAGTGGGTACTAAGGTTATTAGTCATGCATCATATGTCTACTACTGATATGTACAACTAGTGGCTATGCAATGGATTTTCACAGGGATTGGCCAAATTCAAGTACAGATATTGCAACCTTCCAGGCAGCCCATCGACAAGCATTTCTCTGCAATGCATATAGAACTGATATTAGTGATGGAGTGAAGTCACACTTCATCATACAGATGTTTCTTTACACATCCTAGTAACGTGCACCAAAGGAAGATAGAAACCGGTATTTAGGCAACTCATTCTAAAGTACTCCCCAGACCAAGTCCTTATAGGGTCGTGAGGAGAGATCCTATAATGAGGATAACCGGAAAACACGTTGATTTGGACCTTCTAAGGGGTAGTGAGAAGATCCTGTAACGAGGATAATTGGGGAGGCAGCTCCACCCACCCCCCTGCCACCAGAACTAGGAAGAGCCAGGTGGGGAAGATTCCCAGAAGCAGCACAAGACTGAACCCGAGGGGGGGACCTGGTGAGTAGGAGGAGGGATGAGGGTCGACGACGGAGAGAGGGAGGGGAGTGGGGAGAGGTCGGGGGGGGGGTTGAAGACAGGTGGGTCTTTGGTGGGAGAGAGTGCCACCTCAAAGCAAGGTGACCTCAAAGCAAGGTGACCTCAAAGCAAGGTGACCTCAAAGCAAGGTGAGCTCAAAGCAAGGTGACCTCAAAGCACGATGAATATCCCTTGGTGGGCAGGAGGCGAGACGAGGGAGGATGATGGAGAGAGGGAGGGGAGTGGGGAGAGGTGGGAGGGGAGTGGAAGAGAGACGCATGCTTGGTGGGAGAGGAGACGCGGAGAGCAGGAGGAGAGTGGGTTGGGGAGAGGAGTTCGGCGAGGGGAGGAGGAGGCAGGGGGGTGGGGAAAAGAGCGTACCTGGGTGAGGGAAGGAGGAGACAGGGGGTGGGGAGAGTACTTGGGTGAGGGGAGGAGGAGACAGGGGGTGGGGAGTGTACTTGGGTGAGGGGAGGAGGAGACAGGGGGTGGGGAGAGTACTTGGGTGAGGGGAGGAGGAGACAGGGGGTGCGGAGAGTACTTGGGTGAGGGGAGGAGGAGACAGGGGGTGGGGAGAGTACTTGGGCGAGGGGAGGAGGAGACAGGGGGTGGGGAGAGTACTTGGGTGAGGGGAGGAGGAGACAGGGGGTGGGGAGAGTACTTGGGTGAGGGGAGGAGGAGACAGGGGGTGGGGAGAGTACTTGGGTGAGGGGAGGAGGAGACAGGGGGTGGGGAGAGTACTTGGGTGAGGGGAGGAAGGCGCAGCTGGCAGGAGAAAAACAGGAATGGAACGGAGAGAAAAGAGTCAATCACCCCCAATGTGAGAAGAGAGACTACTTGCTGAGTGCTCACAAAAGCACCCCTTCAATATAGTCACCCATATGCTCCTCCACGCTTTCCTTCCGGAACGAGTCACCTCCAAGCGCTCACACACTCTGTTGTATTTTGAATCACACTCCATTGGTCTCGAGTCACCTCCAAGCGCTCACACACTCTGTTGTATTTTGAATCACACTCCATTGGTCTCAAGTCACCTCCAAGCGCTCACACACTCTGTTGTATTTTGAATCACACTCCATTGGTCTCGAGTCACCTCCAAGCGCCCACACACTCTGTTGTATTTTGAACCACACTCCATTGGTCTCGAGTCACCTCCAAGCGCTCACACGCTCCAACCACTCACACGCTCTGCCAAGCTTCACCAACCTTATCGCACTCTCCACTCACGTCGTCTCATTGCACCACCCTCCAACCATACTCATCCATACATACTCTCTTCAAGTACTCACCCTTCTATGTCCTTCCTAATATTCCTTTCCCTCACCAACCACTCGGCCACGCTGTTCACCACCTCATTTCACCCAGTCGTTCTCATACTCACACATACTCTCCTCCTCCTCCCCCTCCTTCCTGATAATCCTCTCCCAATCTCCCGACTCGCCCCCCCAAATCTCCCACTCTCACAAGCCACTCCCCCAACTTCCCCTCACCAACCACTCGCCCACTCTCACAAGCCACTCTACCAAACCCCCACCCCAACTCCCCTCCCCTCTTCCCCCCCCACCCCCGGGTACTCAGAAACCTATTTTTGAGGTGCCACAGAAACAGTCCGATCAATCGAACCACCACTTACCCGCCCACCTTCCCCCACTACTCACCCTGCATGTCCTCTTGAGCTTCCTTCCTCACAGTCCTTTCCTCCAGCCAGCCACTCGCCCACCCTTCCAAGCTACCTCCTAAGGTACTCACCCTTCATGTCCTCTTCCCCATCCTTCCTGATCGTCTTCTCCTCCAGCCACTCGCCCACTTTCTTGGCTGACTTCACCGCTTCCCACTCCTCCATACCCCCTCCCAACTGCCCGAACCCCTGCTCGTCCAACTCGTCTAGAATCGACTTCTGGTTTGAGTTGGGGTCCCTGGGGGGGGATGAGGAGGGGGGGTGGGGGGAGGGGGGAGGGGGGAGGGGGGGACAGGTGAGAGATAGGGGAGAGGGAGGGGTGTGTGTCCAGTCCACCCCTCCATGCGCCCTCCTATCTGCCCAAACCCCTGCTCGCCCAGTGCATTGAGGATCGACTTCTGGTTGGAGTTAGGGTCATTGGGGGGATGTGTTAACCGGCGGTGGGGAGGCTATTTTTGAGGCGCCTCAAAAATTTGCTCGCCCAGTGCATTGAGGATCGACTTCTGGTTTGAGTTAGGGTCCTTGGGGGGGGATGTGTTAAGGGGCGGTGGGGAGGGGGCGGGGGGATAGGTGAGAGATAGGGATGGAGATGATTGGGTGGGCGGAAGTCGATTTTTAGGATCAAAAAAATATCGACTCATTACAATCGACTCATTACACAAGGGATGGAGATGATTGGGTGGGCGGAAGTGGGATGCGGCTCTTGGAATGAAGGTGCTCAAACCCCATCACAATGCTAAACTACGAAACCCTAAACCCGGTGGCCCTTATTCCGTTTCCTTCGACCCCAACTCCCTCCCTGATTCTCCCTTTGCAAGAAGCTGACTTTTGAGTCCACTCAAAAACCACGTGGCTCACGTGGCTCTCTGCTGCGTTGCCCTTCCCACCTTCTGCGAAGCTGCGGCCGGACGTCCCCCTGTCGAGGGCGCGGGGGGGGGGGAGCGGAAGACCTGGGGGGGCCGGAAGCGCTCCCCTTGGGGGAGGCGGGCACGCCGTCCCCCCGCTGCACGCCGAGAATCTCCCGCTCCAGATCCGACAAACGGCGCCGCCCCCAGATCTGATCTTCCCGCTTCTCCTGGCGACTCTCCCTTCCATTCGCGAGCGCCGCATTTTCCTTTGCGTCGCCTTTCCTGCCGTCCTTAATCTTCTCCACTCCGTCCCCAGACCCGCCGTTCCCCTTAGCGGCTCCGTTCTCTCCTTTAGGCGCGTTTTCCGGAGCCGCTTCGCATTTTACAGCGCGATTTAATCGCCTAGCTGAAGTGGAAAAAGGCGGTGAAACAGAGACGCTTGTACTGACGGATATGCGCGAAAGTTTTGGGTGCGACAAGAGAGGGGCGCGAGAGGGAGGGAGCGCAAGTTGAAGCGCATTTGACGCCATGGAAGAAGGCTAACAGTCTAGAAGTGTAAAAAACAGTATAGAAGTGTAAAAAACAGTCCAGGAAACGAGTGACTCGAGATAAGACTACTATGTGGGGTAGGCCGGGGGGGGGGAGAAAGGTATTTACGAGGCTTTCATGAATCTGTGGGAACTTTTGGGGGAATACTGGACAGGACAGGCGCGAAGTGTGGCGCGTTTTTCGGCATTTATTCTCTCCAGCCGAAAATAGTCGAGCTGCAGCGATGGGAATTGATGCTGAAGCAGCAGCCTCGCCCAAATGTACTCGCTAAAGGACCCCCCCTGTCCAAAACTCCGATGGTCGTGAAATTGTGTGGCCATAAAACATTCGCATTTCGTTTTTACAAATACAGTACATTCTTTCTCTCCCGATGTGGTTGGCACAAAGCCAACGACATAAAAGGAGGCACAATTCGCGAACAGTAGGCTTCTCAATAACTTCTGATATGTGGCTCGTTCTAATGCGCTCCTCAGCTCAGATTTTCACTTCCTCCCCTTCCATTTGCTTCTTCTGCCCATCATTCCCCGCCAACACTCCCCCAAACACCCCCCCAGCAGCCTCCTCTTCCAAAATCTCCAGAGCATCAGCCGGAGAATTTGCCACTGCTGTAGCTACATGCTTTCCTCAGTCAGCTCTTCACTTCCCTCCTTTCTCCCATCTCCCCCACCACCCCCCCGAACACCCCCCCGGCAGCCTCCTCTTCTAGAATCTCCAGAGCATCAGCCGGAAACCTGGCCGCCATTGCTGCCAACTGCTTTCCGTAAGAAACGCTTTTTTACTTCCCCCTTCCTCCTTTCCTCTTCTCTTTCCTTCCCGAGTCCTCCTCCCCCTCCTCCTCTCCCCACCAGCCCCCCGAACACCCCCACAGCAGCCTCCTCTTCTAGAATCTCCCGGGCATCAGCCGGAAACCTGGCTGCCACTACTGCTACTGCCGCAGTCTTCCTTTCACTTCCCAGTTCGACCTTTCTTCGTCTCTTCGTTTCCTAAGTCCTCCCCTTTCCCTCCTCCCCCCAATACCCCCCCGAACACCCCCACAGCAGCCTCCTCCTCTAGAATCTCCAGAGCATCAGCTGGAGACCTGGCCGCCGCTGCTGCGCGCCGCGCTCCTATTGGCTGGTCGCCCTCGTCCTCGCCCACAGAGCACCACGTGGCGCGAGCCCATTGGTCCATGTGGAACGCCACCTGCTCCGGCACCTCATCGTGGGGGCAGTGGCCTGGAAGGGCGAAGGGGGGGAGAGGGGGGAGGGGGGAGATGGGTTGTGGATTGGCAACCTGTGCTTGGTTTGGGAAAACCCACTGATCCATGTGGAATGCCACCTGCTCCGGCACCTCACCGTGGGGGCAGTGGCCTGGAAGGGGAGAGGGAAGGAGCGGGAGACGGAGGAGGGAGGGAAGGGGATGCGCATTACTAAGTCGTACCATACTGTGTGTGCGGTGCGAGCCCCATATTGTGTGTGCGGTGCGAGCCCCATGGTCTCGAGGGGGGGAACGGGGGGTTGTAGTGGAGGAACGTATCACATGCCAGCCCCATCTCAATTGGTCCATTTGGAACGCCACCTGCTCTGGCACCTCGTTGTTTGGGCAGTGACTGGAGGGGGAGAGGGGAGGAGCGGGTGACAGGGGGGGAGGGGATGTGCATTACTAAGACGAATCGCATTGTGTGTGCAGTGCGAGAGCATCGGTCCATGTGGTATGCAGCCTGCTCTGGCACCTGGTCTCTATTATCAGAGAGAGCCTGCTCTCTGGACAGCCACATGAGCCTGCCTGCCCCAATTCTAAAACCGACCTGCTTTCAACAGCTTAAGGGCAACTCCAGGGCACGAGGTAGTGATGAGGTTGGCTCTTGCCACAGCGTCGTTGAGCGGGTCAAGACTACCCTGCAGGGAAAGGAGACGGGTGCGTGTGAGAGAGGTGGGGGTGGGGGGGGGAGGGGGAGAAGGGGCCGCGGGAATACAGGGGGAAGTGGAGTTTTGGTTGAAGAGGGGGTTTCGACTAGCCCACAGGGAGAGCGCGAACAGGGGAGGGGAGCTTGATAAAAGGAAATTATGGCAGTGGAATAGTGCGACTAGCAGCAATAAACTCATTTCCTTCAAACCGAATGATTGAGAGCTGCTTTCTTTTACTTCTAACGAGTACGATCGTACCTGCACCACCAGCACAGGCCCTCTGTGGGTGATGAGCAGGCTGGCTTGGGCGGGTAGAAGGGGCTCGCCACCACCCCTGCTGCTATCAGCGCGACAATACCTGTGGCACTAGCACTGCCAACGTACCTGCAGCACGAGCACGGGTCCTCCATATCTGATGAGCAGGCTGTTGAGGGGCTCTGGCTTGGGCAGGTAGAAGGCGCTCTCCACCACCTCCACCGCCCCCGGGTCTGTGGCTGCTCTTGAGATTTCCCCCAGTAGCCATTCGTCTGCCCTCTCAGGCCTCTGGTGGGGAAGAATGGAATTCAAACACAGAGTGGAAGGGGGGTGGGGGGTGGGGGGGCAGGTGGAGAACACTCTCCACCGCCTTCAAAGCCTCAGGGCCTGTTGCTGCTGCTCTTGAGATTTCCCCCAGTAGCCAGTCGTCTGCCCTCTCAGGCCTCTGGTGGGGAAGAATGGAATTCAAACACAGAGTGGAAGGGGGGTGGGGGGGCAGGTGGAGAACACTCTCCACCGCCTTCAAAGCCTCAGGGCCTGTTGCTGCTGCTCTTGAGATTTCCCCCAGTAGCCAGTCGTCTGCCCTCTCAGGCCTCTGGTGGGGAAGAATGGAATTCAAACACAGAGTGGAAGGGGGGTGGGGGGGCAGGTGGAGAACACTCTCCACCGCCTTCAAAGCCTCAGGGCCTGTTGCTGCTGCTCTTGAGATTTCCCCCAGTAGCCAGTCGTCTGCCCTCTCAGGCCTCTGGTGGGGAAGAATGGAATTCAAACACAGAGTGGAAGGGGGGTGGGGGGGCAGGTGGAGAACACTCTCCACCGCCTTCAAAGCCTCAGGGCCTGTTGCTGCTGCTCTTGAGATTTCCCCCAGTAGCCAGTCGTCTGCCCTCTCAGGCCTCTGGTGGGGAAGAATGGAATTCAAACACAGAGTGGAAGGGGGGTGGGGGGGCAGGTGGAGAACACTCTCCACCGCCTTCAAAGCCTCAGGGCCTGTTGCTGCTGCTCTTGAGATTTCCCCCAGTAGCCAGTCGTCTGCCCTCTCAGGCCTCTGGTGGGCGTGGGGGGTTCGGGGGTGCAAGAAAGAACAGGAGGAGGTGTGAGAAAGAACTGCAGGTAGAACACACTCTCCACAGGGGTAGAACTCTCCATAACCTCCACCAGTCGTCCGCGGAGGTCTGTGGCTGCTTGGGAGATTTCTGCAAGCAACCAGTCGTCTGCTCCCTCAAGGATCTGCTGGGTATTAGGGGCTGAGAATAAGGGGTGGCATGGCATGTACAGAAGCATATTATAGAGTCGCGGTACGCTACAGCAGAAAGCCCTGTATATTCAACTCACCTTACACCGAATACAACAGAGAAACTAGAAAGATTAACCATGGTGGAGCAGCGCTTGGAAATAAGACCTGTGTTGAGGTACTTGGAAAGGCAGAGGCAGAGAGCTCGCGACAATAGCCAGGCACACCCTACACCCCTTACACAAAAATCCAACATTGTCTAATGCTGCTTACCACGGGGTAGCAGCGCTTCAGGATGGGCCCTGTGTAACTGTGTTGAATCGAAGATAGAGGAAGAGAGCCCGCGACAGCACACCTACTGGGTAAGCCCTACATACCCAACTCACCTTACACCGGTCAAGCATGCGAGAAAGTAAGCGTCTTACCACGGGGTAGCAGCGCTTCAGGATGGGCCCTGTGTCACTGTGTTGAATCGAAGATAGAGGAAGAGAGCCCGCGACAGCACACCTACTGGGTAAGCCCTACATACCCAACTCACCTTACACCGGTCAAGCATGCGAGAAGTAAGCGTCTTACCACGGGGTAGCAGCGCTTCAGGATGGGCCCTGTGTCACTGTGTTGAATCGAAGATAGAGGAAGAGAGCCCGCGACAGCACACCTACTGGGTAAGCCCTACATACCCAACTCACCTTACACCGGTCAAGCATGCGAGAAAGTAAGCGTCTTACCACGGGGTAGCAGCGCTTCAGGATGGGCCCTGTGTAACTGTGTTGAATCGAAGATAGAGGAAGAGAGCCCGCGACAGCACACCTACTGGGTAAGCCCTACATACCCAACTCACCTTACACCGGTCAAGCATGCGAGAAAGTAAGCGTCTTACCACGGGGTAGCAGCGCTTCAGGATGGGCCCTGTGTCACTGTGTTGAATCGAAGATAGAGGAAGAGAGCCCGCGACAGCACACCTACTGGGTAAGCCCTACATACCCAACTCACCTTACACCGGTCAAGCATGCGAGAAAGTAAGCGTCTTACCACGGGGTAGCAGCGCTTCAGGATGGGCCCTGTGTCACTGTGTTGAATCGAAGATAGAGGAAGAGAGCCCGCGACAGCACACCTACTGGGTAAGCCCTACATACCCAACTCACCTTACACCGGTCAAGCATGCGAGAAGTAAGCGTCTTACCACGGGGTAGCAGCGCTTCAGGATGGGCCCTGTGTCACTGTGTTGAATCGAAGATAGAGGAAGAGAGCCCGCGACAGCACACCTACTGGGTAAGCCCTACATACCCAACTCACCTTACACCGGTCAAGCATGCGAGAAAGTAAGCGTCTTACCACGGGGTAGCAGCGCTTCAGGATGGGCCCTGTGTCACTGTGTTGAATCGAAGATAGAGGAAGAGAGCCCGCGACAGCACACCTACTGGGTAAGCCCTACATACCCAACTCACCTTACACCGGTCAAGCATGCGAGAAAGTAAGCGTCTTACCACGGGGTAGCAGCGCTTCAGGATGGGCCCTGTGTCACTGTGTTGAATCGAAGATAGAGGAAGAGAGCCCACGACAGCACACCTACTGGGTAAGCCCTACATACCCAACTCACCTTACACCGGTCAAGCATGCGAGAAAGTAAGCGTCTTACCACGGGGTAGCAGCGCTTCAGGATGGGCCCTGTGTTGAAGCGGAGGTAGAGGAAGAGAGCCCGCGACAGCAGCCAGGCCACAGGCTTGGGAGGGCCCTTGGATAAGGCGCCATCAGGAGGTGGAGCGGGCGAAGTGGGAGAGAGGGTGGAGGAGGGAGAGGAGGAGGAAGAGGAGGAGGAAGAGGAGGAGGAAGATGAGGAGGAAGAGGAGGAGGAAGATGAGGAGGAAGAGGAGGTGGGGAAGGGGATATCTGGGTCGATGCGGCCGGCGGAGTTGAATAAGACAAGCGAGGAGACTAGGTCTGGCCACTGGCCGGCAACTGAAGACACAGTGTAGCCTGATTGGTCGAGACAGGGGAGGGCGTGGGGGGGGGAGAGGGGGGAGGGGGGGGAGGGGAGATTTGGGGGGGGGGGGGGGGGGGGGGGGGTGAGAAGAACTAAGTGTCGAAGGTAGATTGGTGCAGACACTCTTACACCTGTTGAGCCAGAGTCACTTGCTCTTTGTTAATTCTAAAACAGGCACTTAGGCAGTCACTTGCTCTTTGTTAATTCTAAAACAGGCACTTAGGCAGTCACTTGCTCTTGGTTAATTCTAAAACAGGCACTTAGGCAGTCACTTGCTCTTCATTAATTCTAAAACAGGCCCTTAGGCAGCAGTGGTAACACCTGAAATTTTAAGACGTTATCGGTTGTATTTTGAGTCGACTCAAAATACACTTCTCTGCATGGTTTTTACGTAGCAGTGATTTGTGCCTAGTACCAGTCACCCTCGATCCTCCCGAACGCTCTCACCTCGACTTAAGTTGCCAAAGGGGCATTTATACTTCCGTGCTTCTGTGCTCAAGCATCTTTTTTCGCACTGTTGCCCTTCCAAGTTCCAACCATGAGTGAAGACGACCCAGAAGCACCAGTAGCCCTCTATCCTCCCACTGCGAGTCTGCCACCTACCTTTAATGGAGTTGCCGCCCAGAACCACCGTTTCTTTCAACATCATAATCCATCAGGTTGACACAGACTCCTCAAATCGAATCAGATCTAATCAAATCCACCCACCTCCAATGGAGTTGCCGCCCAGCACCACAGGTTCCTTCACCACTTCACGAATAAAATCCGCAACACAGTCGCGCCACACGTACTGCGTGTACGACCAGAAAGGTTTCTCTGCCCGGCCGAATCCGGGCAGCGTGAGAGCCCAAACGCGGTGGCCGGAGGCTGCCAGAGGGCGCATGACATCGCGAAAGTGCTGCCAGAATGCGCCAAATCCATGAACAAATAGAATAGCCGGCCCTTCCGTTCCTGCTGAACCATACTGGGAGAAAAGCAGGGGGTTAGGGAGGAAGTCGGGAGGAGAAAAGTTGCTTGAGATGCGTTCAAGCCGAACCACACTGCGTATTTTGAGTCAAATCAAAATAAACCTGGAGAAAAGTTGCTTGAGACACGTTCAAGCCAATCCATATTGTGGGTAGAACGGGGTTGAGGGAGAAAGTTATGAGCTTTCCCTCTTGAGCTGAATGTGCTGGGATAGGAACTGACAAGAGAGACGGGAGGGAGGAGGGGATTGTCTATTAGATACAGCCTTGATAAATGTTGCAGGAATGATATCAGATCTGGCAGAATGCACCAACCTTAAATATCTGTGTGAGCACTTAGCAGTTGACGGCATAGGATGTGAGTTGCAGGCTGGAAAACAAATGAAGCAAATCCGTGAATCTCATGTCTTTCTGAATAAGCCGCCCCGACCTTACCTGTATGAGCGCACCCGGGCCTACCTGATTAAGAGCGCCCCTCCATCGCCACTGGCCGACTGTAGGGTCGGACTCCTCAGGGAGACGGAAGGAGAGGATGGCGCTGCTGTCCGCACCCTCCGATTCGAATGCAGATGACGAGGAGGAGGACGAGGAGAACGAGGAGGAGATGGAGGAGGAGGGGTTCCCACCAAGCATACCTGAATGAGCGCGCCCCTCCACCTCCAGTGGCCGACTGTAGGCTCGGACTCCTCAGAGCGTGGAAAGGAGAGGATGGCGCTGCTATCCTCACCCTCCGACTCGGACGCAGACAATGAGGGGGAGGAGAAGAAGGAGGAGGAGGTGGAGAGGAATGAATAGTCGCCGTCAGAATCCGACCACTCACTGGAGTATTCAGAGGAGGTGTCGGAGGAGGAGGAAGAGGAAGAGGAGGGTACAGGGGAGGGTGGCATGGCTGTGTGGGGGCGAAGAGCCATCTCCGTGTGCCACTGTGAGGGAGAGGGAAGGGGAGGGGAGGGAAGGGTACGGAGGAAGAACATATGAGAGGAGGTGAGATGGACGTGTGGGCAAAGGGAGAGAGAAGGGGAGATAAGGGAAGGGGAAGGAGGGGAAACAGATGGGAGGAGGAGGCATGGCTGTGTGGGGGCGAAGAGGCATCTCTGTGTGCAACTGTGGGGGACGGGTTTGGAGGGGAGGTGACGGAATGGAGATCTGAGTGGAAGGGGAGGGTAGGGGAGGGGAATGACGAAGAGCAAATGAGAAGGGGTGGCAAGGATGTGTGTGCAGCACAGCCCCTGCCACCACTGCTGCTGCTGTGTGCAGCAGAGCCCCTGCCACCATTGCTGTTGATGTGTACTGTGCAGTGTGCATATAGTGGCGAGACAGGAGGCTAAGGAGAACACACGTACGTACCCCTCTAGCCTCCACAGTGTCGATCCCTGCCTGCAAAACCCCCTCTAACCCCCTGCCTCCCCTGCTGCTTCTGCTGCATGCCGCAGCATGCACGCAACAATGGGAGAGGAGGTTCAAAGGCACACAACGCACCTCTCTAGCCTCCACAGTGTCGATCGCTGCCTGTGCAGTCGAGCCCCCACCGCCACCACTGCTGCTGTGCGCTGCAGCGTGCACATAACGATGCGACAGCAGCCCGAGGGAGAGAGCAGGAGCGAAGAGAGCATGGAAGGACGCCCGGGGAACCACCTCTAGGTCCGCTATAGCCTCACCCAGGGTCAACTCGTTACCACCGCCTTCTCTCCCTGCCCCTCTTCCCCCTTTCAAGTCTGCCTGGAGGTACTCGGACAGAAGTGAGAGGGCTGCTGCTTCTCCGTCTATCTCTGGTAGACCGGCCGATGCTTGACTGCCGTTTGTTCCCTCCACCTCCTTCCCTGCCAGAGAGAAGAGCTCTTCTAATGAAGGCAGGTCTCCTGCGAGTGAGGGGAAAGCAGCGATGGGAGAAAGAAAAGAGAGGAGAGGAGAAAGAGGAGCAGAGAGGGGGGGAGGGGGGAGAAAAAGAGCAGTAAGAACATCTTTAATGAACGTAACGTGAAATACTAGTTGTTGAGCTGAAAAAAAAGGAGAATAGACCTCACCAGTTGATAACTTTGCCTACCGGATGGTTCACTTTCGTAATCCACCCACCAAATTCACTTATGGTCGAATGGAGAAAGCGGGAGGGGAGGGGGAGGGGGGGTGTGGGGAGCGGGAGAGGACCGCTCGAAGGAGAGGGGGGGGGGGGGTTGTGGACGGTGGGTGGAGAAGGGAGGGTGGAGATTTGGAGTCGTGTGGGGGTCCAGGGACAGATTTAGTATCAGAAACTGAGAACTTGATTGATTAAAATGAGCAAGAGCATACATCCTTAAGTACCGAGCATCGGAGAGGATGGCAAGGGATAAGGGAGAATCGAAGGGAATCCCAAGGGAATCCTCCCAAATCGTGGGGATTTGGGATGGATTGGGTTGGGATAGGTTGGGGATGAAAACATAGCTACACCCAACCTAACAAATTTGTGTATCCCTAAAACCAACAAAGTGCCAACACACAAAGTTGTGTTAACCGAATTGCAGCCTATCTCTAACATTTAGTGCCGCTCACCCGATTCGATGCCAGCAGGTAGAGGGGGAAGCGTGGAGGGAGGAGGCAGAGGAGAGCAAGGCTGGCCCCTCTGCTGCTTGAAACTGGTGAATTCCAAGGGGAGAGGGTCCTGGTGTTGAAATGGGTCAAGAAAGGGGCGGAGGAGAGAGGTAGGGGCAGAATGACGAGACACTGGGTGAATCCAAAACCGGAGGCAAGGCTGGACCCTCTGCTGCTTGAAACTAGCGGATTCTAATGGAGGGGATCCTGGCGGTGGGGGGGGTCGAGAAAGAGGGGGGAGGAGGGAGGAAGCGGCATAGGTGACGAGACGAGACACTGGGTGCCCCTGAAACTGGGGGCAAGGCTGGCCCCTCTGCTGCTTGAAGCTGGCGGAATGCCGGCAGGAGAGAGAGGGCTCGGTGGTGGAAGGGGTCACCAGGAATGGAGCAGTGGAAGGAGTACGGGGCATAACGACAAAGCGTCAGGTGCCTCTAAAACCAAAGGCTGCTTGAAGCTGGGGAATGCCAGCGAGAGGAGAGGCCTTGGTCGTGGAAGGAGTGACCTGGAATGGCACCATTCTCACCATTCTCACCTGGAGATTGTGCAAGGCAGCTCGCCATGTGTCCAGCCGAATCCTCCTCTCCTTCTGCTCTCCCTCCTGCGGCTGTCCTGGCCCCTTCTCTCCCAGTTCATGCACGGCTGACTCGACCTGCTCAAGCGGAAGCTTCCAGCAGGTTTCCACTTCCTCCTCTGCAGCTACAGTGCGGACAGAAGGAACCTGAGTCGTGCCAAGGGGGGGAAGCAGCAAAGGGTGTCGTATGGGAGGGAAGAGGGAAGGGGAAGTCAAGGGGAAGTGGGAAAAACAGCGGGAGGTGGGGGAGGTGGGGGCGGTGGGAGTGGTGGGCGGGTGGGAAAAAGAGGGTGAGGATGCCGGCGGACAATGACTGTCAGGTTAAAGGAGACGTCGGCTTGACCTGCAGATTGAACGGGGCTGTAACGAGACAGCTCATGCAGACAGGAAGGCTGCATGCGGCAGTTCCTGCTTGCACGCCTGGCTATGGCAGTGGAGGATTCGCCTTGAGTGACAACGAGGCCAGAGCCGAGGGAGCGGAGAGGGGAGCGCAGGGAGGTTTTGGCTGGACGGAGCAGAATAATATTACTATGATGCCGAAAACTTGTATACCTGCTTGCATAGTTTAGCTATGGCAGTAGAGGAGTCGCCTCGAGTGACAACGAGGTCAGAGCCAAGGGAGCGAAGAGAGGAGCGCAGGGAGGAGGCAGCTGAGAGGAGCAGAGGTAAGTGACTGGCTGGGAGTGCTGGGGGAGGGGAGAGAGTGGGAAGGGAAGAGGCATGAGTGAGGGCTTGAGTAGTGAGCAATGGGCTGAAAAGAGTTCAAATCTTCACGGATTTTAGGTACAATCACATTGTCAAGGAACGTGTGTGGAAGACAATTTGCAGACACAAGCCCCTCAGTAATTGAAGGAGGCAACTTCAAACTTCATCATTCGTAACTCAAAAAACCAACTGCAAACGCTTGCTCGCCTACCTGACAGAATTTCTGGATCGAAGACGAAGAGTGGAATAGCATGGCTCGTTGTTGCTGCTGCTAGGGCTGCTGAATCAGTTGGGCCAGCAGCAGAGAGATCGTGCAGGCCCGGATGGTCGTTGACTCTCAGGTCATGCTTGAACCACACGATCGTGGTAGCGGCTGTTCGGATGGAAAAAGAACGTGAGTGGATTTCATTCAGTCAACTCAGGATACTAAGAGCGTGAGTGGTAGCCTGCTTGGAAACAGAGCCTCGGATTTGCATGCCAAAACTCAAGGCTACAGAAATTCAAGCCCGATTGACAGTTTCTGATTATAAAACAAAATCTCAATGCTGAAAAACATTTATCAGCAACCATGCCAAGTCGTAGGCCTGAATGCCAAATATCAACCGTAGATGTGAATCAGATTCAACTTAAACGCCAAATGATCGAGCCTTAAATGTTACATGTCCAGCCTGAATGTTGATTTTCAGTATTGAACACTATTTTCCGAGCCCATACAGCATAGCTGAATGGAAAGGCGACCCCCAACCCCAATGATGAGTTGCCCTTGAACCTCACCTTCGGAATCCGCACTGTTTGAGGCCATGGTAGTCTGGCTTCTGGTGCCTCTGAAGCTCCTGCTGCTCTCCCGTCGCGTGTTACGGCTGCTGAGACGCAGATACGATCCTTCTACGAACTCGTTAAGATTTAACGGAGAGAAATTTCGCAGTCCGGGACTCTGGTTACTGCGAACGGGCTGGGTTCTGTTCGCTCGGACGAGAAAGCGAGGGCCACCGTGGACGGAGGAAAATATCGGTGAGGTGCATAACGCGGATGCAACGCGGGTAACTCCCATGCTGGCTTGAAGCGAGGAAATGGTGGATGTCATGTCGCCTGGATACTGACAATTAGGCGGATTGAGGTGCCTGAAACACGATCCAGATAGCGACTACAACGTGGAAAACGCTGGCCACTGTACTGTTGACACGTCACTCGCCGTCAATCTAAGGATATTCGAAGCCTGCTGGGAGCAACGCTCCTGGTAAAACACGTAGCGGGAAGCGCGGACGGTGGGAATCTTGGATGGGGTAACGATATCAGGGGAAACAGAGCCGGTCGGAGAATGGTTGACCTCCAAAAAATCCAGAGAGTTGGTCAACGGAGTGAATGATTGAGAAGAACTGGAGAGATCGGATCAACTACTCTGGCACCACCATCAGTGGTAGTGTGACACTCCCAAAACCAGCTGCAGGAAACTAGGTGCTGTGGAAAGGCTGCCGTGAGTGACTCTGCCCAGAGTCTCCGAACGATTCACTCATTCTGGCAGGACATGTTCTGAAATCACTGGCGACGCCGGGTCAGCAGCTAGTGCGAATCAAGTGCGGATCTGGAGCCAACCACGTGTCAGGTGGGAACAGATTTGTGTTTTTTCCTGGTGTCAAACCGGCATGTGCTCTTGTGTGGAACGATAGACAAGGCTCGACGCCAATGCGTCGTTGGGGTTGCGTAGCAGCTTGATAGAATCCTGAAATGAAATAGCAATTCTCTCATGCAAATAAATAGGTAAGATATTTCTTTGGTAAGGTAAGCTATGTGCAATTGTTTTTCAGATTGGATATGAGCGTGAACATGATTTGAAGTAATCAGGGGATTTTGATGAGAACTGTATAAGCGAGAACAATGCCATGGGTTTTCTACAAATCTCAACATGATAAAAATGTTTGGTTGAAAAACAACAGCAAATGGTTATTATGGATACCATAGTTGTATGATATGTAGTAAATTAGTGATGCATTAATAGGCGAGTACTTCTCTGTAGCTATTAGAACGTATGCATTTTTGCTGAGACGAGAGGCAAAAGAAATTTACTGTTGTGGCTTTTTATACGAGCTTGACTTTTTAGTTGCAGTGTTTCACGTCGGATGATGGCATGGCACACCGTCAAAATGATTGGTTCGTTTTTACGTTGACTGTCAAGTTGCAGTGTGACTGCATCTTTTTTTTCGAAATTTATTGGAACCTTGAGTTTTTGGAACCTTGAGTTTTTGGAACCTTGAGTTTTTAGTTGCATGAGTACAGTTTCAGGGTCGTTCGCTGAATTCCTAAGCAAACTTGGGCAGTTTTTTCTCTCTTATTAGTTTGTTTCGATCTTGACTGTCAAGTTGCAGTTTAACTGTGCTGTTTGCCGGAACCACCTGCAAAGAACGTTCACTATAGTCGAAATTTGCTAGACCTTGGCTGTTTATTTGCACAGCGTCAAGAGAAGACAGATAACGTTCACTGTAGTCAATTTTCCCTTCCACCTTCAAGATTCTTCCCCCAAGAAGTTCTTCCCTACCACATCTCCCTTCTCGCTGGCTCGTCTAGCACTTCTAGATTCTTCCCCACAGTTCTTCCCTACAACAGCTCCCTACCACGCTCTCTGCCACGTTATGGCGCTGCGACGTGCTGGCGTGCTAGAGGCACAGTGCGCTTTGGCGCCTTGCACATTGGCACTGTGCTCCTGGTGCCGCGCGCGCTGGCGCCGTCTGCGGTAACGCCGCGCGCGCTGGCGCTGTCCGCGGTGGCGCCGCCCTCGATGGTCCGGTGCGCTCTGGCGCCGTGCGCTGGCTGTCCGCGCTGGCGCCGTGCGCGCTGGGACGGTGCGCGCTGGCGCCGTGCGTGCTGGGCCGGTGCGCGCTGGTGCCGTGCGCGCTGGCGCCGTACGCGCTGGCGCCGTGCGCGCTGGCGCCGTGCCGCCGTGCTTGCCGGCGCCGTGCGCGCTGGTGCCGTGCGCTCTCTCTTCTCTCCTCTCTCCTCTCTCCTCTCTCCTCTCTCCTATCTCCTCTCTCGTATCTCCTCTCTCCTCTCTCCTCTCTCCTCTCTTCCCACTCCTCTCTCCTTTCTCCTATCTCCTCTCTCCTATCTCCTCTCTCTTATCTCCTCTCTCCTATCTCCTCTCTCCTCTCTCCTCTCTCCTCTCTCCTCTCTCCTCTCTCATATCTCCTCTCTCCGCCCCACGCCTCCCTCCTTCCCCGATCCTGCCCCTACCGCGTCTCACCTCACCCTCTCAGGTCAATGCTTTCAACCTCGCAGCAGCCAGCAGTGTGACTCGGTGCGACTTTCTGTGGCTTGGCTTTTCTCCGCCCCACACCCTCCTCCTTTCCTTACCTTGCCTGTCCCTACCGTGTCTCTGCTCACCCCCTCAGGTGAATGCATTCAACCCAGCTTTAGTGGGCAACGTGATGTGCCGCAACCTTATCAACATTGTCTGGTGCATGTGCATGGACATGGCATGCCTGGCTGTGTGTGTGTATGGGCATGGCATGCCTGACTGTATGTGTATATGGGCATGGCATGCCTAACTGTATGTGTAAATGGGCATAGCATGCCTGGCTGTGTGTGTGTATGGGCATACCATGCCTGGCTGTATGTGTGTATGGGCATAGCATGCCTAGTTGTATGCGTGTAAGTGCATAACGTGCCTGGCTGTACGCATGTATGGGCATAGCATGCCAGGCTGTTTGTGTGTATGGGCATAGCATGCCTGGCTGTATGTGTATATGGGCATAGCATGCCTGGCTGTGTGTGTGTATGGGCATGGTATGCCTCGCTGTATGTGTGTATGGGGATGGCATGCCTAGCTGTATGTGTGTATGGCATAGCATACCTAGTTGTATGCATGTATGGCTGTATGCATGTATGGGCATAGAATGCCTGGCTGTATGCGTGTATGGGCATAGCATGCCTAGTTGTATGCGTGTATGGGCATGGCATGCCTGGCTGTGTGTGTGTATGGGCATGGCATGCGTGACGGTATGTGTATATGGGCATAGCATGCCTAGCAGTGCGTGTGTATGGGCATGGTATGCCTCGCTGTATGTGTGTATGGGGATGGCATGCCTAGCTGTATGTGTGTATGGGCATAGCATGCTTGGCTGTTTGTGTGTATGGGCATAGCATACCTAGTTGTATTGTATGCATGTATGGGCGTAGCATGCATGGCTGTATGCATGTATGGGCATAGAATGCAGGGCTGTAAGTGTGTATGGGCATAGCATGCCTAGTTGTATGCGTGTATGTGCATGACGTGCCTGGCTGTATGCATGTATGGGCATAGCATGCCAGGCTGTAGGTGTGTATGGGCATGGCATGCCTGGCTGTGTGTGTGTATGGGCATGGCATGCGTGACAGTAAGTGTATATGGGCATAGCATGCCTAGCAGTGTGTGTGTATGGGCATGGTATGCATGGCTGTATGTGTGTATGGGGATGGCATGCCTAGCTGTATGTGTGTATGGGCATAGCATGCCTGGCTGTATGTGTGTATGGGCATAGCATGCCTACTTGTATGCGTGTATGTGCATAACGTGCCTGGCTGTATGCATGTATGGGCATAGCATGCCTAGTTGTATGCGTGTATGTGCATAACGTGCCTGGCTGTACGCATGTATGGGCATAGCATGCCAGGGTGTATGTGTGTATGGGCATAGCATGCCTGGCTGTACGTGTGTATGGGCATAGCATGCCTAGTTGTATGCGTGTATGTGCATAACGTGCGTGGCTGTATGCATGTATGGGCATAGCATTCCATGCCGTGCGAGCTGGCGCTGCCCGCGCTGGCCCGGTCTGTGCTGGTGACGTGCGTGCTGGCGCCGTCTGCTATGGCATTTTGCTCATGCCACATATTCGTTTTTAGCGTGTCCCCCTCCTTTTTACCCCTCCTTCTCCTCTTTCCATCCCTTCATTCATTCTTAGGTACCTCGTAGGTCATCGCCAGCGTCCCCACAATTTCAGTCTATAATTTTCTCCTTACTGCCGTTTTTCTCCCTCCCCTTTTGTTATTCTCTTCCTCCCTTCTATCCCATGTAGTACTTCCGCACTAAACCTTAAACCCCAAACGCAATATCTAACACCATGAGTGTATATAAACAAATTATGTGGTCCACTTTTGAACGTATGTTGTGTTTCCATAATTCACTGGTGTACTGTGCAGGTCATGTAGCACGCGCTGTCTGTTCCAGCTGCAAGACAAAGAACATCTTCCAACACCAATTTCTATTCCTTGTTGGAACATCATGCGGGTACAAATTTGTGATTGCACGACGTTATCACTGTTCTCTAATTTGGATATAGGGGACTCCAACTATTAGGCTATTTGCGATGCTGCATGTGTTTGCTTGATTGTTTGCATGAGAGGGGTGTGCATGGGTTTGATAAATACTGTCTGTTTCGGGGTGTGTCTGCTGCTCTTAGTCTCTATGTGCATAGTGCGTGTGGCTGCAAATGTGATAAGGCGTGGATTGTGTCTGCTTCGGACGTGCTGCTTATATGCAAGGTGTTGCAATTAGAGGTTGTCATCGTGCCTGGGGCAACTCTGTTGTCCTCGCACACCCCATCAATCTCTGTTGCAGCATTGATGCATATATGCAATCATTTCGTAGCAGTCACAATCCTATCGTACATACATGTTCATTCCATCCACCGTATTTATCGACGAGATGGGGTGGTTGGCACAAGGTGGATTTGGATTGTGTTTGCCTCGAGCGTGCTGCTTATATGCTAGGTGTTGCAATTAGAGATTGTCATCGTGTCCGGGGCAGCTCTGCTGTCATCGTGCACCCTATCAATCTCTACTGCAACACTACTAGCGCCTATATGCACTCGTTTCTTGGCATTTGCAATCCTACAGGATGTTTGATTATACATCAAATTTTGTTGAAATGTGTCATGCGGTCTAATTGTTCCATCCGCCGTACTTATCGACGTGATGGAGCACTTTGGACATTTGTTTCATATTTTGGAGTTGCACCGAACAGTTAACTAAATTCTTAATTTTTTTACTGTTCGTATTAATGCTCTGAATTGTGAAACCGATTTTATAGGGTTGCTACGCAACCCAAAAACCCCGTCTTTGTGGATACCATTTCGTGGATGACGATGAGATTTTGCTACCCAACCTGCATAGCCACACAACTTCTATGCCTACGATTTCGTGTAGCGAGATCCAAATTCCACGCCTACAGTGCAACATCGTTGGCGAAACTCAGCTGTCACGCGTACATGTCGGTTTGGGCATTCACGCGTACACAATCTCGGTTTGGGCATGTCATTCGCGAATGTTGATTGGTCGCGAAGAACTTTGTGGGAGGTTAGTTGGACAAATGCCCCGAAGGACATGGCTGGAAGCAGGTGCCGCGAAAACGATGGCGAAGAGCTGGAGGTGTTTGCGAAGGTCGAGAAAGCAGATGGCGATGGAAAGGACCGTTGCAACGTCCTTGTGCTGATGGTATTACTTTCTTCTGATGGCAGATAAGAAATCCTAGGCAAACTGGGCTTACCCACAGCCTAGATATTCGGCGAATTTCACGCGGCCTGGTCATTTCAGCAACTCCTCCCGCGCAGTTCGGTTGTTCCTACCTTGCAGTTTGTAAACACCTGTGTCTTTCGGCAGTTCCTATGCAGTTCGGTACTTCCTACACAGTTTGGTAGTAGACTCTATCTCAGGCTTGTGAAGTGGCTTGACGTGTTAGTTTCGGAACTAAGACACTCCTTCTCCCACTATTGACGCGACAGTCTGTACCACAGCGTTCATCAACGCTAACACCGACACGGAGTTGTTGACGAATAAGGCACCCTTGGAGTCATGTGCTCTCGCGCTCCTGTGCCCGCGCGAACCGGAAACTTGATGACCGAGCGTCCGGAATCATTCTCGCCGTTTCCAGCGTAGTTTTCATTTTAAGAGCTCGAAACTCCAGAGTCGTTCTCATTCCAGACGAATACGTGGCCATGGCTGCGAGCACCACCCACAGCAGCGTTCAAATCAAGAAGGAAGCCGCCATGCATACTGCTTCTAAGCTGCTTGAGACGTCTCAGAAGAAGGCTGCCGTCGACGCCAACCATTCAGTTCCGAAGCCGCTAAGGGAGAAGTGCTGGCGCGTGACACATGATGAGCTCTTCTCCGACTGGAAGGTACAGACAATACTGCTCCCTATCGATTGCAAAATAGTTGTAGCTGGTGGCTATTGTCGGCTAAGTCATACCTGCCAAATCTCTCATTTCCAGTGTTCAGTGGGGTTGCTTGCAAACGCTCAACTCTATGCAGTAACAGCTCGTGTTGCCCTGTAACCCAGTCTCTTCCACCTCTCTCAACCCCCATCACTTTCACCTCACTTCCTGTTCAATTCCTCCTCACTTAGTAAATTTTCCACGTCCAACTGTTCCACGCCAACCCCTTATCTTTCCCCACTTCCTCCTGCATCCATCAGCTCCTAACCGCCGCTGACGATTGGTCAAACCATTCCCAAGGCGTCCCAGGAACCACACGGTACCGCATTGCAAACCTTCCCGACCAAACTGGCCCGGGCGTGTACGAGCTGGGGCTGCTTCCGAACCAGGTGGTTCGGCGGCAGCGGCGGCTGCACCGGTCGCAGGTCCGGGTGGTGTACGTGGGGCACTCGGACAATGTGCGGACCAGGATGCAGCAGTATGGGCAGTCGGGATCGCATCTCAAGGCGATGTTTGAAGAGGTTTTTCGGGAGGACTATGCCGTGGTCTTCCGATGGACTGCTGTAAGTGGCGGCTTCTGTTCTGAGAGTTGTTGTTTGGGGAGAGGGGGAGAGGGGGAGGGTTGTTGGGAAGAATGTGCGGAGTAGGATGCAGCAGTATGGGCAGTCAGGATCCCATGTGAAGGCGATGTTCCAAGGGGTACGTGGGGAAGATCATGCCAAACATCAGAAGGACTTCTGTGAGTGGGGGCTTCTGTTCTGAGAGTTGTTGTTGGGGGAGAGGGGGGGGAGGGGAGGGTTGTTGTTATTCCTGCCCTTTTCTCTCTTCTCGACCCCTCACCGATATTTTCACTCACTTCGCACTCCTCCTCCCTCCCCTCCCCCACCTCCCCTTCCCCTCACATCGCTCTAACCCCTCCTCGACCAGGCGCCCACTAAGGCTGACGCAGCAGCAGCCGAGACGCTTCCCCTTTCGTCCTTCGAGTACTCTTGGAACATCTGCAACAACCACCACCGCCGTTACGACCACCTCTTAACACACCCCCCCCCCCCCCCTCTTCCCTGCATCTGTCTAACTCCCCCTCGACCAGTCTCCCACCAGGGCTGACGCAGCAGCAACAGAGACTCTTCTTCTCTCGTCCTTCGACAACTCTTGGAGTGTGTGCAGCAACCACCACCGCTGCCACAACCGCCTCTTAACCCTCCCCCTCACCCCCCCTCCCCTCCTCTTCCCTACATCTGTCTAATCCCCCCTCATCCAGGCTTCAACCAAGGCTGACGCAGCAGCAACTGAGACGCTTCTCCTCTCGTCCTTCGACTACTCCTGGAACGTGTGCAACAACCACCACCGCCGCCACGACCGGCTTCTAACTAAGCTCCAAGTCGGGCCCTCCTTCTCCCGCCGAGTCGCCCTCGCCTTCCCGTCACTTCCCCTTGCTCGAATCATCACTCCTGTTGCCGTTGGGGCGGATATAACAGCTATCACTGCTGTCACTGCTGCCACTGCTGCCACTGCTGCCAGTGCTAGCGCTGCTAGTGCTGCTGCCACTCCTGCTCCTGCTCGTTCGCATGGTGCTGCTGCAGCTCCTTCCCTTCCAGCCAATGCTGCTGTTGCCCCTCGTTCCTCTTCCCCTGCTGCTAGAAAGCAGGAGAGAGCAGCAGAGAAACTCCCAGGTAGATCACCAGGTAGAGCAGCATGTAGGGAGTCAGGTAGGCCAGCGGCTAAAACACCTGACAGAACACCTGGTGAACTGTCAGGTGGAGCAGCAGTGACGGTCTGCGGGGCTCCCCTCTCACAGGGAGGAGTGTGCAGGGCTGCTGCAATTGAAGGGCGGCTCAGGTGTGCACAACACAAGGGCATGAGGGTCAAGAACCGAGGTGCCGTGTGTGACGGTGTGAGGGAAGGAGGGAGGGGAGGAGGGAGGGGAGCAGCGTGCGATGGGGAGGTGGGACGAGATACCATGCCGGGTCGGGGAGGAGAAGCAGGAAGGGATGAGTGGTGGGAAGCAGGAGGAGCAAGAATTGGTGTTGTTAGAGAAAAGAGGGAGGAGGGAGGTCGAAAGGAGGGTGTCAGACGGAAGTCTGGGGATGGGGGAGAAGGCAAGGAGGGGGCGAGAGGGAAGGTTGATATCAAGGAGGGTGCGAGAGGAACGGGTGACAGTAAAGTGTGTGTGGTGGTGTGTGGGGCTCCACTTGCTGATGGTGGAAGCTGCTGGGAAGCTCCTGTGAAGGGCCGAGTGAGGTGTGTGCTGCACAAGGGCATCCGTGTCAAAGGGAGATCGAGTGTTCTGTGAGGTGTCGTAGTGGTTAGCGATACGTACTGTACAACCCAGTCCGGTACAAAGTACGTACAGGTACATCAGAAGGATCCTTATATACATAGCCCATCAGTATTTGTAAAAGGCTCGACGGGGCTCAAAGCAATGTAGGGCTGCTGCTCTGCCAGTGCACGGATGTTATAATTGATGGGCTAGATTCTCGTACAAATGCCCGCTGCAAGTGTCTATCCCTACGTACAGTATGTTTCAACTCAATGGGTTGTGTCATAGTATCTTATGGCTATGGAAGATTTCTAGGATGTTACAACTTACATTACCATACATGGATTAATGGGAACTAAAGCCTCTTATAGGTTACCTACTAAAACCAATATACCACATGGCTGTTTCAACCCAGGAGGCACCACTGGTGGACACCGCAGCTGCCTCCTCTGCTTCTTGCGAGCTCTACAACTCCTCTGCTTCTTTCAACGCAACAGGTTGCACAGGGTTTCATGCAGGGCACGCACACCACATGCTATCTACGGAACCCAAGGTACCGCATGGGCTGCTTCAGCCCAGGAGGCACCACTGATGGACGCCGCAGCTGCCTCCTCTGCTTTTTAGTCTGCGTTGGGGGAGATTGGAGCAAGTGTTAGTGGTGAAGTGGGGGACAGGAGAGCAAGAGTAGCAGTGAAACGGGGGAATATATTATTAAAAAGAAAAGAAAAAAAAAGAAAAAGAAAGAAAGAACGCTCATCCTGTCGGCCACTTATTTATGGGGTCGAGAAAACACTCATTCTCAGCATAAATTACGAGTCCATGGTGTGAAAGACTGGAGCACACCTTGGTGCTTGCGTTGTGCCTCTTGCCAGACCGCCATCGCTTGTACTCGCCATTGGCCAGCAGCTTGAATCGGCGCTTGAGTGACCTGGATGGGACGGGAGGGAAGGTGAAGAGAAAAAAGACGCAGCAAAATTCGTGGTTTACGGCAACGCAAACATTTTTTCCCAACCCGCCACCGCTGGTATCCGCCATTGGCCAGCAGCTTGAAGAGCGGCGCTTGAGTGGTCTTAATGGTCAGGAGAATAGCACGTCCTCCTTCTCAAACCAGCCCATGCCGCAGGGAAATTCGTAAACCTTAAAGGGTGTTTTTGAGAATTCTCAAAAATACCCGAAACCTTTCACTGTTCTGAACAAGTGAAGGAAGAGAGGGTGTGTAGGGAGAGGGTGGGGGATAAGAAACAATAAAGGGTTGTGTTTTGAGGCGACCAAGCCAAGTCTTCCCGGCAAGGCACTGATTGTTGTACTCGCCATTGGCCAGCAGCTTGAAGCGACATATGCGTGAAATAGGATTTTTAGAATTCTAAAAAAACTAACTCAGCATATGCGTGAAATGGATGGGACGGGGGCGGGGGGGAGGGAGGAAAGGAAGCGGGTAGAGAGGGCGGGGAGACGAGGTGAGGTGAGATTAGGGAGAGTGAGGATGGTTTTTTGAGTCGGTTCAAAAGCAGAGTGAAGATGGAAATTCTTGTGAGGAGGGAAGTGAGGGGGGAGAGAATGGGGAGAGCAAGAGGGAGGGAGAAAAGTGGGTGAGGCGTGGGGGGGAGGGAGCGAGAGAGCAACAGGACGTGAGAGAAAGAGATTCGTGCGTCGCATTGGCTTTGGTCGCATTGGCTTTGGTCGCATGTGTGTTCCGGATGCGAGCGGAAGAGAAACAGGGGTCGAAGGGTATTTCTTTAAAATTCTAAAAAACACCCTGCAAAATCACCAACACAGATGCGACCAAAGCCAATGCGACTCACGAGTAGGGCAACACTGCAGAGGAATCGCCGACCAGAAAGGGCAGGAAGGGCAGAAACGCGGAGAGTGGCGGGTGATAGACGGGTGATAGACGGGTGATAGACGGGTGATAGACGGGTGATAGACGGGTGATAGACGGGTGATAGACGGGTGATAGACGGGTGATAGACGGGTGTCTATCACAGTCGGCCCACTCTCCACGTGATAGACGGTTCACGCGGAGGTGACAGACACATGACGTGCTGCAGCCAACCCAAGTAGGGCTCACGCACTGCGACTCACGAGTAGGGCTTCACTTTGATCTTGCTGCCCTAGAACCGCCAACCCGAAAGGGCAGACAAATGGCTGAGAGAGGGTGTGACAAAAACAGGTCGTGACAGAAGCGAGGTGTGACAGAGAGCCGAGGTGACTCACGAGTAGGGTTTCACTTTGATCTTGCTGCCGAAGAATCGGCAACCAGAAACGGCAGAAACGGCAGCAAAGGCAGTAAGGCTGGGAGTAGGATGTTGAGATAATCGGCTGGAGAAGAGAAGAGGATCTGAAATGCCGAGGGTTGTCGTGCTGGAGGTTAAAGACGGCTTTAAACTGCGGCTGATTGTGGCACCGTGGATTAGTCTAGAAAGGTTAGTGGAGGAACCGTGGGCTGATGGGGTGACTAGTCGCGCGGTTATCAGAGGACTGACGGCAAGAGAAACGGGGGAAAACTGCGCGGATCGAGCGGATGAACGCGCAGGAGAATGAGCAGAAGGATGGGCGGAAGGGTGGGCGGGAGGATGGGCGGAAGGATGGGCGGACGGGGAAGCTACATGAGAGGAAAATGCAGCAGCGGGAGGAGCGACGATCGCGGGTCGAGATGGAAATGGCCGCGAAAGGCGGGGAAGTTGCCGAGACACGTGGCTGAAAGCGGCTCGACAGGCATGTTGGGCGGCTCGGGAAGAGGACATGGTCGATTCTTCAGAAGCCGGATGAGAGATTCGGAGGAAAGATGATACCGGGAGGCGGCGACGGGAAGCGCGCTAACGGGATACACGCATGCGATCGGGCTGGCGGGCGATCGGGCTGGCGTGCGATCGGGCTGGCGATCTGGCGGGCGATCGGGCTGGCGAGCTGGCGGGCTGGCGGGCGAGAGATTGAGCCGTGGGAGGGGGGCGGGCGATCCGGCCGTTGGTGCGTTGACTGGGAAGGGTGGGATGGTGAGGACGACGAACAGTGATGGCGAACAGCGAGGGCGCAGCGAAAGTGGTGGTGGAGGTGGAGGTGGAGGTGGAGATTCGGGAGAGAGGCGAAGTACTCGTTACAATTCAGCTGAATGTCTTTCTTAAAGTGTTGTTACTTCTATTTTTCATAAGGGAAGCAAGAAAGCCCCACTATATTCCAAACCCCAATTAGCAATATTCGTACAATTAGTTAGTAGTCATCCTCCCCCTCTTCCGAATCCTCCTCCATTTCATCCTCAACCAGGTCCTCATCCTCATCATCTACATCTGCTCCCTCGTCTAGTTTCATCTTCCCTGTCCGTCTCGCCAACTCATCCTTCTCTCCCACCGAGTCAGCTCGAAACCGGGTCATCTCGGCACTTTGCCGTTCCGCCTCTTTCTTCGCCTTTTCTGCTCTCATCTGCTCCAACTCAACCCTGGAAAAAAATGAGGCGTGAAAGAAAGAAGGGGGAGAAGGACAGATAGGCACATAGGGATTGTACCATGTAACACAAACAAGAAAAACATGGTAAGCCTTGAGGGGAGGGAAAAAAAGTTGCAAAAGGAAGAACACTATTGCATAGGAAAATGGTTCTAAAAACTCCACTGTGAAAGCCTGCAAAGGATTTGCCCCTTGCATACCTCTTTCCCACCATGGGTATGTTCGACAAATGTCCTCTTTTCTTACCTGTAGCCTTCCATGTACTCTTTTCTAGCTGACTCGACAGCGGCAAAGAACTCCTTAATCCCGCCTCCTGTGACGGCAGACACGCCCACGGCGTGCAGGTTGGAGTAGAACTCGTCCAAGGCGAGGCAGAGGGAGCGAGAGAGGGAGGCGGAGTAGGAGGGGTCACGGTCCACTGCTGCCTGAAACGCCTCGAAATCATGCATCCACTGTGAGGGAGGGGAGAGAGTGGGGAGGGGGGGGGGAGAGGAGACAGGGGCAGAGGGAGGAAAGGGGAAGTAGGAGAGTGGGGTGGAGTAGAGATTGAAACAGACCACAGGGATATGGACTGATGGAAACCCAAAACCCTGTATTCACCGCCAAAACGTGAGACAAAAACTCCAAACCTGAACCCCTCAGCGGCAAAACTTCAAAAACTCCAAACACGTCAGCTGCAAAGTTGTGCCATGCCACGTCAGCCTTGCTATGCGCCAGCAGGAGAAGAAAACATAAATCCCGAACCCTCTCCAACCCAGTACCCCAAACCAGTAACAGTAGCCTAGCCCAAAACCCTAACGCCAAACCCCAGAGTACCTCCACAGCAAAGGCATGCTGTGCCACGTCAGTCTTGCTGAATCAGCCAGCAGGAGCGGTAGTCCCAAACCCTAGACCCCTAAGCCTTCACCCAAGTACCTCAACAAATCAGCAGACAGTAACCCAGCCCAAACCCCGAACCCCGAACCCCAAACCCCCAAGTACCTCGACAGCAAAGTCGTGCCGAGCCACGTCAGTCTTGTTAAACGCCAGCAGGAGCGGTAACCGCGTCTTGTACAGTATCCCGCACGCATACAGCATGCTGCTTATGAAAGTGCCGGGATTTGCCGCCCGGGGGGTGTCCACCACAAAGCACACGGCAGTTGGGAATGTGGACGCGAAGGCTTCTGTGATGATTGCTCCTGAAGCTGACCAGGTGAAAATTTCAATCTGCCCGGGCGTGTCGATGAAAACGTAGTCTAGCGTGTCTGCTCGGCGCTCCACCAGTGTGATTACCTGAATGTGACAATTATGGAAACAGAAGCATGTCACATCTCAGCATTCCACACAGTCATGTGTCAACCCAGGGCCCACACGTTGTACTGCCGAAGTGACCTGACATGACAATATTGAGTATCCTTCAGAACGGCACGGAGTGAGGACAATATCTCGGATGTCGATATTTGCAAGGTAATGCACGGTGGTAGGGCACTGCCAGATAAACTTTCAGGTGCCTAGAAAAACAGCTCACCTCATCAATCTTGGTTGTAAAGAGGTTCAAGGAAGTGAGAATAGCGCCGTTGGGTCCCAGCCCATACTCCTTCATCACGTTCTTGTAGTTGACCGTGTCTCGGATGTCGATGTTGGCAAGGTAAGGCACGGAGGGCACTGCCGGGTCGAGGTTGATGAGGTAGTGGGCGATGTTGCTGCCGTGCATGTGGGCATACAGGCGCTGCATGAGTGTTGTTTTGCCGCTGCCTGTCATAAGAATTCGCAGAAAGGGGCAACAGACAGGGTCTAGGTTGATCAGGTCGAGGGCGTCTGCTGCTGTGCACGTGCGCATACAGGCACGGCATGAGTGTTGTTTTGCCACTGCCTGGTGTTCCGGAGAAGGGGAAAGAACAGAGAAGAGGCAAGGTAAGGCACGGAGGTCACTGCCGGGTCTAGGTTGATGAGGTACCGTAAGCCATACCCATGCCATGCCCATGCCCATGCCATGCCCATGCCATACCCATGCCATGCCCATGCCATGCCATGCCATGCCATGCCATGCCATGCCATGCCATGCCCATGCCATGCCCATGCCATGCCCATGCCATGCCCATGCCATACCCATGCCGTACCCATGCCATACCCATGCCATACCCATGCCCATGCCCATGCCATGCCATGCCATGCCCATGCCCATGCCCATGAGGAGGTGCCTACTTTCGCTACAAGGAACTATCGTTACAATCAGTACCAGCCATGCCCACTACAATCACAACCACTGGTTTCTTCCTTCCGCCCGCCTCCCCCTGCAGCTGCGCCGGTTCCGCCTTCTCACTCCCCTCCCCTTCCCCCTGCTGCCCCGACGGCGGATTCCCCTCCCCACGCGCTTCCGCCTGCCCCGTCGGCGCGCTCCCCTCCGCCAACCCTGCGCGCCCGCTCGCCTCCCCCTGCTGTGTTCCGATTTCGTCAGTCCCACCTTCCTGGGATCCACCCGTCGAGGACATCGCGAGGAGTTTCGCAGGAAGATCGGATCAGCGTAGGATCTCCCAGAAACGAATCAACGAGTCAACGAGTCAACGAGTCAACGATTGAGAGATTCGATTCGCTAGATCGTGATTGCGCGGGGAGGAAAATTCGCGGGCGTTTCCTAGAAAAGACGCAGATGCTTGAACGACGTCAGACAAGACTACAGGCTATCAGCACAAAAGAAATTAGAACGCGAAGTCGCCTGTCACAGAGGGCACTTGGTGCCCACGCTGGGTTTGAAGGCTTTCGCATCCTCGCCTTGAGGAGCCCCTCGTAACAGTAAGGAGGAACTGCAACACATGGTACACCAAACAGAGTTGCCTAACATGCACCTTGAGTATATGATGGAGGTCGACATGAACTCAATAAAATAGCATTGATTGCAAAAAACTAGCATATGAACAAAACATCAGGCCTGTTTCTTCTTGCTTCTTGGGGTGGTGTATCCCTTTGCCGTTAACCCTCTTTCGCCGCTACCTCTCAAGCCTAACCTCTGCTGCCTCTCGGCATAAATCCTCTCAGGTGCTAGCACCTCAGTTATATTATACATGACCCCTCTATTGTATGTATTTTCTACAGGAACACTCGCAGGATCAACCCATTTTCTTGAGGTGTGATTGCGGTCTGCTCCACCAAAGACCTTGGACCACAAGGCAGAGAACCACCCATCACCGGATTTGCACACCTGTAACCTCGAAAAGTCAACCCCAATCGCATGCTCCCTCTTTGCCCGCACTCCCCTTGTTGCTCCTGCTGCTGTTGTCGCTTCTCCCGTTCCTGCTGTTGCTCCTCCTGCTCCTCCTGCTGCTGCTGTTGCTCCTGCTGCTGCTGTTACTTCTGCTGTTGCTCCCACTGCTCCTCCTCCTGCTGCTCCTGCTGTTCCTGCTGCTCCTGCTGCTCCTGCTGCTCCACCTGCTCCTGCTCCTCCTCCAGCTGCTGCTCCTCCTGCTCCTCCTGCTGCTGCTCCTCCTCCTGCTCCTCCTGCTGCTCCTCCTGCTGCTCCTCCTGCTGCTCCTCCTGCTCCTCCTGCTGCTGCTCCTCCTGCTGCTCCTCCTGCTCCTCCTGCTGCTGCTGCAGTTCCTGCTCCTCCATCACTCCTTGCCTTCACAGAAACTTTGCCTCTCTCTGCTTCAGCACACTCACTTTTCCTCTCAACCGCCTCCTCTTTCCTCTCCTCGCTCTCCCTTCCTCCCTCTAACGCCGCCTTTCCTCTCTCCCCCCCACCCTCTTCCTGAGTGTTCTTCTCTACGCTGTTCTCCCCTTTGGCACTCTCCCCTGCACCCACATCCACCTCCTTCCCTTCTCTCTGCTGCTCCTGCTGCTGCAGCATCCTGGTAGCTTCGTGTGCCACCCACCGTCGGTACTGTGTCCACTTGTAGGTCTGGAGCAAGGATGGATAAGCATCAATGGGAATCGAAATGAATTTTGAGTCAATTGGAAAATGAAGATGGTAGAGGAGGAAGCGGGAGAGGACAAGGAGGATGACGAGGAAGGAAGTAGATGTAACTTGTCTTTCAGGGGTTAAACATATGGTACAGGGGTGAAGGGGGGGAAGGGGAAGTACCTCGTTGGTGGTGACGTTGGTAATCACGAGATAGAGGTGGTAGAGGAGGAAGCAGGAGAGAACCACGAGGATGACGAGGAAGAAGAGCAGCAGGGTGCACTGGCGATGGAAGTAGACAGTCAGCCACTGGGGTGGGACGAGGGAGGGAGAGGAAGAGAGGGCAAGAAGAAGAAAAAATTGAAGCACGATAGGATGACGAAGAATTAGAGGAGCAGGGCGCACTGACGATGGAAGTGGACAGTCAGCCACTGGAGAACAAGGACAAGGATAGGAGGGGGAGGAGGGGTGGGGAGAGGAAGAATCAGGAGAGCAGGAGAGAAGGACGAGGATAACCCCGAAGGATAGCAGCAGGGTGCACTGACAGTGGAAGTATACGGAAAGCCACTGGGGGTGAGGGGGAAGGGACAGGGGAGGTGAGGTGGGGCGAGGAAGAATCAGGAAAGCAGAAGCGAACAATGAGGAAGACAAGATGCGGAGAAGGGCGCACTAACAGTCTTGCATTGGTAGTAGGCAGTCAGCCACCGGGGGTGGGAGGAGCACAGGAGAAAGATGTTTCACAGCAAGGGAGAGATACGAGGACGACCAGGAAGAAGAGGAAGACACGGAGAATGGCGCACTGGCGGTGGTAGTAGACATTCAGCCGCTGGGGGTATGTGAAGGGTCATTGTGTTACACTGAGCATGGAAGGAGGAGGATGAGGACGAGGATGGCAAGGAATGCAGGGGTCCAAAGAGTCGACTTTTGAAGCGCCTCAAAAGATGAATGCAGGGGTCCAAAGGGTGCACTGGTCAGAGGCTCACCTGAACGAGAATAGGTAGCCAGCCAGACACGTGCGCCCTGGAAGGATCATGCGCTGACACAAGGACGACAGAGCATCGGGGGAGAGGGGGAGAGAGCGAGTTGGGGGGAGGAGGGGGGGGGGGAGCAGAGAGTAAGGAATGAAAAATGTGTGGCCTCCCTTTGCGTTGAGGGAGGTGGCCCTGAAGCACTGAGGGAATGGCCCTGCAGACACTGCAGAGGCGCCTCAAAAATAGACTCCTCAAATTTTGTTGAGGCGCCTCAAAAATAGACCCCGTACTGAAGCAGTGAGGAGGGAATGGCCCTGCAGACACTGACGAGGGAATGGCACGGCATGGCCCTGCTTCCCTATGACGGCTTGCAGTACAGACATGGTTTTGAGTCGACTCAAAAGCACGCCCTGTACTGTCAGCGTGTTAAGTGTGAAGAACACGGCGTGGGACTGCGTACCTATGATGGCAGTGATGACATGGTTGCGTATTATTTCCCCCGCCAGAATCGAGCACACGCCAAACACTCCATAGGCCAGGAAACAAATGTTTCTGAAGGAACCGAGAGGGAGAAAAAGGGTGGCATGGGCACCGGGGCGGAGTTGGGAGAAACGGAGGGGTAGGGGGGTCTAACGGCATGCCAATCTATTTGTCAGTATACCTGTCTTCAGATGACACCGTCCAGTATGCAGCAGGGGAGAACGGGGCAAGGGAAAGGAACAAGGAGAAACTTACACACCTTGAGCCCTCCCAAGACATGCACTGTGTGCGTGTTTGTGACCGCTCAAATCACGACTTTCATACCGCAAGGAGAAACTTGCGCACCTTGAGCCCTCCAAAACCAAACCATGCATACTGTGTGTGTGTGTTTGTGCGCGTGCCATATTTCCTGCATCTGCCTGTGTGGGGGAAGGGGGAAACGTGAGAGAAGCAGCAGCAGCAGCAGCAGCAGCAGCAGCAGCAGCAGCAGCAGCAGCAGCAGCAGCAGCAGCAGCAGCAGCAGCAGCAGCAGCAGCAGCAGCAGCAGCAGCAGCAGCAGCAGCAGCAGCAGCAGCAGCAGCAGCAGCAGCAGCAGCAGCAGCAGCAGCAGCAGCAGCAGCAGCAGCAGCAGCAGCAGCAGCAGCAGCAGCAGCAGCAGCAGCAGCAGCAGCAGCAGCAGCAGCAGCAGCAGCAGCAGCAGCAGCAGCAGCAGCAGCAGCAGCAGCAGCAGCTGCAGCAGCAGCAGCAGCAGCAGCAGCAGAGGCCGCAGCACCTGTGTCCCCCCCAAAGACACTTACACAAAGAGGAAGAGCAGGAAGAAGCGCAAGTTGTTCTCCCCCACACAATTGTTCTGAACGCACACAAGTGTCAAGGAAAGAGAGGGGTTAGAAAGAAAGGGGGGGGGGGGGTTAGGGAAAGGTCAGGGCCGCTTTTGAGACATCTCAAGAGCAGGAAGAAAAGCAGGTTGACTTTGGCAAGCACCAGCTATGAGCCAGCAGCACCAGCTATGAGCCAGCAGCACCAGCTATGAGCCAGCAGCACCAGCTATGAGCCAGCAGCACCAGCTATGAGCCAGCAGCACCAGCTATGAGCCAGCAGCACCAGCTATGAGCCAGCAGCACCAGCTATGAGCCAGCAGCACCAGCTATGAGCCAGCAGCACCAGCTATGAGCCAGCAGCACCAGCTATGAGCCAGCAGCACCAGCTATGAGCCAGCAGCACCAGCTATGAGCCAGCAGCACCAGCTATGAGCCAGCAGCACCAGCTATGAGCCAGCAGCACCAGCTATGAGCCAGCAGCACCAGCTATGAGCCAGCAGCACCAGCTATGAGCCAGCAGCACCAGCTATGAGCCAGCAGCACCAGCTATGAGCCAGCAGCACCAGCTATGAGCCAGCAGCACCAGCTATGAGCCAGCAGCACCAGCTATGAGCCAGCAGCACCAGCTATGAGCCAGCAGCACCAGCTATGAGCCAGCAGCACCAGCTATGAGCCAGCAGCACCAGCTATGAGCCAGCAGCACCAGCTATGAGCCAGCAGCACCAGCTATGAGCCAGCAGCACCAGCTATGAGCCAGCAGCACCAGCTATGAGCCAGCAGCACCAGCTATGAGCCAGCAGCACCAGCTATGAGCCAGCAGCACCAGCTATGAGCCAGCAGCACCAGCTATGAGCCAGCAGCACCAGCTATGAGCCAGCAGCACCAGCTATGAGCCAGCAGCACCAGCTATGAGCCCAGCAGCAGCCACCAGCTATGAGCCAGCAGCACCAGCTATGAGCCAGCAGCACCAGCTATGAGCCAGCAGCACCAGCCCCACCCAGCTATGAGCCAGCAGCACCAGCTATGAGCCAGCAGCACCAGCTATGAGCCAGCAGCACCACTCACCACCCATGCACAGTGGTGGTCGAATCGGGAGATGCAGCGGTTGCACACCCTGCAGTGCTTGGCGCGGGCAGGCCTGGGAGAGCCAGACGAAGGGAGGAGGGCGAGGGGGGAAGGGAGGGCATGATGAGGGTAAATCAAGTGTGCAGAAACGCAAGGCAGGGAGATACAGCGGTTGCACACCCTGCAGTGCTTGGCGCGGGCAGGCCTGGCTGAAATAAAGAAAGAGGAAAGAGATTATATGTCTCCAGTGGGGCCACAACTATAACCGGTACCAGGTAGATATCTTGTCGATAAGATAAGACCCCTTAGACTTGGAAACACCTAGGTGCTTTGCAGGACGAGCAAGTTTAGTTTTGAGATGTCTCGGTTCTAGACCCCCTAGACTTGGAAACACCTATGTGCTTTGCAGGACGAGCAAGTTTAGTTTTGAGATGTCTCGGTTCTAGACCCCCTATACTTGGAAACACCTATGTGCTTTGCAGGGCGAGCAAGTTTAGTTTTGAGATGTCTCGGTTCTAGACCCCCTAGACTTGGAAACACCTATGTGCTTTGCAGGACGAGCAAGTTAAGTTTTGAGATGTCTCGGTTCTAGACCCCCTAGACTTGGAAACACCTATGTGCTTTGCAGGACGAGCAAGTTTAGTTTTGAGATGTCTCGGTTCTAGACCCCCTAGACTTGGAAACACCTAGGTGCCTTGCAGGACGACCATACCCCTCAGCTGTAAGGATCCCATCGTAGCATGTGTGATTGTACCGGGGTCACCTCACACTGAAACGGGTCAGCAACACTATATTACCTCGGTATCTGGCACGAGGAGCAGATCTTCCTGGTGTAGATGACCCCGCGGTGTGGGTACTCAGCGTGGATGGAAAAAAACGCTTGCAGTTACACAATATATATAGGCACCATACCTCGGGATCTTGCAGGAGGAGCAGATCTTCCTGGTGTAGATGACCCCGTCATATGGATAAACCGCCTGCGTCTGCTTGACTGTAGCGGATGTGACTGTACCGGGGTCAGCCACACTCGCTATGACAAAGGTTGTGAGCGCTGCGATAAGAGCTGCCGGCGCAGTGTATCTGGAGGGAAAGGGGGGAGCGGGGGGGAGGAAGGGATGAAGGGGGGAGCGGAATGTATTTTTGAGGCGCCTCAAAAATAGACTCCTCACGCAGGGAGCGGGGGGGGGGGGGGAGGGGGGATGAAGGGGGGAGCGGAATGAGGAAGGTTGTGAGAGCTGTGATAACAAATGCATGCAGACGCAGTGTATCTGGACGGAATGAGAGGGAAGGCAAAGGGAGAGGTGTGAAAGACCAGAAATCAACAATGTTTCGATATAATTGAGCATTTCTTTCATTCTAAATGTCAGAAACGAATTGCACCTACAATGGAGTATACCCATGGATAGGTACGGTCCAGGATGAATGAAACCCAAGCAATGATAATATAAGCACAATAGCGGAAGTGTTTCCAGCATAGTAGAAGGGCAGGAGATTATATATATATATATATATATATATATATATATATAGGTGCATGGATGCAGGAGAAACGAGAAGAGAGGGGTGCAACCGTGGATGGCGGAGAGCTATGGTCCAGGAATGAAACCTATGCAGTGATAATGGAAGATAAAGTAGCAAGAAATGATTCAGTGCGAATGGATGCAATACGAATGGAGAGCGATATGGACGCAAGGATGGAGGAGAGAAGAGAGGAGAGGGAGGACCTGTGGATGGAGGAGAGGTACGGCCCAGGGATGAAACCCATGCAGTAATAGTGGAAGGCGTAGTAGCCTCCAATCACCAAGACGAGGTAGAAGATCTGAGGTGGATGAACAAGTGAGGGAAGTTGTGAGGAAGGGAGACGAGAAGGACGAAATTCGTGCAAAAGATCGGATTCTCAATCAGATTCTGAGCAACCCGGCAGGTCAGACCTGGAAGAGAGGGTTTCGCTGCTCGCAGCAGAAGTGGAAGATGACGTCCCCGGCTCGTTCTCCTCTCTCGCCGAAGAAGAAACCGAGAAGGTAACTGTACGGAGAGATGACACGGGGTGTCGGCACAGTTCAAACTATGAAGGATGACACATGGAGTTGATACAAGGTAGAGCGGATGATATGCCGGTGGAAAGCGATGACAATGTTATAGATATAGAGTTGTTTTGAAAGGACGAATTTGATCGAATCTTATGTGCACAAGGAGTTGATTGAGGAGAAAAGGTAACGTACAATGGAATCTCGAAGATCCCTGACGTGATCCAGTAATGCGCGGTGCTTATAACGGTGCCATCGAACGACGTCGATTCCCCAAACAGCAGGACGAATAGGACGAAACCCAGCACTGCCACGTAAGTGAACAGCAGCAGCAGCGTCGAGTCCATGCCGACAGCTGGCCTTTCGGCTAGCGGATCAGCGTGTATCGGGAGCAATCAGGGAGCGATCAGGGAGCAGACAAGAGGCGTCAAGGATCCACCATGCCAGGCAGTCACTATGAGGTCTCAAAGAGTGTTGTGACGTCCGGAAGATTCGCTGAAAGGACTATCATACGGAACGAAAGCCGTCTTGCAGTGGTCACACCCGAATCCGCAGTGGGGTTGGAACTCGCGACGGAGAATGCAGATTAGGAGGCTGCGACACTCATGATAAATTTACCACTACGACGACCAAACCGCTTAGGCGAACCTGGCAGACGACAGTGAATTCTCAACAGAAAGGTCTGATGGAGAAAGGACTAAATTAGCTCTCAGACAAGCTACTCAGAACAGGTGGTGATTGCTCGGAGTGGAGGGAGCGTTCGAACTCTGCTCTATATAGGAGGCTCAAATCACTGTAAATTATTACACGACACCGTTCCGGATCATAATCAATAACGAGATTAACCCTAACCAGGTTTGATTATGGGGACAGGTTGATGTGCGGTTTGGGTCGGGTGTGAAACCGGAACTGTAATGCTGGTCGTTGATTGGGTGCATTCTTGGCCAGCGACGGGTAATGGACGTATTAACGAAATTGGAAACCTTCGCATCGAGAAACACCGATGACAACTTCCGGCATCTGGTTTCAGGATCAGATGGTACAGTCTGACGTGCTAGTCGATGATGCGCCCAGGACACATCGCCACGCACATCTCGTACGTTCGGTTCCCGCGAGGCTCTTCGCGATTCGTTTCAGCTCTTCGCCAGCAAAGTCCACCAAGCACACCTCGAGAACATCCTGTCAGCTCGGTTCAGCATGCTTTGACATCTACTCACACAGCAATGAAGCTGGGGATGCCGTAGTCATCAGTAGCACCTCAGCACCTAAGCTAGTTTTTTTTGCAGACGTTTTGACTAAGCTCTTTGCTTAGTACACCTTGGCTCTTGCGGCTCCTCCTGGCCAGCCTTATCCTTACTCCATGGCTCCGCGTTTTACCGTTGATAAGTAATGAGGGAAGTCGACGCGAATTAGATACATGGTTCGTGTCTGTCCGCGCTATAGGTTCTAGGGACAGCTGAAGCATTCAGAGAGCGTACTACTCCTAGTAGGTGAAGCACAACAGCCTGTGAGTGTCCGGTACTTTGGAGTACAGAGGACCTTACATATCTGCCCATCTTGGATCAACAAGACAACACGGCTGAAAGGACACACGATTCCCAGCGGCAGCGTTGCCACCATGTTATACCGTCGACCTGCAGGCTGCATCCCGTTTCTGAAATCTCCTGAGAATCCCTGGAAGAAGACCGTACTGCCGTGAGGCTGCCTGTACAGAATCGTCAAATTTCTCGTTATTCTTTCAAAGAGACTTCGCGCTATTCTTTTTGGTTGCTAGGAAGCCCAGTTTGACATCCCGTAGGCACTACTGGCTTCACGCCTTTTTGAAGGGACTAGCCTCACATTCTGCTTTTGAGTCGACTCAAAAACTAGGCTCACATTCTTGGGAGCTTCACCGCTATTTTGTCTCGTTGGCCCACTCGCCGCGTGGCTCGGTCCATCCTGAGTCGCCTACTGGATCGGTTCTTAGAGACCAGTCGGAGTCTGAGAATCCTCTGTAATCAAAATCTGCTCGGAGCTCTCAGTAACCGCCATGCTGCCTCGTTGGGCCACTCGCCGCTTGGCGCGCTTCATCCTGGGCCGTCTAGTGGGTCGGTTCCTGGAGACCAATCTGAGCCACGAGCAGATCGAGGTTCATCTGGGGTCGGCGTCTATCCACCTCTCGGATCTCCGCCTCAACACAGAATATCTCAACTCCCTGGTGCGTCAGGGTGACCTTGATTCATCTATCAGAGCAAGCAACCTCATATCCGCCTCAATACTGTAGCTCCCTGGTGCGTGGTGCCTGGCGATTGCTCGTGTTATGAGCACCACTCAAGCACTTGTCTAGTTTAGAGGCGCCTCAAATCGAGGCGATTGCACGCGTTATTATCATACCACCACTCAAGCACGTTGTCAACTTGTCGTAGTTGTTATGTGTCAGAACCGCGTGGAGTACGAAAATGAGTTGTCTTTTTCTTCCCTCTATGCTCAACCTATTCCCAACTCCCACTGTTATGGGCAGATTGAAAACAATGGGAAGGAAACCTCAGGAACAACAGCAGCATCAGCACCAAGAGTCGTCTCTGGAATTTCCCAGAATAAGCCCAAGCAGGCGCTCCCAACCATCCGCTTCGTTTCAGGGCGCGTGGGCAAGCTATCTGCGTCCCTCCCTATAGTCACACTCACCTCATTAGACCAGCCGTGTACAGTGCACCTGGATGGGATCACCCTGGTAGCGGTGGTGTCGCCTCCTGGCCAATCAGGAGGGAGAAGAGGCAGGGAGGGGGGGAGTTTGGGAGAGGGAGTGGGGGGCAAAAGCCGTACGTTGAATGGAAAAGGATTAGATAAGAAAGGTGAGTGTGAGGAGGATGAGGAGGAAGAGGAGGAGAAGGAAGAGGAGGGGTATGAGGAGGGGGGGGAGGAGGAGGAAGAGCAGGATAGTGATGAGGGTTTGGAGGGATTTGTTGGTGGGGGGTGGGCTAGTTTTCGGGGATTTCAAGGGGGTCTACAGCTGGTAGCAGGGCTGGTGGAAAAGGTGTTACAGCGGTTACAGGTGTCCGTAACACATGTACAGGTGCACATTGTGCTTGACGACAGGACTTCCAGGCTAAATCTAGCAAGTGCAGGGGCTTGTAATGGAGGTGACTGTAACGGGGATAGGTTTGGTGCAGACGCCTGGAGGGATTCTAAGGGAGTTGTTTTTCGTTTGGAAGAGTTGGCCTATGGTCCGGCAGCCTCAGATGGGTGCGCTGAGGAGCAGGGGGGGAGGGACGAGCAGGGAGAAGAGGGAAGGTTGAGAAGAAATGGGGGGTTAGGTGTGATGGGAGGGGACAGGAGGAGTGGCGGGGGTGGTAAGAGGGGTGGCGGGGGTGAAGAGAGGAATGCAGCAGGAGTGGGAGGAGTGGGAGGAGTGGGAGGAGTGGGAGGAGTGGGAGGAGTGGGAGGAGTGGGAGGAGTGGGAGGAGTGGGAGGAGTGGGAGGAGTGGGAGGAGTGGGAGGTTCGGATGGTGGGGTGAAGGGAGGGGCGAAGGGAGGGGTGGCGCATATGGTGCTGGGAGGGGGGCCTAAGGAGGTGAGGTTTAGTGGCGCGAGTGTGTCTCTGGTGGGGTGCTGGGAGTGTGGGGATGGAGGGAGGGAGAGATGGGGTGCAGGGGAGGAGAAGGAGGAGGAGGAGGAGGAGGAGGAGTACGGAGGAGAGGGGGAGTATGGGGAGATGAATGGTGATGTTTATAATGAAGCAGCGTCTAGCATGTATGCAAGTGTACTGGGCGGGCAGCAGTCTTTTTTTCTGGATGCTACTGAAGAAGGCAGTAACGAGGATGCAGGCTCCTCCATGTTCCAGTCTGCTATGGGGTCTGCTAGTAACGAGGATAGTTCACTCATGTTTCAGTCAGCTTCCAGAGGATTTAGGGAGTCGGATTCATTTCAAGACGCTCATGGTGAGCTGGCACAATCTCAGTACTCACGTGCAGACATGTCACAGCGTGCAGCCACAGCTGGCTCATCACCTGCCACGTGTCTGCACCTGAAGCTTCAGACGTGCAGCCATCAGGCGGAGGTGGTTGTGATTGGCGGATCAGCAGGCGCAGCAGAAGGCAACAGGGAAAGTCAGGGAGAGAGGGAGACAGGGACCATTGGAGAGGGGACGGGACGTGGGCGGGAGAAGAGTTGTTGTGTGGGGTGTGGCAGGAACAGCCCAGCGTGGGCCCATAACCCTCTCAACTCTCCGTGCACAGATGGTTTGAGAGGGACCGTTCCAGAGAGCGAGCGCGGAGCGCTGGGAGGAGTCAGTGGGCGGGTGAGAGTAAAGCTAGGGTTGCACGGGGGTAAGAAGAGCGGTCCAGTGGGGGTTCCAGTGGGGGGGGCAGTGCAGAGCAGAAAGGGGGTGGGGCAGAGCAGGGAGCCCTGTGACACGGTGCGGAGAAGGGAGGTCCAGGTGCGGAGCCCTGTGGTGGATGTTGCAGTGGAGCTGTCGCCTGTTGTGATTCAACTGGATGTGACTCTAGTGAAGGGGGTGCTTGGGGCGCTGGAGAGGTTGAGAGGGGAGGAAGGAGTGGAGGAGGGAGGGGAGGAGGGGGTGGCAGGGGAACGCGAGGATGTTGGGGGGTGCCGTGCAGACAGAGGAGAGATTAGGAGGGTGAGGGACGATGGGGATGAGAGGGAAGAGGCAGCAGCATCAGCAGCAGCAGCGGCGGCGGCGGCGGCGGTGGCAGCACGAACGACAGCAATATGGGCACCACCAGCAGCGTTACCAGCAGCGCCGTCATTGGTAGAGAATTTTGTAGAGGACTGGCTGGAGCAGAGATTGGCGCAGAGAAGACAGGTGAAGGAGGAGAGGCGGAGAGGCAAGCAGGAGGAGGCAAGCATGACAGCTGATATGGAGGCAAGGTGAGTGCGGTTGGGGGTGAGGTCAGAGAGAGGTGGTATTATGAGATAGGGGGCTGGTTGGAGCAGAGATTGGTGGATAAAGCCAGGGAGGAGAGGCCGTGGTGTAAGGAGGAGGCACACATGACAGCTGATATGGACCCAGGTGAGTGGGGAGGGGGGTGAGGTAGGAGAGAGGCGCTCTTATGAACTAGGTGGCTGGTTGGAGCAGAGGTTGGCGGAGGGAAGGCGAGTGGAGGAGAAGAGGAGGAGAGCTAAGGAGGAGAGGCTTCGGAAGGGATGTGGGGGAATTCATGACAGCTGGCATGGAAGCCAGGTGCGACTTTTGAGGCGCCTAAAAAATCTGGCTCGGAAGCCAGGTGCGGAAAAGGTGGAGGTGCGGTGAGGGAGGCGAGAAGGCGCGTGAAGGGGCCAGGCCGTGGAAGGGGTGTTTCGAGGCATCACAACACACGGAACATGGGGGTGTTGCAACAGTCAAACAAACTCACTGATGCTGGGAGCAGAATGAAGGCGGGAGAAAGGGGGTGGTAGACGAGTGGAGGGAGGAGGAGAGGAAAACGTTGGTGCCACTTCCCTCGCCCTGCACCTTATCTCCATCCCCCTCAACTCACCCGCATTTCCCCTCACCCCAACCCAATTCCCCCCTCCCCCTCCCCTCCCCTTTCCCCCTTCCCCTTCTCTCTCCCCTTCCCCCATTCCCTTTCCCCCTCCCCTCCTTCCAGCATGAGTGAGTTCTTCGACTGCCTTGACACGGCTATCTTCCTCTCCTCCTCCCTCTCCGCCTCACTCCATCCGTCCACCACTCCCTCCGACCCTACACCCGCACCCACCGCCTCTCTCTCCCACAACACCACTCCTCCTCATTCACCCCTCCCTCCTCACTCTCGTGCGGCTCATTACGCCGCCCCCCCCGGTCTTTTTGATTCGTTCTTCGCACCGTCGTCATCTTCTGGTTGGGGTGGTGCTGGGGGAATACCCTCCTCTTCCTTCTCCTCCTCCCCTTCCTCCCCCTCCTCCTCCTCCTCGCCCGCACCTCACTCGCTCTGGTCCTGGGCGCATGCAGCAGTCTCAGCAGTCTCTGCCACGTCAGCACTGGCAGCTGGCATGCCGCCCGCTGCGGCTGCATCCTCTGCTGTCTCTGCCTCTCTGGCGCTTGCAGGTGACATTCCGGGCGTTTTTTCTCTTTCTTTTTTTCCATAAGAGTCACAAGTGCGTTCTGGTGAGCGCACATGAGTGATGCAGGCAGCTCGCGTCCCCCCCCTCTGCAGCTGCGTCCTCTGCTGTCTCTGCCTCGCTGGCCCTCGCAGGTGAGCTGTTTCCAATCCACGGACCATCCATCCATCACTCAGCCGTTCCTCTGGTCATCACTCTCTGCAGCACATGCTGACTTTTCTTTTCCTGCGTTCTCATTCCGTTGCCCCTTCTCACAGGACACTTTCCACCGCTCCCTAGCCTTCCCTCTTCTCCTGTGTCATGCCCTTCAATATTCTCCTGTGCCTTCCCTCTTCCTCGCCCTCCTCTCCCCTCCCCCCCCCTCTCCCGCCATCCCTACCAGAGCCCTCCCGTCCAGTTCTATCTCTTTCTCTCGGCATCCCCAGCGTCGCCCTCTCTCTCGCGCGCTCACACCAAGAAAGCAGAGACTGTGAAACCGCCAGTGCCTGGTCTGCATCCTGTGCTGGTGTGAAAGACGGAGCTCTGGTCCTTGCGTTGGACGGGGTCCATGCTTCACAAGAGGTGAGTGAGAGAGGCTGCTGAGTCCACGAGCTTGTGTTGAGGCGAGCCCTTTCGTGCGTGAGTCTTTTATGCTGGTTTGGCTGCAAGCTCTGCTTGTGCCGCCTCTGCAGCCTGTGCGGGTGTGGGAGCTGGAGCACGGGCCTGGTCCTTGTGTTGGCCGGGCTCCTTGCGCCACAGCAGGTGAGAGGGACTGTCGATTTCACGGAACTGTGTTGCGTTAAACGCCTTGATACTCTTATGTTGAAGGGGCTCTGTGTGCTGGAGCACTGGTAGGACCTCTGTTGAAGAGGCTCTGTGCTGGTGTAGGATGTGGAGCTCTGGTACTTACGTTGGAGGGGCTGCTACATGCCTCACAACAAGTGATGGGGGGTTTTTTCATTCACTGGCATGTTCTGCTCTAAGTGTTGGAGATGGTGTGTATGCCCGTTGCGTTGGAGGGGGTTCCATCCACAGGAGGTGAGAAGAAAAGCTTTCCACGTTGATCTTTCCATTCTAAGTCAAAGAAGACCCCTCTAATTCGACTGCCCCACGCTATCCCTCCCTCCTCGTTATCCCTCCAGGTGTACGCTGAGGAATCTCAGCACCACAATGAGCTCTCCATCAGCAGCATCACCCTCTCCTTCCATCCCTCGTGCCCCTCCTCCTTCTCCTCTTCGCCAGTAGCAGCACCGGCAGCAGCAGCAGCTGCTATGCTCAGTGCTCCAGCTGCCACCGCTGCAACCACTGTGAAGCATTGCTGCTCAGGCCGCAGTGGCTACAGGGATAATGCGGAATGGGCAGAGGTGGGCGCAGGCGAGCATCACCTGTACAGGAACCACACTGAATGGGCGCAGGTGGCTAAGGTCCTACCTCTTCATCCACCTCCCTCTCCCTCCCTTCCCTCCTCCATTTCCTCCCCCAGCATCCCCTCTTCCTGCACTTGGTATGCTGCGCATAGTGCGCACACTACGCACGAAAAGGGTAAGTTGTCAGCCCCTGCTGTCAGTCCCTGCGCACGCCTCTATCTGTGTCCTCGCTGCAGCCCTGTTAGGCTCTTACAGGTGTCTTCTTCAACCAGTGAGCATGCACCAGCAGCAACAGCAGCTGTAGCAGCAGAAGCCAAGGCAGGTGGGAGGAAGGGCGAGGCTGCAGCAGCAGCCATAGCCAGCGGCAGCACCGGCAGTCGGACCAGCAGTAGAGGCAACAACCACAGCAGCAGCAGAAGCAGAAGCAGCAGCAGCATGCTGCCAGCTGTTCGGGTGGTATCCTCCCAAGGGCGCGAGAATGCCCTACTTGGACATGGATATGAGCAAGCACAGGCACGTGCAAGCAAGCACTCGTGCATGCACGTAGATGTGAGCGTGCAGCCATGCGTGGTCTGGGTGGAGCCACACTCCCTCTCCTTCATCTCCACCATGGCGACAGAGCTAGCCCGTCCGTCTGTCAGTGAGTTAGGTGAGAAGGGGCCTGGTGGAGCCGAGGAGGGAAAGCAGCATTCTAAGTACTGGCAGCAGCAGCAGCGGGAACAGCAGCAGTCAAGAGAAGCACTCTCTGTTCCAGGGGATGCCAGTGCTCCTTCTCCAGACCAACTCGGCGGTGTCTCTGTCAGTGTGCATGCCAGCTGCCTTCGCCTCGTAGTCAACGCTGCCGCCCTGCTACAGCCGTCCCAGCTACAGCCGGGGATGCAGCAGCCGTCTCAGCTGCAGGCAGGGATGCAGCATGCAAGTGGGCCACAACTGGGGCCGCTGCTGCCAGCAGCGGTGCAGCAGTCAGTTGTGTTTGGCAGAGGCCACTCGCTTGTTGCTGACTTCCATTGCTTCAAGCTATCGTCCTCACCACCACCACTACCAGCAGCGTCATCATCATCATCAGCAGCAGCAGCAACAGCAACAGCAGCAGCAGCAGCAGCAGCAGAAGTAGAAGCAGCAGAAGCTGAACCATATGCTTCGAGTGCGTTCTCTCTGGTGACCTGTTCCCTGCAGCATGTGTCAGTGCACTCTCTGCATGTCATTCCACTGCAAGATTACTCAGGCAGTGGGATTAGCAGCAGGAGTAAAGGCAGAGGCGGCTGGAGGGGGGAAAGGGAGTGTATGGGAAGAGATTGTTTAGAAAGACAGAGCGTGGTTCAGCTTCACTGTTTGCTTTCCGTATCTGCCTCTGGCTCTGGCCCTGGCTCTGTCCCTGGCCCTGGCTCTGCCTCTCCCTCTGCCTTTGCGTCTGCTTCTTACCAGCAATTTGGAAGGAGCACGAGTGGCAGTGCAGAGGACAGGGTAACTGGCCACAACAGGAGGGTCTCAGAGGCGTTGGGCCAGCTACTCCCAGAACCGCAACAGCATCGCCACCACAACCACAAGCACGAGCAGCAGCAGCAGCAGCAGCAGCAGCAATGCCGCCCCCATAACCACCATAAGCACCACCACCAGCAGCACCACCACCACCACCATAATCACGGGCAGCAGCAGCAGCAGCAGCAGCAGGAGCACGATCCTGGTGCAGCAGTCACCCTGATCGTCAACCAGAGAAGCAACAACCTTTATGGGGCAGCCAGGCTCAAAGCAGCTCACAAGCTTTGGCAGCATGTGGGAAGAAGACAAGCAGGACCGGGCGGCAATGGGCGGGGTATGACAGTGGGCGGCAACGGAGAGTTTGTGACTGCAGCTGCTGTGAGTGATAGAGAGAGGGAGGAGGAAGAGGAGCACGAGAGAGCGGTAGTGGGAGAGGTGAGAGAGACTGCAGGTGCTGATGTGGCGGTCAGGGTGGGTGATGTGGCTGTGGCGATAGACCCTGCTGACGTGGAGCTGATCCACGACATGCTGACGAGGATTGGGAGCGCTTTGAAAGGGCGCTCAAGTGAAGTGGAGGACAGTGTTAATATGGCACTAGGAGGAGCCCCCTCTCGGAGCATTCCAACAGATCCAGGCAGTGATCCTGGATGTGAGAACGCGTTGGCCCAGTCAAAGAACGCTAGCTTTCTGGATCCTGGGCAAGAGGCGACAAGGGGGGGGGAGTCAAGAGCGCAGGCACCCATGTTCGTGGACTTGCAAGTAGGTCTCTTCCAAGCCGAGCTCCTGTTTCGGCCTCGATCCGCAAGAGATGCGATGGCTGTGGCTGCGAATGACATGCTCCAGCAGCAGCTGCAATGCAGAGATGTACATACTCTCCATTCTTCCTCTTCATTTTCTTCTTCTCCTCGCACTGCCACTCTTCCTGCTGCTCCTGCTGCTTCTCCTGGTGCCACCCCTCCCCTCTCCCCCTACTCCAAGCCTGCTTGGGGCCAAGGCTGGGACTCCCTCCGCCTGTGCCTCCAGCGAATCACAGTCTGCCACGTCAGCAGCTTGGCTGGTAACCCTGGAGCAATGTTCCTGATGCTGCGGCACGGGGAAGCGACGGTTTGGGCGGCGCACCGCGATTGGTGGGGGTATGGGGAGGCGCAGCAGAGCAGTGGAGAAATCAACCTCGTACAGGGTCCCTTGTCCCATGCTCCTCCACATTCCGTTGTGAATGATCTTCCCGATAGCACGGACCGCGCTAGAATCAGGCGACCGCAGGAGTGGCCGGTGCTGTCAACGTGGCAGGACGCCATTGGGCGAGGCAGCGGGTCTCCCGGAGGGAACCCTCTAGAGAGGGGCGAGACGGGGGTGTGCCTACTGCTGGTGCAGTGGCCGGGAAGGTGCCAAGAAGCTTCAGGAGAGGCTGGGATTCTGATAGGGGTGGAGAATGCAAGGGGAATGGAGAGAGAGGGGGGAAAAGGGAGTGAGGGTTTGGGAGAGAGTGAGGGGTTGGTGTATGCTAGTGTGAGGGGGCTGACAGCAGAGGCGCCAGGAGGCAGGTGGGACTTCCTGCTACCTCTCTCCTCCCTGCTCCCGCCACAAGGAACCACAGCTGCTGGTGGTCTTGGGGAGGGTTGTTACAGAGTGCGTTCTCAGGCACCTCAGAATCCGAGCAACCATACACAGCAGCAGCAGAAGCAGCACCGGCGCCACCAGCGGCACCGGCGGCAGCAGCAGCATGCGTCCCAGCAGTCAACAGTGCGTACACAGACAGAAGGCCGGGAGCGGCCTCGCAGCTACCGTTCACTGTATTCCCCGCGGGGCTCTCACCAGCAGGCAGCCGACAGGCCGGCAGCTGACAGCCAGACAGCTAGCAGCAGAACTTTCCGTGTACATACACAGGAGGACGCACCTGATGCAGCAGCAACAGCAGCACCTGAAGCAGCAGCAGCAGCAGCGGTGGTACAGATTCGGCCAGCAGAGATGCGAGTGGTGGTAGACCTGGTGGATACTGGCTTTTGGTACGAGCCTAGGGGTGAGGCTTGGCCCGAACCTAGGAGCGATGCTTGGGCCCTGCCAGAGAAGCAAGTAACTCCGCGTCCTGCTGCTGCTGCTGCGTGCTTGTTTGTTGGAATCGCAGCCGTACACCTAGTTGCCGAAGCTAATCCCACAGCAGCAGCATCAGCACCAGCACCAGCAGCAGCACCAGCAGCAGCACCAGCAGCAGCAGCAGCAGCAGCAGCAGCAGCACTTCCCATGGAGAAACCTGGGCCCACTCTCAAATCGCCATCACAATCAGCGGAATCACCACGATCACCACAATCACCTCAATTGTCGCCCACCCCTCGTCGAGCAAACCCCCCTCGAGCAGCCTCCGCCGCTTGCCCTCCGCCTCAGCCTCTCGATCACCCTCCGTCGCCCAACGCACCTGCAGCAGCCTTCGCCCCTTGCCCTCCACCGCGCACCCGTCCTCTCTTCCAGGCTGGCCTGTGCTTGAGAGATCTGGGTGTGAGCGTGGTGCCTGTTGGCCGCTGCTGCCTGCCGTTCCCTGGGGTAGGATCTGCTGGGAGCTCACCTCTGGATGGTCGGAGTCTCAAACAGCACCACGTGCACAAGGCACTCTGGCAACAGGCCTATCGCAGCAACCTCTTCGCTCAGGTGAGCACCTTCTTACTCCCCATGCTTCCTCCCTCTCCCCCGCCCCCCCCTTGCCTTCCTCCCCTGTTCTGCGCCTGAGTTATTTACCTCTTTCCTCACTTCTCGTTTTGCTCCTTTTAGTGGCATGCCTGTTTGTTTGCTGCCTTGTTGTGTATCGTGTTTTAGTCGAATCTGCGTATCGTTTCTCACCTGCCCATCTCACTCACTCACACCTCATTTATCTCCAGTACCTTTCGCCCTGATCGCCACATCTGCCAGTGGAGGCTGGAGCTTGTTGCCACGCCTCTGCTTATTGTCATATGTTTTTCTCCACCTTTTTCGTGTTTGTCTCACTCCCCTTTTTGTCACACACCCGTTTTCCCCCAGGTCGCCACAGCCACAACTGTGCAAGTCGAGCTCGTTGCAACAATTGCTGCTGCTGCTGCTGCTGCTACAGCCCCGGGTCTTGCTGCAGCTGCTACAGCTGTCGCAGGGAGGGGCTCTGCTTCTTCCTCAGCTCGATCCACAGCACCGCCGGGCCTGGAGGTCATCTGCTGCAACGCCCAATCGCAGGTGGACACGTGTCAGGACAGCATGCACGTGCTGGGGCGGCTGGGCCAGCAGTTGCAGCTGGTGTTCCCCCCTGATGCCCCCACTGTCCCGCCGGGGGGGGTCACGAGTAGGGTGTATGGGGAAAGTGGGGTGAAAGCAGGGGAGGGGGGGCAGAGGGCAGGGCAGGGTGGGCAGAGAGGGGAGCAGCTGCAGCTGGTTGTTCCCCCCCATGCCCCTGCTGTCCCGCCCGGGGGGGTCGCAAGTAGGGTGTATGACACACAGCCTTGTGGAAGCACGGCCAGTCCTGCTGCTAGCTTGGAAGAACCTGCTGCTCAGAGCAGTGGGGCTCAAGTGAAGGTTCCTGAACCCAAGGCTGGCTGCACTGCTACGCCTCTGGAGACCGGCTCTGGTACCCTTGCTGTGGGCAGAGGCAGCGGCAGCGGCAGCGGCAGTGGCAGCGGCAGGGGCAGGGGCAGTGGCAGTGGCAGTGGCAGGGACATCGGCCGTGGTAGTGGCAGCCTCAGCAGCAGCAGCAGCTGCACAAGTACCAACGGGCAACAGCTTGGGACGGGCAATAGAGGCAGCCGACATGGTGAGGGGAACACTGCTCCTGCTGCTGCTGCTGCTGCTGCTCCTTCTGCTGCTTCTTCTACTGCTGCTTCTGCTACTGCTGCTTCTGCCGCTGGTGCTGCTTTGGAGGTGGGAGATGCTCTTGGCAATGTTGGGTGGACTGGTGGTGCTGATTCGCGTGACAGCAATGGGTGGGATGGTGCTGGGTGGAGGCTTCTGGAAGAGGAAGCAGGGGGGTGGGTGGAAGTGATAGTAGAGGGAGGAGAGGGTGATTGTGACGATGGCGGTGGATGGACGGACGTGGAGGGGATTCCGGGGAATCACACAGAACATGTTCGACATAGTCACATTCAGGTTTCAAGCTCTCATAATACCCACTCCTATAGTCACAGTGACAGGCATGCTATTAGTCAAAGTAACGACATCGGCCAATCACAGTCGCACCCGCAACCTCGTTACGGTCACAACCAAGGGCACCGAGCAAGTCCCGAGAGCAGTACTACTGAGCCGGAATTCAGCACCAAGGGCAGCACCCACCAATCGCATCACGCCAAGTGGTTCGATGACACGTCAGTGCATTTGGTTGCAGACCACGTCCCTCTCGTTCCTCTGGTTGCATCCCCATCGTATTTTGAGTCGACTCAAAATACATCTCTCACTCCCTCCTCCTCTAACACTCCCTCCTCTCACTCATTCCTCTCTCCCCCTAGTAGCACCCTCCAGTATCGCAAGCACTGTACCAGCCTCGGTGGCAATGGCAGCAACGCCAACAAAACTGAATTACCTCATGACCAAGGTTCCTCGTTCCACCGCGGTGCTTCTAACTCCCCTTCTTCTCCCTTCACCTCTCGCCCCTCGCATAAGCCCTCCTCCTTGCCGGCCTGCTACCCGCCCTCTGCCTTCCGGCTTCTTCTCAGAAACTGCTCGCTCGTCTGCAGGCTGAGCTCCGGCCGGCATTTTTTGTCTCCTGGTAGCAGTGGTTTTTGTGCTGGTCTTTGTGCGGCCGATGGTGCCTCGGCTGCGGCTTCTCCTTCTTTTGCTGCTGCTGCTGAGTCAGCATCGGTTGCTGCTGATGAGTCAGCAGCGAAACTTCGAATGGAAGGTCCGTGTGTGGAGGTTATTCTGAGAGGAGTGGACGTCCAAATGGATAGCTTCCACTCAGGCAGGTGTCAACCAGGCAACCCGCAAGCTGTCAAGGCAGCAGCAGCAACAGCCAGCAGTGATGGTTCCCCCTCCCGTGACTCTACCCACTGTGACAGTACTAAGAGTGTCTACAGCTCCCGCCTGGCGGTGACTGTAAGGGAGATAGGAGTGTGGGACAGGGGGTTGCAGCAGCAGGGGAGCAGGACATGGGAAAGAGTGGGTGGGGCGTATGGCCGGGAGGCGGCGGATGTTCGATCCAAGGCTCTGCGATTGTTGCTGGATGCTGTCAGACCGAATGCAACGGTTGAGATTGACGAATTCAGGTGGGCTTGATCAATAAGCGAGTTGAATTGGGTGTGAATGGTTTGAGAGAATATGCAGTGCACATCGCAGGCTCTCAAAAGCTATTCTGCTGATTTGTGTCCGCCCTCTGCCACCCTCTCGCCCTTTACCTTTCCTTCCAGCTCTTTGTTATTTGTTTGTTTTTGTTCTGTTCTGTTCTGTTCTGTTTTTGTTCTTGTTCTTGCTTTCGTTTTGTTTTGTTTTGTGTTTTGTGTGTGTGTGTTCTTTTCTCTCGCGTGTTGGCTCTCCGATCGCTCTGCTGCCGATCTGCGTCTGCATAGACCAGAACCACATCAAGTCTACTTTTTACGTCAACTCAAAAGCCACATCGATTTCTTCTCCTCCTTCATCGCCCCTTCCGCTCTTCAACCTTTCCTCCTCTTTGCTTTTCTCTCTGCAGGCTGTCGCTCGCCCTGCTGCCCATCCGCCTCCGAATCGATCAGAACCACATCGAGTTCCTCTCCCGCTTCTTCGCCTCTTCAGCTTCTTCACCTCCCTCCGCTCCTGCTGCTGACTCCATCCCCGCTCGACCCACTGCTGCTCCGGTCGGTGCTGCTGCCACTGGTTCTGCTGTCAGTGCTCGTGAAACAGCAGGAGCAGGAGTGGCAGCAGCGGTGGCTGATGCTGAGCTGGTGCGCGACGCCTTGCTGCCATTCTTCCAGGTCACACTCTTGCCCTGCACACTCTCGCCCTGCTGTGTCTTATCTGTTCTCTTGGCGTCTTCTCGTTGACTCCGCTTCCCTCTCATCCCTCCCTTCCCTCCTCTACTCCAGGTCTGTGAAATTCGGGCCTTTTCAATCCTTATTATCTACGTCCCTCGCCTGCCGGACCTATCGGCTCTCTTGGAGTCTTCTCATTACTCATCTCCTTCCCCTCCCCCCCCCACCTTCCCCCTCCCTCCGCTCCCCAGGTCTATGAGATCCGAGCCTCTTGAGTCGACTAAAAAATCTCCCCTTCCTCTTTTCCGCTCTCCTCCCCCTCCCTCCTCTACTCCAGGTCTGTGAAATTCGAGCCTTTTCAATCCTCATCGACTATGTGCCTCGGCGGCTGGACCTCTCGGCTCTCTCTGCTGGCAACTATGCTCACCTGCTCAACCTCATTTCCTGGAAGGTACGGAGCACGCTTGTGTGTGCTTTGCTTCCATGTGCCCGCGTGTGTGTTTGTGTCTGCTTCTCTGTACGTCCCCCGCCAGCTGCCAGCTGGACCTCTCGGCTCTCTTGGTTTGATGGGAGGCCTGTCTCTTGCGGGCTGCAGCGCACGCTGCGTCGATGAGAGCGTGCTCCATTCTCGCCTATGCTTGTCCCGATCCATTCGCTCAGTTTCACCCCCTGGATCCGTGGGACGCCTCTCAGCTACACGGCTTTAGGGTTTAGGGTGTGGAAATTTACCTCCCAAGCCGAGAGTGGCAGGTGTGCAGGGGTGGGACGGGCAGGGGGGGTTGCTCATTGGCCAATAACTTCTTTGTTCTCTCGTCTTCTCGTTTGCTCCTTTCAATACCACATACAGGGCGTTGAAATCGACTTTACCAAGGCGCGAGTGGTGGGAGTGCAGGGATGGGACGGGCTGGGGGGAGCCCTCATCGGCCAATGGCTGGAGGACATCTGTCGCAACCAGCTGCACCGCGTGGTGAAGGCAGCCGGGCCTGTCAGTCCCCTGTGGGCCCTGGGCGCTGCTTCCCTGCAGCTGGTGCTGCTGCCGGTGCAGGAGTATCGACAGAACAGGAAGCTCATGAGAGGATTGAAGAAAGGTGGGTCGTGAGTGAGTCGTGAGGGCTCCAAGTAACAGGGTCTGTCAGTGCCCTGTGCGCTCAGTGAGGCCAGTCCCCTGTGGGCCTTGGGTGCTGCTTCCCTGCAGCTAGTGGTGCTCCCAGTTCGGGAGTACAGACTCAACGAGGCTTGAAGAAAGGTATGGGGTGTGGAACGGTAAGGAATGGCTGGCACTTTCTTGTTTTACGTTGGTGCAGTGCAGGAGCCATCCACCTCCTCAATTCTTTCTCACCTCCGGCACTCTTCCTCACCACTCCCCTCCTCCCCCTTTTTGTTTTACTACTTTGCAGGAGCAATCCACTTCCTCCAGTCGCTCTCTCGCGAGCTGCTAGGCATGGTGGGAGTGACAGTGGCGGCCAGCACTCGCCCTCTTGATGTTTCTCCCCCCCCCCCCCTCCCTTATCTGCCCCTTGCTCTCCAGGTGCGTCCTCCAATCTCTCTCTCACAAGCTGCTGGGCGTGGGAGTGACAGTGGCAGCCGGCACTCACCACCTGCTGCAAGCAACACAAACTCCCCTGGCTGTTCCTCTCACCCTCTTACCCTTTAACCCCTCTACCAGGCGACATCCACTTCCTCCAGTCGCTCTCTCACGAGCTGCTGGGCGTGGGACTGATAGTGGCAGCCGGCATTCACCACCTGCTGCAAGCAGCAGAACTCGCCCTTGCAGTCCCTCTGACTCTCCTTTCCGACCCTGACCCCTCTACCAGGTGCTATTCACTTCCTCCAGTCGCTCTCTCACGAGCTGCTGGGCGTGGGAGTGACTGTGGCAGCCGGCACTCACCACCTGCTGCAAGCTGCAGAACTCGCCCTGGCTGCTACAGCTGCTTCTGGTGCTACAGCTGCTACAGCTGCAACTGCTGGTACATCTGCTGCTGCTGCTCCTCATTCTTCTCCCGCCAGCCTCCTGTCGACCGCCCACCGTGCTACATCCTCCTCTTCACCATCCTCCTCTTCTTACTCTTCCTCGTCCTCTTCCACCTCCGCAGTCTCCTCTGCCCGCTCTTCCTCCTCCTCCTCCTCTTCCTCCTCCTCCGCCCGTCTTCGCAATCCCAGCAAGGCTCCGTGTGACTGGCGGGAGTTGGGGGAACACGGAAGCTTCGAGGAAGGTTCGTCCTGGGTCACTGTTCATGCCAACCACGGTACGGACGTTGGTGGTGGCAACAGTGGAAACAGCAGCAGCAGCAGCAGCAGCAGCAGCAACGTCAGAATCCATAACTGCAGCAGAAGCAGCAGCTGCAACAGCAGCAGGAGAAGTAGCAGCAGCATTAACAATGCAGCAGGCCCGTTAGCAGCAGCACGGGAGGCGCTCAACAGCAGTGTAGAGAGAAGCATGTCCTCGTTATTAGGCGCTCCTTTAAGAAGATGGAGAAGAGGGGAAGGGGCGCCTGCAGTGGCAGCAGCGGTGGTGAAAGGGATCCCAGCAGCAGCCATGGCTCCGGTGGTTGGAGCAGCTGAAGCTTTGGAGGAAACCCTTCGAGGGTTCAAACGCACGTGAGTCCCATCGTGCCTATCTCCCCTGCCTCTCGCCCATCCCCCGTCCCCTTCCTTGCGGTGGTGAAAGGGATCCCAGCAGCACCCATGGCTCCTGTGGCAGGAGCAGCTGAAGCTCTGGAGGAAACCCTTACAGGGTTCAAACGCATGTGAGTCCCGCCTCTCCTTTCTCGAGCTCCCACGCAAGCCATCTCCCTTCCTGCTTTGCTCGCATTTCCCTAGTCTCAGCAGCAGCCATGGCTCCTGTGGTTGGAGCAGCTGATGCTCTGGAGGAAATCCTTTGAGGGTTCAAACGCACGTGAGTCTCGTCTCGTCTCTCCCGTTGGGTGCTCTCGCTAGATCTCAATACGGGGCTACCGTTGGCCATGTGGTGCCGTTCGTTAAGCGCACTGCCCTGCCTGTAGGTATACCGTATAGCCCAAGTCACAAGTCCTGTGCAATGTACACTCCACACAATACATGCACAGGACTTGCACAAAAGTCTTGCACACAGACTTCATCACTTCACAAAAGTCTTGCACACAAGACTTCATCACTGCGCAAAAGTCTTGCACACAAACTTCATCACTTCACAAAAGTCTTGCACACAGACTTCATCACTTGACAACAGTCTTGCACAGGACTTGCACAGACTTCGCATGTGCTGCACTCCACACCACGAGGGGCTCCGCACTCACCTTACTCAGCACCGTTGCTGTCTCTCCCCTCTCCACTCGTCCCCTTTGCAGGATTGCACCTAGGCATTAGCAGCTGCATGCCATGCCACTCTTTCCACCTTAATGTGAGCCTTACAAAAGCATGACCGGCGGCTTAGGGCGTGTCAGAAGCGTTCATTTTCGCTCAGTACCGTACACAATTTTAACTACTGGCACTACTGCTGTTTTCAGTGAGATGGTATGCCACGCCTTATGAGCCAGTGTCACGCATAACAACGATGCCTGGGGCGCACTTAAAGTGCCGCATTTGACGTTTACCATGCCCCGTCGGCCATCCGACTATGTTCCACTACCCATGCAACGTTCCACACTAGCCACCTACCATATAACCTGTCATACAGGATGTGTTATTTTCTGCGAGCCACATGTTTCTCCTGTTCCCCACCCATTACACAAAGAATCATGCTTTGTCTGGCTCGCCACGTTTTGAATTCAATCCCCTCTGTGACTCCGACCACTTGTCCCTCCCAGTCCACATCCCATGGGCTTCCCAAAATTGATGTTACATCATCCCTCCAACACCCCTTTTGGTCATTTTCCTTTCCATGCTTCCTGTGGTAGTTGTTGTAATCCACCCCCTAATTATACGGCATACAAGACCTTTATGGACCATTTCATGGATTCACCGTGTTTACAGTAGTGGTGCTTTCATCCACCTGTGCTTGACTGTGCCTCCTACGATACCCCTCCATGCACGAAATGCTGCGTGAGGGCACATGGGAGGCATGATAACAAACACACCACACCTGCTCATGTGCTTGTGCATGCATGAGTGCTATACATGCTTCATGTTGTTGGAAATATCTCAAAGGACTTAAGCGTTTCTGAAGTGTAACACTACACTCGAGGAAGATCACAACGGGTACGCGAGTCAACGGAGGTTACACGAGGGGATGGACAAAGAACGCGAAGGGACTTGAAGGGTCGCAACTGGAGGTTGCGACTGACCGTTACAACAGCGCGGATGGTAACCGAAGCGACAATCGAGTCGCTGTGCGACTCGATAACCGCTCCTGCAACTGTATTCTACAACTGCTTTACTTTCCTATTTTCCTATATATTGCTGTATGCTTGTCTCTTTAATCAATCACTTGTTCTCATATACTGGTACAAGGGTTCAACTACCTCAACTTCCGCTGCACTACTCAAGTCTCATTCTTCAACTGAGACTTAGTCTCTGGAAAGATCCTAAGGGCTTTTCTCAGCCCAACATGGTATCAGAGCTGGTCAGAGACCAAACTCCCAGCAACTACGCTCTATCTACAATCTGCAATTCAACGACTTCATTAATTACAAGCCATGGACAGCAAGGGCAAGAAGACCTCTACAGGCTCACCCAGCGCCCAAGACATTCAACCCGGCAACTCTGGATTGCATACTTCAGGACTGCAAACCGAGACCGGCGCTGCTCAAGAAACAACAGGAAGAGCACCGGAAATGGTGACCCCATCACCCTCTTCAAGCGTGGATCCGAACCTTATGGAAAGGTTCTTCAGCTTCATGTCGCACTTCGACCAGCAGCAGCAGACAAGGACACCAACGCATTCAATACAGAGCAACGGAGGAAACATGGGATTAGCGCCGATGAGCCTCGACAATTCATCGTTCGGGCGACACAATCAAGCGCCTACCTTTGCGCCTTATCGGGGACGTTCGAGTTCATGCCGCCCCGTGCCCAACCAACAGCAGCTGCATCACAACAAACACCAAACGAGATTTTAAGTCTCCAGGCGCAGTTTTCACACGTGATTAAACTGCAGACATCATCACCATTCAACGGACACAATTTCTTTACCTGGAGTTTTGAGTTCGAGCTGCTGATGGAGGCTGCGCATCTCCTGGGATACTTCAACGGGTCCCTGCCATTCCCAAGCAACGGCACTGCAAAAGAACAAGAAATATTTACTTATCAGTCGCTGCTGGCGTACACAGTTCTCCTGCGGAACCTGTCACCACAAGAACAACAGAGCATCAGAACATATCGGAGCTATGGAAACTCCGCGGAACTCGCATGGCATCATCTCAAGTGTCTCTATCAAGCAAACGACAGCGTGACACAAAGCAGACTCATGCAACAACTGACAACAATACAGATGAAGACCGGGGAAAAGGCGATGCAGTATATGAGTCGCTGCCAGACCCTCCGCGACCGCCTGCTTCGGTGCGGAGGAACAATCACTGAGGAAAGCTTCGTGACGCTTGTCCTCGCCGGGCTCGGACCAGAATGGAGAACCACACGCTCGCTTCTTCGCGCCCACGGAAGGATCTCGGAGATGCACCTCTGCTCCGAGCTTCACGCTGAACAACAGGAGATGGACCTGTTCGAAGAAAGACAACCAAGGAAGCAGCAGCAGTTAGTTTTCTACACTCAACGAAGGAACGACAACAACTACAATCGACGCGGCAAGCAAGATCAACGCGACAACAGAGGACTCACCTTTGTGCCGCCGTTCTGCCACAACTGTCAGACTTCCGGACATTCCAAAGTCAACTGCACACGTCCTCGTGTTTATCGTCCAGTAGACCCACACATCGCCTCCACTCAAGAAAGCCCTCCAAGGCGCTCCTCCACATCTGCACAAGGGACACCGAACATCATTAACTGCATGGTACACATCGACAACTGCGCACCCGGATCACCACCCACCTACGCACCAGATGAAGAAGAACTTCCGCCGCCGCGCTCACAAGGACTTCAGGTCAACCCGACATACGCTGCGGTCGCCAACGCCGAACCCACCGGGCGAAATACCTGGTTCTTGGACAGCTGCTGCGGTCAACACATGTGTTCTTCCGGACGCTTCGTGCAACGAGAGCGACGCCTCAACCGCGACGTCATCATCACCGTCACCAACAACGAGAACCTGAAAACAAACAGACAAGGCGTGGTTCAGTTACAATCCATGGAGACAAATGTTATACTTCAACTCAACAAGGTCCTCATCGTCGACAACTTGGGATACAACTTACTAAGCGTAAGCCAGCTAATGGCAAAAGGGATTCACCTGGAGTGCGACTCCTACTCCAACGAGTTTCGCCTTTACCACGGGAAGGGCGGTCTCTTCATCGGTCGTGCTCTCCTGAAGTCCGGCGTCTTCGTGTTGGACTTCGTCTCCGACCGCGGTACTGCCGACAGCGACGAAATCGTGTCGTTCGCCGCCTGGACACACCCGCCGGATCTTGACCCCGACTTCGACCCTGACGGATTCTGGCACTCCAACACCATACCTGCAACAGAGAGAACATGAGCATTAGCAGTCATCAGACAAGAACGACAAGTACCAGCAAGTGTCCCTTCTCAACCATCACCTGCAGTAGCAGCAGCAGGACCCAGCCGAGTACCACCACCAGCGATCAGAGGACCGCCAACCGAAGCAAATCAACTTATGCCCATGAAACGAGAAGTCTGTCGAAGTCCCGCCACAGTCGTCGCGTTCTTCTCCAACACCGACATATACCACCGCTCGCCTGGCCATCGCGCTCCCGACGACATCTGGCACCAACGACTCGGGCACCCTGCAAATAGTACAATACTACAAACCATCCAAGCCGAAGTGTTAGAACGCAACGCTCTCCTAACAACGAGCGGCCAAGAACTTCGACGACCACGCGCACGGTGCTTTACGTGCCCCGAAGCCGATCTTCCCCACCAGCCTTTCCCATCTCATCACAACCCAAGGGAACCTGCATACGCACCGATGGAAAAAGTCTACAGCGACATTTTAAACATGCCTCGAGAAGACGCTGAAGCAGACTTCAACTATGTCATCACGTTTATCGACGCAGCAACAAGATACGTCTGGCACTACAACCTCAAGACGCGCGATCAAGCCTTCGACGCCTTCACGACATGGCTACCCATCGCCGAACGAGAATCCGGAACCAAGCTCAAGAGCTTCCAGTCAGACGGTGCACTGGAATACCAGTCATAACGCTTCAGGACCTATCTGGCGGAAAGAGGAATCAGACGCCTGGTGTCTCTGCCCTACGCTCACCAGCAGCAGGGGGTCGCAGAACGCATGAACCGGACCTTGCAGACGACGATGCGAAAGCTGCTCCTGGGGATGAGACTGCCCACCACACTGTGGCCAGACGCGATGACACATGCAGTCCACCTGCACAACCTGTTGTCCTCGTCATCGCTTCCCAACAACGCATCACCGCACCTGCTGTGGACACAAAAAAGGGGCAGCACAAAATTACTTCGAGTTTTCGGCTGTATGGTACAGTACAAACCCCACACAGCCCGAGCAGGACGCTTCATTCAACGAGCTCGGTGGGGACTACACCTCGGCATCGCAAAACATTTTCACGCATGGAAAATCCTCGACATACAAGACAAAAATACAGTGGCATCACGTGATGTTATCTTCTACGAGCGACTGACGCTGCAGCATTACCTGGACAACATTGCCAACACACACGACCCCACTGACGGCTTCGCGGGCCTTCGTTCCTTCGCCGACCGTGCTGCCGAGGCTGACGCAGCAGAAGAAGACGTACCTGGAGCCTCGGAAGCTGCCGGACCACTCCCTTTCTGTTCCGTACCTGTTCCACTCGACGAAGACAATCCTCTCGATAGTAACAACCTCGACACCTTTTACCACTTCGCTGACCAAGGTTACATTACACCCCACCCGGTCGACACAAATGTTTCAGAACGCATCGGCCCCAACTTCTTACCTGACTCAGAAGACGGTAACGAAGTAGCCTATTCCGGGAATGAAAATTCCCCTCGACACACACCCACGGGACTGCAGATCCTCGGCCTCTGGGTCTCCGTCCAGCATCCGCCGCCGCCATCTCCGCGCGAGCCCTCGACTTTGTCGCAGGCTCTAGGGGGGGAACATCAGGCGAAATGGAAGGAAGCAATGGAAAAGGAGCTAAAGGCTCTGCAAGACCGAAATACATGGAAGCTGGTACCTGCAACAAGCATCAATGGGAAGAACGTCCTCTCGGGAAAATGGGTGTACCGCATCAAGACCAACGCGGACGGCTCCATCGAACGATTCAAAGCTCGATGGGTCATACGAGGCTTCGATCAACGATACGGAACCGACTACACAGAAACTTTTGCCCCAGTCTCCCGTCACACCTCCCTGCGCATCCTACTCGCCGTCGCGGCCACGAAGAAACTACCACTGCGCCAAATCGACGTCGCAAATGCTTTCCTGTACGCACCTGTGGACGCCGAAATCTTCGTCGAGCAGCCCCACGGTTTCATCGACGACCCTACAAAAGTATGCCAGCTGATAAAATCCCTCTACGGGATCAAACAAGCTCCGCGGCTGTGGCAGCAGCACCTTCACGGCCGCCTCGTCAGAATCGGCTTCCTACAACTGCCGCACGACCAAGGCATGTATCGACTACAGAAGGAAGGAGCTTTTATCCTTCTCATCGTCTACGTCGACGACCTGCTCTACATCGGCTCCACTACCGACATCGCCACCTGGTTCGAAGGGGAGCTGAAAGAAGACTTGACACTCACGGTATCCGACGCAGTGACCCAGTACCTGGGACTGAATGTCGTCGAAGACAACTCGGCATTCTACCTACACGCTGGAAAGTACGCAGGCACTGTCGCGAAGAAATT